ATCGGAACAATTATCACCAGACTGCAGCCCTAAAGAAAGCACGAAATATGAAACAATGGTCGAAGTGAGGATTAGCCCGAAGGTGTCGGTTGAAAGACCTCGAAGACGCAAGCAAGCTACCGAAGAAACCACGGAGAGCGGACGGCGATCAGCACGAAAGGACAAGCCAGCACCGCGACTATCATCCGGCTGCATCACAGACGAGAAGGCAAATGCCTACGTTCGACCAATTCTAAACGAAGCGTTATCCCCGGTCGCCGCTCAGAGCGTACAAAAATTTGGATCATGGGCGGCTCGTGCGGGCAACTTGTTGGAAGTGGTGAAGATCGCAGAGGGTTCGTATGGAGAAGTCTATAAACTACGGCTGCGGGAGGAGCTATGCAAAAGGGAAATGTCCAAATCCAAGCTTGCGCGCCTAAAGGCTTACGGTGATGGCGTCTTCAAGGTGGTCCCTCTGCGCGCTCAGAGCGGCCCTGGTTCGAAGAAGTTTACTAGCGTGGAGGAAATTGTCTCCGAAGTGAAGATGCTTAAGTATCTGGATCCAATTCCTGGGTTTGCTCGCTTTCGGGAGATCCACGTTGTTCAGGGTCGCTTCCCAGAAAACTTCCAAACGGCGTGGGTCTACTACAAGAAGACCAAGGACGACTGTCTGAATCCGAATCCGTCTAGTAAACGGGCGTACCCCGACTCACAACTCTGGGCAATCATTGAGATGGACGACGCTGGGTGCGAGCTGGAAAAGTTCTCTTGGTCATCAATCTTCCAGATCTACGACATTTTCTGGGGAGTCGCAATGGCCCTTGCACGGGCGGAGGAATATGCATTGTTCGAGGTTCGCACCTGCCCCCTCTCTCCAGGATACCAAGACACCCTTACTAACATCACATCAGCATCGAGATCTCCACCTTGGTAACGTCTGCATACGAAGCACGCGCCCCGAAGGCCGCATGGATCCACCAACCGACCACGAAATCATCAGCCAGTCATTCACGAGTGGCTTTGGACTCAGCACCCTAGAAACCACCATCATCGACTACTCCCTCTCCCGCGCGGAGTTACGCATGAGCGAAGAAACAGAGCTCGTCGAAGTCGCCTCTTCGGATCTGGACAAGAAACAAATCTTCGACGCCATCGGTCGTGACGAAGACGAGATCATGTTACGGAACACCTACAGATAGTACGTACCAACATCTCCAAAAGTCCCAAGCCCCCTCCTCCTTTTCCGCAGCGTATCCAGCAGCTAAACTAACAACAACCCACAGCATGCGCGCCGAAGTCTACCACGGCGAACCTCTCAAAACCGAAAAGTCTCCCGATATCCCGGGCATCTGGGCCGAGTACGCCCCACGAACCAACCTCGTCTGGCTCGTATTCCTGCTCAAGTCCCTACTCAAAAACAGAAAGAGCGAGCCAGCAGCTACGGCACCGACCACACCTGCTCGACAACCTCTTGCGCCATGCTCGCCTAATAAGGGCTTGAAGAAGCAGGTGGCGAGATCTCCGCTGGAGAAAATAAAGCAGCAGCAGCACCAGCTGGAATACAAGCCGAGAGTTACGGCTGCGACGCAGGAATATATTTCCCAATTGAAGAAGACGTTGGAGGATCGATTACAAGGTGTTTTGGAGTTGCTGGATTTGGAAAGTGGGCATGAAGATATGTGTTGTGCGGCGGATTTGGTGGCGTATGCGATTGATACGCAGTGGTTGGATGAGAAGGATTTCTTTTGATCATTGTGCTGTATACCATTGCATTGAGGGTGTTAGGTTCGGAGTGGTGGTGATATTTATTTGCATCATGGCATAGACAAATGGTTGGGGCGTTTCAGGGAATCGGTTATACTACAGGATATATATATTGACTACTATATCTAATACACGGTTTACACACTTCAACAAACGGAAACGAAGCAGTAGTACCTTCACTCATAGAGTGTGACTCGCATACAAAACGCATAACATTCTACACTTACTGCACCACGGCACTCCCCCATGATCGGCACACTAATATCTAACGATACCAAAAATCCATCGGCTCCCCCAAGCAATCCGCCACGGTCGTAGCTAAACAAACCAACCATCAGCACCACCGTCTACTCACAACACATCCCAAGTAAAAGTCAAGGAGGGGGAAACCTACCAATCAACCCCCTCCTCCTACTCTCCTCCAACATAACCCTAGTCAAAGTCCAAACCGTCTGCGCATGCGTATCATGCGCCAACACCACCGTCCCGCCCGCCTGCACCCCCTCCACAAATTTCCTCACACTCTCCCCTATTAACTGAGGCGTATTATTCTCGAAGTCCTTTGTGTCTACACTTGGCCCAATAACATGGTATCCCAAGTCCGTCATCAATGCGAGGATCCTCCCGTCCACGGCCAGGAAGGGCGGGCGCATATAGGTCGGGACTCGACCGATGAAGGTCCGGAATAAGGACTCGAGGGTGTTCATCTCGTTAATTATGGTGGGGTTATCGAGGGCAGGGAGGAAGGAGTGACCAAACCTAGTGATGTATATATCAGGGTATTTGGTTCGAGGGGTTCAGTTTCATGGAGATAGTAACGAGATTGGGGAGACTTACGTGTGAGAGGCTATTTGGTGCCCTTCAGTGTAGATGCGTTGTAGGATGGGAGCACTCTCCTATAGTCGGTAGCCGTTCACGAAGAAGGTTGAGCGTGCCCCGTATTCGCTGAGGAGGTCCAGAAGGGCTGGGGTGAAGGTTGAGGGGCCGTCGTCGAAGGTTAGGGCGATGGTGTTGGGGACGGTGCAGTGGGTGATTAGCATGCCGTAGGGGACGGCTGAGGAGTGGGAGGTTTCGTTGATGGGGTGGCTGTAGCAGGTTGGGAGGAGGGAGAGGATGGTGAGGATGAGGGTGATTGCTAGGAGCTTGGTCATGGTGTATGAATAGTGTAAGGATAGATGACGTTGGTTATGAATATAGGGAGGGATTGTGGGTAGGGAATAGAAGTAGGACTGAGGGATGGTTTGCTTCTAGGGATCATGTTGCGTGATTGAACTTGCTAGAAGTACAGTATTTGGAAAGAGTAGATGCCGTGCTTGCTGGAGGAAAGACCAGAAAAGTATCGGAGATGGGAAGGTGTGGCATCTCCTTTCCTCCATTGGTATATTTCATTGCTGAGTCTATAGAATAGAAAGTATATGAATATGCTGTAGCTTCGATATTAGCTTCTCTATCGATTATGGACATGGGGATGAGGTAGTGAGTCAGATACAATATATCCTGGAACGCTACACCAGCCAGTGCAGTTTATGATTTTCGACTCCACTGCCTTTCGCCCCGATAAGCTTGAAAGATGCAACTCCATTGATGTCAGCTGCACAGGCGCATTGAACCTCGCCATCGCGTTCATTTCTCAATCCATCACTTCGGTGCAGTGCCTACATGCTACCGGAGCATCCTTAGCATGGCTTCAGGTGAGCGATGATAATGGTGATGATGATGATGCTCTGAACAGATCTATTGAAAATATTCATCTGATGTTGCGCTAACTTACAAACCATCTAACCATCTAGTCTAACAGATGCAAAGCGAAATAACCAAGCCAACGCCAGGTCGCAAGATTACAACTTGCCATAAACCTTCACCCTCTCCTCAACGGGCTTCTTCGGCTTCTCCTGACCCTCTACTTCGGGACTACCGAACACCAGTTGAGAGATGAGCCGCCAGTCAGTAGGAATATCCCACTGCTTGGCCACAGCGGAATCAATAAGCGGGTTATAATGCCGCAAGTTGGCACCGAAGCCAAGGGATTCAAGACCAATCCACACTGCATTCATTAGCATTGCCATCTCATGTCAAAATAAAGCGGGACCAAAGACATACAGAAGTACTGATGCATGGCATTGGTATGATGCGCCCAAGGCTCAAACTGGTCCTTGTAGGCAGGGAACTTCTCTTGGAAAGGCTTGATGTGCTCGGGGTCTTCATAGAAGAGGATCTAGGTACTCAATTAGCACAACATCCCGACATATACCCAATCAATTGAAATGATGACTCACGGTTCCCATCCCATTCTTCATACCCTGCAGCTTCGGCTGTGTCTGATTCTTCCACGTCTCCTCAGGCAGAGTTCCCTCCTTAACGCGGGCCTGGAACAAGTCCATAGTGATATCCCAAAGGCGCTCATGCTCCTTATGCAGCAGAACAATCAACCTCGTCGACTGAGTATTGAAAGCACTGGGGACATTCAAAATAGCCTGATTGACGAGCTCCTCGATCTTCGAGTCCGGCACGGGACTATTCCTCCCGAGCTTGTAGATGGAATGGCGACCCTTGGCCAATTCCACGAGCGCATCAGAGCTAGGCATTTGAGAAGGCATCTTCACTGATCCAGTGGACGAGAAAGGTCTAATCGCAGAAGCAGTAGTAGTCACCAAAGGCGAAGGCGTATTAACAGCAACGTTGCTCCGTAACCCAAACAATGAAGAAGAGGAACGGAAAACCCGACGAGCAAGAACCCGGGGGACAGCCATGATATTTGTATGCGTTGTAGCAGAGAGATTGATATTTTCGGTGAAGACCAATAAAGCAAGCCCCGCCAAACAAATTCCGATCAGCCCAAGGAGATGTAACCGCATGATCAACAACACCTTTCTCCTTCTCAGTTAAAAGCATCCGCGGAAGAAGAGGCCAGGGCGGCGCGGAATTACGGATGAAACGCTTATTAATGGGGGCGATTTTCGCCTTCCAGACATACTTGGTTATTTGGACTGGACTGTTCTGGTTACTGTGTTCAGGGCAAAGACTTCCTCCGCGCTGGGAAAACTTGATGTCAATTGTGGGGTTCTATTACTTTGATTATTGCATTGACTTCGGAATAGTCTTCTTCTCCTTCTCTGGGCTTCGAGGTCGGTCGGTGAATTGGCCTCCGTTCGGGGTATTCGGTCGGGTATGCCGATGCTTAGGGCGAGTGGGGTGACGTCATTGCTTGGTGGGATAGTCACCGTGTTGTTAATAGAAGAAAGAATCATAAAATATACTTAAATGACAGACATTACTATGAGGTAGAATATATAGTCCGTGTAAGTGTATACATCATGCAATAAAACCATAGAGTAATAGGTGAGTCCCTAGTGTACACATCAAGCAAGAACCACAACCGAAATCGAGAATGAAGAAAAAATAGAAAAAAGATGCGTCAAATTTGTAGCAAGACGTATCACCGACCCTCCCTGCCCCGATGAATATGCGAGAGATGCAATGATGAATGAAATTGCCAATCGAACATTAATAGGTAAGTAAAGACATGATATCAAACGCACGATGAAACGAAGAAAGAAAAGGCCATCGTCAATCATTACCGTGCAACTTCCATAAGTAATGGGCCGCCTGGTGCATACCTCAATAGGGTGCTGTGAACCCCTAACCGTCGCAGCTGCTATTGCAGGTTGTAGCTGTAAGACGCAAAAATAGTTCAGGACAAGTCATTAGGGAACCCTATATCGAGGACTGTGAATGCGCCCGTGGACTCTGCTGAGCACACTCGCTTTCCGATACGTTGTTCTTGGCCCCTGCGTACCAGTCCTCCACAATCAATTGGTGCTCCAGGTCGAGCCAGTACTTGGCTTTCCCGCCAGCCCCGGTTTTGAGGTCCAAATCCCCCAGCCTGATCTCCACACGGCCGGAATCGTCGCGTGGCATCTATGCTGATGTTAGCGGACACGTGGCGCGCTGGCGAAAGCTATGGATGTACGTACCCTTATGAACATTGTACAGTCTCGCAGTGTCATCGCAAGCGACTTTTCTCGCGAACTTGGCGGTGGACCGTAAAGCCCCACATCCTGTAAGGCTTTCTGATGTGTCAGGAGCCTCTGCAGCGTTCCATTTCGATAAAGTACCTTTGCCAGCCGTGCCTGGTCTTTGCATCCCTTGACAAATTGGGCCGCACGGAGGACATTGTCGAACCTGTCAGATACCAGGTCGAGTGGGCAAAAGGATCGTTCCTCCGCCAATCCTTTTTTGCGCGCTTTTTGGTTCTTCATATCGCGGAGTGCGCAAGTTCGGCATCTCCGGGAGTTAGGTGGTGCAGAGGGCGATTGTATTAGCCATTTAGGTTTCAACTCTGAGAGCGTCGTCCCAGGAATGCTGAATGTAGTCATGTCTGTTATGAGTAGCCCAAACGGCTCCACCGTAGAGAGGTACACCCCTTGGCGCCGTTTTGGACGCTGGCCGTTTCGCTCTGCTGCCTGTAGCTGTTCATTACACCCCTGAACAAGCCCTCTGGGGAGGTAAACGAGCTCCTGATCAACTAGCTCTTCTGGTTTGAAAAGAGGACGAATGCATCTATCAAAATTGCGTGCAATCTCCTGATAGGAGATTCCTGCGCTCGTATTCTTCCGGAGTCGGAGCAATTTACCCTTAAACATGGAAGGCACCTGGAGCGTGCCCATTGAACTAGGCAGTGAGTTGGAAACAGTCACAGGGAGGTCATTTCTTCGATCAACGTCCATCTCTGCCGGAGAGAGGATTCGATAGATAACATTGGCGCCGCCTTCCGCGAGGTAAACGAGCCGAGCTCCTACTGGGAGCTCTAGTAGATTGGGCTTTGTCATTGGTCAGGTAAGTGGAAGACGAACAATGACGATGGTTGTCGACTGAGAATAAAACCATGACAAATGCCACAGGCAGATGTCCTCAAGAATGCCTACAGCCCTGGTTAATATAGTAGCAAGCGTTCTAGCTCCGTGGTATGCGCGCAACGTGATGTATATAGTCACGTGGGCTGATTTAGTCCCGCAGGGAAAAAGTCCGAGGCGCAGCAGGCAAGAATTCAGTGTGCAGTTGAAAAGGGAACATGCAGCCTCTTCATGTACGCAGATGCAAATCACTTAAAATGGACACTGGGTCTTCCAGGGGGATGGATAAGCGTCCAGCGCAGCGCGAGCGTGAACGTGGAGAGAGGGGAGTAGCTGATCTAAATACTAGTTCAAAAGTCGGGCGAATCTTGTCTCTTCAGCTGTCTCTCTTTCACTCCGGTATTCACGCTTTTTTGCAAGTACGGAGCCTCGTTATAATCGGCCAATTGGCTTTCAGCGGAAGGGAGAATAAGTTGCTCGACCAGATTAAACGGGCTGTGCCCACTCTTCTCAGGTGATCGATCTTTAGAATTAAGGCCTATTCATTCACCCGCACGGCGAGTGATGAGCTCAGGGATTCTGGAGGGAAATCCTCCAACCCGATTGCGTCTAGTGGCAACACTCGCTAGATCTGGGAAGGGCGAGCCTTGTGCAGGGATCAGGTCGTCGCAGCCCCGTGGCGCTTGGCCGTGCGAGCCTTAGGCGGATTGCATGCCAATCATATCACGGCGCGCAGATTAATCTCGAAAGGCCTGAGTATTGTCACCACACCGCGCATCTGACGCTTCAAGCGACACGAGCAGCTAGCCAATACTGCGACAAGATAAGAAAGTCTTCGTAAATGGGAAAGTAACGAGTAGTGGTTACCCTCCGAAGCGAAGTCTGGGTGAGCGCTTAAACGCAAGGCGTCGGGCACGCAGACGTCGACAGAGCCCGGGTCCTGGACCGCTGCACAGCGACGAGAAGAGGCGGTCAGAAACGTGGACAGCTGAGCAGACGCTGGTTGGAGGTCGACTGTAAGGAGTACAAGGTAGAGTTGACTGGACGTCACGGAATATGCTAAATCATGCGAGCGATACTGCCGTAGTCGCTAGTGAACTATCGGGACGAACTAACGAAGCGCACTGGAAGACAAAACGGTCGGACCAGCAGGGCTGCGTCAAACCCGGTCGGATGGGCTGCTCAGAGGAAGGGTTCGCCGATTGAATGGAGCGAAAGTGACCTCAGTCGGGATTGAAATATTGATCAAGGAGGGTGAGAGAAGCCAGTGAGGATAGAAGATTAGCCACGAGACGAGAGATGTCGATAAATCTAGGTTGGTTAATGCGAATTTGGTTCCAGAGGGGCGGACCGAATAATTGCAGATGACAGACGACCCAAGCAAGGGCCCAGTGCGGTTTGGCGATTTGAAGGCGTTCTTCCTTCCCGTCTATCCTGCCAGAGCCTCGAGCACCTCCTTTGTCTTCTCTGCAGGCCATTGTTGGCCATATGTCCTCTTGTAAGTTGTGTTCCCCTCTCATAGGAACAGAGTGGGACAACTATTGATTTCCCTTCTTGAAAAACAGAAAAAAGAGCAAGGAATGAAAAGAGGGTCACCAGAGGAAATTCGGACAAACGATTCGCTAGTAAAACTAGCATCTGCCCCAGGATCGTTAGATCCAGATCCATCTTCCCACACCCACAGCAGTAGTCTAGTAGATAGTGAGTCTAAGGACATCCTCGGCCGTCGGCCCAAATTTAGTACAAATCGGCCATGATGCTGCTGGGGGCGCTGGAATCCGGGGAAGGAGGAAAAGAAAAAAAAAGCAAACCTGCATCGAAGGAGCACTAATTCCTCCCGGTCGGGGTTTGCCATGGTAAAGTTGGCTTCAGATATGAGACCTCACAAACCGATCGTCATTCCACAGCAACCCATTGTGCTCAAGATACATCTTCCATCTTGGTTCTGGAGTGATGTGTTGTCCGCGGAAACGTACAGATCTTCGACGGTGGAGTTGTCTGGGAGTAGTCCACTTCTTGCCTATCTGACCAACTTCCTCAGAGAGCGGTTGGGATTATATTCCACCATAGAGAAGCGAGGAACGAACAATTCCGATGATTATAAGCTAACAGCCAATGCGCATCTCATGATAGAGTGGCGTAATGACAATCCGCACTACCTGAAGTCACGATTGCCCCTCCGTGCGCCGTTAAGGCCCCGCGCTTGGGATGAACTCCTCATTCTGCCCGCCAAAGTGGCTGGCTGCTCCCACTTGTCAATCCATTCCATCCTCCAGTAAAAATAACCCTCGCGCATTCAGATCCCAATTCTATTTGGATTAGTTTCGACAAACTAACTTACTATCCCACTCCAATCTGATTCTGCATAACAAAAATGGCCGAGACATCCTCATCCATCCCGACTCCCCCGCACTGCACCGCCGATTTCTGCTTGATCCCAGTGGGTGATTTCATTTCCTATCCAGTTCCCCCCAACTCTACCTACCTTGCACTTAGTTATTCGCATCATGCTGCCTGACTATCTCCACATCTTACCCATGCCATGGCTACTACTTATCTATCCATGCAATCACTACCCGGTTCGGTCTGCATGTCATCAGACCGAGGGGGTGAAAGTGACGTGACACATTCATTCATTTCCATCTTGTCCAGCATCAAGCAATCAATCAAGCAGTCATCCCACATGCATGGATGCACCAGGATCATGACCCCACGAAGCAAACTTCTGGCCATATACTATTTTGATTCCCTGAACTCAGCTAAGAACTTACCCTACTGGCGATAATAGATCGGCACATCATCTCCCTCCGTGTCCGCCCAAATAGCCGATGTTCAGCGCCTTATTGAGAAATCCGGCCTGAAATACGTCATGCATTCAGCTGGGACCACGCTCGGTATGTATACCGCTATTGGATTTATTCTCCGATAGTCAATATTATTGATGTGCGCGTGCGCATATGTATGTTTATTGGCTGACGTCTATCATAGAGGGTCCTTGGGATAGAGTTCATCAGGTTATTGGTCAGGCGCATACGATTCTTCATCAGCAGGGTATTGTGAGGATTCAAACAGATATTCGCGTTGGTTCGAGGTGTGTATTTGTTTTTCTTGTTGGCTTGTTGGCTTGCTTCTGTTGTTTTCATGGTTTGATGTTGTGGTGGGGGGTTTGGAGACTGTTGTTATCTACTTGCTTGGGTGGGCGGTGGTTACACAAGCTAACTCTTCTTGCTTACAGAACCGACAAGGAACAGTCCTTTGAGGACAAGGTGAACAAGGTCCGTGAGTTGTTGAAAAACGACTAAGCAGATACTACAAGGCTATGTGCGTGGTACTCGATTGAGTGGAAACGCTCCGGCAGTTGCACCTTTCTTTATATGCTATCGCTTATGGACATGGTATAACGATCATATCAGTTAGATACACTGTGCAACATATGATAATCATCCGAACGCCAACCTGGTACCCTTATTTATAGCAAAAGGAATGTCGTGAGGCTCGTCCAAACCTTAGAACCCAGCGCTGATTGTGCAACTGTAGATATGTGAAATAAATGCAAATGTCAATGTACTAAATGGGCTAGCAAATTCAGAATGAAGGGAGAAAGGACGGTGAAGAAACCACAAAGTCTGAGGTCTCAGCGGTCAGCTTAAACTGCAATACCGCCGCCCAGCAGACTTCCCCAATCTCCACCAGCCCAGATCCACTCGCCCATGCTGGGATTCGCCCCGTCTTTGGCTTTTTGGACGACTTCGACCAGGCCCTTGAAAACGTTGGAGTACGTGGAGGCCGAGCTTGTGACGCTGACAGAAGTCAGGTTCTTCCGTCCAGTAGCGTTGGTGACATTGTTTAGACTGTCCACGGTATCAATGGCGGGACCCTTGTCGAAGAAGTCGACCAGAATGAAAGTAGGCTGGCGGCCATTGTACTCCTTCTTGCATTTGGTTGCTGTGTCTCCAAGGTTTCCTGTTCCTCCGGAGGCCGCATTGGTGGTAGAAATGTAGCTGACGTTGGGGTACTCGATGTCCAATGTCTCTTGGTAAAGGAAGTGGTTCATGAATGGGAGGCGGTTGGAAGACAGGGCGGTGGAAAGCTCGTTCTGGAGGCTCGTGGGACGATCGGGCTCGCAGGAGAAGTTGGAGGCGGAGGTCACGTCGTAGTTGTTCTCCCAGATAAAAGTAAACTCGTCCATTAGATACGGTGCTACAGTGTTGCTTGAAGCGTCCAAAGAGGCCACGAAAGTCATCAACCGGGTACCATTATTGATCAGTTCCTGCAATGTTGGCCACGAGCTCGGTGCGGAGGTTTGCGAGGTAGGAGTGTAGGTGTAGTTGGTGAGATTGGCCGTTTCGAATTGCGAGTGCAGATCAGAAGCTGTTGCGTCGTCTGAGTTGACCAGCAAAACAGTCACAACTGAGATTTGACAGAAGATATTAGTTTTCAGTTCGTCTGGGAAAATTTGCAGTCTGCCACCAACGTACCATCATTGGGGTTGGAGTCCAACCAGCTTTTGATATCTGACAGCCATGTACTCAGGAGTCCTGCATCTAGATAATCGCAACTAGAGTGACATAGACGCCACTGTGAATTCGACTTATGCACTTGAGCTGTGACAAGACGGACACCAGCGTCAAGCTGGAGCGTAGTATTGTAGTATCTGTGACGTGGTCAACAAACCGCATGGACGTTCTGCTTTCCCAATCCAACTCACTGGTCTCCAAAGGTAGAGTAATCTGTCGAGGCATCTCGTAGAAAGGGACTGTCGTGTGCGCCCAGATGAGTGATTTCTCCGTATGACTTGGAACACAAGTCTGGGGAGTTGTTGCATGCAGTGGATCGCGGCCGTACAGCCTTCGCCGCTGCGAAGGGAAGGAGCGCTAGAACTCCAAGTCCTAGCATGCTGATTGCGCGTTCTGGTTGGGTGGAAAAGGATATCAATCGTTCAGATGCTATATAAGCCGGTAGGACTCATGCAAAAAGAATTGGCTGCGAAGTCCAAGCAACAAGTGATACAACCGAATGCGCGTATATCAAAAAAAGGGGAAATTATCCGTCTACTTCATTCAAGGGTTTAATTATTCGATGCGCCAGATGAGTGAGAATTATTGTTTCAGCAAAGAAAAGAGGGGGTAAGGGAGAAAGAAGAATCAGACACAGTAAGCATCCAACATTCGGGCCATAAAGGATGTGTAAAGGACGTGGATGATGCAGGCGAGCAGGCAGAGCAATAATTAATAAACCCCACCCGTGAAAGCAATGAGTGAATTGTGCAGAGAGTGTGGACTACCAAGACGCACTACATGGACTCCTAAAGCCTGAACCACGGCAACAACCGCGCCATTTGGCTTGGATCACCCTTACGGGTCATGAGAAAGTTAAGAGGGCAGTGTTGATCTACCAGTGACGGTGGGCCGGTATGAACAAGGCTCTGGGAGATGGAGTCTGGCCGCGTTGCCTGCCAGCCTATTCTTAGGAACAAGGGTCGGTCATGGCTGCTCCTGTTTCGCATTTCGCTGACGGGCCACGCCATCTGCGCGTGGCGAAGCCCGCCCATGTTTGTCTCGTTTGTTGTGTGGCCGCGTTGCCCCGGTTTCTTCACGTGAGCGGTGTGTCTTGTGCTGGGCTAATATTACAGTAAAATTGTTGTTCTATCGTATGTGTTGCTATGTGGTATATTGTACATATATAATTTCACCGGCTACTCACAAAGGCTGCCCCTCGCAGGCTCTTCTCCCTCAAGAAGGTTCGGCGTGTTCGACGTTGAGACATCTTCGAGCTGGGTGGGTTAACCAGCCGATACACATCCCTGGGTTCCCAACCTTGGAGCAGGAGGGGCTGTCCCCACGCACGGTCAATATCTCCCAGGACTCGCTCCACACTATATGGGTTTTCCCGTCGCAACATGCGACTCATGTGACGACTGGAGCGGCGAGGTCGTCCGTATAGCACCGCAAGCCGGTGCCGGCAAGCTCGTCTGATCCATCTCGTCCAAAGCGGCACACCGTTCTGTCCAAGCTCGCGAAGGAGAACAAGACCGCGCACCCAAGGAACAAAGCTCTCACCATCCGTGTGGAAAGGATTATAGTCGTCTCGTTTGGAGGAAACACGCATCCGGAACCCCCAATAGACAAGAGCGGCTTGCGTCTGTTTGCTGAATATAGCCCCGAGGATGGAATTGCGCTGTTGGTCCGGTGAGATAGCATGAGACGATTGCTGTACAGTCGATAGCGAGATGATCTGGAGAGGAGCGTGGTCTTGTTGGGGCTTAGAAGAATAATGACGGGCCAGCCAGAGACAACATGTTCGAAGCTCATCCCAACAATTCATCATGCCGAATCGCTTGATCATCTCGACCCAAAGGTCAGGAGACACAGAAGCACCCACAGGAACGATGCGTCGTAAGACACGGAAGAGAAAGGTTACTTCCACGACTTCTGAGCGACGCTGACCCTTGATTGGGCTGACACCGGGCCTGCGAGGAGTCAGGACCTTTTCAACCATGAAGTCAATGCTCTCTTTGGTGAGGCTTTGACTGCGCAGTGCCATTTCATCAACCAGCTTGGAGGCCAGAGTCCACTCGCCAGCTGCAAGATGTTTTCTGAAATGAATGTTGAACAGAGCCGGCCCTTCGTTGGATAGTTCACTTAAGATTGCCAGGGTCATATGATAATGACGCCAATCCTTACTAAGATAGTAAGACAGAAGTAGAGACTCTTGTATGCGCGCATCCTCAAGGACGTCGGGATGCTCATCGCTGTGGAGCAAGTCCGATAAGAGTATGTCGCGGTTCTCCGTGGCGAGCTTGCGAAGAAGACGCACAAAGACAGAGTTCCCCAGCGAGATGCCTGCTCGTTCGAGCTTTCGGAGCTTACTCAGTATATCTTGGCTCCCCCGAGCTCTGAGCGCCATCTCTCGTAGAGATTGCGGTCCAAGAGCTGGCACGCCAAACATTTTCAAGCCAGAAAGGATTGTATCGAAGTTAAGAGCCTCCGTAGCAAAAATTCGGGCGCCAAATTCATCCTTTGTTGGTCTCTCTTCATGCGCTACCTTTCCTTGAGTTTCTGCAGCAACTGTGTCAGGATCATCGGTTTCGTTTATCTTTTCAGGGAATCGTTGGGAGGCATAGCGGTGGAGCTCTTGGTAGGATGACCACGGCCCGTACTGTTTGGCGCGCTCTAGTACTGGCTCGAATTCGTCGAAGGAATGTGGATGGTCATTTTCTTGAATGAGGAGTCTGTGCATCGAGAGCGCATCGTCAAGACGGCCACAGCGCAACAGGGTAGACATGATGGGAGCATAGATCTGGTGGCCTGGAGTCATGCGGCAGATGCTACGGAAGGCCCATAGGCTTGATGAAGCAGCCCGCCCCCTGGTCTTTATCGCTCCAGTAATTCTATGTTGCTGTCGAGCAGGAACGGTCGGCCGGAAGACATGTAAAATATCGTTCGGGCGTGTCAAATGAGGATGATGAAGGCGTTTGTGCCATTCAACAGCCTGCTGCGTCATGCCACGGTCAATAAAGCCACCAACGACAGCCTCATAGAAACCCTCCCAGCGCTTCCCCGTTGTATTCCAAAGCGCCAGCGCATAATTAGCGATTTCATTCAGAATGACACCGTGCCGTATGCCAGCTTCCACAAAGCTTTGCCAAAAGAAATCAGCGACTTCTCCTTCAACGGGCAGTTGCACACCATCAACGCGGCTCGTCAAGCCCTCCCAAATATCCAACGTGCCTTTATCACCATAATGGCGTTGCCGGTAGCGGAGTAACTCCTCCCAGAGAGCAAAATCGTTCCGATGCACCGGGTCGTCTATTAATCGGGTTCCGATGTCATCCGTATGTCCTATGTCCGATTCAAATTCCAATCTCTCTGGTTGTAACGCAAGACTACGAGAGCTTATCCCGGTGAAGCTTTGAGCCGAGTCGCCAGAGCCTCCACTTTTAGCTGCGGCCTGTTTGTGTGGCGTATTAATTTCGTATATGCGGAAGCTGAATGCTCGCCTCGTTGATGGAAAAGAGGAATCGTTCGCAGGCGTTTGTTGCAGCTCCGCAGCTGGCGCACTTCTCGCCTGTTTGTGAGTCTTGGATAAGCATCGAACACATTTAGCTGTGCGTCGAACGTCCAATTGTTCAAACCCAATTGGCATCGATATCAGGGAGTCGAGAACCGAGAGAGCTGACGGCCTCTTCAGTAGTCGAAGAAGAGCCGGGCGCATGAGGTTTGAGGAAAGGAGAGCGAAAGGAAGGCGGCAGTAAATCTGACCATCCTCGTAAATCGCACTCTATCACGAAGTGTGTTAGTGGCACATGTGAACACAGGTAACTGGCGGCTTTCTTCTGCTCTGCACACCTTTGATTCCGCGGACTACTTCTTTTCTGGGCACGCCGGGCTTCCACCAGAACACGCTATACTCGCTACGGTTAGAAGCTTACATATTCACGTGATAATTATTAAGCCTCGCATCCTAAAGGCGGAAGTGGGAGGATAGTCACGTGATATTCAAGGACCGTTCGGGTCCACACTTCACGACATCGACTGATCATTGTTGCTGCTAGCCTCTCATCTGCCATTGTCCCTCCTACCTCCTCCATAACCCCCATTGTCGCTTTCGCGCACCGCCAAAATGTTCCGCACCGCTCCTCGTATGGCTGGGTATGTTCACTGATTTCATTTCCTTACTTGTTCCCCCGCATGGCTTCCTGAGCGCGGCCGGGCTGACGGCTTGTCGGTCGGGACTGTTTGCTGCTCAATTGCGTAAATATTCCATGCAATTGGGACTCGGAAGCGAACCTTTACACTGGATTGGACTTGCTAACAAATTTGCCTTCCCATAGATTCGTGTTCCGTGAGAACCGTGTCCCTTACTACCAGCGTCTTTTCCAGCAGCACGACGGCAAGCGCCAGTGGTGGAAGGTCCGTTGATCTGCGAATCGATCGTAACTTACGAAAGAAACGAGAAAGCCTAACAAACGAACTTTCTATAGACTGAGCGCAGTGGTTACCTCATGTGGCCCTACCTGATCTCCGTCTACGGAATGGGCATCGGTAAGCGCCTTAAATACATAAATAAAGATGGACCACGGCTAATGCATATCTTCCTTAGCTACCACCTACGCTATGGGTCGTATGGTCTTTGTGAGTTGCACCTTGGAATTTGATTTTCAAAGAGGAACCTGTGGAATAACAGATTTACTAATGCTCATCCTAGGGCCACAAGACCTGGTTCGGCAAGGCGTAAATGCGGTCCTCGCCAACTTTGACACAGTGTACCTCTATTTCTATGATAGGCAGCTAGAAAGAAAGATAACTGACGTTGTATATAACTTTCTCCAAAGCGTCAAAGCGTTAATATTTGCCTCATGTTCTATCGTATATCGCCGAGTACCCTGTGTCCTAGCCACACTCGGCTTGTTTTGGGTGGATTGACAAGAATCGACCAACAAGCCGAGTAAAGTCCGATGGAGGGAGTCTACGGCTGTACACTTACATGCGTCTGAAGATACATGCCATAGCATATAAAGGTTGCAAGACCTAGTAAACGCTTATGGACTCACTACAATGACACATTGGGACGCTGCTGGACTTCCTCGGTTCAGCTAGCATACCCTGCTCCAGGGTCATGAACATGGTATATTGTTCAGCTGCAATGGCCACTTCCCCTCGCAAGACTGCCAAGTGTGGCTATCGTCGCTGAGAGTTATTGTATGTAGTTCCTGATCAAGGTGAAGCTTGTCCGTGGATTAGTCATCCATGGATGCATGGCACTTTATCCAAATTGGGAAACAAGATACGGCCAAATAGTTGACAATCTGCGGAAGGCCATCTAACGTTGGACTGATAGTTCAACCTCACAATCTCCAAAATGTTCAAGCCATAGTACATATCGTCTGCTTTGTGATTTGAATATTAAGGCGTAGATAGCCTTACAATGAAGATAATAGTCTATGGTAACTGCCACCTGTCAATGAGGATACCTCGGAAGTGGGGATATTGTACCTCTTAGGAGTGTATGAGCGCTCCTGCGCACGGCAGCACAGGAGTTCAACAAGCAGGAGTAACTGACAGTGAAATTCCCAGTATGCTATGATTTATATACAACATTGCAAATTTTACGCGACTATAAGGGTGTGACATGGCGTCCACATCTGCTGAGCGGCCGGCTAAGCGAGTGCGGCAAGCTTGTGAACCATGCAGGTGAGACGGAACATCTGTCCGATCTTGTACTAAATGACGCACTATTCACTGACTCTTCGCAGACGTAAGAAGGCAAAATGCCCTGGGGAGCAGCCAGTCTGCTCCTTATGCGCCCGGTTAAACCAGCAATGCGCCTATGCTGGAGAACATAGGAGATCTTCGACAACTGGGCTTCCCATCCCACGGGAGGCGGCTTCTGTTCCTCCCAGCTCAGAAAACAGGATATCGGAGATCTTGGTGAGACAAGATGTAATTCAGGGTTATTGCTGAACACTGCTAACCTACCACAGGAGGAACGACTGGGGAGCCTAGAAGCAAGAATGGGGCAAGTTCTTGATGCCCTGGGGTAATCCATCGCTCCCCCGGATTCGATGTCATCCATGTTCTAACTTGTTCAATCCAGGCAGAACACCCCCAGACCAGAGCCACGGGAAACTGCTCCTCGCACTGCTGTCATGAGTAATGCCGTAGCATCATCCCTTCTAAGCCCAACCATTCCCTTTCCCACCTGGGAAAAGGTGCTCTCGATGGCAGAGCTGTATCTGACATATTGCCACTCTCAGCCTCTTCCACTCTTTCAAAAGGAAGGCTTTCTCGATAGCCTGGGGAGCCGTGACCCAGAGATAGTATATGCCATGTTGGCGCTAAGCATTCGGTTCTCCCCAGAGGAGAGTTCGCGGACTGGGGGGTTTACGTCGCTTATAAATGGTTATACGGAAGTAGCCAGGGGCTTGGTTATGAGGAGGGTTTCGGAAGGACCAATAGAGCTCTCAACTCTCCAGAGCCTATGTCTCTTGAGCTTGGTGGATTTTGCCAGTAATGTGGCCGCTGACATATGTTTAAATGACAGCTTTGCTAACGTGCTTACTACTAGATGGAAACACGCACCGCTCAAGCATCCATTGCAGTTTGGCAATGAACCTGGCACAATGTGCCAACCTTGGCTTAGAGTCTGGGTTAACACAATCCCTTGTTGCACGCGAAGAGCGTAGGCGCTGCTTCTGGAGTATCTGTCTTTTGAAGCGCCTTCACGGAGTCGATTTCGACAACCTAGATTTTCCTGATGGCTGCTTTCCTCATTTTCCAGAAAGTCCTAGCCGGCCGCCTCCAACGAAATCATCAAGCAATGGGATGAATGAAACACGGTCATCAGGAATGCAGGATCAGGGTATCTTAGCCTACGTGATCATGCTCAGTGAAATTTTTGCGAAAACTGCAAAATATGTTAGACGCCATGGAAAGCCCAGCAACGTACCCCCTTGGTCCTCACAATCAGAGTATTCGAGAATATTGACTGCCCTTATGGAACGGGAAACGCAAATGCCATACAGCCACAGATTCAAGCCAGCTAACCTGAGTGAAAGAACGCTCGAAGATCTCCAAGAAAGGAGGGATTACTGGGGCCCATGGTTACTGAACCAATTTTTATATCATACGATTTTGTGTCTTTTAAATCATCCGCTCTTGCTCTCTCTCAGCCTCCGAAATTTTCGCAGTACGATTCCAGAGATTTTCTTGCAGCACAGCTCGGATTTGATCTCATCGCACACGACATGGATAATTCATTTTATCGACTACTTCGAAGAGAGGTCTTTTGTTGTCTCGGATCCCTTCCTGGGCTATAGTGCTGCCGTGGTAGCAACAATTGAGTTACAGCTTAGCTTCACGGAGAATACTACAATTCGCGAAGAAAAACGCAACAGGTTCTACAAATGTGTTAGTTTCGTGCAAAATCTAGGATGCAAGTGGTCACATATGGCACGTTTGGTAAGGCAATGTCCTTCCATACTTGCGTTTATCTGCTGACACCTTGACAGGCGGACAGATTGCAGAGATTGGAAGATGCCGTGTCAGCATCCTATGAACTTGAGTCTGGTGCTCAGAATAAGTACTTACTTATAGATCTCTCACGCTTCTGGGAGATTCTCGAGTATTCCTCCAATAGTGATGCAGAGTCAGCCCGTCGCATGTTTGGGGACTCACTCTATTCGGAAGCTCCTACCCCTGGAGCCGAAGTGTCACAGACGTCCCCTCTACCGGAGCCTTTTCGCTTACACACACAGCAAGCTCTGGCACAGTCACCAACCTCTCAATTTAATATTCAGACCCCTATCGTTACGGCCGATGCGCAGTACCCCATGGGTGTTGGCTCGCCTTCATACGATGAATTCTCAATATTAGCTACGAACTTCTTTTCTCAAGCCCAGGACTTTCTACGAAGTGGTGATCCAAGGAACAGCTTTGGAAATCTATAACCTCAACAGTACGGGTATATCATAGAGTTCCTACTTCGATCATTTGCTTTTGCACAGTGGCTGTGGACCATGTCGCAGTGAGAGCTTCAAGCTTTCAAATCTAGGAATCAAATAATTTGGTATCTATCTTCAAAATAATTCATCGGAGCGAACTTGACAGAACTGGTCTCAGTCCTGACCAAATGATCTAGTGAAACCCATCACTGCTGCAGTGCATCCTTGAAGATCTTCACAAATGTCCAAACCTCGCTGAAGCTGTTGTACAAAGGAACCGGAGCGACACGCACGACACCCGGCTCCCGTTTATCGCAGACTATTCCTGCTTCTTGCAACTTCTGTGCAACATTCTGTAATAGACCAGGCTTGAGTAATAGACTCAGTTGTGCGCCTCTCGCCTCGGGGTCCTTGGGCGTGATAATGCTGAACGGCCTAGATCCTTCTTCATAATCCCTGAGCAAAAGGAACTCAAGGTATGCTGTTAGCTTCACTGATTTCCTGCGAAGATCTGCCATTGACGTCTCATCAAACACCGATAGAGCGGCACAAAGACACGCAAGGTCGATGGCCGAAGGATTTGATATCTGAAACCCTCCTGCCCCAGGAATAGGTTTGAACTCTGGTTATCAATCATATCAGCTTACTAGCCCACAAAATTGTTCTATAGCCAAGTGCATACATACTGTTATCCATCTTGAATCTTACCGATCGATCGCCACCATACCACCCGGTCAGACGATGGCGGAATTTGGGTGCATCTTCTCCCGCGCTGTAATCGACCTCTCCGTGTTGTTCATGCACGAAAAGGCCCCCCATTGCTCCAGGACCGGCGTTTCCGTACTTATACGTGCACCATGCTGCAAAATCAACGTTCCAATCATGCAGCTTTAGCTCAACATTAGCGAAGGCATGGGCCAGATCCCAGCCAACAACCATGTTGCGCGAATGGGCATATTTTGTAATTTTCTGGATATCGAACAGTTGTCCAGTATAATATTGAATACCAGGAAGAAGAATCATAGCAGCCTCATCAGCATGCTTGTCGATATAAGAGAAAATCTTCTGGGTGGATATCTCGTATTCGCCTTCATCTGGACCGATGAGCACCATAGACTCCTTAGGATCCAGGTCATGCCAGGCAATATGAGATTCGATAGCGTACTATATAATCGTCAGTGCCGTGATAGCAGAAGGCAGCTTCTTTCGAACTTACGTGATCACTTGGGAAAGCCTTCCAATCCATCAAGATCTTGTGTTTTGTTTGAGTCGGCTTATAGAAACTAGCCAGCAGAAGATGAAGGTTCGTTGTAAGTGTTCCCATCGCTGCGACTTCTTCTGGCTTTGCTCCCACAATCTTGCTCATTGAATCAGCTGCTTGCTCTGAGAGCAGCTGCCATTGCTTCAAGGGTGAGCCCTCAAGATCAGTGAAGTGGCCGCCAACTCCAATAGATGACCAAGTGTCCAACTGTGCTTCTAAGTACTTTGCTGTGGCCTTGGGTTGAATGCCAAGTGATTTACCGCAGAAATAAATGCATGACTCGGGCGAAAGGCCTGTGACATTAGTGACGAGGTCTACAGTTGCCAGGATGGAACCAACCCACCAGGCTTTGCTAGCTTTTTGGAAGCAATATTTGCTTTTGATGGGACGATGAACTTCTCCCGAAATGCAGCAAGTCTGTCAGAAGAGTCTAGAGATGCTGCATATTCCTTTGTCGCTGCTTCAGCGGGGAATGCCAGGCTGACGCCATTCGACTTCGACATTGTGGATTTTGGATAGTAATTCAAGTGCAATATCTGGGTCCAGGATATCAAGAAAGAATGGATGAACACCAGAAACAATCCGCTGACCGTCACCAATTAACATTTATATATGGACTGGCGTGTGACACAAGGCACTTCGGTTTGTCCCTCCCTCCGGATCCGGATACCGTTCCGCTTCCGCCTCACCATCCGTGTTGCCGGAAGTGAGATAACAAAGCATCCACTCCAGAAATCCGGACGGTTGCTAAGTTTTCCGCTAATCCACTGCCTTTCTGCCTGAGAATGGTCGTTGTGAAACGGGAAATGACCCGTCTTTGCTCATGCAGGTGGCCCTATCTCGAGCCCTCTGGATCCGGTTTTCTTCCGTCCCTCCTTGGGAATACAATATAAACACTTGGATCTACTCTTACCTGCATAAGTGATCATTTCAAGGAGGCTTGAATATCAAGTTGTCTACTGAGGTGCATATGATATTATCATGCTTTATACACAAGACATTTCACTTGTTGAGTACGGTGTCTCCCTCCAGAACGGGTTCCTCCCGGAAGTTCCTCCCGTACGGAGATTGGAAGACCCTTACTATTCCCCGTGGGAGGAAATCGCTCAGGACTTGCCTGGGCTGATTCAGTCTGGTACTATCAGGAGGTCTGTCGATGACCTGGGTATACTCTCTACGAAGAAGTTGCAGGGGGAACCTGAGTGGCGGAGAGCATATGTTGTGCTTGCTTACCTTACACACGCCTACATCTGGGGTGGTGAGAAGCCGAAAGATGTATGACTCCCTTTCAGAATCAAGTCTTTTATTCAATGCTTCTTTTCTTGTCTATCACTGCATGGCCGGTGCCTTCGCTGACATCAACTATACAGGTGCTACCCCCCTGCATATCACGCCCATTCATCGAAGTTTCGAACCACTTAGAGCTACCACCATGCGCTACATATGCTGCCCTCAATCTTTGGAACTTTTCAGTACCATCACCTGATACAGACATTACGGATCCAGACAATTTAACAGTGGTGACCTCGTTTACAGGCACCAAAGACGAAGAATGGTTTTTCGTCCTCTCCGTCGCTATCGAGGCCAAGGGAGCACAGCTCATCGAGCTAATGCTGGATGCTATGCATGGAGCTAATGTCGATGATAGCCAGCGTGTTATTTCTCGTCTTGAGCAGCTCAACTATGGTCTCAAGGAACTTGGTGACCTCTTGGAACGCATGTATGAAAAGTGTGCGCCGCCCGTCTTTTACCATCAATTACGTCCATACCTAGCCGGCAGCAAGAACATGGCATCGGCCGGGCTGCCAAACGGTGTATTCTATGATATTGGGGAAGGACGAGGCGAATGGCATCAATACAGTGGTGGTAGCAATGCTCAAAGTTCTCTGATCCAAGCCTTCGACATTTTCTTGGGTGTGGAACATTCGGCTACTGGGGAGACCAAGCCTCATGGCAAGTCGAATCCTCAAGTCATGACTGGTTTTATGCAGGTAAGGACTGATCTTCGAGGAGTTATCCAGACAAAGCAATGTCGATACTGACTGTATATTCCAGAACATGCGAAACTACATGCCAGGCCCTCACCGACGCTTCTTGGAAATGATGCTCCGCACGTCTAATGTGAGATCCTATGTATTAAGTCACAAGCCCGGATCTGCTTTGAGGGATGCATATAACATGGCGGTTATGTCACTTGGGGGATTTCGCGATAAGCATGTGCGGATGGTGACTCGATACATCATCATGGCTGCAAGGACTCCGCCGCCAAACCAAGTATCTTCGAGAACAAACCTAGCCACAACAACGTCGACAATAGTGGACAATTCTCATGAGAAACTTAATGCTGGTGTCAGGGGGACGGGTGGGACAGATCTGATACCGTTTCTTAAACAGACTAGGGACACAACGAAAGCTGCAGCCAGCTACACCGACTAATACCGCAGCGATGCAATTGAACTTTTGGCTACGCGACCCTTGATACCATAGAAGCAGATCAATTCTTGAATTTTATCATCCCTCACTACTTTCGAGACATGATCAACTACTAGAGGATCTTCTTGTTGTACAATTACTTCATAGGACATTTTGGAGACAGACGGCATGCGGGGACGGAAGCGGAGGCGGAGACGGATGGCGGGAAAGCTGGGCTTTGCGATGATATCCGAGAGGATCCGCAGGAACTCCTCTATCTGCAACCACTTACATCATGATAGAAGCACACTTGAATCATTTCTTCCGTGTTTATCGGGTCGCGTTGTGATTGATGACCCATTAATGTAGTGGATAAGTCGCAGAACTGTTGTTCATAATCACCGAATATACCTCCATTGCGGACATATGACATGCGGCCATTATTCCCATCTTATCGGCAAGCAGGAAAATGGTTACACAAAAGCAAAAGAGCTGTAAGAAGGGAGCCAACCAGGCCATGCGATCTTCCAGCTCTCATTGACACTGATACCCACTGGTAATTCTTCGAGAAAGGCGCTAGAACCTCCCCTGTAGTAGTCGACAAGAGGACACTGTTGTACCAATACATGGCCCACAGATACTCCCACAGGTAGCACCTACAATAAGTAATGAACTTCTCACATCCCAACATAACAATTGAGCCGGCCAGTTATCCTCGATATTCGCAGAATCCTACCCAATTGGAAGACTCCGAGGAACGAAGTTATCGCTTCCATACTAAGATGAAAAAAAGGGGAAAAAAACAAAGCAACACCGATTCGGCGACCTACAAAGCCCTACCGTAGCATATCGGAACCATGATATCTCTCAGCTGAAGCAAGCACCAACCAGTCCTTCTCCAATACATCAGATGAACGAGACATCTGACCAACAACCTCTCCTTTTCTCTCCTGCTGGCAACCCAACTGGGAATCGATGCGGTCATTGCTCTCGTGACCGTTCTTCTCTCCCATAGCACCAACTTGTCCTTTCCCACGGGAAACCCCTTCCCTCCCATATCAGCAACTTGCTACCAGATAGAACACAGCCAGCCAGCCTATCAGCCCATCCGATCAATACCAAACAACCAATTCGACCGGGCAAAATCCCCGACCTGTAATCTGGTATCCAAGTCTCACATTCCGAGCAGGCAGGTCTCAACCAAGTCAAAATCAAGGGGGATGCAGAGCAATCGGCGATTGAAGCTTATCGATCGGCGACCGGCTTATCACACCATCAACGCCATTATGGCGATGCACACCGCAATTCTTGACCAGTGAGATATGTTATCGCTATTTCGCGGAATTTGGGTACTTCTGAATGCCCTGGAAAGTGATATAGGGGGGCGGTGATGCGTATGTCCTGTGGTCATGGCGTTCAATGGGCTTGTGGTTGCTTCTTTATAGATATCACTAGTTGCTGTTCTCGTTTTGGTGCAGTGGCGGATAAGATAAGGGATATGGATAGATTACTACTGAATCAGGACAGGAATCCGGGGACCACAAAAAGCCTTCAGGTCGGCGAGGTAGGGAATCGGGGATCGGGCTCAAGATGACATTCGTATAGAGTCATATTAGCATCTCGCCCGAGAAGAGAGAGAAACTTTTGTAAGAGTTTTCTACGTATAAAAAGAGAAGACATTCTAGAAAAAAGAATTAATAGACATACGATTCAGGTTATTTGTATGAGGTCAAAAAAGCTGCATGAATGAAATATACTCACCACTATCGCAACATCTACACAACGAACAGAGGAGGCACCAACAGCACATGATGGAACCAATCATCCATCCCATATTCGAGAAACAAACCTCAACATGGCAATACATCGTAGCCTGTCCAGAGACACACGAAGCCGTGATCATCGACCCAGTCCTCGACTTCGATCCATCCCAACTCACCGTGACTACGACCTCAGCCGATGCGCTTCTTGATTTCGCGGCCTCAAAAGGCTACCATATCACGCGAATCCTCGAGACACACGCTCACGCCGACCATCTCACCGCAGCCCACTACATTCAGACCAAGCTTCATCAACAGCGCTCATCCTCTTCATCAACAGAATCAAAGACAAGTCCCAAAAAAGTCCCCATCTGCACCGGCCACCGCATCCGCCAAGTCCAAGCCACATTCGCACAACGATACAACATCCCGCCCAACGACATCGACACCGCATTCGACCACCTCTTCCAAGATGACGAGACCTTCCAAATCGGACGTATAACCGCCCAAGTCCTCCATCTGCCCGGCCACACGCCCGATCACAGTGGGTACATGATAGGCACCAATGTATTCACGGGAGACTCGATCTTCAATCCGGACGTGGGCAGTGCGCGGTGTGATTTCCCGCATGGAGATGCTCGTGCCTTGTATCAAACTATGCGGAAGTTGTTGGCGCTACCGGAGCATGTTAAACTATATACGGGGCATGATTATCCACCTGCTGTGGAGGGGAGTGCTGCTACTACTACTACCTCTGTACGGGAGCCTAAGGCTTTTGTAACAGTTAAGGATCAGAAAGAACGAAATAAGCATGTGAAGGAGGGGACGGGAGAAGAGGAGTTTGTGAAATGGAGACAGGAGAGGGATGCTGGGTTGGGCGAACCTCGTCTCTTGCATCCTTCGTTGCAGGTTAACGTTCGGGGTGGAAGGATGCCTTGGGGTGATACGGGGAATCGGCGGAGAGCGTTTCTTTGGATGCCTGTGAAAGTTCCCGAGACTTTGGGGAATAGGAGAGGTGTATCTACTATGACTACGTCGTCGGCGGCTAGGATCGGGGGTAGTTCACAGGCTGTTCTGAGGTCTGTTGATAGGTTAAGGATGGTTATGCGGAGGTTTGTATAGATTAGCTGTGTATAGTATGATAGTATTAATTAGATTAACTGGGCATTCTTTGTGACTGAAGGATCAAAACCTCCACGTAATGATATGCGCGGTCAAGTGGCCTAGAACTTGGTTATCGTCGTCATGAGCATTTCAGGAGAAGCTGATCTGAACATTTGTCTGTCGCACGCGGTGTAGATCGGATTCCGGGGGTTGTTCAAGGGGTCACTGAATGCTGCTCTGTGGTTAACGGGCCTTTTTCATTGGTTGATGTTTATTCGCGGAGTTCTCATTGGATGATTTTTGATCGCCGATGCGTGTCCTCCGAGTCGCCGATTGAACTTGTCGGCCATCCAAAAGCTGTGTTGTTGAACAAAGTACGGAGCTGGGACTTTATCTAAAGCTACCAATATCAGCTCCATTAAGGTATAAAGCAACAACGGAATAACTCCAATAGGTACCAAACTTCAACATTCAGCTTAAACCTTGGGGACACAATGGCTTCTACAATGCTTGCATCTTTCCCTGGCGCTGCTACCAGCTACACAACCTCCCATCTGAATAAGGACCCGGCTCCATTACTGGCTGAGAATGACAACTATACATTTGAGCAGCTGGTTCATGACTTGAGAAGCTACCTGGGTAGCTCTCGAGGCATTGATGGCGAGAATGTCGACCACAAGGTTCTGATTGCCTTCATGTCCAAATACGCTTCCAATCCCAATGACTGGTCACGATTTGCACGCAACGATGTGAGCAAGAACTATACTCGCAACCTGGTGGAGGATATCAATGGTCGTGCCAACCTGGTTAGTTCTTCACTTGCAAACCATTGTGGTGGTTGACGATTAACACGTTCCCAGTTGGTTCTGGTCTGGAACCCCCAAAAAGGCTCGCCCATCCATGATCACGCAGATGCTCACTGCATCATGAAGATTCTCGGGGGAGAATTGAATGAAGTGATATACGATACGCCAGATCCCGCACGAGGCCATGATGCGCCTTTGACGGTCAAGCAAGAGACGACGTACAAGACCGATGAAGTTGCGTATATCTGTGACCAGATCGGGCTGCATAGGGTCATGAATCCTCAGAAAGATCAGGTTGCTGTTTCTTTGCACTGTAAGTTGGCCTCCATCCTGTTAAAACCATGGTTGTCTGACGCTTCTGCAGTGTATACGCCGCCCAATGCTGCGGACTTTGGGTACAACATCTATGATCGCGAAACTGGTCGGAGCAGCCATGTTTATCAGGCGTCCTAGGAGGGTGAGAGGAAATTCGGACAAGAACAGACGAGTGCAGGACACTCGCTATGATTCATGACTAGCGTTGATAATCTGTATGCATTTAAAGTGGGACTTGGCAGGTCTAAGGCTCGATACCTCAAGGGATATTGCTATTGGTATCATTGTATCGCAATTGTCTGGATTGGTTTGAGGCGAACAAAGCCATGCATAGTACTAATCAGTTCCAATGTCTCTCTAGAAGCAGTGCCGCTCTTTAGGTCGACTGTTGCAGTATGGATAGAAATGGTCTTATTCCACAGAGCGTAGTATTAATGAGCCATTTCAAATTGCATCTTAGATGCGCTCCGCGAAGATAAAGTCTATTATTAAGAATAAAGTAGAATTCAGTTGACGTCGCGTGGAATCGCAGTGGCGACATTCACCGATTATGTATATAGATAGCTTAGTCATGTGGGTTTATGAGTCTGCATTTGCCCGAGTAGGCATGGACCATGAAGTGCGCATCTCCATGATTGCATCTGCTTCGACGCCAGCTGGATCCTTCTGTCTCATCAATCCCCGGAACAGTCATTTGTCTTCATAACATGCTACTACTTTTTATGTTCTTTGGATTATATGTCAGGATGAACGAGAGCTTTCAACCAAAGTACTGAACATGACTCGTCCATCACCGCTGGCCTGTACGGAATGTCGCAAGCAGCATCTCAAATGCGACGCCCAAACCCCCACCTGCTCTCGCTGCTTACAGAACCGACTAAAGTGTAGTTATCTTCCTTCTCGAAGGGGAGGGAGACGGAAAACCCGTGAAGCACTTCGGCAGCATCACGATGCATCTTCCGCAGACCTGCTCTTGTCACCGCACACTACTGATATGAGCGGACGAGATGCCTCTTCGACCGTTTCGGGCCAGCAGAACCAGCGCATCTCCCCAATTGTAGAGGGCCAGGCTCAAGACGCTGCGGATTCTGATGCTCGGCTAGTCCGCCTCTACTACGACAACTTCCACTCGGCGCATCCCATCCTAGTTCCAGCGCCCTTGTATGAAGAGCGCAAGTACCCAGCGTACCTCCATGAAGTTGTCACTCTCATAGGTGGCCATTTCCTATCTACTGGCTCCCTTCCTGATCTGACAAGTGTGCAACTGAGCGCCAGTGGTGAAAGGACGCCATGCAAGGTTCAGGCCCTTTTGCTGTACTCGATACTTTCATGTGCTCGCGGTGAGTGCTCGCAAGCTCACACATCCTTTTCCCAAGCTGTCGACATTGCACTGGAACTTGGGATGTACCGACAAGAGTTCGCATCCACGTCTTCCAATGCTGTTGAAGCTGAAAGTCTTCGCCGGACTTGGTGGGAGCTTTTCATCGTGGACGTCTACATGGCAGCTTTGCAGAAGAGAGTGGTCTTGCGATGCAGTGGTGTTCCCTACGATGTTGCTTTGCCTTGCGAGGAGTCCGTGTATGCCAATTACACGAATATACCCTCACCCCCCACTCTTGCTGGTTTCAATAAACGCATTTTCGCCGATGAAGAAACAAGCTACTCATCTTTCAGCTACCGCATCGAAGCGGTATGTATCTTGGCACGGGTTTTAGTTCTGAATAGCCTGCCAGAAACACATAGGGATCACTTGCAAGCTGTGGAAAATGCGCTTGTTAGTTGGACAAATCATCTTCCACCAAATAAAGTCGATATCGTGGATACGTACGGCAGCGTCGATGAAATACTTTTCCAGGCACACACTACTATTCACTTTGCTGCGATGCTCCTACATCTTCCAAGAAGCAGTCTTCGGCCAGTCTGTCCAGAAACTGAGTGTCCAATTTGTCCAGTGATCCCATCTCGGCTTTCTCCATCCTTCACCCGACATGTTCATGATATCAAAGCTACCGAGGCATCCAAGCAACTCTCCAACCTTCTCTCGGTCCGCCCCAGTGTGCAGAGATACAGTCCATTTGTCGTGTTCAGTTTAGTACTCTGTGGAATGGTGCAGCTTGCCACAAGCCGAATTCATTCCTCAGAATGTTCGGATCATCACTGCAACCGGATAATCCTAGTTCTAGGCTGCTTGAAGACACTGAAGCAGAAGTGGCCCATCGCAAATCGAGCTCACTACTTCCTCCGCAGCGTGGCAGCAGAGACATTCACGGCCTGGATTGAGTCTCGCTATCCACAAACCAGCAACGCTGTGCCTTTGGCCTCAAGAAATGGTCCCAGCAATCCACCTGAAAATAATGCATGGCTGTCTGTTGTTAGCAGCAATGACACATCCAGGCCTGTGGAGACTGATGTACAAGGCATATTCTCACCGGGACTGCTATCCGCATACATCGACCCAACCTGCAGCGAGCCGCTGCTTCTAGGTCCAATGCCAGATCTCGACTTCACTTGATGGTCTACCAGGGACTGATTACATATGAGTGTGTAATTTTCCCAGGACTTCTGAGTCTTGCTGGAGATGCCCTACTACCATACTTGCTGATTTGCTTTGGTCCACGCTACAACTACTTTGGGGGCCGCTGTGATGTACATTCAGCAGACACTGCAGCACTGGAACCATCCTGCCTGGCACTGCTCGTGGCTGATGATATGGACTTACCCTCGAAAACGCTTTTTAAACCTTCAATTCGTTCTTCTCAGAGTTGACGACGTGAAGGCGTCTCTATTGCTACGATTACCTCGGCTAGTAAGCTGACCGCTATTCATGGCTTTCTCGTAAGCCAATGCACAGCATCACCATCTCATTATGGATCGGGCCGGACATGGCTCGAGATACAATCAGGGTTGAATGTCATTTTTACTTTCTGCCTTCAATATGAACAGCAACCTTCGCGGGATATACCAGAAGCCGAATATCTGTTGTATGAGGAATTCGGAATTCATTGGTCTTGTCTTTGAAAAAGGTCGAGCTTCGTCTGTAGTACATTGTGCTCTATGTTCTTGACGTTTGGGGATGACTGCTAGATGGGTCAGGACAGGCCAGACCATGCGGACAGCCGTGGCTCTTAAGCAGTGAAAGTACATAGTGAACTTAGTAGTTGGAGGATATGGAATCTAAGCAAGCGCATGAAGATACTGAATGTTAAATGGCATGATAATGTTCGTATCAACTTTGTATGTGTAGCCCCTAGTTCTGACTATGTGTGCTTCAACATGTATCATGACGGTAGGGGACTGAGATGTTCACTGTAGGCTTCCAAGTTGTGCAGGTTTATGTCCTGCAAGTCTGCTAGCAAGGTAATCAACATGGAAGTAGCACTACAGCGAAGGCTCAGCATACCAGGGTCATGGGACCTTCGGGGTCTCCCAAGGCCACTGAGAATGTGCCTTATCCCACCCTAAAAAGGGAGTACTTCGGGGAACCCTGGATATCAATGCCAGCAAGAAGATCCCAAGTCTCATCGGACAATAGCCACGCCAGCTGGGCAACCGAAGCGTATCAACACGCGAGTAACGCCTTAAGACGTGTAATCCAAACATCCACGTCCTCATCTTCTCGGCACTTAACGCTTCTTCGTAGTAGCCGGCACGCCCTCACTCGCACGCAATTCCGCCAACCTCTTCTCCCGCTCAATCAATCGTTCCCTCTCCTGTTTGATCATCTGCTCAACTGTCTTATTCGCCTCCCCTAACCGATCCATTTCACTACTCTCCGTCGTGCGACTATACGGATTGTCCGCGGACGAATTAACCGGAATCTCAGCCGTCCTGACCCCCTTCTGCTGCTGCTGCGCCTGCTTGGTATTCTTGCCACCCTTCCCCTTCTGCGGTTGCCCTGCTGCGCCCGTACCACCCGTCAAGAGCTCATAAAACTGCTCCACGGGCTCATTGAACACCACCTCCTCATAGTTCTGACTGATTACCAGCTCGCGGCGCTCTTTCTTCGCTTCCGCGTCCGGCCCATACGGGTGCAACTTCAAACTATGCCATAGAGTCTGCGGCTTCTCGGTCGATTCCGGAACAAAATATAGCTTGATCTGAATCTCGAATTCACCCCATCCGGTCTCGGTGACTTCGAAGGGGGCCTGTTCGATCGTCCGCACGTTCTGTGCGTAAGTCTCGTGGAGCTTAAATTGCACTTTCTTTAGCCAGTAGGAGATGTCTTCGCCGTTGACGCCTTTGACGAATACGCGCCACTGGTGCGTGTGGTCGGCTGGGACGTTGGGGGGTTTCTTGGCTGGGTCGAAGGGTTGGGCTTCGCTGCCGAAGACTGGTAGGTTGTTAGGACCGGATTAAGTTTCAAATATGGGGACTAATGGTAAGTAGAGGCATACCGAATGGCCGGAAGACAGAAACGCCCTGTATAGTAATGGATTAGTCGGTCGGTCTGGTGTATAATCTTAAAGAGGGATGAACTCACTCTGACGCGCTTGGTTCCTGTCGCTGAGGGCATGCTGCGAGACTGATAATGTAACCAATCTGGGATGAGCGAGTTATATGCAGATACCTAGCAAGAAGCAAATGTATCGACGGTTAAGAGCGGAGTGTGTAGATCCAGCGCTCTTGTCGCGATCCAGGCCGCGGAATCTCTGCAGTCGCACGTGACGGATGCGGGTGATACGATAAGGAATCTATCGGAAGCTGAGCTGTGGCGGGTGGTCGTTGCTTCCTCCGGATTCGAGCTCCGGCGATTAAAGATCTATGAAAATGTTTCGTTAACCTCACTGTCTCAGTTTGCATTGAAAATTACATCGACTCGGATCCAATTGAATTTACCCCACAATGGCAGCGAAGAGAGTGGTTGTCGCCGGCGGAAACGGCTTCTTGGGTATGTGGTACAGCCAGTCTATGTACCTACCAGCCGGACGCTTGAGATATCAATGCTAACAGCTTAATTTCGCGCAGGTTCGAGAATCTGCAAATCCGCTGTGGCTAGAGGATGGGAGGTTACGTCACTTAGGTACGAAAGATAGCAGCCTTAATGTCTTGAGGAATCTGTTCAATTCATAACCATGATATTAGTCGTTCCGGAGAACCGCGATGGGATACTGTCACCGGCTCTCTCAGTCGCCCAAGCTGGGCCAGTTCAGTCGAATGGGCTAAGGCCGATATGCTCAAGCCGGAAACCTACAAGCCGTTCCTAAGTGGTGCGACCGCCGTCGTCCACAGCATGGGAATCCTCCTCGAGGCGGACTACAAAGGGGTGGTGCAGGGACGAGAACCAATCCTTAGCGGATTGCAAAAGGCTTTTGCAGCGTCAAAACCAGGCAGTCAGAATCCGTTGCAAAGGCGTGAAGGAGAGCCTCTTCAAGTGAAAGAGCGCAATGGGCAGTTTACATATGAGCTTATGAACCGCGATTCTGGTTCGTACGATCGCGGGTTATGCTAGGATGGGTGGATTGCTAACGTCTTGATTCCCGTTCAATCTAGCGATCGCATTGGCGCAAGAAACTCGTAACGAACATGTCCCGACTTTCCTCTACATCTCTGCTGCTTCAGGCGCCCCAGTTCTCCCCAGTCGATATATCACAACGAAGAGAGAGGCGGAATCTATTATCGCGGCGAAATTACCAGAGCTGCGGAGTGTCTTTGTGCGAGCCCCGTTTATGTACGATGAAAGCAGGAAGTTCACTCTCCCCATTGCTCTTGGTGGCTTTGTCGGTTCTCAGGTCAATGCGCTTTTGGGCAACAGACTGGACTTCTTGGGCTCTATGGTCACGAAACCCTTCCAGGTGGATACTGTGGGTGAGGCTGTAATGGAAGCCCTCGATGACGATTCTGTCCAAGGTGCCTTGGGAGTAGAGAAGATAGAAGCTCTGGCTACGAAAGCGTGGAGAAAGAGCATGCTCTGAGCAAGGAGCACAAGGGAAAATAATTGATTGCCAAACTAACATGTCAGACTGGCTGCTTGGCGCCTTGAGTGAGAATATTCCCAAGGTGAGCAAGAAGACCTATCTACCGACCGGAGGAAAGGCCTGCGAAGCTAGGTCAAATTTCCGGCCGAGCGCATATCAGCATCTGATTTCGCTCCGAAATAACGGCATCAGGAAAGTGGCTTTGTGATCTGGCCATCTCGAGCTATTCAGGGGATCTCTCTGGAAGCTGCCATAGTGTACACTACATCATGTATCATAGATGAGGCTATAACAATACATGCCTAATTCGTGTTTCAAGGGCAACCAGTCTAAAGACCGTCAAGTAGCTTGAGATCTTGGTCAAGGTGATGGCATGACTGAGATAGGTGCGGCCCGTATGTGCTATAACCGGTATGCCAACTTCGTCAAGCAGGGTAGCGGACCCTGCAAGGGGAATTCGTCGGACGCCTTCTTTGCAGTTGTCCAGTATAGTCCGGAACGAGGTGCAGAGAAACGAAAATTGACAAAGCGCACACATAAGGTTGCTGTCATGCAGGTCCTTTGCAAGGCGATTGTACGTTTGAACTGTCCTGCAGGTTCGGATTCCCTTAGCGTAAATCAGATCATCGTACCACGCTCGAAGCTGTCGCGAATCTCCGTAGTGTACTGGAAAACAATTAGCTAGCCCCTTTGACAAATGGCAGAGCGAAAACGCACCTTATTATAGAATCTCGATAATTTCTGGTTGAACTGCTTGTTCTTTTCGTTGATGTAAGTGACGTCGCCGTCATCGTCTCCGCGGCGGTCCCTCCGCTTCTTGAGTCGGACTTCCTCGGCTTTCCGAAGATTATCCACGAGCTTGTCAACAGCAGCTCTGTCGGGCTTGTTCTCCGTAAAGCCAACACTGTCAGCTGTAGAGTAGAAAGAGCCGTTCTTATCGACGGCGATCATTTCACCGTCGTTGGTCTCAACGATCTCGAGATCGCCATTGGCAGCAGCCTTTTCGATCGCTGCCATCTTCTCCCTCTCGTAGGTTTCAAGGTCAGGCTGTACTTCCCGCAGCTGTCTCTTATACACTTTTCGCGCGTCTTGGGTGTAGTCCTGGAATGCGACATTGTCCCGATGACGCTGCTTCTTTTCCATGCGCTTGTCCCATTTTTCGGACTCATCGACAGTCCAGTCCCATGCACGCTTACGTTCGAAGTCCTCGCCAGCGGCTTCTGTGTCAGCCTTGAGAAGGTTATGCGATGCGAAAGCATGTTTGCGAGAGAGCGAGGAAAGCAGTGACGGATCGGTTGCGAGACGCTGTGTTTCGGCAGCCGTTTCTTTCAGATTCCGCTCGGTAGCGGTTTTCTAAAACTATGTCAGTATGAACACAGCGCACAATGAATCTTCGCTATCATGAACTTACTGCGCGAGCCTGGAGAGCCTTGAACCTTTCTTGTCGTTGGCGGGCTCTCGAAGCAGCATCATCGTCTTTTTGGTCCGTACTGGCCTCATCCACGCTAGCCTCTTCACCTGATTTTTCCTTCGTCTTCTCTTTTGAAGGCGATGTAGGTTCCTTGCGATCATCGCCGGCTTGGACATTCTCTGCGGACTGCTTGGAGTTTTCCTTGGCGCCAGAAGGGCTGGCCGCAGACTGCTCGGCAGGCATGCTGCAAATAGATAGGAGTGACGAGTAAGGCCCCGAAAGAAGACCGTTGAGATAGTATTGTAAGGATAGCTGGCTAATTTAAAAACCTTGAGTATAGGGGCGAGAGGTCAAGCAAACGAAGGTGGATTCCTGACTGAAGGACTGAAGCCTCGAATTCGGATCCGAGCTGCTGTAACGCCATAGTCCACCGCCATGCTGACCGCCTTTCCCCTGGTGGATTGCCGGGTGTTATTATGCTTTATCCACCCGCTGCCATCTCCACTTTGGCAACCCCGGATTATCGCTGGCATGCCCATTGAAGACCGCCTACATTGCGTCAGTCGTCTATTCCTTGATGCCTAGAAGTAATAAAAATCTATGTCGCTATACTCTCACCTGGGCGTGCTATCACGGCGGCGGGCATTGAGGTCTTTGCATGTTTCACCATCGCTGTGCCGCCATGTCTCCATCGACGTCAACACCAGAGCTTCATATACCGAGCCCACTTCGTCCCACCTGGTCAGATTCGCTCTGACGGGTACCACGAAACCCGCTCACAATGACGTCTCCAATCCGGAGCTTGACAAGCACCTCTCGGACATATTTCTCGGTGATTGGCCCTTAGCGTCTCTACCACCACCTTTTTGGAGCTCTTCTGGTCGACAGCCACGAAGCCCCGATGAAATTGGGTCGTTCAAAGCCCTGAAACATGACGTACGAAACCTGCGTCACTTGCAGGTATTCATTGAAAGAAGTGTCAATGAAGCAGAAGGCGGTCTGCTTCTACAGACACAGTCCTGCGCCCTTTTAGCGCAAGCGCTAAATCGTTGCCAGCGAAAGAATTCCTACGGCGAAATTCTCTCGGCGCTCAATGCTATCATTACAAGACTGGAGAAGCTGGGAGTACCACGTACGGATAATATATACTTTTTGGGGATGTACTATGCTGCACTATCATTGTCCGTGCCGGCGCTTGAAAGGTTTCTGGATGGATACCTTTCCGTTAGCCTGTGGCCTATGGACATCCTAGCAAGTAAATCTCTAGTGAATGCGCTCCTCAATGCCCTTCACTATCTGAGGTTCCGTGAGGTTACTATTGATACGAACGCAATACTGGAATTAATCGAGGGAGGTAAGCAACGCAGGAAGAAAAACCTACATGACCTTTTGTCCTGGGGCGATTCTGCCGGTGCAACAACGCATCGTGGGCATTACCTTTGCCTACTCGCGAGACTAAAGAGCGAAGACCTTCTGTCTGAAGTATGGAGGCAAACGATGTGGAGGCTTTCGCCGAATACTCCGCCTGAAATGTACCAATGTATGTATACTTGTATAGTGACTCTGATGGAAAGTGGTGACGTTCTCCGAGCTATGGATTACTTGCAAGAAGTGTCGGAACGTTCCCAAGGAAATCTGCCTGGTATATCGGAGTTCAAAGACGTCAACACACTGCTTGAGTCAGAAGTTCTTGGTCCCCTGTTGCCTCGGATGGCAGGCGAGAAAGAGTACTTGAAGCTTCTTGAGGCTCAACTAATACAGATCGAGAACAAGATGGGTCTCAGTTGGGATTCCGAAGGCCTCTATCACACAAATATCAGTGATCCGCACTCAATAATCTCCGAGACACCCCTCTTCAATATCGACGGTGACAGCACTGGCTATGAGAGCACTGCGCGCTTAATTGCCGAAATCAAAGCCCTCGGATGCTCCAGGTCAGTGACAGATCTCGGGAAGATTGCAGAAATGCTTGACGAACACGAGGGAGACGTGATCCCTGTATCTTTGCCCTCAACTAAAGGCCAGGATGTGGAGTACGCTTGGTTCCCCCGGTATTCTTCATTTCGGCGTTCGGGGGCCTCTTCATCTGCTGAAAGAGAGGGTACCGAGCCTTGGACACCTTCAACATTGGGTTTAGTCCGTGTCAGCTGCAATAGCAGTGGATCCCCTCTCGAACGCTCCATTCATGTGATGCAGCTCGGTCGTTTAGCAAGGAGAGCCAGGTGCCCACATGATCAGGATCCAACTTATGATACTCTTTGGGAAGAGACCGAGCATATGGTTACCTGGGATCGTGTCTATGGCCAATTCATCGCTGTATACGTTGGACCAAGCGACGGGCATATCGAGACTCGCATAGAGTCACGAGCTGCACGAGCGCGATCTGGTATTGAAGCGATCACCGCATTCTCTCTTCCTGGTGATACGGAACCAGTTTCACAGGGTGATCTGATATCCTTTATTGGAAATGCGTCTATGCATTATTACATCGAGGAAGACCCAAGCCCAGACCTGATATACTAATTGCTTCTTTTTCTGGTCACTGGTGTACATAGACATCGAGCTCTTAGTGCTTGCTCAGCATGAATAGCCTCGTTTCTGATACGATGCATTTTCAGCAATTACCATCAAAAGCTTACTCTAAAAGATGCGCTTATCAGCTCAGCCGGATATTGCATCTCACCAAGTGTGTCCGCTTTAAAGCCCAATTTCTCCCATGCTCGGAAGCAAATGCTACTTTTTGTCATATGTGAAGTAGTATTATAATTGCACGCTTATAGCATATATTGCATAAGTCCCATATATGCAGCTTGGCAGACACGTTCGGTATAGCCACGGCGATTCGTGATGCACTTTCTTGCTAACTTAGCAGAAGGCTATGCCTAACCAGCAAAAGATCTGGGGAAGCCAGCATCGTCCTCAGCCGTCCACATCTCGCATGGCAACAATCTCCCAACATCCGTGGCAGAAACTATGCAGTGCAACTAGAATCTGCTAATGTTACATACTGTTCTAACGGAGATCCCGAAAGTGATGCAACTTCACCAGCAGAGAACCATCCTATCGGCCAAGTCCGAGAGCACGGCTTCATGTCAGGTTAGCCACGTCGATATCTTTCAAATGGAGAGACATGGTCCCATGGTCTGATCTTTTGCTCTACCACCCGCTTAATGCCAGATAACATTATCTGGCAGGTGAGCTGAAGCCCCTTGCAACTTCCTGTCTCATATTACGTCAGTGTTCCGTGTCATCAGAAAGAATGTTAGGTGAGCAAACCCTCAAGACACTAAGCAGGTTTGTAGAATACCAATTGCTCATTTGCTTCTCGCAAAACGTGATTTGATTTTTACAGTTTGAGTAACCTGCAGCACATTCTGATAACTGATCTTAAAGTATCACTAAAAGCCTTGGCTACCTTCTCTAATCCCCTATCAATGCAATGAGGATTCTAGGTGTCTCTGACTGTCACTTCTACATCCCACACAACATGCTGTAAGGATGCAAGTACATCGGTAGCGGTTCACTCACATTTTCAGAGTTAAGCCTGGATCTCATGCTGAGACAATCAATGATATGAAGACATCTTCCATGTATGTACGAATGTTCAAGTTGGTTCACCACGTACGTTCAATGAAAGCGCTCCCTAGACAAGGATTATCCCCTCTGTTTGGAGTAGTTTCAGGTGTGCAAGTCCCTGCGGCCCGCGCTAAGTGCACTCGCAGGGTACCGAAAGACAGAACGGAGAGACAGCCAGGATATCCTAGCTTCAGGTGCAAGGTCGGTGCGGACGATTGAAAGCCAAGGCAAGCTTGTCAGCTTTGAGAGTCGGGGTATCCTGGCTCCCTTGCTCGCAGCAGCCCTTTGTCGACGCAGATTAGTGGACTAAATAGGAAGGTCGATAATCCATCGACCCGTAAGATTTCGAAGATCTTCTTCTCTTGCAGGGTTGCGCCATTAGTTCGCGATCGAGGCTTCCACGTCGCCCTAGCAGGGGAGCTGATGCGTCCGGGATTCGGTGTGCTCCTTTGCTTTTTCTATTGGAAACGGTCCCCAAACAGATCGCATAGATCCATTTTCATCATCTTTCTGATTTTATGCTGTGGTCCAGAAGGAAGGCATTATTGCATGAGCAGTTCAAGGAGTGTTCAGAACCCAAAGTGTCGCTGGCATGTAGAGCCCAAAGACCGTCTTGACGCGAGGCGGGCGGCCCGTACTTCGGCCAGAACCTTGGGCACTCATATCATCCGGTGAGGACCGGAGGGCAAATACTCGTTAGTTAGGTAGTATGTCCATAGGTAAGGTTTGTCTAAGATTTAGTGGCCGCAATCCCACACTCTATTGGTATCAACTTGCCTTGTGTTTCCTCTTCATGTATCATGATTTGTCATATCCGTAGATACCATTCCATGTGAAGAGGCTTTAGTGGGATTGTCGGGTGGCTAATTAGGATGCGTGGGTTGTTGAAAGAAGATTGAGCTGGCTGGAGGAGAATATTGCGGTTGGGTTGCCGGGAGCAGCTGCTATACGGCGGCGGAAGGCGAACGTTGGGCCAAGTCACTTGATCCCCCCTTCCTTTTCGTAATGCGGCAATCGACAGGTCGACGAGATCGCAGCGACTCCTCCGCTCTCTTGCAAACTGGAGATCTCCGATTCCCACGGACTTTTCCTTTGGCCCAATCGGAGATACGCCTTCTTTCCCCGTAAGTCATGGACTCATTTCCAGCCTTCCCTTGAAGTGAACCGCATGCTTGCAGACTGCTGGTCGAATAATACCACTGGTTCCTGACAAATCTTTTCCTTCGGTTGCCTCTGGCGATAGTTTACTCAAGGAGTATCTCCGTGACTCGCTTCCTACACGGGTTCTCCGTCCTAGTTGCCTTCTACAGGCAAATGGAGTGTGGCTGGCAACGCGCAGCGTTAATTGGCATCCGACCTCAGCGTCGGGGCCTTGTCCCCATTTGTTACACCTAAGAGAATATCCCCATCGGCGATGAAAAAGAAAGTGGAGGAAATTCTCCCCGGAATAAAACTCCTGGGAATAAGCAAGAAGCTCACGATTATGCACTAAACTATGGACGGTCATGACGCACGAACAGGATCATCGCCGTAGCACCCAATCTACACACTAGCCACTGCACTACGATTGCAGCTTCCGGGATTCCAAAAGGCCAGAACCATGACCGTCTGGGTAGGAATACAGAGGTGTGGACACTGGAAACCCTTAGTGTGCATGAGGCACACCCGGATTCCGGGAAATAGAACGCTGCATAGGCGTGTCGGTACTCGGTAATAGTTTCATCTGTCTGACGGTGGTTGTTGAGTCATCAGCATCCAGCCAATTCTGGCCATCGATCAAGCCATCCAACAGTCAAGGATGTGACACATCATTCATGCTTGTCGGCAAGGCAACCACACATACAGTAGCCCGTCCACCCAAGAGGGAATGAATGGTGAACAGTTGTTACAGGGCTAATGCACGACAAGTACTTCTGTGGCCGACTAATATTCCTTCCCCGCAGCACCAGGGGGGTTTACGATAACACAAATCAGCTGAGATGAAACAGCCAGTGTGATATGTGGCGGTGACCACCGATCGATCTTCTTTGCAAGGATAGGCATCATACCTAGTATCTTAGCCACAATGTGCAAATTGGTGTGTCCCAGGACCTCACTACAGGAATTATGGAGTACACTCAACGGTTTCCTCGAGCTTCGCTGAGATTTGAATTGGAAGTGCTTTTTGCGATTCCCACTAAAAGTAAGCCAGCTCAACTCCCTTCTGCTTTCCTCTTCTGTAGTTCCATTATTGCAATCTTATCTGACCAATTGGTCCGCTTGTTTTATCATTGTGGTTCTGTCTTTCTCTGGACTAGTAATGATCAACGAAATTGATGGTTGTTGCGGAGAAAAGCTGACTATAAAATAGTCTTAGATTCGAAACGGCCCGTGCAAAAGACCCCGGTATCCACGACCAGCAATGACAAATCGGCAATAATCGCGAGCCTGTGAGAACGGGGGCTGGACGCGCCCACCACAATACTCCATATTCGTCCTTGTTTGTTCTGTTAAAGGTGCTCCTGGCTTAGGCATGCAAGAAGCTCAGTATGCAGGGCCCTGGTTTCGTGCTAAAGACGTGGGCACCAAAGTAACCTGAACATTGTCGGATGGAATTCGCAGTCCCGACACTAAGCAGCTGAACATCCGTATTCGCCTAGCGTACGGAAAGATCCCCGACGGCCGTGTCCGGCTTTTGCGGTCAATGGCCCTTGTCCCATGCTCAATAATTTGTCCCGGGGGTTCATGGGCGATATCTATCAACACACCCTTCCAGGAATAGTGCTCTGTATATGGTCGATAGTTGAAAAACAACGGTGAACGTCCAGATCTGGACTCCACTATACAGTCTTCTAGCCGTTTCTACGAATCTTGCAGCACCATCTTTTTCCTACTTCCTTTCCGAGCTGCAGGATAGGCCAGCACCGGAACGCCGAGGCTCGCAAATCATCAGTATAGACCATTTATTCCTTGCACCGATCAGCTGCTGGAGGCCCATCTAGCTGCATTGCGTGGACGGGCTGCAGACTATCTAACGATGATAGCGACCATGGATAGCGATCCCAGAAATATGAATTGCACGGCTTACGGCGTACATGGAATGATATCCTTGCCAATCAAATGGTCGATTATATTCGATCTGCGCTTTTATTCCCTGTTCTTTCCTGTCTTGTCGCCGCTCACTCCTTAGAACCTGGCTCACGGAGTCGAACATCTCACCCGATGGTTCCTGCTGGGCTTCCAGATCATCGCGCTTTAAAAAAAATTTAATCCTTCGGCAGCAGATCGCCCTAGTTCCCCGGGAAGTGGGTAATAATTGGGCGCCTTGGTAAACACAGTTCACGCCTTCGCCTAGGCACTTAGCAAGCGATTCGTTGCATATACGGGATCCCATTCCGTCATTGGCCATCGCAAGGAAGATAGTCCCTCATTAAGATACTGCTTACCACTTCGACGAATACGAGTTGCCCACGGCATACCAGGGTCAGTCTTTCATTGCTTTGACCAATGGTTTTCCGCACGGCCGTCATACTGCGTCGTCTGCAGAACTAAAAGGGACCCATAGCAAAAGTGGCTCGTCTACTGGAACCTTACTAGTAATTGTGATGGTCGCGCAAAGTTCCGGACAGTGTACAGACCAACACACTGGGCACTAGGAAAACCTACGCTTCTTTTGTCAAATACGGGAAAATTGGGACCTCGGAAAAACTCATGATAGAATAAAGATTTCTAAGATTCGGGGATATATACGGCTGGATCCTGTCAGGGACGCAGTGTTGCTGCATGTCTGAATTTTTCACAATGCCACACACATACGCAGTGGGCACGCACAGGCTCTCACAAAAGCATCGACCAGCCCGTTTCCCCAGATCCATTTCTTTTCTTGCACGGCCACAGGCAACTATAGAGTGCCAATAAACACTTGATATTTTACTGCTTGGCTTAGGGTTAGTACCACGCTCCTGTCCATTCTTCCTCCTTCCGGGCTGGTCATCAGACACGCTTACTTCGCGTTTCTACAAGGTCACTACTCCAGTTGCTTGCCTTGCCGCTACTTGCGCCGGTGTGAGTTGTGCTACGATCTGGTTGGGCAGAGGTGGGCAGTCCCCTTTTCTTTTTCCTCCTTCATCTTGACTACCTTTTTCCGCGCTTCGGGACCCTCCTCAGACAATTGCTTTGTGGTCTGCCTCTGAAAATCGTCAAAGAGAGCTAACGTATGCATATCGCCTCAGCCAGCTACTTCGGTAGGTTGGAACAACCGCCCACGTCAGGTCATGTTATTTGCACCTTTGGCCTTAAAGGAAGCATCTCAAAACCTACCGCCCACAGTTAACCTGTGGACTTTGGAAAATCTTTGGCGCTGGGTATACCGTTACGTAGTACATGGCCAAATTGTCCCAGCGGGCTTCTGACCCCTGTTAATTGTTCTTCCCATATCGGGCCTCATCATTCCATCTTTCCTTCTAAGTTGACGAAACCTTGCTTGACCGATTTCGTGTTCCCTATCGTGGATGCCTAGCCCGCGAACACAACGGGAGATCAGCTTCTGGCACTTTTCAGTGAGAGCAGGCCCTAGAAGAAAGAAAAAATTATACGGACTTCCAAACGTCCGCACAATTTGCATAGATGTCTCGAACCCCGCTACCGCATTGGATGTATCCCGCATCCAGTGGCCAACCGTCGGATGCAAGATCCTACGCCGCTGGTGACGATCACCAGATGTTGACGATGCCAAATCGATTCCACGCTTTGGAAGATCCCCCACGCTTCCTTTATCCTGACAATCAGGGCTACGCTCCGGGTTATATACATCCCGCATCAAACTCCAGAGCTTCTTATCACGCCAGAACTTGGGACAGTCTCGCAGACCCCAAATTTAATCCTACGCCAATACCGGCTGCCAATCATAGTGCCTTTCCTCCATATGGGGCCCAAAGGTCAAATACCATGAGAGGCGTGGAGTATGCCTCCGCCTCAACCTCTGTCTCTAGCCCTTATCAGGATTCCTCCAGTTACAGCCGCGGTTCTATTGGTTCTATTTCCGGGACACGGACAAATGACGTGGAGTCTCAGTATAAACCCCCTTCTTTTTCCATACAAGCAGCCCTAGTCTTATCTGCCTGGAGTTATGATACCATGATCGTGGTCAAATGTGCATACTCCCGCTGTCTCGCCTCGAGCTGTGGTGCTTCGTAACTCCCTTGATAACCATTATGCTAACGTGATTCGTACAGGTACAGTAGCAGCTCAGCAACCTTTCCAAGCCCCGTTCACTCTGAAGAGAGCTCAGCAATGTATCCTGCGCTTGCACCACCCATAAAACCCCAGGTACAACAGCATCAGCGACACACCACGTCCAGCATGCCTTCTGGGTTCGAAAGATTGCTTCACCACTCACCAACTCCATCACCCCCGCCACGAAGAACCTCCACAACATCACGCTATCACCTCTTCATCCGACAACAGCCCATCGCAGCCCGGGCTTGTGGTGCCGGTGACCGAGACCGCCGCCCTGTAGACCCACCTCCAATCCTCCAGTTGCTGTTAACGGACTTTGACCCCAGCACATCAGATGATATCGATGTCCTTCAAGATCCTCGCTTTACCGTTGGTTGCTTCTTGGTTCCCGAAACGCGGGGTTCGATCTCGTCCGACATGGATGGTGATAGTGCACTTCGAGAGGACCGTCTCGGGACTGCTCCTGGTCAATCTACACCATTGCTTTCGGGGAAAGCATTTGTCTCACCTTTCTTTGTCGATGAAGATCCAGACCCAGCAACTGCTCCTAATCATCCATCAACGTATGATTTTCACCTACCGGAAAAAAGGATGCAGCTCGCCCCGTCATCATCCAACGGAGCCAAACAGCCCGCAGCATTTTTCATATTCTCCGATCTCTCCGTGCGTACAGCTGGACTGTATCGCTTGCAGTTCCGGCTCATGAACTGGGGCCTCGTTGAGGACACAGGACAATCGATGCCCGTCCTTGCCGAAGTATGGTCTGATCCTTTTCGCGTCTTCCCTGCCAAAGACTTTCCCGGGATGCGAGACTCCTCACGTCTCACGGAAGGTCTCAAGGAACTAGGTTTTGTCGAACTGAAAACCAGGGGGAAAGGAAAAGGGAAGGGCCGACGGAGGTAACTTAGAAGCGAGACGGGATATGATACGGATGAATGAGTGTACGCAACGCTGGTCGGGAATCTTACGAATTGGGTTGATCTGCTTCTCGTCTTTTCTTTTCTTTTCTTTCCCTCCCCGCTCCGGCGTTCTCTACCTCTTCCTCCCTCTCTATTGCATATCGTGGTCATTTTTCTCTTCTATGACATCGTCGCTTGATCATGTATGACGGAAATATGAATATGGAGGAATATATATGATGCTATTACAAGGTTATATTGATATGATATGGAGTTTGGATCGGGCACTCGAGTATAAGAGATGCAGGTGCCTACGCCGATGTTGATATTGATTATGGGAATCGACAGGAGACTATATATGCCACCAGTCATAAGAGTTACATTAGTCTATACATGGTAATAGTTTATAAAGACGCCTACTTATTATAGACCCCTCCCTCACTTAGTGAGTTGTGGCTGGATACTGATTGCTACGTTAGTAGTATGGAAGCCTCAGATGTTTCAGATGGCCAGTTATGTTGGTTGGTAATGGGATATCAATATTCCATTCATATTACGGCAATGCCGAGTAGTTATAGTAGTACTATATGATAGTCCTAATCCTCTCCAACTATCTTTCTTATAGACCATCGTGATTGTATCTGTCGGATGGTAAAGATGCGTGGTACTAAATAGTATTTACCGATTATATTACAGATACTAACTGATTATATATCATGATGATGAACTTTATAGTACTTACTACGACTATATAGATCGAGTTGCTAAACTTACCAGAGCCCAGCCCACCATCGTAGGAATGGTGATACCAACAATGAGGTTTACTTGCATTCAATACTGCTCGAATAGGAGACGGAATGCCAGAATATAAAGTGCAAGAACTGGAATGAGACAATTAAGGGTGAAGTGGCCGGGAATGACAGTTCGTTGGGCGGAGTCAAAGTCGGGCGGCGCCGTGGCTCCGCAGGGAAATTCTCGTGGTACCGTTCCTGGCCCGTCGGTTAGTCTCACTGCAATTAGTAATGACGAATGCAATAATCAAAGCTTTCCTATTAGTCTCGGGTTGTATGAAGAGGAGACTATAACTACGAAACATGAGAGAGGTGGAGATTTCACAGCTCTTCGAAAGCCGACCGTCCTGATAAATCTACCAGTGCCTATGACGTGCCCGTGCCCGGTTTACAGGCCGGGGCCATAAAAGCAAACAGATCCACGTCCATATCCAGCTTGTTTCAACATTGTCCATTCAATGCGATAATAATGTACACTCGCCGCCTTTTTCCCGCTTTCCGGTTTATATCAGAACAGTCTTAAGAGATATATGACGGAGAAAAGAAAAGAGATAGGATAAAAACACACACACACACACACACAATACATGACGGAATAAGAAAAAGGGTGGTGCGAGACAAAACTCCAGCATGATGAGATGCAGTCCAATCACAACGTCCAGACCATCCAGGTAGCCTCTCCCTCTTCCCTTTCCCCCTTCGCTCATCCGCTTAGAACGAAGGAGGAGGTGGGAAGATGAAAGCTTAGGGTGACCCGGTAGCATTAAAAAAAGTCCCCGAAAGCAGAGAGTAGTATAGAAGTCCCAGTTTAGTCCATAGTGGCCTTGGCGCCCACGGCCTTGAGGGTCTCCACGATCTTCTCGGCCTCCTCCTTGGGCACAGACTCCTTCAGGACCTTGGGAACGGACTCGACGAACTTCTTGCTGTCGACCAGGGACAGGCCGAGGAGGGTCTTGATCTCCTTAATGACCTTAGCCTTGGAGGAGGCGTCAACGGACTCGAGCTTCAGGTTGAAAAGGGTCTTCTCCTGCTGGGCGGGAGCAGCCTCCTCTTCCTCAGCAGCGGCGGGAGCGGCGGGAGCAGCGCCCACGGCGAAACCGCCAACGGGCAGGTCGGGGATGTTCAGGCGGGTCTAGAATGACAATGTGCATGTCAGTATCGAGCTCAATGTGATTCGACAAGCGTCAATCCATCACAATGGATGGAATACAGCCTTAAACGGGCACGATGCGGAGTTTGCGACACAGATCCGGGGATGCAAAACAACGCACCTTCAGGGTGGACACGAGGTCGGCGGTCTCAAGCAGGGTCAATTGGCTGATCTGGTCGACAATCTGGGTGATCTTGGGGTTGGCAGGAGCAGCAGCAGCCTCCGCCTCAGTGGATTGCCATCTCCGGCTGAGTGTGCGCTGGGACAGGTATGTCGTGGGAGCAAGGCGCAGAGAAGCGGTAGGGCGGACGATCTGTCTGCAGCAGCGAGCTGCGGCCTGGGCGGAAACGGACATGATGGACGGAAGGTGAGGACGAACGGAACGGGAACAGGGAGAGACGTAGGACCGTGGGGGAGGGTGACCAAGGGATTGAAGCTGCTCGAGATATCGAATTACTCGAAGAAGGCCTTTGCGGGAAAAGAAAGTCGAGCGTCGGCCCGGAAAATCCAGTCGCATCACGTGATGTGACTGACCGCCCGCCTATCGGTGCTGCTGCTTATACAAAGTAGATTATCTCCAATATGGAACGGCCTCGAATAATTACAACATTTTACTCTAAATTCAAAGTGGAGACTGGCCTCACTGTAAACAGTTACCTTGACTTGGTCCAAAGTATCCACATGAACAAAATTACTACCACTACTACCACACAAAGCATTATACACTCCCGGGCATGCCGGGTTGACGTTCATGATTATCGTGTCTCTATCACATTTTGAGTTTTAGACCACATTGAAAATACCGCTCTTCGACGCCTCATATTTAGTCCTCGTCCCAGTTGGGGTTGGGACCCGGGGGCTTGGGTCCACCTGCCTGTCGAGCAACGATAATCTGGTCGACGCTGAGGACTGTCCGGGCGGACTCACTCGCGAGTCTAATGGCCCAGCTCTTAGATGCAAGCAAGTCCAGAATACCTTCATCCACAGTGTCAAGAGTGCCGGTCGAAGAAGGTCCCACCTCCAGATCGACACCAGTAGTCCAGTAAGGCTCCTCTTCGGAACTACCTTCTTCCTCCGACTCCTCTGACGATTCGCCATTGGCGCTCGTGTGATGGTGGGCAGTGTAGAGACGAGAGAGAACCTCAGTAGCGTCCAAGCCAGCGGACTCCGCCAGAGTACGAGGGATCACCTCGAAAGCTTCGGCGTACTTGCGGATAGCGTGCTGGGGCAATCCGGGGGTGCGATCGGCGAACGCAGAGATCTTCTCAACAAGCTGGATCTCGGTAGCACCGGCGCCAGGGACCAGACGGGGGTCCTTAGTGATAGCTTTGACGGCGTTGACACCGTCGTCAATGGCACGCTCGACGTCATCCAGGTGGTTCTGGGTGGCACCGCGCAGGACGATAGTAGATGTGCGAGTAACAGCATTGGAATCTTCTTGACGGAAAACAGTGACACGGTCTCCACCAATCTCAGTGGTCTCGACGATGTCGATAGAGCCCATCTCATCGGGCATAGGAGCACCCAGACGAGCGAGAGGAGTGGCACCCACCACGCGGCAGAGACGGCGCAGCTCGAACTTGGACAAGATCTTGACAACAAGGATGTTGAAACGGTTCAGGTAGTGCATGGCGAGATCACCGATCGTGGAACCGCAAACAAGGACACGAAGGCCGGAGTCGTAAAGCTCCTTGATGGCCGCTTCCAAACGCTCCTCCTCGCCCTTCGAGAAGTCCAACATCTCCTGCGCGTTCTTGAGGAGCACAGTACCCTTGGTCTCGGTCTGAGAGATATCAATGGGGCAGCTGAAGACACCGACCTTGGCCTTCTGCGCCTTCTTGACCACACCATCAGGCTCCCGACCAAGAACCATACCCTTCACAACGCGGGACTGTTCCAAGCTACCACCCATGATCTTCACAACGCGGACGTTATCAACGTTAAGGACGGGGTTCTTGGGCAGAACGGCGAGGACGGCCTCGGCAACCAAGGAGGCCAAGATGTCTTCGGTTCCAGATTGCTTGCTGGCGACAACGGTACGGAGAGCCTTGCTCAGTTCGGTTTGAGAGCGAAGGTCCTGCAGGCGATCAACTTCGAGGCCTACAGATGAATCCGTACGTTAGTAAGTGGGAGAGAAGAGATCAGGATAGCCAATGGACCGGTAGCCCCTGAATGTGGTATAGAACGTATAGTCCGAGAACAACGCACCTTCCAGCACCTGAAGAGCGAAGTTCTGTGCCTTCTCATAACCCTGCGTGATATCACTTGTCTTCAAGCCCATCCGCAACAATTCCTCAGCCTTCTTCAGCAACTCTCCCGCCAGGATAATGACCATGTTGGTACCGTCACCCATCTCCGCATCCTGCTGTTGACTGGCCATCACGAGCAACTTGGCAGCGGGGTGCACAACGTCCAACTCGCGCAAAATCGTAGCGGCATCGGAGGTGAGGATCATCTTTTGCAGGTGGTTAATGACGATCTTGTTGCGACCGTACGGGCCAAGCGACGTGAGGACGGTCTGGGCGATAGCCTGGCAGGCTTCAATGTTGCGGATGACCGCACCGTCTTCGGCATCATGACTATGAAGGGCATCATGTTAGTCAATGAATGGAACAATCTCAGCATTGTCAGGGATTGCCGGTGCCTGATATGAAACTCCCGCCATGGTCGAGGGACCTGAGGGGCGGGACATTCCACCACGGGGGGTTCGCTCACCTCTGATACCCAGGCTTGAAGAGACCAGCCTGGGAAGGGCCAGGCATAGACAACGACATGATGACAAAATCCTTCCACTGGAGTTCCGGGAAGAATTAATAAAAGTAAAGATGGGGGACACTGCCACGACGCTGTCCTGAAGCTGTTCTGGGAATTTTCGACGGAGCTTCGAGACGGTCTGGCGGCGGTTGTTTGTTTGGTTTGCACCCGGAGGGGCTCTCTCTTTTGCCTTTTTTAGTAAACCATCACAACAACATCACTACCGTACTACCGACGCTTAGAAGATAGTATTCTTCTACCTCATAACGTGATGGTGCACTGTCCCTGCCTTCTTTTGTATACAAGATGAGATGATTTCACTAGGTCACCCCGGCCTCCTACACAGAGACACATCTTTTATCCCCTCGCAATCAAGCTTGTCAGGCTGTTGCTGGATGCAGGATGTCTCGCACTGACTGAGCTCTTACAACCAGACCAGAAAGGGGAGAGTAGAGATGCAATAAGAGTGTCAATGAATTCCGCGGGGACAGTCACAGACATTATGCGCGGTGCATACTTCCCAAACTCTTGGCCTCGTGCCCCATTCAATTGAGAACGGAACTATTATTTAGGTGCTCTTCTGGATCAGAGGTATTTCAGTGAGTTTTGATCGCTCCTGTCATGCAAGTTATTGCACTTCTTTGATAGTGACTGCCCTTGGGTTCAAAGCACCATCATTAGAGGCCATACACAGAAAGGAATACAATAGCTCCTATTAGCCAACCTTGTCTCCTACCCTCTGGCCTTTCAGCGTACTTCAGGAGCATCCTGGTAAGGATTGATGCTCGCTCCTCTTCGTTTCAAGAGAGAGATGTCCCAAATGGAAGCAAGAATATAATCGTAAAAATTGAATTACCTTTGTGCCCTATGCTCTTCTCGTTTTCAGATTCGGCCGCTTCATACCAGTGCCCATACTGCTCTACACCCCGAATGACAGGATAGACATGGCTGAGCTAAACTCCGTGGACATCATTGCAAATCAGAATCCTACCAACGTATTTGATGAAGTTCATCAGCATGAATGTAAACAAGTACCGTCAATGAACCACCGTAATTTGTCCAGCATTCCATCTACCCCGGACATATAAAACAGTGCTCTTATACTCACCCTACCTTAACTCATTCCATCCAGCCTTGCGATATCAACTACTACCATCACTTCCTCAGAAATTCTACACACATATTCCCACAATGCACTCCGTCGGTTTGTTCTCACTTCTAATAACCCTATGCACCCTCCTCCTCTACTCTTCCCCAGCCCAAGCAAGCCCCCAAGCCACCACCATCCAATCCGACCACAACAACCCCCTCAATTGGATCCAGAAAACCCACGACCGCCTCGGCAACTTCGACGGTAGCATTTCCAATGGCTTTCCTCTACTGCAAACAGCATATGAGATGTACCAGCTCTCCAAGAACTTGGAAATGCATACGTAGAACACCCCAGCATTCGACGACGACAGCGCTACCCTTTACAACGGAACAATCGAGTTCCGAACAGCTGCTTCGGATCTTGTTAATCGCTTTTCTACCGAAGTATCTAGTCCATATTATATTTGAATACAGTATATACTCTATAGGCTTGACTTGGATTGTGACTTACGTTGTGGGTATTGTCTAGGTTCCTCATTTCCGCAACATGAATGCATTGCCCGTGGCTCGCGCGGTCCTTCAATACGTTCATGATAAGAATGCGGCTACTGTGAATGATATGGCATCTAAGGTAACAGAGCCTCATAAAGAGGCTTTCAGGAACGCAACGGGAGATATTGAGGATTATTATGCCGCGGCTTTCCGGACCATGGATGCGGCGAAGGCAGAAAATTCGGGGAAGTGACGGTAGCTTAAGGAAGAGGTGTGAAAGGTATTCTAGAAATTATCTGTATCTGGTGGTTGGTTGATAGCAAGGTTCACCACAGAATGTAATGTTTATTGTAGACTCAAAGAATGCTAGTTCTAAAAAGGGAGGATAACTCGATTCTATCTTGGTGTTAAGAGACATACTGTATACCCCTAGTTTGCTCTGCTGAGTCTCTAAGTATCTCTCTCACACAATCAATATTCGGTTTAGGCAAACACGTTGACCGTCTCAGCCGCAGCTATCTCTGTATGTTTGACCTCCATATTCAGTCAGGTTCGCGCCCCGGCTCGAAGCTGAATTGCAGCAAGAATGGCATACGCAGCAGACCCCCAATGCCATATGCCTGGCGGGCCCGATTTCTCATCTAATTGGCTTTCTTGGTGACAATGCTTCATTTTCTCCTCGATATTGGGCGGGTCGATGAGGTAGTGCCACTGTGTTCGCGGAAAATCTATTGTTAGACGTCACATGCGACACGAAGTTGTATCCTGGATGATCCGGAATCAGAGTCCATACTTCGAGAGGGACTGTTATAAGAATAACGGTAGAGGATCAGCTGCTTTGGAATGTTCCTTCCACTCTGATATCCACGCTGAGCACTTCGTCAGGGATATTGCCAAGCAACCAGGCCTTGACATCCCGTTCGTTAACGTTGTCATTTACCTCAATCGACATAAGAACGCGTGCAGAGGAAAGAGGGCTTGGGCACGATCTAGTGCTGTTCAAAGGCTTCAGCGTAATACTAGGGTGATCCCGTTTGGAAGCATGCATTAAGTATACTGGAATTTGGTTTTGGGACGCATTTCGAAAAAGACAGGCATAAAGCGAAGCAGCAGTGATAGGGGCTCCATTATTGGCTTTCAGGATGCCAATGAGTGAGCGTGTCAAACCGATTTCTGAGTCCGGGTTACTTGTATGCTCCAGAGCACAAGCGGCTATTGCCTCTGGCCCATCCCATACTGTGCAAGGTCTACGTGACCAGCAGTCGGCCGAAATATAGGGTATCCCCTTCATGAAATCGAGCTGCAAGAAATAGATACCTTATGTCCAGTTCGGCCAGCTTGAGGGTCTCACGGCCCCTGTAAGATAATTCTTAGCTAGCCTGAATCGTAGTGTAGTATCGCTGTGGGAATAGGACTCACTAGTTATAAGGATCCAGGTGGCCTGGGCCCTCAAAGGAAGAAAAGCCTGCGAAAATGAGAACTTGCAACGTATTTCTCTTTGCATGAGCAAGCGACCAGTCTTCAATTTCTCTTCTGAGATCACTCCATAGCATTTGTATGGTTATAGCATGTGCTTCGCAATTATATCCATAAACTCGACCGAGGAGGTCCAGTAGCTCAGTTTGTAAGCCTGCGATACCGTCTCCATCTTCTTTTCGGCGCATTGCAAGGACCTCAACATTATCATAGTTACCATCGCTGACAATCGAATGGTTCACTGCTGTCTATAGGCTCGTGGCTAGGCTTTGCAGACTGTGCCGGTTTGGTTTGGTCAAAAACGATTGTACCGACCCTTTCTCGCTCATGGTAAGCGTCGTAGGCTAGTGGATAGGGTGAAATTCTGTTCAAGCTCAACTAAGTTGACCAAACGAAATATAGAGGCTACTTGGAGCAGACGGGGACGTCTCGTCAGACAGGATCTATATAGTTTTATAATAGGGATAGCTTGCAGAGAAGATGTAAGGGTTCAAGTAGAAGGATAGAACAGAGACCAGATATATAAGGACAAATAAAGACTTCAATGAAGTATCTTATTCCCTATATTAAGGACATTCAATCTGTTCAGGGTGACAGTACGTCACAATTCATCAATTTAGACAATTGAATAGGTAAACTTATCGTCATAATATTGACAATAATTTGAGGGATTTAAGCATTCACAAAGTTATAATCGGTAGACGAAAGGTACTCAATATAGAAAGATACAGCTCTCCACAATAGGAACTCAAGGAATATATCGCTGGCCACTCCACCAGATAGGAAGATGAGTATGTCTCAACATAAAAGTAGATATGTCCAAGCGCTAGTGCGTATTGGGTATGGTTCAGGCTTTCCGGTTGTAAAGGCCACAATATCTTGGCCAAAGACGACGCACTCTCATGTTATTTCCCTCCCACCAGACTTACTCCGCACGCCTCTCCTCCAACATCTTCAATCACAGGATTTCAAACACCCAGCAAGCTAACCTCTCACTCTCCACATAAATCCCAAAAAGCACTCGATAACATCACTTCAGACCAGAATTCAGTCTATGACAACTCAACCCTCTCACATTCTTCCAGTGGCCTCAGATTAAACGCCTTATACCCGCCTTGCCAACTCAACCCGACCCTTTCCCGCGCATACTGCCTCATCTCCTCCTCATACCTCGCGACGACATCCCCTTCACCCATCGTTTCCCTCCCACCCTCCTTGGCCTCCACCATCCTCTCAACCAGCACCGCCGCATCTCTCAATGCCGTATTCACCCCCTGCCCACCAGTGGGCGGCATAACATGAACCGCATCCCCAAGAAGCGTGACCCTCGAATTACTCTCCCAAGCCGGCAAATCCGGCCTAACAGACGCCATCCTCAGCGTTGAAGTCTGCTCGACATCCTGCTCCTCCAGCAAAACCCTCACAGAGGGATGCCAATCACTCGTCAACTCAAGCGACAACCGAGCCGACTCCTCCCCATCCAACCTGAGAACCTTCTCATCTGGCATATTCACAAAAGACCGATGAACAAGCAACACCCAATACAGATAATCCTCCGGCAACTTAACGCTTCCTCCCTCAAATTCAACGTCACCCTTCGGCATCCTCATCGGCTCAAACAACAACGTCTTCGGCGCCTCCCTCAAATCCCTCGCAAGCGACATCCCCCTCCTGGCGCATTCATTCAACCTCCCCTCCACATCCTCCGTGATCCCCGTCTTCCCAAAGATCATTCTCATCCCCGTATCCACAAATGGATACCACGGCACCAACTGCCTCCTAACCCGCGACCTCGCTCCATCCGCACCAACAAGCAACCCTCCAACCGCGGAACTCCCGTCCGCGAAATGCGCGACTACACAATCATCCTTCACCTCATACCGCTCGAACCGCTTCCCGAAATGCACATTCTCCTCCCCAAGACCCTGCAGAAGGACCTCGCGCATCGTCCCCCGGTCCACAGTGTACGGTCTGGCTCCGTGGATCCCGGGCGGCGGACCACCACCACCAGCGGGGAGGGGTTCTCCGGTCAGTGCGTCGAGTCGGACTCCGACACCTGGGAGACCGTCATCCAGGGCAGCAGTTTTCTCGAATAGGGACCATATTCCGGGGGTGAGGAGGGTGCGGAGATCTTCTTGCGACACGCGTAGTCTGTAGCCTTGGGCGCGAAAGTCTTGCTTTGCGTCTCGTTCGAAGACGCTGAAGGGGATGTTGTGCTTGCGGAGACCTTGGGCTAGGGCGAGGCCGCCGAGGCCGCCGCCGGCTATCAGGACGCGGTTGGACATGATGCTATGGGGTTGGAGGTGGATAGGTGAGTCGTAGTGATTGTAAAAGAAGGTATAAATGACTAGAGATGTAGAGATAGAAATGTAGAGTATTGTAGGTTTGTTCATAGGTAGGCACATCAAGGATCTATATACAAAGGAGGACTGGTTTAGCGTCGGTGGTTGATTGGGCCCGACTCACCGATCAAGCTTAGACGGCGTTGTAGCTCCGATTGACCGTCTTACTGGGGTTGAGTTATTAAATCTCACATCAATCTGTTTAGGAGCTAGTAGTTATTTGATAAATGGCATAACTCATTGCCAGAAGGTAGACTTCTCATAGTAATTCAATGCAAACAGAGTGGAGTATCCCGAAAGAAATAGTCGCGTTTTTGCCAGATATAGTCGATACCCGACAGGCCGTGAGATAGGTACATGCTAAATCGCTCATATCACGCTATGCCTTGTGCGGATCCGATCCACAGTACTGGGATGGAAGGATCTCAGGTATGACAGGACAGGAGAATTGATTATAGTAATACAGTAATTTATCCTGAAGTAATTTCAGAAGAAGTATTCGCCGTCTGAGCTGTCATCATGTTGGAGTTGTTCATGGCGGAGTCCGCCATGATGACCTCTCCCATGATGGTTTCTGATAGCAGGGCCTCTTCCCTGAGGCCCTGCGTAATGGTCGATTGCGTCGGTAAATTCAGGAACTGGGATAGGAAGGTTGTTAGTCTGCTGTATCTTCCAGTGGACGGGTGTTTTGCTGGCGCTTACTGTAACCTCTGACCATATGGCATCCGCTGTTTTCATAGAGGGCTTCAGCTCTGTAGAGCCTGTGATTTGGTTAGCATGGCTGGGGGTAGAATCAAACAGATCGATATTTACCTTTCGCTCATGGATTGCATTCGGTTGAATGCCTTTTCTGTCGTCAGTTGTGTTGTCTAATGATGGATGTGGCAATGCTATCTTACCGATGGATGTGTTGACATAAACTCAGGCACACGGACTCTTTCAGACTTGTGCATGTGGTCCCAGCTGGGTGTTTGTTAGTTTGAATGAAGAGAATATGTGCAACTACCACACTGTTTACTCACAAGTCAACTACAGCACGGGGATTGTAACAAGCCTTGGCCATTAGCACTAGCAGGGGTTAGTAGGACAGTTAAACATGAATGTCGAGCATGTCATACTCAGCCCGATATTGTCTGCCTCAGCCTTGTAGACATGTTAGGTTATGTTCATCCCATTCATATGCCGTGAGTCACTTACCTCCTGCACCCGCGTGTTTGGCAGATTGACAGACCAGTCCAACATCTGGGACGCGAAATGTCCGAAGGTGCCAAACAGATATACCAGCCCGTAGGTCAAAATGACACTAGGAACAGAATGGCTCATCCGTTCAGCCTGGTGATGGGCCAGCACATGAGCGATTTCATGGCCCAGCACCGCCGCAAGACCATCAGAATTTCCGCAAACCGGCAAGATGCCAGTATACACGAATACCTTTCCACTGTAGGATATATCCATCAGCCAAGCCATCACAGTGTTGCAATGTATGTGTTCCAGAGGTAGTCGAAATGCCTTACTTCGGAAGGACAAATGCGTTCTGCTGCGACATATCGTTGATAACGTGCACCTCCCAGTTCGTGCCTTGTACGGGGGTATGAGCGATCAGCCGCTCAAAAACTCTGGTCACTTCTTCGGATATATAGTGCGACGGAGGTAAGATCATTCCTTCGGCTCTTTTCAGGAGTTGTTGGTATTCATTGTCTCCCATTTGCCTCTCGAGGTCGTCCGATACACAGTTGAATCGAGTGCGGCCGGTCAGCTATAGGACGGAGAACATTAGCTTTGCAAGCAGCACATGGCTATGGAGCAGGCGAAGCAACGCACCTCCACAGTCTCGAGGTTATAGACATAGAAGCTTCCTCCGACGGCAATGAGTGCGAGCCAGGCCTGCCAATGCTCGCCATCCTGGAGTTTCGGAAACTGTGGTTCATTGAATCGATTATACTTCGCGCGGCTGCGGGCGGACACGGAGAAAGACCGAAGCCGCGATTGACCGGAAATGCGTCTCGAGGGCAGGAAGGCCGGTGAAGTGGTCCCACGAGTTCTTGACGACAGACGTCGTGTCAAAGTTGTGGAGCGAGGAATGTGAGAGGGGATGCGGGTAGAGTGGAGGAGCGAGGAAGCCGTGGCCGGCTGGGGCGATACACGGAAGAACGCGCGCACTATCGGGAGACGAAACATGACAGTCCGCTTCGCATGGTATGCGACTGGATTTGAAAAAGAAGAAAATTCAGCTTAGATGGCAGGAGGTCTGCGAAAACAAAGGCCAGCATATTTGCGCTGTCGGAGGTGTCCTTAGCTGCATACGATAGGTAAGCATCGGACTCGACGCTGGCCAATGAGCGGTGGGCGATTCCGGAGGCACAGCATGCGCCTGCAGAACCGCCTGATTGTGTATAGAGGGTCATAGAGAATTAAATGAGAGATAATATGGTGGTGAACTCATTGTAAGCTTCCAGAACAGAAGAACTATTAGCTATGTTATCATTGTCGTGATGACATCATTGCAAGGCAGCACCGAAGCCGGCCCCGAGATATATAGTATTCATTTAACACTCACTATGAACTTACTACTAGTTCGAACGGACAACGAAGTCGAGCATAGTGGTCAATAAACGATATCCAATAGTATGACCTTTGAGTCTATCGCAAAGATTCCTACATTTCTACAATGATGATAAATTTAGTAACTATCACTCATAGCATCTGCATCAATCTGCCTGATCATCAATCAACCGCGGGAACCTTCAACCAACTCAGGTAGAGCCAACCCCACCCAGAATGAAAAAGCCAAGTCCAAGCTACTTACACCAGAGTCCATCTGCAAGCCATATCTCCAACTTAACCCAAGTTAATAATAGTATCAAGCACATTTCCCAAATACCGGAACGCACTTACATCCAACGGCCGGAACAGTAGCTTCGACTCGACAGTAGAACTTACAATAAACTCATAACCAATGGTGACCTCTACAATCTCCCATGATGAAACATTTCCCTTCATTCCTGAAAGACACATCATACAGACTACCCACCACTACCAAGTCACAACCGTTATTCTTAGAAAAAGCTGTCCAACATAGGCAAAGACCCATCCAGCCGGGTACACCCAGCGCCTGAAATCCAGTAAATCTCGCCACAATCCTGCCCGCTGACCTATGTGCTACGTTTATTGTAGCAAGTCCAGCCTTACCAGAGACCCAATACCAATGATTATCCCAGCGGCTACATGCAGAGCGTCAAAGGTGTGGATCTGATGAGAAGTTCGGCAAGCGAGGCTGAAGCAATAGTGGCATCAGATATGCATGCTATTTCTGGAGATTAAGATAATGGAATGAACTATTAATTGATGAAGGTTTATCCCGAGGATGCTTATCCGATAGTATGATCTCATGCATTTTTAGATGCTAGTATGGGGTGAATTTAATCTTAGATACCTTACCCCTCATTTAGACGCCGGGGAGGGTCTACGGAGGAGGACGGCGGCTACTATGTACATCTGACTGACTGGACGAGGTGTGATCTGATACTGAGCGAGATTCTGATTGGAAGATGCCTGGGTTTCTATTTTGGGAGTTATACTTCGTTAAGTATCTAGTACTACTAGACTGCGTCTGGAAATGGGTTGAAGATCTGGATCGGATCCGGGCCGCTGGACGGTAGAAGTGTAATGGGGGTGTTATTTCTTTGTTTAGCTTGTTGATCGACTAGATCATGCTCAGCCGCCGGGTCTTTTTGGGATGCGGTTTGCTGGGTAATTGGTTCCTTTTTTACGTAGGTCTATCTATATTAATGTTGCTATAAATGTGGGTGAAGCTAATGTCGAATCATAGTTAGGATCCACATTGTCTTATGTTTCGTTGCTAGAAATAGATGTCGATTGAGATAACTACAGAGGATTGTAGGGATCTTGTGAGATGGAAGCACATAGAAATGAAGTAGGAAATAGAAGGGTGATGATGCAAATCAGAAGATAGCATTGCTAGGTGTAAAGAGGTTGAAGCAATTTGCGCGTGCATAGCACTCGCTCCGAGATTGCCTCACATGCGCACATAGAGTTAGGCTACGAATCTCTATCATAATGGTACTTTCAATAGATTAGTTGCTGAGTTGCTGCAATTTACTGTAAACTCTACTTTCCATGTGGCTAATAGTAAATCTAATCCCATTCATATTTTCGATCCAGCAATTAGGAAAGCTTCCAGGTTGTATATCATGAGTCAGATTATCTTTATGCTCTACTTGGCAGATAATGAATGCCAGAGATGTGCCGGTGTATAGTTTAGCCACTGCATAATAAGGTAAGCGTCTGTCAAGCAAGAACACCAAGACAACCATGTTTGCGCTCTATTCGCCTCGCACAGATCAATAGAGTCAGGTCTGCGGTGGTTCGCAAGATCCATCGCAAAGATAGAACCAAAGCCATGCAGCAGCACTTAGTTACAGACTAAATTTCCCGAACAGGAAACTCTACATATCCAGGCAGTTTGGCGTCACGCCAAAGACCGAGAAAAGCAAGCATGGAAATTGTTGTAGAACCCCACTGGAGAGAGCGACTAATTTTTATCTCACAGAGTAGATTAATAACGGTGTATAACTGCTTCTCGGAGATATTCGATGAATTGACCATAATTTGCCGAAGTCATGAAAAGCGCGGTGAGTGAATATACTAACCCAACTGAGAAAGAGACAGACGTAGCCCAGGTGACTCGGTGTGATAACTGCACAGACTGCATGCCAGGCACGCTGCAAGCACCTGACTTGCCGGGGTTGGGTTGGCTTTTCGACCATGCAGTGATCTGCATCGGGGAAGCACACCAGCCAGAGAATTGGCGCTGTTCGCAAGTTCCTCGCTTGCGATGCAGTACATTGCGCACAGAAATTGTCGAGCAGCATAAATCTAATGTGAACGTGGACAGTAAACCGGGGGAGATGCATTGATTTGGATGTTAGGGAAGGGATGGTGATCTCATAGATTTAGGATAGAGGGGTACAAGCACTAGTACTAGCATCGAGTCGACTCGAGGGATTCCAGCGGGGGTGGCACGTCCTCTATCATTGGCGTGCCGCTCGTAAAAGACGGCGCCAAGTGATTATACGGCTAGGAGCTATGATTCGTTGAGGGAGACTTTGATGGCCGGGAAAAAGGGACGCTAAATGCTAGCCTGCAGCTGCAGGAATGTGATAAGAAATGGCAGGCGCGCATCGTGATAATCAAGCTAGCACGGGAGTCGGTGACCGTGACTCGCTTCCGACATCTGCCCACTCGGTCTGTGCTGATCGAGTCTGTCAGATGGAGGAGGGTGGGCGTCAAGTACAATTCAAGGAGGGTATGAAGCTATCCTGGCTAGCATGCCAGAGAAAAATTCATGGCGCTTATGAACTCATTCTACGCATGCTCAAAATTAAACGAAAGATGTCTCTGATTGATGCGGCATAATGGGCGGGAATTCAAGAGACATCGCACACTTGTTGCCGAATGTGACAAGAAGTGTGACTGGGGAGCGTGGGTGCAGAAGCAGCCAAAGTTAAATTTTTAGTCCCCAGTTGATGATTGCTCTCCACTTTTTAGTCCCGCTGTCAGATCTTCGAGCGGACCACGGATCATGGGACTGTTCAGGACCGAGTCATGGCCTGCTTAATTATTCCGACCACAAGCTAATTATGGCAAGCTTGTTGTGGATAAACCAAGAAAGAGAGAGAGAGAGAGAGGCGCCGATAAGAATAGTCCCATTTAGCGCTGGGAATTGAGGGGATGATTCTTCTGGGCGGTTAAATAATAACAACAAAAATAAAAAAAACCCAAGCAGACAGCCAACCAAATGCTGGCAAGCAGGGTCTTGGCCTGGATCGCGAGGTTAGCGGCATCTGGTCACATCTTGGCAGAGGGATATCACTGGTTGCACGGGGCCCTTCAGGCCCGACCCACTGCAGCCCGGTTGGCTGCGGGTTTCCCGCTCTGCAAGCAACCATGTCGGGGGCGGCCAATCCCCGTCCAGTAAGGGAAGCTTGGCTCATCCGCGCTAAATTAGCTACGGTTGACTACTGTAGGTGCTGGACTGCCACTTGCACAACTGAATCCCCGCATCGCATTTTGACTCTCGACGAGCTCACCACCACTCACTTGCCGCCCGGCATACTGATTGGCACTCAAGGCACAAGACCCTTGTTCACCAGACAGGGTTGAGATCCCACCTCCCTCGAGCAACTCCTGCCAGTCCGCATTAGCCGGTTGGGTTGACAATGTGCCTGGCATTTTTGCTCTCCTCCCCCCACTCTCCCCAACGGTTGTACTCCCCTCGCCAATGTCGTCGTCCTTCTCCTCCTCTGTCTCCTCCGTCAGCGGAACTACGAAGATGGTGGATACTGATTATGCATTTTCCAGATCGGGTGAAAGTCACTCCCACTACAAAGTAGTACCACGACCGAGTACATCCATCATGCATTGCTTGCGTGCCTGAGGCCTGTGATTGGCTGACGGGGTTATTTGGTTATCATCCCACCTCCCGAATTGCGCGACGGGTACCACTCACTCCTGGTAGCCTTTCCTCAATTGTCATTGTCTCTGTAGCCACGAGTGAGGCCTTTCTGCAGCATTGCAGGAACACTGTAGCACCCGAGTGCAGCACTCCGAGGTGATACTCAACTCCTTGGGTCACCAGGATTTACCGGACGATCGTAGTACAGATGATCCCCCAAGAGACAGAAGATATCGCGACAGAGGGACCAAAAAAAGAAACAGCAAGGCCGAACCTCAGCCAGTCCACCGATCTGTCCCGTGCGAGATTGGTCTTTGGGCAGGCAATTGCGATAGCTCCCATGCCAATCAATTCCCCAGCCGCATAGTGCTCTCTCCCGGCAGCATCCAATCAGTTGCACGGATGGGCTGCATACGCGCCAGGTTGAAGAGCGCGAAAAAAAAAAGTGTAAAGTGTGCTCGCAAATCTCCAAAATTAGCCCAGGCTGACTAGCAGTTCCTTGTCCGTGCATGAAGGGATCCCCACTGCTCCCAGGGATCTCGCTGGCTGTCGTTCTCTCTGCCTTCCCCCCCGCCGCCAATCCCTCGCCGGCTCTCCCACCACCACAATTTCCCCGATCCTGTTCGACCTGCGCTCGGCTGTCGGCGAGGATCTAAAATAGAAACATCATGGCCTGTCTGTCAGAGCTCAACCCACGTTTTAAAGCTTCTTCAATCCCCGCTCTCATGCTCGAATCTGGAATCACTGTCACCAAGCGTTGTTATCTCCCTCCCGCCTCATCCTCCGCCACCGCGCCTTTCGTTCTCTTCTTCTTCTACTTAATTAGATAGCAAAGGCTGCCGGTTCAGCTTTGCCCCATCCTTAATACTCCTGATACCCATTCATCAGCTCGCCAGACGACTGTGTCCTGTCTCTCTCGACGACTTTATCCTGCATATCTATCGGTGTTTTTATATTCCTGCTTAGTACGATATCACATTTCGACATCAAAATGCCTGCCGCAGCAAAGAAGAGGTCTACTCCCGTCCGGATCTCGCCAATCAAGTCCGAAGAGTGCTCGCAGTCGCCATCAGCTAGTGAGGGTACCTCCACGGGGTCTGCAGACAAGAACCAGCTCAAGTTGCACAAGCGATCTCGCTCTGGTATGTTATAGTCTCGATAGCCACTTGGCTCCTAGTCGGCTCTAACCAACACCTGTTACCTGCGTTAGGTTGCTTTACATGTCGCCTGCGCCGAAAGAAGTGCGACGAGAAGCATCCCTCCTGCGGAGCTTGTGTGAACCTATGTGTGAAATGCGAATACAAACGCCCTATCTGGTGGGGAAACGCAGAGCAACGGAGGATCCAGAAGGAACGCATCAAGAACAAGATCAAGCAGACCAAGATGCATGAGCGCAATGGTGCTCTGACAGGTATGTTGTGGTTATCGGAACATGATCGTTCCCCCCTCTGACAGGCTATTGCGCTGCACTTAGATCCCGCCGCTCGCAGTCGCAGTATGGCTGTGACCTCCCCAACCTCTCCGGAATATGAATTTGGTCGCCCTGCCTTTCCGGAGCAGTATGACATCTTCGCTTCACACCTTCCCACTCCGGCCATGAACCAACCTATCTATGCCCCAACCCACCCCTATGAGATCGATGTGAAGACTGAAAGACAGACCTTTGTGAACGATGTCCCCTTGCGCCACGACTCATGCAGTTCGACCTTCAGCACCTTTGCTCCGCCGCAGTTGAATGCCCCGCTTCCGACTTTTCCCAGTGAAGACTGGTTCCACGACGAGTACTTCGCTCAAGTGCCTGCCCTTCCTGGAATCGACCCGGCGCTTTGTGAGCAGAGTATCGGCCAGACGTACGCCATGCTCCAGTCCAATATCCCAGTTAGCGATCATGATCGGCCGCTTCTCGACCACTTCATTCACAATGTCTTGCGCATCATCTTTCCCGTCTTGGAGGCACACCAGCGTGGACATCTCCGAGCCCAGGCCATTCTGCAAGCCTTGGAGACAAACAAGTGCTACCTCCACTGCTGTTTGAGTGTTGCCGCCATCCATCTCAAGACCACGGAAGGACTCGTCGGAGAACAGATCGACCACGATATCATGCGCAATCGCTTCGAGGCTGTTTCGCAACTATGCCTGGCATTGGGTGAAGACACCAACCACGAGGAGATCCTAGATGCGACGCTAGCCATGATTTTCTTCCACTGCTCCGTGGGCCCGGCGGATGATTACCTCCCGGATATTCCGTGGTTCGAGCACTTCCAGGCTGCCTCAAACCTTGTGCATCGGCTTGGGCTTCCGACGGCAATTCCCGCCTGCGGGAACCCGTACATGCTACCCCCCTTCACTATGACTCTGGCTTCGTGGATTGACATTCTAGGATCGACCATGCACGGCAAGACTCCGGAATTCGCACACACCTACCGCGCCAAGCACCTCAGCGGTTCATCTCTGGGACTCCGCGAGCTCATGGGCTGCGACGACCGTGTCATGTACCTGATTTCCGAGATCACCTGTCTGGACGCACTCAAGAGGGACGGCAGGATCGATGAGATGGGCGTGTGTTCGCATGTCTCGGCTCTGGGGCAGCAACTAGAATTCACAGAACCGGTGAATCAGACTCTCGAAAGCCCATTCCTACCAAACGGAGCCTTTTCTCCCGAGATTCTCACCAAGAACATCACGGCCGCTTTCCGCCTCGCAGCAAGAATCTACTTGTGCAGTCTGGTTCCTGGGTTTGACCGAAACCAACCGAGTACCGTCAATTTGGTCGCCGCCGTCGCCAATGTTCTCTACGTCATCCCTTCGGGCCCCGAAGGCTTCGACCGCTCGCTCGTTTGGCCAATCCTGATCGCTGGAGCATACTCAGGACCTGATAGCCACTTCCGCACCGTTCTCGCCGATCGAGCTGCTGCTCTTGGCGAGCACGCCGAACTGGGTAGCTTTGGCCGCATGTACCGCGTCCTGAAGGAGGTATGGCGTGTGTCTGATGAGTCCATCCAACCCATGGAGCCGGTCGAGACCGTCGAACCTGTCGAATCTGCTTCTGCCCCCGAAGAGCGACGGTCCTCGTCCGCCTCCTCATCCTCCGACGCTCCTGTGAAGGCTGAGGGCTCCGAGTCTCCCAAGGAGAGCCTCGTGCCATGGGGTGCGAAGGAGATGAAAAAGCCATTCCTACACTGGCGCGAGATCATGCAGCAGAATGGCTGGGACTACCTTCTTCTTTAAGCTCAACAAGTTTTTTGTGTTTTCTTGGTTGCATTTTATACCGCATCTGTTAACATCCCTTGAAGGGATCCGATCAGCAAGCTGGCTTGAACATTGCATAACCAACCTGGAGAATTGCGGATCTGGTCCCGCCGGGGCGACAAGCATGAACGATTCGAACAGGCAACGCGCGACTGGACATCGTCATTGGGTCCCCTTTCTGAGGGTTCCTTCTGCCTGCTAGCAGTTTTGTTTATTCACTTTTCCGGCAAAAGTCCGAAACCCCTTAGACATCATTAGTCCGGACCAGAACTTTCGGCTCTCTGTTTTATTCTTTCGCTACGATATACCCGGCTGTCTCGCTATCTGCAGGCCGGAAGCGATGATATGCCATGTCTTTTCTCATGAGGTGGAGCGGGAATAACCGCAAGGCGCAGACAGTCATATCCCATACCCCTTGGCCGGCGCAATGGAGCAGGAGTTTGGTTGTTTTTGCATGACAAAATCTTGAAAACCCATATTATGTTGATGTCCTCATGTTTGGTATGATTTATTGATTGCATGTGTTGCTGTTTACTTGTATCTTTGAGTTATGGTGGGATTGGTTAGTTGTATGATCAGAGTATGCCCACGGTTCGAAAACAAAAATTGTCACTCCTTATACCCAGAACATCCAGTCATAGGCCTGCATTTATGAGTAAATATTGAGTCTCGCAGGATATTTGATGTGCTTCGTTTGTCGCTACACAGATTGACCCATTCAAATTCTTGACAGTTCCGCCAGCTCACGCAGTCCACCCGTCCGTTCGAGGGTAAAACATGCGTCCAACTTCTCTCCATCCAGGATGATCATAACTTTCGCGGCGAAGACAGCGAGCCTCACCGACTAGCATACATTGTTGCACGTGACTCGCACTTGTTCGGGATCGCCGTCACCCCTGATGGGCTGGCTCTTGTTGTATCTTTCACTTGGCACGATCTATCACTAGGCAAGATGCCCTGACTAAATTGCTCGTTTGAGAACCTCCCCTGATACGTCGGTGCTTCAAGTTCAGTGCATTCTATATTAACTTCACAATTATTCGTCAATGGCTCTTGCAGGATGTTGTCGTATCTCTGGCGAATTCATTCGACAGCACTGACTGCATTGTGTTACTTCGGGTATCTTGGCTATCGTGCATTCAGCCTCTTATCTCATCTATTCCCGCTATTTATTGGATATCACCCGCCTCAGCCTGAACAACCTGACGATCTTGAGGCTAACCACCCAGCTGATGATGCTACCTCAACATCGAACTGCGACACGTATACTCTGCAGCTGCACCCCCAACCCGACTTAGAACTCTTAGAAGTTGGATCTCCCGCGCAAATCTACAAAGTGGATGATCACATAGTCCTCAAGTCATCCTTGTTATTTGAACCACCTGGAAACAATACCTCTCCTCACGCCCAACTGCACTACGCCACAAACACCCTCTTCCAGTCTAACCAGTTACAAAACGAACGAACTGTCCTACAACTACTCCAAAAACAACCACACCCCCACATCATAGAACCAATTGATACTTTTCATCCAGAGGGTCTCTACCTCCGCAAATACCACCCACTATCCGAGCATAAAATCCCTCCCCAGCGTCATCGGATCCGCTGGTACCGCGACTTCACAGATGCGCTTTGCCATATCCACAAGCTTGGCATTGTCCATGCAGATGTCCGGATCGATAACGTCCTTCTGGACGAACATGACCATGTTATCCTCTCTAACTTTAGGGCCGCCCGCCCTTTCGGTGAGCTAAATCTTGCTTTCCCGATCAACGGTCCCTCGCAGACATCATCCGATAAAACAGATATGTTCGCCTTGGGCTCGCTGATATATCAGATGGAACATGGTGTCAAGCCTGAGTTGTCTGTTGACGTGCATGGTACTTTGGCTTTGCCGAATATACACACTGGTCGTCCTATGCTCGATACCATTATTCGGGATGCCTGGATTGGGAACTACAGCCGTACAGCGGAGATGCTGGAGCGGATTGAGGCTATTGGTATTATTGGTGATGATTCTGGTCATGGATCCCTAACACAGTCTTTATCGATAAGAGTATTGGGAAGTCGGATTCGAGAATGGAGGGAGCGTCGGGAGGATAGGTTTGGTAAGTAATATACCTCGTGATGCCTCACCTACCCCTCTAGATTATTGACATATTGTCCAGGCTGTGTTCTAGAAGGTGTACTATCCGAAGATCAATTACAGGGTCTAGCCGAGCGTCACGGCTTGGATAGACATGCGGGTTTACGATTTGCTGAGTATTGAGCTACATTCTTGTAGATAAGGGAGTAGTGAATACGTAGGTTAAATTAAGTCAACATGTATTCCCACACCCTCCTCCGTCCAAGTGCTGGAGATGCTTCTAAGAACAGGGACGTGTACTGCCCAGCGAAGTTCCCTATATTCCGCAGGGCACACATAGTAGTAGGGATGAAAAACAAAAACAATTGACATGTAGCAGGTTGAAGAACTTGGACTTAGGGTGCTAGTACTTAGCGAGACATGAAGATTTATGGAAATTTGCAAGAGACGCACGAGGGTTCTTTCTATCTTTGTTGTCTTAAGTGCCTTACGAGTAGCATGTGAAACCTTCTATCAAATGACGCAAGACAAAGGAGTAGTATAAACTATAGTAACATCAATCTGCGCGAGGAAGAGCTTGACGGAGAGCCCCATTCTTCGGTAAATTTGATATTGATAATTTTCTTGGACGAGTGCCAAAGGCGTAAGGGTTTAGTGATGAGCGATTGGTTTGATTAATTCTTTCCTTGGTCGTCCAGCGTACGCAGTTTGATTTGTATACTTGTCTAGAGAGGATGGATAGATAAGATTTGTGGGTGGGGGCAATCCTGTTGTGTCATTCAGCCGGCTTATTATTACTGTTAGGTTGGCTGTTCAATTCACGGGGTTCAAATGCTACGGGAGCCGGGCGTGCTTTGGGACTCAAGTTGCGAGGGCGACGTAAACGATTTAGCAGTATAGGAAGGAGGAGTATTAGTCCACAGGAAGTCAAGGGCATACGGTATGCCTTTCTTGTTGGCCTTGAGAAGCGCTCCTTATTAGAAATGGCGAGAGCAGATGATTACTGGCATGGCGCTATTACTTGCAATGAATATATGATCAACTGGATTGTGGCTGTCTTGCTTGCTGCCTTATCGCCATGAGTGGGTGAGGGAAGCGAACAATCAAGTACTGGTTCACGTTCAACTAGGCAAGATCAAGAGACGACTGTTCTGACCTCTAAAGCGCTCACTCCTGGTGGAGTATCAGACGGCTATGATCCCTGTGCAGCGTGAGACATCTGGGTTTGTGCCCCACGTACTGACGGATTAGCCACAGCGCCGAAAAGGTGTGCGCATGTGATGCGGTTGAGCATAATGCCATGACTTGGTCATCTACTTACCTTCTGACTTGAATATGAACTGGGCGTGGTTGGGGTTATATGATCATGTTGGCTTGGTTTACAAAATGCGAGTTGTAGGACTGAGGTGCGGCGTAAGTGGTACGCCTTTGACTGGATTTATTGATGTTGACGGTGGTTAGTGAATGTTACATCACAGATGCGGTGGACCTTGATGATTAGTTTGTGAAGGAGCATCCGCAGCACAGCTTGTACTAGTCAATGGTAAGCCCACAACCCCTCCGATGGATCAATGGCAGGTGGAGGGAATGGATTGGCGTGGAAATCTCTGTAAGTGTCTGACAGGCTGTCGACTTCCCAGTTATTGCGGGACATGAAGCAAGCGCCGTAGATGATAACTACAACCCGAGTGAACCCCATGTGAATGCTTTTCTGCAATCTTACCATGCGGGCACTCGAGTGACATTATAGCCACGGAACTCAGAAAAGCAGAGACGCTGTGGCGTAACCGAGAGCATGATGGGCGCTTCTGTGCTATGATCCCAGTGCAGCGTTACTTTGCACCGACATGAAGTGTTGAGCCCAAGCTCTGGCGCTGTTAGCAATTAGTATACTGTTCGTTTGCCCATGCAACCAACAGCACGACTTTCTCTCAACTGAAAGCGGATCCTTCAACGTCCTGTAGAGTAGACACAGCACAACAGTCCATCGCAAGAAAGCTACCATACAACCAACGTGTTGGCTACCGGCATATCGTGCCGCTTCTAGGCCAGCTTGCAATGCGGTTACTACAATCCCGCGCCGTTGGATGCACAGGGCGTCTCAACATGATGAGGGGTTCACACGCAGCCATGTGCATCAGCTACCCGTAGCCAACCGATCGTATCGATTGCAAGCCAGGTTCTGCAAGTGCTGGTGTGACATGGCCGCAGGAACGCCAAGGTGTGGTAGTAGCAACATTGCAGGCAAAGTCGAGATCAGTCACAAACCCCGCGCCTGCAACCCGCTATCCCATGGCAATGAGGGCCCTCAACCAGTCGGATCGACCCGCTGATTCGCAGAAGGGTGAAGAGACGTGAAGACGCCAACATGACTTGCAGCCGCCCGATAGATTAAGTGCCGACAAAATAAGGTAGAGAAACAAGCAGCATCGGTAGATTGGCCCAGTGACCAGAGTAGAGTAACAATGCAATTGAAGGATCCAAGAAGCAGCGCTAACCACGGCACGCAATAGGTGTCCTGAAGCCATGGCTTGTGCAGAAGTTGGGGTTGCGGATGGGCGAGCCGCCCTCTTGCCGGAAGGTGGGCTTGCGCGTTAACGCTGAGCGAACCAGGAGGGGCCAACGCATATCGATCCGGAGAGATCGTGAGGAGTCATGACTTGAGCGCCGTCCCGGCGATAAGGGCATGTTGTATATGCAGGATGCATTTGCGTTTAGGAACATTGACAGGGTAACGGAGACTGACTCGAGGAACGAGGCGCGAAACTTCCTAGAGGATTTGCGGCTTGTTGGATGGATTGTTGGAAATCCCCGCCGCGGATGGAGAGATCCAGCGATGCTATATCCTCGAGCAAAGGTATAAGAAGGAGCAAGGAGACGCAGTTCAGTATCCATCGAGACACCAGCAGCACATCACTCTTCCTTTCTCCCTCTCCTCCTTCACATTGATCACTCCGGGACAAGCAGAGGCACGGCAAGCGCCTTACCCGATCCCCTCTTCCGCATCCTGACACTCCACACACCCTCAGCTCTGCCGTGCTCCTGGCGGCCAAAGATCGCCACCATCCGACTCGGTGCTTTTGGAGAGAAGGCGAGGCTTTGGCGCCGAGTTGCTGAAAGGAGCTGAGCGTCTAGCCTGCTTGGGGATTAGCGTGTCACACGGTATCTTACTGTCTGGTAATTTTACCGTGTCAGACAGCAATACACGTACCGTACAGGAAATCCGTCTGCCTTTGCGTCGGCGTCAACTCGAGATAAATAATCTTCCTCCACTTCCCTCCCTCTACTTTTTCTCTCCCTTTTCTCTTGCGCGCTAGAGCAGCAGAAGGGTCCTTCATCTGTCCTTACTATATAGCTTCGTGCTTGCTGTTATCTTGGTGGACTATACCTGCCCTACCTCCAAGTCCCTCGCTGCCTCAGGCCTGCCGCTGCCTCTTATCCTCCCTCTACTATACTATACCACGCTTCTCTTCTACTGCCACGCACAACGTGACCAACTCAGGCGCGACCTTGTGATTCAACAGTCATCTGCTGTGGACGTGTCATATATGAACAGTTGACCTCGTGCAATCTTCTCATACCACCACCTGAGATCTACAGTCAAAATGCCCGCCAAACCAATCCTCCATCCGTTGCGGACGCCCAAGAACATGACGTTCCCCTCGGAACTCCAACCAGACAATGGAGTCCGACTAGGTGCTCCAGGAAAGCAACAAGATGAGAGTCTCTCAACACCTATCACACCTCCCGCCGCATATACCGAGTTCCTGAAATCATTCACACCTGTCTTCAGTCCCGATGGCAACGGAGGTACCGTCACCCGCTTCGTCTGGGACAAGGCCAACAAGACCCCCACATCCCAACCAGCCAGCGCAGTCAGTGGTTCGTTCAGCTTCCCCGAACCAACCAGGCCAGCTACAGCAACATTACCCCCTCCATCTCCCTATGGAAGTGCACCGCACAGTCGTGACATGATGAGTCTGCGCCGCTTGCGCATCCCGCCGCCAATGCGGTACTCACCTACGTTGGAGACGCCGCGCAGTGCGACGACGCCCGTCCTATCACCGTACTCTTACTCCTACTCCCCGGCCGATTGGAAGATGCGCTACTGGGATGGCCCTCGGAGTGCGACGGTGGGGAGAGTCAGCGTGCGTCATGTTGTCACTCACACAGTGACGTATAAGCGGACGCAACTTGAGGATCCACCCAAGGGAAAGCGGAGAAAGCATAATGAGACCAAGCAGGAGGAGGATGAGGATTCCTAAGCAGGAACTTAGTTCAATTCATGATTCCTCTATTTGGTTTTCTTTTTTTATGGTCATGGTACTAGCGCAGGGTCCGGCGTTAGGAGTTAGGAGGCGGGAGGGAAGAAGCAAGCGAGATCCTATTTCATTGGAATTCAGTTTCGGAGCAAGCAGTGCGATTTGAAATTCATTCCCTCTTTCTCTTCTACTACTTCCATGTGATCGATCAGTAGGCTGATGTAGCATTACCAGTAGGTAAGTAAGTAGAGGATGGTAGACTAGTCCTTGCAGGGTTGGTTAATTGTATGCGTTGGCAATGTACTAGGCAGGGTATATACGCCCAGCAGAAGGCTCGACCACTACGCTATCATTACTATTACGGAGTACTATGATCCCCCGCCATTGATATCCATCGATTCCAATATCCATTTCCCTAAACTACTACTAACCCAGATTCCAGATTATCGCGCTTCTGGCCAGAGCCTCACACGAATCAATCAATCGAGCCCAACCCCTCCTTCACCCCTCATTCCAATCCCATTCCAGTCCCAAATCATATATCCCACTGAGTACACTCTACCACCGAGAAGAATGAATAAATGATGTATACACACATAAAACGCACAGACAAAGAAGTAACCCAACAACCCCTCCCACCCCCTCTCTCCTATTCAATCAACTACTAAGTATTGAAGTAGCTAACTAACCCCTCCAAATCCACCACGTGTAAACGAGCACCACCCAATATACCCACCCAGGAATCGAATTGATCAATCAATAAGCGAAAGCTCCACTAAAAAAAATTACACGCACGTCCGCTGATAGGAAAGGCTGAGATGCGCGGTGCTGCGCCGCATTGAAATTTTTTTTCCCTTGTCCTCCTAGCTCTAATCTTATCCCATCGGGATTGGGCTACTGGGTTGGTTGGGCCTTTTGGTAGTAACCCGGGAATGTGGTAACGGGGATGATTGGTGTGTGAGTTGGGTTTGTTGGTCGGAGAGTCGGAGAGTTACTACTAACTACTACGAACCACTAGTTAGTATTGTGGTTAGGCTTTGGGCTAAGAGGGTTTGGCGCGGTGAGGAAGGGTAGTTAGTGGTTGGCGACTCGCTGGGAATAGATGGATGATAGGCACGGACAGGCGCGAGGTGGGTTTGGGTTGGATTTGGGATGGGCTTGGAGAGTAGTTTTGGGAGGAATGTAGTTTGGCTTGTGTGTTGTAGAGTTTGTTGGATATATAAGTAGTGTATAATATTTAGATGGTGGAGGTAGTAGTAGCTGACTTGGAAATGAGGTGTATGTGTATGTGTGGAAGGATAGGGGTGACTATGTGGCTCTCAGTGAGTTAAAAGGTTCAGTAGTCTTTGTATATCATCATCATTAGTAGAATAGTAGTAATAGTTCAAAGGGATAGATGTAGACATATGTACTCCGTAGAAGTAACCGATTTCAACAGACAGATAAAATACACAGTAACAAGCCCCCGTAACAAGCCCTACGTAACGCAACACCACCCACCGTATCAATACCACACCATACCATACCAAAGCATAGCCCCTACTTAGCACTTACTCTCTCCTGCCGACAACCCTACTACTCTCCTCTCCTAACACAGTAATCAATCTCAAGTAAGTACTCCTAGTGTCCATCCATCGCTTATCCCTAACGAATCACAGCAATGTGAACAGCCAAGCTGTGATCTAGGACGGGTGCATAGCAGCCCATGATTGGGTGACAAGGCGCGCTCTTTGTTTCATCTTGTTGCTGAAGAATTGCGGGTCGGGGTGATTGGTTAGCTTGAGTGGTGGGGGAATGGGATGGGGGGTGAGTGATGGCCGGAGGTGATTACTTTCTAGGTATAGGGTCGGTATTTACTTTGGTCTAGGGGGTGTTCGAATTGCTTCTAGATTGATTGGGTTGGGTATTTGGGGGTTTAGTGGGATTATACCCTGGTAGTTGTGAGATTATAGGGTAGTGGAATTGAGGATGGGAGCTGAGAGTGAGTAGTAGTAGTATTGTTTGTGGCAATAGAGGGGGATAGTAGTAGTACACTGTAACTGTAAGTCAAGTGTGCTTCAGCCTCATAACTCTTTCCTATGGCTACTCTTTGGAAGGAAGTAGTAGTCACTGAATTGCACAGACCGTATAGACACAGACAGACACAGACACAGTGACCTCCGGCGCGTCCGCGTCCAGCCAGCAGAGTCTTCTCTCTTCATTGATTTGATACAAATATAAAGTGGCCGCTGCAGTTAAGCGCCGGCACTAAGCCCGATGGGGCCGCAGTGGATCTTCCCCTCTTCAATTTGCTCGTGTGATTGGTGGGAGGGACTAAGAGGGATGTGTGGGGGATGGGGATGACGTGTGGATAGTCAATGGATAGTAGTAAATACTACTTACTCACTAGTAGACAGTAGTAGACACGACACTGCAGGTAGAGGAATGGTTGTCCTATTTTTGGATGATTCTCTCTCTCTAGTACTCTGTACTCTCTACTAAATCCAGGTCTGATTGGAAAAGACCAAGAATCTTCTGGTCACTCAGCGGTTATGTCATCGGCTTACTTGCACACACGGCAATCCCATCACCAAACCTAATGCACCTGGACACCATCTCATCACACCTCAACGCCCACTCATTTTGCCGCCGGGATCTCAGCCACTCGGAGGATCTCCCCTCCTTCAGTCAGTCCTTAGTCAGTCCGTCATTGCATGCTTCCCAAGAAAAGTAACGAGGGGTCGGCACTATGACTACTCTCGGCGCTAAGGTAGAGACTCCCTAGTCATGCCGTCCCTCCTTCCACTCGACCCAATCCTGGCGCTTCTGAACCCTTCCTTTCCTGGTCGATCAGTTGGCCGGTTTCCCTGCTAGAAGGAGATGGCGCTGGATTCCGGATAGATGGTAGGTCAGATGCAGTGGATACTCCCTTGCCCTCGTTCAATCACAGGCTGTCTATTAAGCGCCGACGGAGAGACGGGATCAAATTCTCGCGTGCAAACAAGTGTCGGGAGGGGGTGTTTCTATTTTCATCATAGCAGGGAAGTTATTTCTGGTAACTCCAGGGTCTAGTGGATTAGTCCTAGCCCTTACCAATCTGATTGGACTCGGGGTCCTGGTGCAGGTGTACCCTGCTCGGTGCTTATGTATTGCTATTTCTGGGAACTCATGGGGATATTTTTGGTAACGAGCACGGCGGGTGTTTGGATACAACGGATGCGGATGGATATATGTATTGTTGAGCATCCAGAATGAAGTTGATGATAGAGATGGACTTTCCTGCTATTTACATGTCGTCTTCCTTCTGAAACCAGTATAACTACCACCCGGTATGAGTTGAGTTCAAGTTGAGTGTGTGGACATAGCCAAGCCCCTCACTCCGTCCGAATTCCGAATTGCCCCTCGGAGCCGTTCCTGAGAGGCTTGATTTGACTGGCTGAGATCCTCCAGTATTGTCCAGTCCAGTAGCTTCTCCGCACATCTATTGCAGAATCTTAGCCAGGAGTGGTACTAGTAGGTCGTCCACAGGCAAGAAGAAAAAGTGTCCTGTCAAATCAGATACTGATTCTTGCATAGTCGTCCCATCTTCACGAGGGGTATCCATCTGGCACCATGAACTTAGTTAGTTGGTCGTCTACCTAACTAATCCAGATTTCCAGCGGTTAACTAGGTTATGCCGCCTCTGTGACAGAGGATGCATGATTCCCGCTCGCTGGAGCACTGAATTGACGACGCTCCCCTCCTTGATGCTGCCCTGTCAGCCAATCAATGTCCCGGAGTGGCCTCCAGTGGTGATAGAGCCATGGCGTCTGGACAAATATAGCAACGATGCTGCGTGGCTGTCAGAGTTCTTATACAACCTTAAGCGCATTCCCCTGCATGACGACTGTTCTTCATCACTCAGTGGGCGGGTCATGGGGCGATAACAACAGCTGCTGTCCAAGGAATGGTGACTCGACCCCGCGTATTGTCGCCCCTGTGGTGATCCAGCGCTTGGGTATGGTACGGTTTGGTACGAGTGGTTTTACGAGACATGGAGGGAGACAGAGAAAAACAAACAAACACGAAAGAAAGAAAGAAAGAAATAGAGACAAGTGCGGAGGGTGAAGTGACTGTTGGTGCCGTGGTGGTGGTGATAGGCGTCTAATAGCCACTGTGCCACCATCACGGCGGCAATGGGGGACTACATCTAGACCAGTGTCCGCACATTATTCCTAGCAACTTGTTGGGTAGTGCTAGACAGGTCTGTTATGCCTGTGATTGTTCCCCTTGTCTAGTTATTGAGGTTGACATCATCGTTGGCTTGCTAATCATCCATGGGATCTGGTGTGTGTTGGAACCACCGGAGAGCTGGCAGGCTGACGGGCAGCCGAACCGTGGATTCGGCCGATGAGGGGAACACCTGACGGAGCCAACCGTGGTTGGCGGGGATTCTTTGGGGTTCTGGAAGTGAGACCATAAGAGGCGAGAGAGAGACGGAGAAAGACAGAGAGAGAAAGACTGGCCGAGAGAGTGAAAGATGCTGACCGATGCGGTGTGATGCCAAGAGGCTATATTTAGAAGCGGCGAGAGAAGAAGCAGCAGAAGAAGGCGAAGAAGCGCAGAAGAAGTGCTGCTGTTGGATGCCCCTCTCGTCTCTTTTTCTCCATCTCCTTCTCACTTGACTCTTTCTTACTCTTCTTTCTTTTCTCTTTCTCTCTGTCTCTTCCCATCTCTCATCTCGACCATTCAACTGGCTTTCGAGGAAGAACCGTAACTCCTCGTTGACAGTGGACTTCCCGACAATATTAATATTGATTAATATAATCATTTGTTATGCATCAAATTGCCTGATGCGGTGATCCCCTCTTATTCTGTCTCCGCCGCCCATCCCGTGATCTGCGCGCGCCGTTTCCTCCCAACCTCCAGCGCCTCCAATTCCTCCATGCATCTTCGGCCATCTTATCTGCTAGTGTCTTGCGCTACTTGCTCCATCTCCTCCTCTTCCTGATATCCGAAATCCCCTCGACCTTCCTGTCTCTCGCTCCCTCTTCCCTTACCCCCTTCCTCCCCCCCTAATCTATCCGCCTGACCGCCCTCCTGCCATGGCTCACTCGCTCCCTACGCCTTTCACCCCAAACAGTGACTTTGCTGCCCTCGACTCCCACCGCTTCTCCACGGGTCCCATTACTATCACCGCTTTGGCCCGCTTCGAGTTCGAGGCGGGCAAGGCCAACGATGGCACCAAAATCATGATGATCGAATGGGAGGACGACGCCATAGCCCGCTCCTCCTCCTTCCCCGGGGGTTCCTGGCATGTTGCCTGGGAGGGTAAAACTGCTGTTCTTCCTGCAGACGAAAAGACGAGCGACAACACCCGTCGAATGTACTTTCTACTGCCGCCACACGTTACCATTCCTCCCACCGTCACCCTGTCATACGAGCCCCCGGCTAACGCCCCCCCGTCCGCCAAGAACCCCGAACCCATGCAATTGAATCCGCTGCCGGCGATATTTCCTCCAGAGCTAGGTGCTGATGGTCGCTCAGCGGGCAAGAAAGGCGTTCTACACACAATATGGGCGAAGAAGCGGCTGCAGGTGTTGGAAAAGGAGATCCGGGACGAATGTCTGAACAACGCCGAGGGTATTGCGCTGCACATGGCGCTGCAGGAGAAGGAATGGATCGAGTCGAACTTTGGCGTATCGCTGTCTCCTGACGGACCCAAGGTTGTTGGGCAGAGTCACCCGGATCCACATTATCCCATGGGGCCTGCAACGCCGGTATCACCCAGCAGTGGAGGCAAGCTGGGGGAGAAGCTCAAGGGGCTGAAGCTGCAGACGAGCGAGCGGGAATTATCCCCGAAGGAGGGTACGTATATACCAAAGTAACAGAGACCAGACTGATGCTAATGATGCTATGATCAGCCTCAGCGCGACATCTACTATCTCCCCAGTCCCCCGACGTGGCCGTCTCCTCGTTCATCTCCTTCCACAGTATACATCGACCGACCCGCAGTCCTGCGCCAGCAGCGCCAGAGGCCCTTCGAACGGTAGTGCACTATCCCCCCGAGTCGGTGCAGGCACAGCAGAACGTTGAACACCACACGGGATTCGCATCGATGGGAGGGCTGGCGCGCACAGCGAGCGCCGACTCGGGCGAGGAACTATTCGCAAAAGCGCTAAGCCCGCGGACGCCCGACCTGCCGCGGAGTCCATTCTCATTCCGACCGGAGGGGCTGCATATGTGATGGACTGTAACAACTTGCATTGATGATGGATTGGATGACTGTGCATTACTGATACTGATATAACTGATACCTATGCTGTACATAGATGATACCTGTGATTGAAACTGCAATTTTCTCACAATAGTAACTAAACCTCATACCATACAAACAATCTTCAACCTCACAACTCTCAACAAACTGAACTCCCCCCACCCACCACCACCACCACACTTTTCCCACCCTAAGAATGATATCAATTCTTCTTCTTCTTCCCCCCCTCACTCCCCTCCTCCTTCTTCCCCTTCGAACTCGAAGAAGCAAAACTCTCCACCTCCTGCGCCTCCTTCCTCTCCGCATACCACTGCCCCGCCTGCAACACCAGCACACCCACCAACACCAGCGCCAAGATAGTATTACTCGCCGCCAACACCTTCAAACTATCCTCCCTGCCCAGAATCTGCCCTTGCTCGACCTCCTCCTCCCCACCACCACCACCCTTGACCAACTCATCCCCATAAACCCCGCCACTAACCAACCTCAACCCCTTCACAATATTCGCAATATAGACCGTAATTCCACACATATACAGCACGAGACTGGCGCCATCGAACAACATATTCGATTCTGAGGGCTTGTACAGCTTCATGATAAGTCCCAAGAGGCCGAGGAATATCACGATGTGGAGGATTCGCGGGATTAGGGGCGGCGAGGCGTGCAGGAATCGCAGGTGGGATTCGAAGTAGTCGAAGTGGGTGGCTGGGGTCGGGGTCGTGGACCATAGGATCGGGTAGTCGTAGGGGAAGAGGGAGAAGATCAGGCCGAGGAAGAAGGATGTTGCTGTTGTTTTTATTACTTCGTTAGTATTTCGGGGGGGATTGATTGGGGAGAAGGTGTCTGGGGGTGGGGAGAGGGCGTACGGCAGACGATGAGGAAGGTCGCGAAGGACCCGTTGCGGAAGGCCATGGTGAAGGGCCTACGGGGGTAGGATTCCCGTGAGTTTGGATGGAGGGGTTTGGTTGGGATTGTTTGGGTGAGGTGGGAGGAAGAGGAAGAGAGAGAGAGGATGAGAAGGTGAGATTGAAATGAGATATCGGAGGTTAGAGCGGGCTTGGCGCGACCGGGTTGGTTCCAGTTCCAGTTCCAGTTCAGCCTAACGGGACTTTCTAATCTGGTTATCTATTTAGTTACTGCTTATTTGTTATCGCTATCCCATTACCAATCCGCCATTATAATAGTACTAGAATTGTACCAATAATGCATGCAACTCTATTATGTACGCCCTCAATGCCGCAGGCTGCTCATAATTAATTCAAAAAATAAAATCCAAACATTGCAACGTAGATGGTATCTCCCGGTATCCCGCAATGCAAGCAATAGAACTCACTCCCCACAAACGCCTTTTTATTTCACCGCTGATATCGCGGTAATGCCTCGTCGCCGCGCGCCGCGCCGCCCACCAGCTGATGGTCGTCCTGGTCGTCGTGGAACACCGGCGCCGTCGGCGCATCCGTTGACCTGCCAGGCGCCTCTGTGACTTCCATATCCTCGGGCGCACTGACTTCCGTCATCAACCGCTGTCGCTCAAGCTCCTGCTTATCCTCTCCTGGCGGCCCGGCCTCGTTCGCGTCCATCGCGCTGCTGCCCGGCACGACCGTCTGCACCGACTCCGCAGAGATCACCGCCCGCGGGGTCCCGTTCTCCGTCGGTGACGGCAGGTGGTGGTAGTCGTTGAGATGGTCGTCCTCCGGCAGCACTGGCGCCGTCGGAATCGCCATCTCAGATGGCCCAACCCCGGCATCGTCCGGCGGGCGACTGGGCAGTAGCATCTGCTCAGCCCGCCGTAGCCGGCTCTTTTCATCGCTCGGCTCGTCGGCCGGCGGCGTCGACACCATCTCCCCAAGCGGGTGATATGTCTGTGGCTCGCCTGTGTACTCCTGGCCTGCGTATTCAGGCCAGTGGGACGGCTCCCGCGGAAAGCCGTAGTCTTCCTGGGCCACATATTCCCCTTCGGCATTGGGAGTCGGGGATTGGTCGGTCGTCCATGTCTCGCCGTCCGGACCAGCTGGCGGCTGGTTGGGATCCACTGGAGCGGCTGTGGAAGGCGTGCGCTCCTTTGCCTTCACGCCGCGCTGCGAGTCACGTGTCCCAATAACCACTTCGAACATCACGGCCACCACGCCCTTTTCACGTCGAATCTGATCGGTGTCCAGAATGTTGCCCGCCCAATTCGCCGTGATCACGCTGTTGTTGACATCTGCCGGGTTCAACACTTGTCCGCTGGAGGAGAAGTTGCCGCCCGAGGAGACCATGTTGAACCGAGGGAGAAACCGGTCCGGCGAGGTGAGCTTGCCCCGTAAGTCGACCACCACTTCCACATAGTACCGGAAGTTGATCATGCTCCCCGGCGTGCGCGTGATGGTCGGAAACGTATCCTCGGGCACCCGGATCGAGGTCTTCACCAGCGCGGTGAGGTTCGTTGGGTCCACCACCAGCGGTGCAAACGTCTGTGCTAGATCCTTGCGGAACACCCCGGTGGTACGGCTGCTGCCAAGCGTCAGGCCACCCAAGCCGGTCCGCGAGCGCGGATAGTAGTCTTCGTAGATGGGCTTCTTGCCGTCCGTGGGTTTCCCCATCGGGATCGCAGGTTGGAGGTCAATCCGCCCTTGGCGATACAGTGTCACAATGATCCCATGCGCGCTGCGCACCTGCTTGCAGTGGTTGATGGTGACATTGATCGGCAAGGTATCCCCCGGCAACACGCCCGCGCGCAGCACTTCCGCCTTGGCCATGATTGTTCGATCCGTCGTGGAGGGGGTGATGCTTCGGGCCTCGCTGTTCCGCATCCCGTTGCTGGTTGAGGAGCTCGGGTCGCTGGGGACCTGGAAGCTCAAACTGCTATTACTCCGCCGACTGGACGAGCTGACGTTGCTGGGCGCCGGACTCAGAGGGGGGCGGTTGTCGAGACTGTTGCCGCGGTGGGCCGTCGGATCGATGGAGAGCGTATCAGGCGCGTCAGATCCGGCTGACTTGGCCTTTGCTTTCGACTTGGACCGGCGGGAGATGGGCTCGAGGGTGACGACGCGCGGCTTGGGCGGGGGGAAGGGTGCGATGTCAATGTTTTCTAGGACGTTGACGCGTCTCCGGCACGTCGAGGTCGGGTTGATCGTCGTCGGTTTTGTTAGGGTGGATGTAAGCATATATGATATCGTGCCTCGTTCGAACTAGATGCGGATTGCGATCAGTATGGCCTACAATAATGTTAATAGAAAGGGGGGAATCGCCACGCACATTGATGCTACTGGGTAGCGCATACGGGGGAAAGCACATCTCAAAGCGAAACTTGTAGATCCCTTCTTTGAGCCGACCTTCCCCGCAAAGTACGACCTCGTCCTCGAAAAGGGTAGACAGGCCATTTCCCAGGTATTCGGCACCGCGACGCCCGCGCCCCGGCCCCAGAAAGCCCAAATCCGGGGCCTGTTCACCCGGGGGCACGGTATTCTTAAAGACCTTGACAAACCCATGGAGACAGACCACCAGATGTGTAATGCGAACGGGCCGTACCACCGTAAGGACCACGGTCCCACTGATCACATCCCCGGGAAAGTATGAGCGCCAAGGATCGTCCGGTTCGATGTAAAAGTCGGTGATGCTGCGATTTCGTTGACCGAGTTGGGAGCGAAATTTGGAGAGGAGGGAGCTGCGATTCCGACCGAGCGGCGAGGGGGGTTGTGAGGGGAGAGGGTTGACGGACATGACACACGACCCAATCCATGCACGAGGAGGGAGGGAACGGAGAAAGGGAAAATGGCGACCGGAAGCAAGGAAATCGGAATCAGGCGGACAACGAGCTGTTGACGGCGGAATTCAGGGGAGGGGCGGATGGAAGAAGGAGGGGGGAGGAGGACGAAGGAGGGGGAGGATGAGGCTGGTAGGACCGGGCTCAGCAGCGTCACTACGGCCAGTCAAGTGACGAGACGGCGAGGAAGAGCAGGTGGTCGAGGCGGAAGCAAGGGGGGGCGAGTCGATGAGGAGGAAGAGCACACCGTCCAGATCTCGAGAGTCAAGGGGAGACGAAAACGCGATCGAGACAGCTGGGAAATTCTCCGTCCAGACACCATCGATCAATCTACCGATAAACCGGCCCGATGTGGCCGTCGGGCGCGAAGGCAGCAGCGACAGCGACAGGAGCAGCAGGGTCAGTCTCTCGAGAGGCCGGTCCAGGACCAGTTCCAACCCCAGCCTCAGCACAGACAGCACTAGAATGGTCAAGCGCGCGCGCGCGTTCCTAGTGGGATGAATGGGTCCCCTTGTTTCGCTGGTGGTTGCTGAGGATGCGGGGAGTTTGGTCGGGGAAGATCGTGTCTCAAATCTCGGAGTTTGGGGGGAGAGGAAAAGGAAGACGGAAGAGAAAAGAAAGGGAGAGACGAAGGAAAGATGACAAGTAGGGAGAGGTATCAAGAGTAATGGTGACAGGCCCGCATCATTTCTCGGCTGGAATTTCCCACGACACGGCCAAAGGGTTGATAGATTAGCCCCTATAACCGGGATATGCTGGAGGAGGGGGTAGGAGGAGGAGGATATGAAGGGAAGGAAAAGGAATGGATAGTCCCGGGATTTAGTGTGGAGGGAATCAGTCACGGGGGGGGGTGGGTGGGTGGGTAGAGGATGACAAAAGAGCAGTCGGAATGAACAGGACGCGCAGGGAGTCAAGAATAGTAAAGAAAAAAGGAAAAAGAAAGGAATGGATCCGTTTGAAGAAAGGGGAGAAGGCAGGGTCAGCAGTAGGAGGAGTAGAGGCAGAGGAATCGATGGAGGAGAAGAAGATGATGGAGGGATGGAGATAAGCAGCCGGCTTGTGGTCGAGGTCAAGCTTCTCTTGGGCCGTTCGTGGCTCGGCGGTTTCCACTCGGAGCAAATCGACTTTCCACCTAATTATATCTAAGTTGATACTGGGCTTTGGTTTCCTGCCGTGTGGAAACTATGGTTCTGGTGAGGATGATGATTAGTATTATTATTCTCCCATTTTCCTGTCCTTGACTAGTCACATTGACCACCACTCGTGGCTCATCCACTCGAATCAAACTGAACTAGTGAGTTAGTCCCTCTCAACTGGACCAAGTTAACTTGACGACTAGTTAGTTGGCTAACTACTAGTTAACTAGTGATGAGAAGCCGCTGACAAACTTCCCGACAGATGGATTTGATGGATTCATGACGGCCCATCTTAATAACAACAACTACTTACCACCACCACCGCCACCGTAATTCATAAGCATCAACCACATCCTATTCATCAATTAGTGATCAGGACTCCGTCTCCATCTCCATCTCTAGCTCACGCAATCCTTCCCCCTCCACGTATTCTTCCCCATAACATTCCCGTTGCACTGTCCGCAACACTTCCCGATCCCCTCCGGTCACTTTATCCACATACCCTTCCAAGATGTAGATGTTATCCGTCCACTGATGCGCCAGACGCCGATACTCTTCCGTTTCCTCTTTAATCTGCGGTAAGCTTTTCCCCTCCGAACTCGTCGCCAACGCCATCCACTCCCCCTGCAGTTGATGTGTCTCCCGCTCGAGCACTGCCTTCTGCTCCATCAATCTCCGGCGCTCGTCCTCACCACCCCCATTCCCATGCTCCCCTTCTGCCTCCTCCTGCATCCTCGCCTGCTTTCGCGCAGACAATCTAGCCTCCGCACCTTCCCAATTCTCTCGGACCCGATCTACCTCCCTCCGTAACCTCCGAACACGCTCCTCCCGCTCTTTCTTCTCCTCACCCCCAAAACACCAATACCAATTTCCACTGCCGATCTTCTCGACCCGGATCCGTCCCTCATCCGTCAATTCCTGAATGTATTCCTTCACTTGCATCCCATTGATCGAGGCCACCGATGGGATCATCTTCTCGAGATCCTTCAGGGTGTGGCACGTCCCCGTGGCCCGCAGATGTGAGACGATCAGGGCTTGTTTGGCACTTTTGGAAAGTTTAGGCGGCTAGCTCGACACATAGTTATTTTTTGTTTTTTTTTTTTCCTTTCTCCGTCTTAAGTTCTTGTTTCGTAAAACAAGACAGACACCTTAGGCTAACGCGCCCACTAAGGCACATACTAGTGTGTGTCTGTCTGTACCCCCCTTCCTTAGTGGCCTTGATGGGGACCCCAATCACTCGCCCCATTGGTTGCGGGGAAAAGACGGAGGCATCAACGTACCATGGTGAGGCAGGTAGCCTTTAGCTACCTCTGTGTGTCTTGGGCTTTTGCTTATGTCTGGACCCTGTGGAGAGGGGGGAGAGTGTTTCCTGTTTGAGGTTGCTGACAGGCATAAACGAGATTAGTTAGTGGGGGTTCGGGGATGCCGTGCTGTTGGTAGCATACTTACTGGCTGTAGGATGGAGTTGACTGGAGATGATGGACCGGTGGGTGAGTAACTGAGTAGTCTTCTACTTCTGGACACCCCAAACAGTACAAGCTCCCCCCGGTCATGTGGCATCACGGGTTCAACGTCAACTATAATGGCCTCGGTATTGCGTTGACGTCCCTGTAGGGCTGCTGAGTATTCATTACTACTGGCAATCACGTTCATTTCCAGCATTTGCAGGGGAGCATCCCCTGGGATGACCAAGGACGTTCTATTCCTGTCACTGTTAAATCTTTTGCCCTTACCGGACACAAACCCCGCTCTACTCATCCTTGCAAGGCACTTGTGTCGATGTGCGACATCATCGTCGGGATTCGCTCTCTCCTCTGTCCTTGTAGCGAAGATACGTAGGTCTGCTGACACTGCCCCCGGTCCATTATCAAGCAATCTGAATGGCGATCTCTATCTAACGTGTTCTGCGAGACAAGCTATAGATAACAGCCCGGAGCTGGATCCTCGCTACTGTCGTGTCATCAACAGAGGGCGCTCCTGTCATCCCGATTTTCTCATCATACAGGGGCGGTACACCAAACAAAGCAATCCATTACCGTAAAACCAAGAGAGAGTTGGCTACATACGTCCCCCAAGCAGAAGCAAACTGTCTATCTGCATCAGTGCAACCCCGAGACCCTTGTCTCCGTATCTAACCAGAAACCCCTCCGTTCGCCCAACCTACCTACACTACCTATCTACCCCCAAACGCACAGATCGCGCAATATTCGCACTATATACACCCCTAGTAAATAGGGCATCCAGCTAGCCGATGCAGATCTTTGCAAAGCACTACGCACGGTTCAGGTAATTGCGCGTATCCCATACAAGCGTGCAGCCCACGGACATAAGCAAAAGCTTGTGTCAGCCGATGTCATCCTGCCCTTGACCACTGTTGAGTTAATTATCGACAAAAACACATGTCAGCTGAGTGAGATTCATAAGTAACATAGCAAAGATGGCTGGGGGAAGCAAAAAGGGTCTGAGACACTCGATAAGGTTTCTTTGACGGCCACTCTATATCGCGGTGAGCTATAGCGTATGAAATACGGCTATGAGCGGCGGTCAGAAGGGCGAGAGTATTATTCCCTCCCTTTCAGCCGTGAGATGTAAGTTGGCGCTGGGATCTCGTCTAAGCCGGCTTTCTCCGGGGTCTGCTCTGGTCCTGCTGCAGGGGTCTTTTTCTGCGGTGTGCGGGTTAGGATGTACCGAGGAAAGTAATGGGCGATTAAGGTAAGACTTGTGCATAAGATTACGGGCATAAAATGCTTAGCTTGGTTACTGAAGTACGGGTAGCCTGCTCCTGGGGTGCGTTGGAAGCCTAGGCAAATGTTGATTGTGCGGTGATTGAGTCAGGCGCTGCACAGCAGGACGCAGAAGGATGCGATACCAATTGTTGGGCGATTGATCAGCATGATTACAGCCCGCTTTAGCTGGCTGTTTGATTGTCTCATCTGGTCCGACTGCAAACGGGATGATGCATCAAATCTAGCAGTGGTGAACTTCACCGTATACTGTTGCGCGAATGGCACCTTGTTGCGGGAAATGACATGGTGACATGTCATCTGACTGGCGGTTTGATCACGCCAGCGCTACTATCTAATTGCAGTGTGAAACGTACCCATGTTACAGGTGAATGGATTTCGTAAATGCTATCAAAGTATCTCGTCAAAAAGTTTAATAGGAACAGGCTATTTGATACAACGTGCATTCCGCACAAACCTTGTTCAAACGCTCAAGGAATGCTTGGGTGAAGAAACCTGAGCAGGGCGATTGACCCTGGGGTGCATGAAGATGGACGGGCCAGTCCAATCAAGGTTCAACGGCATTCCAACAGATGCACTGGCCAAGACCTTGGCGGCGCCGGGTCGACGATGATCGCGGGCTAAGATTTGCGATGTGCAACATGCATAGGGCTCTGGCTCGTGAGGTGGACCAGGGCTGAGCGAGGAGACTGGTCGCATAGGAAGCAAAGACACGATGCTTCTTATTGCTGCCTCGATTGGACAGTTGAAAGTAAGGACCTGGCTGGAGCTTAGACAATCCTGCTTTACCCACGAGTTTGACGCATCTTAATCTAGTGGCTTGCTGAAAAACGATATGCTTGACTCCTTGCAGTTGGGCATTCAGCCAAGCACTTTTCATATCGATCCTCGCGCATTGTATTGTCTTAAACTTGTTTCCGATGCCCCGATGATGAACGACCACTATATTAGCATGCGATCCATATAGGACCAGAAGGAATGATGCAACGATAGTCTTGCAAGGTAGACTATGCCACAGGCACAATAGGCGCTGAGTAGCATGTTAAGCCTCACCACCTCTCATCATCTTCCATGTCCAGCTCAGCAGCGGAGGTCATTTTACGACCCAACTTGCGCTTCTTTGGCCGCCTCTTCTTCGCCGCCACGCTCTCTAGCTCATCACCCGAGCTCGCCATCGTACTACTCTGACCGGTATTTGCTCTTTTGCGGCCTATATTGCGGCCGAGCTGAGGAACTGATGGTAATTCATCGGTCGGGATTTCCTCTCCCTCCACGAGCACCATGTCTCCGGTTTCACCCAGAGATTCCTTGGCCATCTCCTCCATCAGAATCCCCATAGCTATTAGCGCCGTCTCATCCATGCTCTGGTAATCATCCCGTCCTCCATCGATCGTCGCATGGTCATAGAAGTCCGCCGAATACGCATGAATGGCCTCAAGTAGTTCGGAGCAGGGGAGGGGGCAGCTGGGCGGGAGGGCCTCATGAGCAAAGTAGAAATCGTTTTCTTCGTAGCGCTGCGGGGCATGCTGTCGACGAAAAAGAACTTCCTCGGGACGGACAGGGCGAGTGCTGGACGATGCCGTATCGCGGTATTTGGAAGGGTAAGGGGCCGAGGGCAGGAAGCCATGATGATTCACCCGACCTAAACACAGTCAGTCTGTTGAAGTGGGAGAAGAGCCATGTGAGGACTAACCCGCAACGGCATCGTAGACAGTCGCTTGTCGCTTCTGTCGCCTGGCGCCGAACTCATCTTGTTCCTGGGCTTCGACAACATCCGGGGTGGGAGGCCGGACGAAAGAATTCTGGCTCAATGCAAGGGATTTGCCGTAGGACATAGTCCCGGATTAGCTAAAGCCGCCCGTGCGGAAGCATCAGGAAGCTTGTTCTCAAGAAGAACCGGACGGCTGGAGGAGACTCTGCCGGCGGGCAAGTTGATACTTCTGATTGCTTTTGCGACGCCCGGAAGTTTTTCCCTTTCGTGATTGGCATTCCGGCACAACCTTTCTCCGACAATTACAGTCATGTGAGAACAAGTCATTCCATCTACTGATCACAACAACATCTCTGCCTTGTCTGGTTATATCTTCACGGAGCTCGGGGAACAGCTCTGTTAGCCTAATGAATGAATGCGTATCTTCTCAATAGGGCTTTAGGGTCCATAAGTCCCTCGACTTTTCATGTCGCACAAACCACGCGGCTTGTTCAACAGCTCGAGCCGGCGCCTGGCATTCGCTTCTCAGCACGTAGAGACATTCTCTTAGGAGAAAGTCAGGCTGGAAATGAATATCCTCATGAGGATGCAGGACTGGTCTTTGATGATGAAGTATTCGCTCATAAGGCGGGAGTGAATGTGCTCGCCATCGACCACTATGAGGGCCGATTGTATGTTACACCCATCCTGTGCCTGGCTCCAGTTAACGGTAGACAGCATGGTTTCTGGGGGTGCAGATCCTTCAATTAATCTCTGGGATCTGGAGACACGGGGCTCGGATCTGAAACATGTGCACCAGCCTGTGGCATCAGTCAACAGAGCCTCGCATGAAGATGCCCACACACGTGCCATTACCTCCGTCTCTATATACCCATTTGATCCCACCCCGTCTACTATTTTGACAACCTCGTACGATGGCACACTCAAGCTTTCGGCTTTAGGGCCGGGGGCTATCACACCTGTGCACACTTTCAACCTAGATTGCACCCCGTACACCCATTCGTTGTCGTCAAATCCAGGGTCTCCTTTACTCATTGCAGTAGGTACCTCGGAGAAGCCGGTCCGATTGCTTGACCTACGTTCAGGCTTGTCGACGCATGGTCTCCCCGGGCATGAATCTTCAGTCCTGTCCGTATCATGGGCTCCTCATCAGCCACACATATTGGCTTCTGCGTCGGCAGATAATAGAGTAATCCTCTTCGATATCCGCCGAGGAGGCCACAATTCAGCCATCGCTGCACTAGACATGGATGATGCTGTCGGACTTGTACGCCCGGGATCCATCCCAGCATCCTACCAGAGCCGCCCAGCATTCTCACCGCACGCTAGAGCCCATAATGGCGCCGTGACCGGCGTGCGGTGGACGTCCAGTGGTAGTCACCTGGTGACCGCTGGCCAGGACTCTCGGATTCGGGTCTGGGATGCCGGGACAGGTGCGAATACGCTTGTGCACTTCGGTCAGCGCGTGCGGAACAGTGTGACTTCGCACCTGGCCGAAAGGGCACCGCTAATCATACCTCGCGGAATGGTCACTCCAGGGCAAGAAACCCTTTTATGGCCGAATTTCAATGAGAGAGACGACCGCGGGGAGATCTTCATGTTTGAACTTCGAGAGGGGGCTTTTGTCAAACTCCTCCGCGTACCGGGACTTATGACCGGTCGTCAGCAGTTCCAGGGACGCTCTAGTGCCCTCAGCGCTGCGAGGATCAACGCCCTTGCTTGGCGCGGCAACGGTTCCTCAGGAGAAGGGATCGAGATGTATTCAGCCCACGGCGACGGGACCATTCGCACATGGGCGTCACGGGAGCCTGAGGGTGAGCCGGATGATGAAGCCGAAGAAGCCGAACGAGCAGACCGCAAGCGCAAGCGCGATATTCTCGACGAACTCTACCGAGGATTTATAGGCTAAGCATACGATCAAGAAAATCTACGAAGGCACCAAATATAGCACAATAGTAAAAATCGTTTCGTTCATCTATGATACATCATGTTCATGCTAGGCATATCCAGATATGCGTAGCGTTTACTCGTTCCTGATCTGATGCTCGCCAATAGCATCTTCATCCTCCGCGGAGAACCGCTCATAAGCACTGCGGTTCAAATTGGAATGCTTCAAGTTTCTGGACTCTCCCTTGGCACCAGGGTGGTTGGTGCCGATCAAGGTCCTCTTGGACTCGCCCTCAGCCGGGAAACTGTTACCGGTTCCGGTGATGACTTCGCCTGAGGGAGCCATGTCTCTTGTGCTGCGAGGCATGTCGGTGGAGTTGTCGGCGGCAAAAGCGGAGGTCGGGTGAGCGACACCGTAGTTATCAAACTGAGAGTCTTCGGAGCGTTGGTCGGGGCGAGGGACGGAGGGGATAGTGTTCATGATGCCTGCATCATTGGGAATGCGAGTGCCCTCGGGGGCCATGTCCTCGAGACGTCCGCCGCGGTGAGGATCAGAAGACATTTTGAGTGGTATATGTGATATTTGGGCTTGGTGGTGTTTTCGCGTGGAATGGAGTGGTTTGGACTATTGAAAGAGTTAAATCGAGTTTATTCTGAATTGAAAATAGACCACAAGACCGGCTTAGGTTTATATAGCTGATGAGTTGGGCTGAACTGGCATCTGATGTCACCGTCCAGGCGCGGATGGAGTCTGGGCCCATGATGAGGCTATGATATCAGCAGGGTCCCAGCGTGCATCTGAGCACAGGAAACCAGCAAATCGATGATGAAACATGCCAGGATCTATGGAATACTCCAACCCAAATCTAGCCGATGGTTCCATCCACCGCAGTTCTCGAAGCTGGAGACGAAGGCAAATCACGTCAGTCCCCAAGGTACCCGCTATACTAAGTACCATGACATATCATCACCGGCCCTTGCGGCACCACCACATCATGGTCTGCAGCATGGCAGCCTTCTCTAACAGGTACGCCATTCATAGTCGGTCTTTTCTTCTTTCCCGGTTTCAGATCTGCTCTTTGAGAGATCTTTATTCTGATGAACGTCATCGCCATGGCCATTCCTGACTCAGCATTCGGCATCCTCCCCAGCCAATCAGGAGGCATCCTCAGCAACCAATTCCTTTCTGCTTCACATCAACAACCACCATCTGTGCAATAGTACTCGATAAAGGCCTTTTCTGTGTCTTCTTCCGTGCTCATAATATGATTGTTTAATCCGGCGATGCACAGTTGCAGTTGTATCGGTCGCAGTCTACGCCAGTCAAACAATTAATGCGTCATCCACCTCACGTGGCGACCGATAACATCAGACCAGATTCCCATGCAGCGACGTGAGATACCACATACATACACAGAAGTATGCGATGACGCTTTAGACACTCAACACTTCGCCCACAGTACCATTCCCGTCAGTCGCAGCCGCGTCCCCAGCACAATGACACTTCCCGCAAGCAGGAGAACGCCGGAGTAGACCTTCATTCCCCAGTAAGACCCGTTATCTTGGGCTAATATTGCGCCTCCAATGGGCCCTGTTACAAGTCCGGCGATGGATGCGAAGAAAAAGTCTAGTCCAGCCCAGTATCCAATTTCTCGAGGCGGGGCTATGGGTGCCACCAATGCCACGAGCAGAGTGTAGTAGGCGCCCGACGTGAATCCGAACAGTACATCAAAGACGATGATGGCTGAGTTGCTGGTAACCGGGATCCAAAGTGCCAACACCAGGATACCGGAGCAGACATTGAGAAAGATATAACTGTTGTATGTGCCGAAATTATCTGCGAACACGCCACAAAAGAAACGTCCAAAAAGACTACAGCGTACATTAATATATTGTTCCTGGTACTATTAAAAGAGTGGGGGCAGAGACTCACCTTCCTGCATTCTGTATGGACACGAGGTACTGTGACAGATTGGTCTGCACTCCCACAGCCACTGACGATGTGACAATATAATTACTTGGGCACCACACACCAAAGCTTAGCAAAATGCCGCTTACAAGAAGCAAGACCATCTTCACATCACAGAAAGGGCGCAAGAGGATCTCTCTGTTCAGCACTTCTGGACGTGGAGGCACGCGCTCCCTCACAGTGAGAGCAGCGATAATGAGAAAGAACAACATCATGAATGCGACAATTCGCATGGCCCAACCGAAGCCGACTTTGGGAATGAGTCGATTGATCATAATCGGCAATATTATACCTGCTATACCGGCGGAAGTAGAAATAATCCCGTACGCCAATCCGCACCGTTTGTTGAACCAGTTGGGCATGACACTCAAAACTGGCTGCGCTATGGCACAGAGACCTATTGGACTACAGATGCCCTGCGCGAGCAGAATCTGATAGTATTTGGTGGATATAGAAGCCATCATAACACCGAAGATATGGAAGAATGAGCCCCCCATGACGACTGCGCGCGGTCCAAAGGTATCGCTCAGCCAACCGACAATAGGACCCTGTGTAACTCTCCCACCATCAGTATGCTGAACACGAAGACCCACGAGCAGGCTATATCTTACTAAAGCAAGCATGAGAAAGACTTCGAGGGAAGAGATCCACGCGATCGTGCTCGCAGAATATTCAGGAAACATGACATTCTGATAGTAGTTCTGGAACACGCCGATACCTATTGTGAATTTCATCTTGATTATCAGTGGACCCGAATATTCCTGCCTTCTTATTCAAAAACCATACAGAAACTTACTATGAAGCCATCCATAACTGGAAAACATCGCACACCATCCACCCACCACGATTAGCCACGCTGCTGTACCACCATCAGGGGCTGAGTCGCTTTGGCCGTCTGCTTGCGAGTCTTGGGACGTCCGTCTGGACGGTGGAGTGGCAGTCAGACACTCTTTAAACCTGCTGTTTCCAGTTTCTAGGACTTGAGCATCACAAGCACCTTGGACTGGGCTCCTCACTACCGAAATGGACATTCTGAACGACCCCTCTTCGTCATAACAAGATGATGTGTTTGATGATGAAAGTTTCTCGCCACGAACAAATTACATATATCACAAGACATCACAGAGCTCTCTAGCACACTCGGATCAGAACATTCGCTGGCATCAACTTAAGACTAAGTGGATAGAACATTCTCCGACTTGCAACATCCAGCCCACCAAGAACAATCATTGCACCGTTGGACAGTCGAAGCGTATGCACAATGAAGATCAATGACCCACCACAGCTGGCACGACGAGCCATGACAGACTTTTCATACGTAAGGCAGCCTATGTCAAACTTTTCAAAAACATCTGTTGCTATATATCCATTCTGATAAAGACTATCATTAATTCTCTAAGATCTGATAGATTGAACAGAAACGGGTATACCTGTCCGGATAAAGTATAAATCTGAACAAACCATATATGGCATATGTGCTGACCTCTGTTCGCACTCAGAATTCAACATAAGCTTCGACGCATGCATGCTGTAGCGTGCCAACTCGGATCTCGTATCCACCAATAGTTTGTACCACGATATCAATAATCCGAGTATTGAACGTAGAAGATGTGGCTGGTTGAAGAATATCGATCCTCACGAGTCATTTCAATCATATCCATCAAGCGCTAAGCGGTCACTCATCTAGTACTAACATGATAAAACTCTACTTCGCTGTTGAGATATATCTCGGTTCATATTTTCCATCATGTCCTCCATCATTTCTCACTTCTTTATTCTATTTTCTTTCCTTTTCGTTATAACTCGTCTTGCTATCAACCACAGCATAGATTATTTTATACACACTTTATTTGGAACGTATTAACTGGTAGTCTAAAGGGCATGCTGAACTAACGCAAGTGCCTCAGACCGGCCCCAATATCACAGTAGAATTCTTGCTGCAGCACACCGCCAGTTGGTATGGACCGCATGGCTAGATCTGCAGCAGGCATACACATCATAGTAAGCGATGAAGTTAGTTTATGCAAGGGGGCCTAGCTACCTACTAGGTTATATAGATAATGCATAGAAACACAAGCTACGTGTACGACTGGAGGTGAAAGAACAACAAGCATGGTTGCATTAATACCGAAAATGGAAAGATAAAGATACATGCAATTTAATTATAGCTGAAAGCGAGTGACACGGATTATGAACGAAGGAATCCGAAAAAAAGATGATTAGGCAAAAGAATGACATGAAATGTATGGGACATTCTCAGGAATAAGAGATCCACGGATAATCTGCTGCTGCATGGCTTTTACAAGACGAGGGCCAGGAGGGCGACCAGACCAGTGACAATGGGGAAGAAACCATGCGCCTGCGCCACCTGTGCGCCTGCGCCGGTAAACATAATGCTGTTCGTCGAGGGGTTCGGGGTGGAGGACGGTCCCGGCAAGTCGTAGCGGAAAGATGGCTCGAAGGCGGCAGCACCGCTGGGCTTGGGTGTAGGCAGACCAAGACTGCTGGCGTCCGCTGCTCCACGGAAGGCTTCAGTTGGTGCGGGAACGTAGACGGGGATCATGTGGAAGGTGGAGGCCTCTTGGATCGTGATGGTTGAAGCAACAGTATCCAGGTTGCCGGGTATGGGGTCAGTGGGAGCAGGGCCCATTGCGGCGTTGGAGCTCATAGCCACAGGCTGTTGGGCAGCAGAGGATGCTACGGCGTCAGGGCCGTGCTCTGGTTCCGAGGGTTCAGAGTTGTATATAGCTGATACACCAGTGGGATCGGCCATGGAAGCTGCGCCATTGTAAACGGGGTTAGACGGGGCGGCAGCTGGGGTGGACTCGGCAGGTGCGTTGTACATGGGAATGGACTCGATGCTGGGCCCGGTAGGCTGAGCCGGGGCATTGAAAAAGGGTGTAGACTCTGCGGCTCCTGCGGCGACTTCAGGTGCATTGTAGGCTGGTGTTGATTGAGCAACAGCATCAGCGGCTCCTGTGAAAGGCTCGTTGAAGACAGGCGCCCCATGTCCTGCGTGATCAGATAGCCCAGTGTTCCGACTCGGACCACCGCTCAACGTGCGGGTAACTGTGTGGACAACTTCATGGACGACTGGTGAGGCACAGCTTGATGAGTCAACCTCCTTAGCCGTATCATCTTCGCTGGAGTGAGCAATGGGATCAACACCTTCATCATGTTGTTCGTGCGAGTCATGCGAGTCATGCGAGTCGTGGGGTTGAGCGGGTTCATGATGAGCGTCCACGTCGGTGTCCTTGACGTTGGCAGAGACAGAGTGGTCATCACTGGAAGCTTTATTTGTGTCCTGACTGAATACGTTGGTCACCGGGAGAATGGCAGAGTTTCCAGTGTCGATTCCAGATTCACCCTGGATGAGGCTGTCATCTGCGCGGTGATGGTGCCGATGAGGCTCATCCACCACGGTGTCTTTGTAGTCAGCATCCACGGAATGGTCATCCTTGCTCGCCTCGTTGACTTGCGACGAGAAAACATTGGTGATAGGGATAGTCGCAGAGTTTCCCGTATCAATTCCTGACTCCCCCTTGATCAAGTCGCGAGGCAGATGGGGATGTCCGTGGAAATGCCCGTGCTCGGGCCGGTCAATTCTCGTATCTTTAATGTCTGCATCCACGGAGTGATCATCCTTGTGAGCCTCATTTACCTGTGATGAGAAACCGTTGCTGATTGGAAGGCTAGCGGAGTTGCCAGTATCAATGCCCGATTCTCCCTTGATCAGATCGCGAGGCCGGTGATCGTGAGGGCGGGCATAATGGACAGGCACCCCCTTCACAGCCGTGTCCTTCACGTCAGCGTCGACTGAGTGGTCATCCTTGCTAGCTTCGTTAACCTGAGAACTAAATGCGTTGGTAATTGGAATCGTAGCAGAGTTCCCGGTATCGATGCCCGACTCTCCCTTAATCAAGTCCCGTGGGTGATGGGGGTAAGGATGACCATGGACGGGAACTGGCACCGGCACTGGCCTTGCCTCTGGCTTCGTCTTGACTACAGTATTTTTCGTGTCTGTATCGACAGAGTGGTCGTCCTTACTTGCTTCGTTCACTTGAGAAGTAAATCCATTGGTAAAGGGAAGACTAGCAGAGTTGCCAGTATCGATACCGGATTCCCCCTTGATCAGGTCCCGGGGGAGATGGGGATGAGGGGGATGAGGGCGAGTATGGTGGGCTGGCACCGGCACCGGCTTGGGCTCTGGCTTGTGCTTGTCCTCGACCAGAGTGTTTTTCAAGTCGGCGTCCACGGAGTGGTCATCCTTACTGGCCTGATTTACCTGGGATGTGAATCCATTGGTGATTGGAATACTGGCAGAGTTACCAGTGTCGATTCCTGACTCGCCCTTGATCAAATCACGGGGCCAATGTCCGTGAGGGTGATGTACTGGCACTGGCACTGGAACCGGCTTCGGCTCCGGCTTGGACTTCACCACAGTGTCTTTTGAGTTAACATCCACGGAGTGATCGTCCTTACTAGCTTCGTTGACCTGAGATCCGAAGCTGTTGGTGATCGGAAGACTGGCAGAGTTACCCGTGTCAATACCGCTTTCACCCTTTATCAAGTCACGGGGCCAGTGAGGATGGGGATGCTTGTGAGAGGGTGTCTTGATAAGAGTGTCCTTATCCTTGACATCTGTGGAGTGGTCGTCCTTAGATACTTCATTGACTTCGTTTGACGCCGCGTTGGTGAAAGGCAGTGAAGCTGAGTTTCCGGTGTCAATGCCGGATTCCCCCTTGATCAAGTCGCGCCCATGATGATGGTGAGGGACGTGCTCGGGCTTGGTAACATCGGTGTCCTTGACATTGACATCTGCAGAGTGGTTGTCATCGTAGGACTTATTGTCCGTAGAGCTGAAGATGTTCGTGATAGGAATAACGGCTTCATTTCCTGTGTCAATCCCAGACTCTCCGGAGATCAGATCCCGTGGAACATGGGGATGAGGGAAGTTGTGGTGATCGGGGTGCGCATGACCCGCGTCGTTGAACACGCTCTTCTTCTTGTCTACGTCCACAGAATGGTCATCCTTGCTAGCCTCGTTGACCTGGGAGCTGACCACATTGGTGAATGGCAAAGACGCACTATTCCCGGTATCGATGCCAGACTCTCCATTGATCAGAGTGGGCTCTTCCCGTTCACCTCGGGGGTGATGGTGCGGCCAGTAGTGCTTTTCAGGGTGGCCCGGCTCAACCACAGCCGTGTTATCCTTGTTGACATCAACCGCGTGGTCATCCTTGCTTGCTTTGTTGACATTGGAGGAGAATGCGTTTGTAATGGGCAGTGAGGCGGAATTTCCAGTATCAATGCCAGACTCGCCATTGATCAAAGTGGGTTCGTCATGATCACCGCGTGGGTGGTGGTGCGGGCGGTTGTGCTTTTCAGGATGTCCTGGCTTGACGATCGCCGTATCATCCTTGTTGACATCGACCGCGTGGTCGTCCTTGCTTGCTTCGTTGACAGAGGACGAGAATCCGTTGGTAATCGGTAGGGAAGCGGAATTTCCAGTATCGATTCCTGACTCTCCCTTGATAAGGTCGTCACTGCCTCGAACCCCGTGGTGGTGGCCATGGCCTTCGGGGTGTACAGCGGTCTTGTCCACATTTACGTCCGCTGAGTGATCATCCGAGTAGGCCTCATTTACACCAGAGGTGAACACATTCGTGATCGGCAGTGTAGCCGAGTTTCCAGTGTCAATGCCTGATTCCCCCTTGATGAGGTCCTCGCTTCCTCGCACCGAGTGGTGGTGGTGATCCGGGTGCTTCGGGTGCTCCGGGTGCTCCGGGTGCTCCACATCAACCACATTCTTATCCTTGTTGATATCGGTAGAGTGGTCATCAGAATGAGCCTCGTTTACGGTGGAAGCAAATCCGTTCGTAAATGGCAGCGACGCAGAGTTGCCCGTGTCGATGCCTGACTCCCCACTGATCAAATCCTTGCCGTCTCTCACCCAGTGGTGGCCATGGTGGCTGTGGTGCTTATCCTCGTCGACAACCGTTTTGTCCTTGTTGATCTTAGACGAGTGGTCGTCGCTGTGCGCCTCATTGACACTGGACGAGAAACCGTTCGTCACCGGCAACGATGCCGAGTTGCCCGTATCAATGCCACTTTCACCACTGATCAAGTCAGGCTCTGACCGCGTGTGGTGGTGTGGGTGGCCGTGGGCAGGGCCTTTCACAGCGCTCTCGTCCTTATCGACATGAACGGAATGGTCGCCTTCGTGGGACTCGTTCACCGTCTTCGACTTCACATTGGTGTGCGGGTCGTAGAAATGTTCGTTGCTACTTCCGCTGCCCTTCTGGTTGATTTCCTCCCTAGGCCAGTGGTGGCCGTGATGAGCATGCTCGTCCACAACCTTATTCTTCGCGTCCACATCAACTGAATGATCGTCGGAATGCTCCTTATTCACGGTGGACGTAAAGCCATTGGTGATCGGGAGCGACGCCTCCTGGCCACCATCCACACCACTTTCTCCCGAGATCAGCGAAGCCTTGGCCATGGCAGCCAGCATGGCAATGGATATTCCACTTTGAAGTCCCTTCATTTTGCCGGAGGATTACAATTGTTATAGCGATTTCGAAAGCGATAGAATACAGGGACGAATAGATCTTAATCAACGAATGACTTCGGCCAATGGGCCAAGGGAAGATCAGTTAGAAGGAATGTAACCAAAGACTGACCGAATAAAAGAAAGACCAGGCTTTGGCAGTTTGGATAACTCGTGGTTGCAGCATCATAGGACCCTGTTGCACCTTTTATTTTCGACCCCTTTGGAGGACATTTCCTTTGGTATGCTGTCGTCTTACCGCCAGTACAACAAACAAAGCCTCCCCGGACATTGTTGACTGGAGAATGCTTTCAGGAATGGTTGAAGTCCGGTCCTGTGGCCCATGGGCAGAGCATCATCAGGTCCCGTCGTCGCAGGAGACACCATCCCATTGTGCCGTCAGCATTCCTTGGAACTGGATCGCGCGGAAAACAGGGGATTGGAATGCCTGGATCACGCAAAGTCTCAGATCGTCATAGGCCGCTTCACACGATGTCCAGTACCTAGCTGCCGTCCGGCTGATGAGGAAGGTTAGTTTATTGCGATAGCCATTACGCCATCAACGCCTGCAGACAGCTCAGGGACGGTGAATACTGGAAGCCAGCCAGTTCGGCTGTCAGTTTGGACGCCGCGTCGCGTGGCTTACTCCTCCTGCCCGCATGCCAGAACCTCGGCGGCAGGTCGCAGATTTTCTCCCTGCCTTTAATCGAAGGTTCAATTAACAGGAGTGTGGCGTGGCGTCTAATTGGTTCTGAACTTGACGAGTCGACTACTGAGATTATTTTCTTATCCAGGTATACGTTGTTGATTGATCAATCAATTGCAAATTCAAATTCAAATTCATTATTCATTGTTGTTAAGATGAGATGTATCCCGTCATCGACATTCACCCCTCATCGCCCTCACTGAAGAGGACCCAACGAGAGACAAACTTCCTATCAAGGAATATTACTCTCCAGAGCCGATCAGTCCGTAGACCGAAGGCAACACGTCGCCGTAGAGAAGGCTGGACGACGGTCGTGGCAGGCTCTGTGTAAGCTTTTCGATGTATGTAGAGAAAAGAAAAAGAGGAGGAAAGATCGTCGCCCGCGATCGCTTTTTGTAGTTCTTGTGCGTCACGTGAGCACTCCCGCTTAGCTTAGTGTCATCCACTCAGGCAGCCAGGCACCCGCCCCCAACAGGGTCAGGCACCAACTGCTTCCACGTCTCTCAAGATGGGAAGAGGTCTATCAAAGTCCATCCATTCAACGCCATACGTGTATCCACAGCCTGGAGCGTGTGTCATGGCGACTTATGTACAAGTTTTCCCTGCCGTTTCACTCACATGTACACAGAAGGACAACCCCATACCCTTTGCAACTCCTTTCCGGCCCTTGATTATCATTCCTAGCCCATGACGCCTGTTTGCGCCGCAATTCCAGTTCGCCCGAATCACCCGTTGTGTATCTGGAGCAATCACTGAGAGAGGCTTAAAACCCCTACACACATGTTTGGCATGCCAAACCCACACCAGACTGACCACCAGCCATCAACCTATCTCCCAATCACCACCTGTTGGGTATCAGACTTCCACACAGCCCCTCCAACAGCAGCAGTAATCCCCAGCGCGATCGCAACCATGGTTCCAACTGTCACGACGGCAATCGTAGCCTTAACCGCCATGCGTTGCTTCCGACTCAGTCTCTGCATCCATCCGCAGCGTCGTTTCTTCTGAGCCCAGAGCTTCGACTCACGATGGCTTGTGGATTCCACTGGCTGTCGGTGGAGCGTCGGCGGGTCTTCGGGATCAAGGGGGCTGTATCTTGTCGTTGTCGCTTTGGCGGCCTTTTTCAGTCGGTCGATGGCTAGTGATGGTGTGGCATGGCGATAAAAAGGAGAGGATGGCTTTGCTCCATCAGCCGGGTTGAATTCCCCTTGTTGCAGTTCGGGAGTCGATGCGACGGACGCGGCTTCAGGGACTGTGGGGAGAGGAGTTGATCCAGATGCGGTGCGTCTCTCTTTGTGTATCAGCGGACGATCTGTCGACTGGCTGAGTGGACTCGTCATATTCATGCTGCTTAGGTAAAATGCGACTGTAGGGATGTAGTTACTCCGGACGCAAGTAGTGCTAAATCCGTGAAAGGATATCAGTCAACGAACACAAGACGGTGAGTGTTGATAACATAGGTGAGAGGGGTTTTAGGGGTATTGATATGGTTGAGGGGTTGCGGTGGTTGCGCCCCCTGGCTCAACACCTGGATGTTGGAAGGGGTTGGCCGATGGTGGCTTCCTTGGGGGTTGTACATCCACAGAATCAGGGGGGATTGTCCCACCTACATATGTACACCACAGTCTGCCCCTCTAGATATGATCGGGCGTCTTGTAGATTCTTATCGACATGACAGTTCTCGTTATGAGAGGCTTGAGGTGAGGTTTGAAGAGGTATGGTAGTAGTCCCCAATTAGTGCAGATTGGCTGGATTGCTCGGGCAATGGAGGGATCTTAAGGTCTGGAACGTGGCCGCAGATGCAGGTCAACAACTGATTCACTGCTTCCAGAAATACATGCACTTTAGGCGAACAGTGTAGCCTGCTCGGGTGAACTTGCTGGTGTAGGCGCGTGATACTAATATATATATATATAGTATGTATCCTGAAAGCTATAGATAGAATTTATTTCACAATCGTTTGATGTTCTTAGTAGTAGCACGTATCAGTCGCAGTGGGACAATATTAATATGTAATTGCAAGTCATGCTAGGGAAGATATATATTTTTAGATGGACGGAGTTGCATCATCCATTCACCCCAGGAGTACTGAACTTGCAGCCATAGGAAGACTGTTAGACAAACTATTATCGCAGCTAAGTAGTACCAGTGTTACAGATGGAAGAAATCTAACACACTACAGCAATGCCTGAATCTTGATACTCGCATCCATGATGTAAAATAAACATCAAGACGCCTTCATGCAGGAGGTTCTGACATCACATATAACGCTTGAGGTTGGTTTTATTTTATTTTATTTTATTTTTTTTTATTTCTGCAATAATTATCTACTATTTGATGCAAAGTTTATCTTACATGAATGAACAATCTTCTTGCTCAAGCCCAGAATCCAAAAATCGTTTGTTCTACAAATCTCCTTGTCCAACGTTGATACAGGCTAGTAGAGGACTACGCCAAGGCACAACTGCCAGCCCTTCCAACTTACGAAATAATCATACCCGGAAGAGCTCTGATCCAAATAGACCGCCCCTCATTCACATCGCTCTTATGTCGCACAAGCCCAGAACACTGAATCCCATTGTCACCTGGGATCTAGGCCCCGTTGCCCAGGTTATCAGTACATTTCTTACCAGGAATGGAATGAGTAACCAAGAATGGACGCCAGACAGGGATGAATGATCAAGGCCACTATGGAAAATAGGGGTCTCGTGTATTGAATCGGAGGTCCCGCGGATGACCCTGGATGCTTTCATCCCTTCGCCCCTGTCCTCCCTTTCTTGGCCTTATGGGCTCGCTCACTATGAGGTATTATGCCCAAAGGCATGCCAGTTACCTAATGGACTGGGCAATCTCAGGAAATTACATATGGCGGCTCCGCTTTTTGACTCGAGGCCTTGATTTCAGACATTGTAGAAAGAAGTATTTTGGAGGATGAGCGGTTGATGAGTCTGATCTTCTGGGTTACCAGAATCGGTACGGCTGATGTTCTTGATGGGCAAACGGATACAGCACACTTCTGGACGTACCTCTTACAGTCAGCCAAACTTGAGATCCAATAATCAGAGAGCTCCTGCTTCCGTACTATTCCCATGTTATGATGAAAGCCATAGTCTCGAACGTAGCTCTCCTTTCGTGAAGACAACTGCTCCTCTTACCTGGGTATCAAAGTTGAAACCAATTGATAAGCGTGTGTCTAGGAGACCGGTCGTAGTAGACATTCACTGACTACTTTGGCATCTATCCAAACCGAACGAGTGGATTTATGCTCGAGATTGTGCTTGATCTGGTAAGCAGACTCTGTGCTGGCAGTGGATCACGTGATTATGCAACATCTTATGCCATCTGCGAGCTGAACGAAAGGAAATCATCAGTATTAGCCGCTTTATCATTATTATATCAGTTACAGCACTCATGGCCCTGTAGCATATTTGCAATATATGACTATACAGCTCTTTATTTGGCTGCCACCGTAGCACATCAATCTGGGATCTTCTGCAAGTTACGCCCCCAGGCTGATATGTGGCTATCTTTTCCTGATCAGGAAGCCCACTTCCTCCTACCCGATCGGGGAATACACCTTACAGCCCCAGCCTGCATGCATCAATTTCATGCATAGAATCAGTCACAGACAACACATTTATTCTATATCCGTGTCTATCCCAACGCCGACCTTTGAAAGCACCAAATCATCAATCATTCAAGCAGAAGCACAATGTCCACCATCCACTCTCAAATCCGTGCCCGTCATGAACCCGCTGCCATCAGCAAGCATATATACTGTTGGTGCCTTGAAGTCCTCTGGGACACCGAGGCGGCCTAGCAGCGCACCACGCATCCAGGTCTCTTCGACCTCGGGCTTCTCCTGAAGAAGGGCATCGGTCATTGCAGTGCGGATGTACTGGTTGTATAATTAGAATCGCGTATACTATTCCTGTGAGGAGGATGGTACATACTCCTGCTGATAAAGTGTTCACACGGATGCCGTACTGACCCCATTCCTGCGCCACCGAGCGGCACATCTGGTGCACAGCTGCCTTGGAGGAGTTGTATGCGGTGCAAGTTAATCCCTATGGGTCATCATTAGGCCTAATTACACAGAAAATTGAAGAGAAGACGTACCCGATTGGCGATTTGACCCGACATGGAAGCAATCATCACAATGCTTCCTGGGATGCTTTGCTCCTTGAAGATGCGAGCGCAATGTTTAGCGGGAATGAATGTTCCGATCACGCTGAAGAGTCAGTTTCTATCGTACGTGAAATCTAGTTCTGATCGCTCACTTCACATCCAACATCTTCTTCCACATATCAACTGGGTAGTCTAAGGCAGGCACCATCTGCTGGATACCAGCACAGGTCACCGCTCCGCGCAGGGGCATACCCCGGCTCATGCTCTCAGCGGCAACTTGCTTGAGGATCTGCTCGGTCGACTGCTCATCTGTAATGTCGCACTTGATGTATGTGGCTTTCAGGCCGCGGGCGGCAGCCAGCTTCTGCACGGATGCCCATTCGTCCGCGCTAGGTTCGGGAAGAAGGTCAAGGCAGACGACGTCACCTCCAGCTTCGACGACGGCGCCAGCAAGGACAATTCCGAGACCGCGGCCTCCACCAGTGATCACGATTGTGCGGTTACCGAGGGAGAAGAGGTCATTTGTACGGCCGACGATGGAGGGTTGGGTGGATTCTGAGACCGCAGGAGTGGTGTGGTCGACGGCGACCTCGGGGGTGGTGTTATCGATTGCAATGGAGGGAGACATGGTGATATGATCGAAGATTAGGAGATCGAAAATCTACGTAGAATGTATGACCAGGGAGGTACTACGGGCTGTTCAAATAACGTGGACGAATAGCTCATGGAAGCGCTTAACAACAACCCAACTAGGAATATCCTGTCCGACCTGCCGTGCAGACATCTCATGCTTGAATCAAAGCTCCCCTTAGGCCTACTGCTGAACTGTTGCAACAGTTCAAACGCATGAGGTAGATACAACGGGGCTTAATACTTCCCATGAGGGAATTTCGCCATTGTCGGCCATGGAACCATGGCGCCGGCGGGTTGCCGGGGTCCAGCCGAAGTGGGCCCGGCAGAGGCGCGTAACATTACCGCATGCGGCAACTGTATAGGCCAACGTACGATGCCCTATCCCGGTCCCCACCCGGTTCTCGTTTAGCGGGAAAGGCCAAGTTTGGGGAATAAGTTGCATCATCTGCGGAGGGTTCTGAATTGAATAATTGTGTCAGACTTCATCAGGTTGAAGTTGCTAGAGTCGGGTTATTATGGGTCCTGAGATAGTGTGGTCGTATCAAAGATATGTCCATCTGATTGCGAATATAACCGTACCGTTTAGCCTCGCAAAGGAACCGACAGAGCTCTAAATCAGAAAGGTACCGTAGAGGCTTCCCGGTCTGCGTGGTCCTCCACACCAACCCCGGTTTTGCCCTTCCGACCCCCGCAATCCGCAAAGCATGACGTCGGGCCGTCCATCGGCGGTTACATGCCCTATAAAAGTAGATGTAGCCCCTGAATGGCGCCAGCCCTAATCGAATATGACTTATCCTCATACTTGTTTGAAGAGTACGAAAACATGACTATCCTCGTTGGAAAGGCCCTGTCATGGGCTATCACCACCACTGCAGGAAGTGGGTTCCTGCTGTGCGTCTCCTGCACCTCTTTTCACATTGCATGAGTTGACCCTTGCTTAGGTTCGGCTATGATCAGGGTGTCATGTCTGGTCTCCTGACAGGGACTGCTTTTACACGAACCTTCCCGGAGATTGATACCACTGCTACCGGACACGGTAGTTCGTCGTTGCAGGGGACGGTGTAAGTTATTCATACAGTGGACTGTGCTGGATCAAGTATCGCTAACGAGGATAGCACTGCCATCTATGAGATCGGATGCTTCTTCGGGGCTATTTATTGCCCTGTTGATTGGTGAACGCATCGGACGACGCATGTGCATCATCGCTGGCTGTATCATTCTCTCGATCGGAGCTGCGTTGCAATGCAGTGCGTATAGTATCCCTCACTTGATCGTGGGACGGATAGTGGCCGGTGTTGGAAATGGTCTCAATACTAGTACAATTCGTACGTTGTGCTCCTTGGAGATGTGGTAACCGGACGAGGCTAACGATGGCAGCGGTTTGGCATTCGGAGCTGAGCAAAGCAGCAAGCCGTGGAAAGGGGGTGAGTGGCGCCGATAACTTGACTCTGATACCGTCTTAACAACTTTAGCTTGCGATTGAGCTTTGCATCAACATCTTTGGCGTGATGACGGCATACTGGGTTGGTGAGTCTATCATCTACTATATACGTGGTGGGGACATGGCTGATGGCTGTAGATTACGGAATGAGCTACGTGGTCAACGACGCGCAGTTTCGCTTCCCCATTGCCTTGCAGATTCTCTTTGCCGTTATCACATTAGCAGGCGTTATCGTGCTTCCCGAGTCTCCTCGCTGGGTATGCCACCTCCCTTGTTGCGTATGGAAAGTATGACTAATGATAACGATGACAGCTTATTGCCCACGGCCGACACGAGGAAGCCCGACATGTCATCTGGGCTGTCCAGCCCAACGCCCGACTGATCGACGAAGATGATGCTGCAGTGACCGCCGACGTTACAGAAATAACCACCGCTATCGCTGAAGAGCGAGAGGCCACGCAAGAAGGGTCCTTCAAGCTGGTCTTCACAAACGGCCACCAGAAGTTCTTCTATCGGACGCTACTGGGAATGGGTGGCCAGATGATGCAACAGCTGTCGGGTGTCAATCTGATTACATATGTGAGTGACTTGTATCTGACAACTCTGGTATCGGTGTCTGACTTGAGCAGTACAATACGGTTATCTTCGAGGATTCGGTTGGCATGAGCCATAACCTGGCGTTGTTGATGGCTGGGTTCAACGGCGTGGCATACTTTGCCTCGACATTTGTCCCTATCTGGGCTATTGATCGGTAAGTTGTATATACTTTATGGTATGGTGTAGTCGGTCGTTGACAAAGCTAGGCTGGGTCGTCGGAAGTTGATGCTCTTCGCGGCGGCTGGGCAATGCGCGTGCATGGCGATACTGGCGGGCACAGTATATGACGGCAGTCATGCATCTGGTATCGTGGCCACGGTCATGCTGTTTTTGTTCAACTTTTTCTTTGGAGTGGGATTGCTGGCCATTCCCTGGTTGTGTATGTTGACTACCCTTTGGGTGACCCTGGATTTGGCTAATGATGACAGTGCCCGCCGAATATGCTCCGCTGTCTATTCGATCTCAAGCTGCAGCTCTCGCAACCGCTACAAACTGTATGTGATGCCAAATCCTGCGTGAAAATTTCTCTAACAATTGCAGGGATCTTTACCTTCCTAGTGGTGGAAATAACTCCCGTCAGCATCAAGAGCATCGGCTATCGCACGTATATTTACTTTGCCGGTAATTCAATTTCTCACCCCAATTAGCGATAAAAGCTAACGTCACAGTGTTCAATTTCTTCTTCCTCCCACTGATTTACTTCTTTTACCCGGAGACACGGAACCTGACCCTGGAACAAGTGGACCGGCTATTCACCGGGGAAAAGGTCCAGCTGCACTGGCACGCGTCAATGGGTGCCGTTGGGGATGCGAGCGAGCGAGTGGACGAGAAGACAACCAAGGGAAGTGTAGAGCATGTAGAGTAGACGTATCTTATGTTCGATTTAGTATCATGAATGATTGCAAATGATTACTATCTTTAAGAGCAACCCTGGATAAATCCCACCGGATAAATGAAAATGTCTGGGGAAAACCCCGACTTCCCCACATTCTCCCCGGCGGGTATCATTACCCAATCAGGCAATTTTTTTTTCTCTTCCTCCCCCATCATTCCCCGCGATCCCTCATCATCATCATCGTCAGTCATTCCAGTTTCCCTCTTCATCAATCCCTATCAATCTATCACATATGACGGGGAATTATGGCTGAGGTTTCACAACCCATTGAATTGCATACCATGCCGTGCGCCGATTCTCGTCATCTTCCGCGGAAACGGACCCGCACGGGGTGCGTCAATTGCAGCCGACGAAGGCGGAAATGTAAGCAGCAAGCAACGGAACTTGATCAAAACAATAAACTAGTGACTTATCTAGTTAGTGAGCATTGCATCAAGCTGACTTAGTCCAGGCGACGAAGCAAAGCCTACGTGCACGGGCTGCAAGCGGCGCGGTGACAAGTGCCAATGGCGCGTGCTAGGGTCGTTCCGTGAGGCCAACATCAAGGTTCTGGAACCGGGGCATCCGTCTATGAATCAGACAGCGAGGGGAACTAGGAAACAAAGTAAATTCAAGGTTAGTTTAGCCCTACTGGTTTAGGGTGAGAGTCCATTGGCATGGGCTGATGGGTTGGTAGATTCTGAATGTTGTTCCTTCTCGACCTGCTGGAAAAGAACGGCAAGCGACTCCGCCAGTTGATGGTGAAAGAGTGTCATCACCTGCGCGATCGCCTCCTGGTAGCGGTGAGGGTGTTGGTGAAGTGGCGCAGACGACGGTTTTGGAACATGTGTCCGGAGCCGCTCCGGACCGTCCTCCGGCTGTGCTTAGTCCTGGTTCTAATCAGGCTGTCTCGCCCATTTCGCATCAGAGCTTCCATGCTGAAGAGGTCAATATTGGACATGGTCACTCACCTCACCCGGCTGAACTGCCTCATCCGTACCCTGATGAAGCTCCTCATCAGCCGTACCTCCATTCTAGTCCCGAGTTCGTTGTCGATGAGCTTACTGCTCTGCGTAACCTCTCCAATAACCCGGGGCACTTTCCTGGACCTGAAGTCTACCAGTCTATAACATCGCCGCTGTTTGATCATAGCGTTTTCTCTGATCCAGCAAATCTAACAAACGATGTCTTCGTTCCGGGTTCAGCCTACGAAGCGCTTCACACCACACTGCGTAACCGACAGCTGTGGACTGCCAGGACAGAAATCCCCAGTCGTGCAAGCACCCCAGCATCAGTGCTTGGATACGACGGAATCACGGCGTACGACTCACGCATACAGAGAAGCAGACGAGCCCAGTCCAGGCCTGGGCGGGAGTTTGAACTGACAGCCGAGCGCGAGAACATTCTTTGGCAGAACTACCTCAACGAGATCTGCTTATGGGTAAGTGATCCAGACACCCCGCCAGACGAGTACTGATCGTGCAGCTGGACATGTTCGACAACCACCGACACTTCGCATCGACCTTCCCTCAGATGGCTAAATCGTCGCCACATCTGCGATATTCCATCCTTGCCTTGTCAGCACGGCAGATGGAGCGGCAGCAGAACAAAAAGTCGCAATCAGAAAGTCTTCTCTTATACCAAGAAGCCATCCATCAACTTCTTCCGGAGCTAGAGCAAAAGACTACCCCTGTCATCGCGTCATGCGTCATTTTATGCGTCCTCGAAATGCTCAGCTGTATGTACCCCTCTCTTCCCCTCCGACATTCCCCACCCACTGACAGGTCTAGGCAACCCCAAAGAGTGGCGCCGTCATCTCGACGGATGCGCCTACCTTATCCAAGCGGCGGAAATCAACGGCTTCTCGGGTAAAGAGGAGCAGGCGCTATTCTGGTGCTTCGCGCGAATGGGTTAGTTGCATCTAGTCTACCTACTTTATCCCTGTTCCTGGTGTCTCCCCCCACCCATCCCCTCCTAGATAAATAGACTAATGCACGACATAACTGTTACAGACGTCTGCGGAGGCCTCATCTCCGAAGAAGAGACCATTATCCCGATCCACCACTGGATCCCGCGCGACATGACCCCCACGGAAGCATCCCAGCTCTTCCTCGCCTCGAACATGACCACCTTTGACACGTATGCCAATTACACAGTCTTCCTGTGCGCCCAGACATTAGGAGTGCTCTTCGGCGGTAGTAGCCAGTTACCAGCATCCTGCGTGTCGTGCCACTATCTCTCTAGTCCCGGGGAGGGCGAGTCGTATGTGCAGCGGTGGCAGCGCCTGTTTGATGATGTGGAGCAGTGGTACGAGAACCGGCCGAGTCAGATGAAGCCGATTTTCGTCCTGACAGCGGGAGGGAGGGGAAATGGGGAGAGACCGTTTCCGACGGTGCTGTATGGGAATGGGGCTGCTAGTATGTTGCTTATCCAATTTCCTATTCGGGAAATGGTGGATGTATCCATAGGCAGACGACATGGATGTGTGTACTAACTGATAGATCTAGTTTCAGGAAATCAGCTCTATCATGCCTGCGCGTTGCTTTTGCTGCAGCGAAAACCAAAGACTGTATCCCTGCCACGGCGACCGGTGAGTCATTTTTCTTCTTTTTATCACCACGAGGATGATTACATCCGACGGATCGGACACTTACTCCGGTCCCTCAAACCTTATACTTAGTAATACTAACGAGGTGTAGAAATCGGTACTGTGGCACGCGCGGCAAATCTGCGCTATTTCCGCATCGAATACTCACCAGTAAGACCCCTTACAGCTACTTTGAAAAGTTTAAGAATAAAGTTAATGGATGAGAAATAGTGGCTGCTGGACCAATGCCCTGCAGCCGCTGTGGCTGGCTGGCAAAGTTATGTCGCATTATTCGGAACATACCGCCATAATCGAGACATTGACGCGAATTGAGCGCGAGACGGGCTGGGCAACAGCCTGGCGAGTGGAGGATTTGAAGGAATTTTGGGGGGACGAAGACGAGGATGTGGATGTGGATATGGATGGGGGGATGGATCTGGACCTGCGGAATGAGAGGGAGAGAGGGAGCATCGGGAGTATTCCTTCGAGTCGGTCGTGAGATGAGATGAGAGATTTCCACGAATGTGGCATGAGCAGAGGCAAGAGGCAGAGAGCATAGCTCAATGCAGGCACGGGTCGGACGGGAGGAGCTTTGGGGACTTGATTGATATCATTGGATTAATTGGGATGATCGAGATCGGGATCCACCAGGCCGGGAATGAGCGGGATGATCTTACCGAGACAGATGATAGATGAATAGTAGAATAGCTAGCTATTTACACCCCAAACGTGAGCAGTAAACGTCAAGAATACATAATATGATCTTCATCGTGAATATCCACCATGCTTGGTTATCAGTCTCCGTCGAAAAAGCTAGACAGTAAGTAGACAGGAAAGTTAGACAGCAAGGAAGATCCCATAATCAAGGCAGGCAACCAGTGGATCTCAGCTTGCAGGTTCAGCTTCAGCTCTGACCCCATCAAGCCACTCTGATAGGTTTAAACCACCGACTCCTCTCCAGCCGCAGCGGATCTCGCATCCTCCCAAGCAAAGGTTCTGGTTCGCGCGCGTCCCGATCCGCATCCACCAAATCCATCCATCTCCACCGTTCATTTCATTTCCCACTGCGTAGCCCATAACCAAGTTTACTCCTACACCTCTAACAACCCCCAAAAAATCAACACTCGAAATAAATTATAATGAATATTACGAAGTATGTAAGTAAATTAATTCATGATTCAGCCGAAACCCTTTTCAATACGACCTCCAACCCCTGCACCTCCATTCCCTTCTCACCCAAGTCCTTCAATCCAGCCCCATCATCATCCCGATCAAACCACAACCTCCAAACCCCCTCCTCATCCACTCCCGGAAACCTTACTGCCAACCACCCCTCCCACCCCTCCAGCGTGATCCGGGATTCGTCCTTCGTCCAGTCAAAGGGCCCACACACCTGGCCCTCGCTCTCGGCCCGCCCACCCCAGCGCACCTCGTGCGTGGTGACGTCGAGGAAGACCCAGCGTAACGTGGGCGGCGTTTCCCCTGTGATGGTGACGAGGCCGGCTGTGTTATCCGGTGGGAACTGCGGATGTGTGAAGAAACCCCCGTTGAAGGGGGTCATTGTTTCAGGGTTGGGGTTTTTGGTTATGTAGAGCTATATTGAAATATTTCATTATTGTGTCAATGCAGGTACAGATTAGTTTCGGGGGGGTGGGTTTGAAGCTAGAAAATGCGTGACAGGGATGAGGGTTCGGGGTGTATGTAGATGTGGTATGATGGGTGCAGGATGGGAAACATACTAGGGAATATTGAGACTGAGAAAGGAAGGATGAAAGAAAGAAAGAAAGGAAGGAAGGAAGGAGACTTACTCGGTTCTCAGGACCCACATACACCATCGCATTATGAATTTGTTCACGCTGTGCCGTCGTGCCCTGACTCACGGAGCAGTTCACTAACAGATGGCAGCGTTGTTTCCGACTGGATTCTTTCCGGCTATCTTCGCTGTCGCGCATGTTTTGACTGGCTTGGTTGAGCCCGATCATGGTTGGGACCATAGCGGCCATCATGGCGATGCCGAGAACCATGTTGCTTATTTTTTTTTTCTTGTGTGGATAATGGGTGATGCCTGGATGGGATAGACGGACAAGGATCGGAAGGGATAATGCAAGCGAGATGGATATGGTCGGAAAAGATAGATGGATGGAGGAGAAAAAAGTCAGATCGGCGCATTAAGTAGGGTGGGTGTGATGGAGGTGGAGTCGATGCAACTTGGTCGGAACTAATCGCTAGACTGCAGATGGAGGGAAAGTTAGTTTAGTTTCGCATAGGATGATTTATAAAGTAGTTTAGGCGGGATCAGGTGTTAGTTGCGTCTGCTAAGTACATGGATTCTTCTGCTTCTTCTTCTTCTTCTTCTTCCTATTCTTCTTCCTATTCCTCGTCGACGTCTAGGTATTCTTCGTCCGAGTCCGAGTCGCTGTCCTCGACATACTTCTACTCGCACTTTTCCCTCGCCGATTCGTTTTCTCATCCTCATCCTCATCCTCATCCTCTTCCTCACTCCTCTCCTACCTCCAAGGGACAAGACAAACCACAAGAGGTCAAACCTACATACCAACCTCCTTCACTTCCAACCACCGAAAACACAATGGCCGACTCTTCCTCCCCAGGGTACGTCTCCCCTCCCATTACCTTCCCCCATCCCATATTCCCATCCACCACCACCACAACAACAACATACCTATCTACGTAGTAACACCCTCAATTCTCCAGCCCTACTCCCACATCTACATCCACCCCAAAACCATCCTCCAAACCCCCATCCCCTACTCCGTCTGCCACCGCAGCAGCTACACCTACCTCAATCCCCAAACCACCCTCTCCCACTAACACTCCCCTCCCCACCAGCAACCCCACACTCGGCAACCGCCGCAACAACCGCGCCGAAGAAGAAGCCGCCAGTGCTGCCGCTGCTGTCCTCCCCAACGAAGGCATGAAGGCCCCCGGCGTGACGGCCAACCAGGATGAGAAATCCAACCTCAAGATCAGCATCCATTTGAACTTGCGTGCCAAGGTGAAGTTGGATTTGGATGCGCAGTTGTATGGTGATATCGTTATTGGGTTGTTGTAACCTTATTACTTTGACGTGTATGTTGGTATGAGGGTGGGGATGTATGTATGGTACTTGATGGCATGCATGAAGAATTGATGAATGGAATGAAATGGATATATGAATTGGGTTTGTCTGTATGATTTGTTTGTAGGGGGTAAGGTGGTGGAGAGAGAAATTTAGGTAGTAGTAGTGCGCATGAGGGTTGTTGTCTCATTTAGTATGAGGGTAATGGTGCTGGTGGTAGTAGTTTACTTCGCTGTCGCTGATGACCGAATTGATCACCTCGAGTACTCCGTACTGATCGTTCAGTGCACTGAAATAAACTAGTACCTCGCCCAAGTCAAACAGAAATGGTATCAACATGCGAGACACATACTACCTGCTAAGTGACGCATTCGTATACTCCCTCAACACCCCCCTCATCACATGCACCGGCGCCGGCCTCCTTGTAAACAGCTCATACTGCGCAATGCCCTGCTCCAACAACACCACCAGCCCATCAACCACGACCCAGCCCATACTCGCTCGTTCATTCATACCAATTCTCAGCTTGGTCTGCGGCATTCCATACGCCACCTGTCCAGTTAGCACCTCTCATTAGAAGTCAGGGTATCACACACATACGTCAATAAAAACACCCCCAGTCGTACTCCTCAACCACTGCTCCGGCACCTCCATCGTAATAGGAGACTTCAACTGCCCCCCAGCCGGCGCCGGCAAACACGCCACTATAATAGTCGGTTGACGAAAGCCCTCCGGCCACGCATCGTCACTCGATCGCAGAATCTCGATCTTCAGATGGGTATTATTCCTCTCAGCCCACCGGGTATAATAGTCAGCTAGCTTCTGCGCATTCGAAACAGTCCGGTTATAGATGCAGATCTGGCGGACGCCGAGCTGGTAGCATGCATAAATGGCTGCGCGGGCCATTCCGCCTGCGCCTATTACCAAGGCTGTAGTGCCGTGTCGGATGGCATTGGCGGGAGAGAGATGTTTGTTGATGCAGTCACGGATCCCGAGATAATCTGTGTTGTAGCCTTTAAGGACCTTGGAGGGGCTGTTGGTACTGCTATTTCGGTGCTCGATGACCACCGTGTTTACGGCGTGGATGTCCTGGGCATCTGGGCTGACTTCGTCTAGTAATGGGAGGACGTCCGTTTTGTATGGTAGTGTTACAGCTATTCCTCCATGATCGGCGCTGTTTAGGAGTTTGTGGATGTCGGAGAAGTGGTCACTGCATAATATGTTGTAGGTGTGGGGTAGACCGCAGGCAGAGTAGGCTGCATTGTGCATTGCTGGTGAGAGACTGTTTTGGACTTTTTGGCCGAAGACGGTGAAGGTTTGTTTCGGAAGCAGGTAGCAGGATGTAAGTGCTTGCTGGGCCGATGCGAGTGTGACCCCTGTGGCACTATCCGGAAGAGATGGGAGGACCACTGGCGAGAGAATGGGATTTAGACATATAGATGCTCGTCCGAGTGGCCCACTATGGTATACGGTTATGGGAATGTCTGTTACCTCACCCAGCCGTTGTTGTAAAGTAAGATTCGTGAGATCCCCTGGGAAGCTGGGCTCTATAGTAACGCGAAAGGCGTCGAACCCTTGCTCTTCTGAATTCTCCAGAAGAGAACGTATTTCAGGAAGGATGCTCTGGTCCCTAGCCAAGGAGGTTGACTGATAGGTGGCAATGATCTTTGTGTGGCCTTTAGCCAGCTTTAATTTGCTAAATTCGCAGCCGTCAACAGGACATGCCACAGCATCGGGTGCGAGTCGAAGCAGCATCTCCAAGAGCTCACCGCGTCTAGCATCTGACTGCGGAACCTCGATGAATATTGGAATCCGAGTATGCTTCCGGATCGTCGCCATGTGCTTGGCAATTCTTTCCAGGAATCGGGCATTGTCATTATCACCGACTCCCCCGTCAATCACAAGAGTAACCGCGTCAGCGCCACTCTCCAATAGTTCCAGGTCCGGATTGCAATCCAGCCAGGTTAGCGGCACCTGCAGCGCATATGTATGAGATGGTGAAAATGGGTCCGAAGAGTAGAGCACATGATAAGCACGCCCGAAGACCTGATGCAAGAACCTCAGGAACACTCGTTCAGCTTCCTTGAGTTTGATATACGCCGGGAGTGGGCGACCAGCATAGTCTGTCAACTTGTCTTCCTGTGTGTGATTGAAAAAGTCAAAGCTGGAGCATGACTGGAAGAACTCATTGCCCGCTTCAAAGATCCGGTTGAACTTGTCAGGGCTAGTGGTCATGATGAACTGTTGAAGATCCACCCTGTCGCGTCTGACATACACCACGGGATGGTTCTGTGCAAACTCCTTCAAAAGCACCTGCTGCTGGCGATTTGCCGACCATCCCACGCCCGAGATGGTAATTACACATCCTGTGGAGCATTTATCTAGCAGAGTGCGAGTCAATTTCAGCTCCAGCTCCCGGTATCGCGCGGGACCATTTTGTGCAATGTACTCCTGGGGAGATAAGTGCACCTCCTGACGAAATACAGCATCGAAATCAATAAATCTGCGCCGCAGTGCGACAGATGCTATGATACCTAGGGTCTTCTTTCCGGCACCGACGAACCCCACGAGCAACAGGGTGGCATCCGCATCGTATCGCCGACAAGGGATGGTGACAGAGCGGTCGCATGGCATCAAAGGAGAGCTGAGACCAGACATTGAGCCTGCCATGACAGAAATGCTCAGCTTCCAGCATCAAGTCATTGTCGGCTGCTCCAGTTGTGGCAAAGCAAGTGGACGAACCGGACAAGTCAATGTGAGACCGCTTAAATTCCTTGCCGATCACATGACCCAGACTGAAACTCAACTGCACCACAAGAGTATGCGCTTAGAAAAAGGAGAAAACGTCGGATAAATACAGTAGCCGCGAATAACGGCATATGACATGCCTGAGTCTAGGTCATCCAAGCGTCAGCGCATCGGTCGCGCCTGTGATCAGTGTCGGCGTCGAAAGTCCAAATGCGACGGTGACCAGCCAGTCTGCGCTATTTGCCGCTCGGCGGGCAGGACCTGCACGTATGAAAACATCAGTCGACATCGGGGATTGCAATCAGGATATGTTCGCAGTTTAGAGGTGGCTTTGGGCCTTTTTCTCGAGCGGTTCCCTCGCGATGAGGATGCCTTGCGACGCTTCCTGCGCGACCCTCAGTGCAAGAAGCAGCTACCGGCGAGTGACTTGGCGGAGCGTGGGCGACAATCCAGGCTAGCCAAAGACGTGTATCGAGTGCTGAATAGAGACTCACAGGACGAGTCGAGTAGCGAGCTTGAAGACGATACTGGGCTTGCGCCACGGGGCTGCGACGTTGGTAACCATGGGGAAGCGGAAGGAGAGCGCACTGCCCAGGCAAGAAGTGCCCCTGGCGAGCGGATATCTCAGGTTGTCTCGGTGGAATATCTCAATCAGCCCATCCCAGATAATACCAATCAGCTTCTGCAGTTCTATTTCACCCATATCCACAGCTGGTTTCCTATCATCGAGCGCCGGGACGTCCTCCGCGTCATGCACACCCCTCCCGATGCGTCATGGTCGGCTCGAGACGCTGCCTGTCGTCTCGTATTGTGGGCAATTGTCGCCTATTCATTGGCAACGGATGACACGCTGGGGCGCGGCAGCCAGGTCGACCCAACACAAGTTGCTCAAGCCATCAGATTGCAAGTCTCGAGGGACATTGACCGGCTGCAGCTTGGCCATCTTCAATCTCTGTTGATCATTACGCTTCTGTACTTGGGGGTGGGCCATCTACGTCTGGCATGGGTATTGGTTGGCGAAGCCACGAGGATGCTCGAGATGCTTCCGGAATCTGCCAGGTGCGCTCGCTACCTACACATCCGGCATGGATGCGTCTTGATCGACAATCTTACCTCGGCAATTCTGGAAAAAGCCCCCTGTGCCTCGCTTGATGACCTGCGACAGTGTGCCTTAGTGAGCGAGGACGATGTGGACGAATGGGAGCTGTGGTCTATGCTGCGACCTGACCAGGCTTCAGGAGGCAGCGTAGTCGCCAAAGGCCCCTTGCGAGCTCTAAGCACCCTCAACCTTATCCACGAAGTGATGCGGTTTCTTACTCGGATACTATATTATCCTTCTGGGACGCTCCCCATTCAGGAGCTTGTAGTGGAGCTACGGAACTTGCAAGCCCTTGTGACGGCCAGGCGGCCTTATCGCGGTCTTGAATTTGCGAGCCCTCCTCTCCTTACGTTACATCTAACCACGGCCTTCGTGGTATTCTCTCTCGCCCTGAAGCACAAGACGTTCGATCCGGCCATCAAGCCGCTGGCCATGACCAGCTTGCGTCTTACTCTTGAGATATTGGATGCATATACAGAAATCACTGGGATGGCGGGCTCGTCCCCGCTGCTTCGCTGCTTTTCCTTCCAGGCCTACCGGTGTCTACAGAGTGCTCCGAGCATGTCAGGGCCGGGAATGGAGCAGCTGAGCAGTCGATTGATCCATCATATGCAGCAGCTGAAGCGAAGCGGTGAGGGAGGTACTTCTTATGAGGCGCTACGTTTTACCTGGTTGCCCCTGGGGAATCACCTTGACTGGTCTTACTTACCAGTGCCACGACTCACTACTCAGCGGCCTTTGGTGCCTGAAGGCACTGTCTACGGTGGACCTGACTTGACCATGGGAAATATGCCGATATCAGACCAAGTAATGGCCATGCCCGGCTTGTCCTCCACTTCTGGTGGTGTTATAGATGTTGGAAATGAAAGACAGGCGCAGGAGACTGAAGACTTTGATGCTCTCTTTGAGGAGATGGTAGCATCTATTCCGCAAACCAGGTATGTCCGATATCCCGGACATCATGTTTTCTTGCTAACAATAACAGAAACGAGCCCACATTTGCCGAGAATTTGGGTTTCTATGCAGGAAATTTAGATACAGACTTTCTTGCTCAGCTTCAACATGTCCCAGACAATGGCTGATTGCCAACATAGCTATCTATGAGCGTATTTATAGATCTAACTCCTTTGCCAATTGTTGCCAGGCCCGGATGCCTCGCTGGGAATGGCTCTGCGGCACGGTCGGATCCGGATCCGCCATGGTTCTGGAGAACAGTTCCATCGACACCCATCCTTCGAATCCAAGCTCCTTCAGGATTACCCGAGCTACCTCGACTGCCGGGAGATACCCGCCCTTTTCCTGTTCATACAGGAACAATCTCGCGTTGCGGCTCCAGTTCATGCGTGCCGGCTGGCCGTCCACGTGGAACGGATGGCCGGGGACCAATGGCTGCTCCATCTTTTCTGCATCAACAACCTGAACATAAAAGACCTTTTTCACGTCGATTGTCTTCACAAGGCGATCCAACGACTGGGCTAGCAATGCATCAGCATCAGGGACCGTCCCCGAGGGACTGGCGGGATCGGCCCACACCCGACCGGCGATGTTGAAGGTATCCAGACAGCATCCAAAATTCGGGCGATCGACCCGTTGAATGATTTCCCACATGGTGTCCCAGGTTGAAACATACGTGCCCCAGGCGAGACTCTCGTATGCGAAGCGAACTGGGGGCTCTTGCTGCAGGCCCAGATCGGCCACCTCGATCATGTCGGAGACAATGAGATCAAGATCTCCTGAGATGCCATCGGGCTGAAAGTTCGACGGGATCTGGATGATATCGGTACCGAGAATCTTGATGATCTTGAACCAGGTATGAAGTTTGGCGATCTTTTGTTGGTGGACGTCTCGATCTAGCAGGCCTTCGTAGAACAGGAACGGCTGCAATCCAATCACTTCGAGGCCGTGTCGGTCACAAATATCCTTGGTTTCTCGGGCGGCAATTAGGAGATTCTCTTCTGTCGGTTCTCCCTTTTCTTTGGCGAGGTATTCTAGGTCTTCGTAGAAGATTTCCACCCCTTTGAAGCCGGCCTGGGCGATCTGGGAGAGCTTCTCGGGGAGAGAATGGACCCAGGCACGGCCCACGGACATGGACGCGATAGCAGGTTTGCAAGGCATGATAGATATAGGAAATGATAGTACAATATGTTGATATATGAAAGTGTAGTAGAACCTTGGATGTGCATTTATATGGTTTCTGTCATACGTCAGGCCCGGCCCACACTGAGGTCATCGGCAATGTCCTCATCCGATTCCAGTCATTCCCTGCAATCTATCCATTAACTATACTAGTCTTCTTTTCTAGAAGTTAATACCCGGACTCTCCTCTGCAGCTTTCCGCAGCACAGACCACGCTCCATCCAGCGACAACTTCTGTCTCTCCTCTTCCCCGCACCAGAGCCGATACTGCTCCGGCATCTGATGTCCAATAACCTCCGTCCCCTCCACCGTAGCCCACCCCCGCGGTCCCGCCATCTTCAGAAACCTTGTCTGTCTCGGCTTGAAGCACATATCAAGCAACACCCCCTTAACAGGAGCATCCAAAAATGCCTCCACGATGCGATGCACCTCCTTCTCCTCCGCCGTCACCGGCTCCGCATCAGGAACTGTGCCAACCATATACCCCGGCGCCGCCTTCTCCAACAAACCCGCAACCTGCTCCACCCTCTCAACATGAACCATCTTCAGCCCCTCCCCATACTCCTTCTCCGTTTCCTGCCTCAAAACCCTCACTTCCTCCTCATCCCGATTCACCACGTAGATAGGCGTACATCCCAGCTCCTCATACAGCGCATACACCGCCGCACGACATGCTCCCCCCGCGCCCACAATCACCGCGGCCTTACCCCTCCCTTTCTCCTCCGGATCAGCAGAAAGCAAACACCCCTTGATACCGCGCCAGTCAGTGTTCGTTCCGCGCAGCGAGCCATCTTCTGCGCGATAGACGTTATTGCACGCTTGGAGGCGCACAGCGTACTCGTCTAGCCCGTCGAGATGGTCCATGATGGTGCGTTTGTAGGGCATGGTTACCACCCCGCCGGCGAAGGTGGGCTGGCGGAAGAGAGCCACTGCGTCTTCGACGGTCGGGCATTCTCGTGCGATGAAGGTCCACGGGTAGCCCATGCTTTGGAAGGCGTAGGTATGCATTGGGGGAGCGATGGAGTGGGTTACGCCAATGCCGACAAGGTAGGCGAAGCGGCGGGGGTCGTCGGTAGTAGAGGACATTGTGCTGCCGTGGTTGGCGTGACTGTGTCTGGTTTGGTTTGGATAATATAGAACCTGAAAATATGATGATTGCTTGCACATAATATAATACCTAGAATGTCCATCGGCAATGATCCTACCCGCCACGGATATCTTTTTGCCGAGCCCATGTTCTCCCCCGGCTCTTCCCCGCGGGGTATGCATGCCCTACTTACCATCAGCAGTATACTATAAAGTAAACTAACCCCCTTTACCCTCACTCAAACAATAATCACTCACATCTTTCCCCATTTTAACCAAAGAATCAACCAAATCCAAATCCAAATCATAATTAAAATCAAAATGCCCGACCTCCACTCCCTCCCTCCCAATTCCCGCCCCCTCCACGCCATCCGCAACAACGGCCCCCATCACCTCGCAATAGAGCGCTACCTCCTGCGCGAACTCGCCGAAGGCTGGCCGTGCTACCGCGACGCCTGCGAATGGGAGAACTTCCGATCGATCTTCCACCCGGAAGCGCACGTCTACACAACCTGGACGGGGCTCACGCATCACGATGCATTCATCACGGCCTCGCAGGCCGGGATGGACAAAGGCGCGTTCATCATGCATCGCGTGCACGGCAGCACCACGGACATTAACCCCGAGGGGACGCGCGCCGTCACGAAGATGAAAGCTACTATTACGCAAAGATTCAGTGGGGTGGAGTGTGTGGGTGGGGGCACGTGTGAGGTGGATGCGGAGAGTGATTGTCGGTTTATTTTCTTCTGGGAGAAGGTTGGCGCAGAGTATGAGGAGTTGAAGGGCCAGTGGAGGGCCAGATTTGTCAGACATTGGTATGAGAAGGATAAGTTGCTGCTTGTGACGCCGGATCGCGTGCCGGTGATTGATCATGAGAGGTTGAAGGAGTATCCCGTGGGGTATCGGCATTTGGCGTATTTGCAGGAGGAGACGATGGGGGTTAAGGTGTTGAGGGATTTGCCGGGGCATAGGAGGGAGAAGGCCACAGGGAGTGTTAATGGTGAGAAGCATGATTTGTTGTATTGGCAGGCGAAGGAGTGGGTTGAGGGAGGCGACGTGGAGTGGGCTTGATGGAGGTTTACTAGTAGTATGTATGTACGTTGGTGTATGCGCTGTGTTGAGTATATTTTACTTGCTTATAAAATTCCATGTTTATTGAGTAGGTCAAGAAGGTACTGCATTCCATTGTACTGGAGTGAGAAGGCAAGATGCCTAACATCTCCCAGCGAAGTATTGCCATATAATTGCCGTGCAAAATCACGCACGTAGCGAGGTTTAAATTCATATCCGTACCATCATCTCCACTAAACCTACCTTCTGCTCCAGGATAAGCATACATCCATCCAACGACCCCATCCTTCGGCTCCCTCCCGATGATAAACTCATACCCTAGGCTATGAACATACCCGACACTCCACCACCACTCCACCACGACCAAGCCCTATATCAACCATCACAACCACATACAGTACCATAGCCAAGCATTATCCCACCATTCATTCCCTTTGAATTACTCGTTAGAACACTGAAAATGACTCAACCCCTCAACTTCCACGTCTTCGGCGGCTCCAACATCCGCGCCTCCTTATCCCCCACCATCCACAACGCCGCCTTCACCCACCACCATCTCCCGCACACCTACACCACCGCAGAATGCACCTCCTTATCAGAAATGTCCCATCTCATCACCTCTCCCTCCTTCGGGGGTGCCAGCATCACAATGCCCCATAAGATCGCCGCTTTCGACCACTGCACTGAAGTGAGCGATTCAGCGCGCGCCATTGGGGCCATCAATACCCTCGTTACTACTCGATCCCCGCAAGCAAACAGCAAGGTAGTAGTAAAAGGCGACAATACAGACTGGTCCGGCCTCTACACACTCATCATCGACCATTTATCCAAAGGAGGTGTACATACCGCAAAGGCAACCGGCAAAGTAGGCCTCGTCATCGGGGCAGGTGGTGCCGCGAGAGCCGGAGTGTATGCGCTCTTACAGGCTCAGTTCTCGACGATTATTATTTGGAATCGGACTGTCGAGAAGGCGGAGAAGATTATTCAGGATTTTGATACTCTCAAGATTGAGGGTATCGAAATGAGGGCTGTGGGGAATGTTAAGGGGATTGGACCTGTGGATGTGGTTATTGGGACTATTCCTGGGGATGTTAAGGCGGAGGAGGACTTTGAGGGGCTTTTCCAAGGATCAGAGACCGGGTTGTGTGTGGAGATGGCGTATAAGCCGAAGGTTACACCCCTGATGAGGGTTGCGGAGAGGCGGGGTTGGGTGGTTAGGGATGGGTTGGAAGTGTTGCTGAGGCAGGGGTTTGAGCAGTATCGCTTGTGGACGGGGTTGGAGGCTCCGGAGCTGGTGATGAGGGAAGCAATTGGGGAGAGGGATGGGGTGAGGTCTAAGGTTTGATTGGATTTCATTAGGTAGTTTGTTGGTGTTGAGATGTGATGGGGTCCATTATGCTTTAGAAACTTTTTTATTCTAGTCTTCCGTACAAAGGTGTTTCTTTGAAGAATTCCTGTACTTTAGTTTTTCTTTCCATGCTCTTTGCTTTTCCGTCAGTGCTCATAGCTGCGGGGGCGTCTGTGAGGGCAAAGATTACTTACAGGAGGGCACAACGCTAACTGGACGCCCTACTAGTGACAGTTCCCCACAGCTTTCATAAGAGCCATTTGACAGCTTGGGCGGAACTGCTGGCGCACCCGTGGCACCCAACCATGTCGGTTCTGCGCATTCACGAGGTTCATCGTGATCCTCTTTTTCTTACAGTAGATGCTTTCCGGTTTAAATCCTCCGTAACCACACTTTTTCTCGAAAGAATGGTGCTCAGGAGATCTGATCTCCGTTAAACGGGTTGCCCAATTTTCTGCCCCAAGTCGGCCACCGAGCCCCAGCATTGCTTCCCCAGGAAGAGGAAGCTACTCCATCAGTCTCCATTATACGAACATGTGATGCCAATCAGCTTAATCTGACACCCTTGAACGATAAAACCTCATGGTCTCTGTTACCCCACGTAACCGGCCGAATATCACCTCATCTTCCAATCATATGCACTGGAACTATCGGGTAGACTAGCGTGACTCACTAGTACAACACCCTATAAAAGACCCTTCAATGCAAAAGCCGCTACATGGCCGTTGCACAACCATCATCTCACCTTATACATACCTAATTTTCCTACCAAAGTATACATAATGATCTGTACATTAACCCCAATCAACCTCTACAACCCTTCGGAATATGCCACCCTCCAACACCAACGCCGCATCTGCGGCTGGGACTACAGCGACGAGAGCATACTCGCTTGGCGTGAGAAACAAGACGCTGACTTGAAAACATTCTTCTGGATTATCCTCCCGAGCAAGAGTGGTGACGAACCCATCCGCGCCGGCCACATCTCGCTCGACGCATACACATCTCCTCCCGACCCAGGACTTGCGCAAGCTGATCACTCAGTCTTGACCATTCAATCTTTCTTCATTCTGCCAGAATACCGGGCTGGAGGTGTCGGTCGTCGAGCTATGCAGTTGGTGGAGGAAATGGCGGTGAACGACCCCCGGTGTTCTACTGTTACTGTCAATGCATTGAGCAAAGAGTACCTTGAAAATGAGGAGAAGCGCGCATTCCTCAAATCGATGAACGCAGTACCGGAGTTTGCGGCGGTGTTGTGGTATGAGAGACTCGGATATGTGAGGTGGAAGACGGAGCCGAGATATCCGTATCAGTTGCCTCAGGGGGGAGATGGTATGTACGAGGCAGACTTTTTGAGGAAGAGGTTGCGGTAGGAGTCGCTGATGAGATGATTGTGTGATGTTCTCTTGGTCGTCGGTATACCATTTTGGTGGTTGGTTTGTGGTGCATTGAATAGGGATAGACTTATCAGTGTGACAGGGGAACGGGATCGATGATTCAAAGTAGTGATGGACGAGGAAGGAAGACGTTGAGAGGCGGTCTATATACATTATCGTTCTGGAAGGAACACTATTGATGATCAGAGACAGAATAGGCATTAGCTGTCCCAAATGATATCATAACGCCCAATAGTGGTTGATCATTTGAACGAGCTGTCAATTGACAGCTGCCGTTACCCCATCTTAGGATCGATCTCACACTGAGGTTTCACAAATCGCGGGCAAAAGTAGTACAGGATGTGAATAATTGAGTACACATTGAACACTGTCTTTGTTGATTTAGACCTCATATCTCAGGTGTCACTTTCTCAGGCAGACTGACCATCACCATTCATCCTCGCCAGCAGTGACTCGGCGAGCAATAAAAGGGCCAGGGTCCCCAGCCTTTTTGCTACCATTCCTGCAGAAACCATCGTCAAACAGCTCAAGAACAGTTCAAAACCAAGCAGCGCAGGCAATTTTCTCACTCGCCGCCATCATGAAGCTTTCCGCCGTTCTCTGCATCCTCGCCGCCAGTATGGCCGCCGCGGCACCCTTGAACAGTACGTCTTGTCAAGCTCAATCGTGTTGTACAGAAAACTGACATTTGCAAGACGCCGACGCCCAGTACCAGAACCAGCCCCAGAACAATAACAATAACAATAACAACAACAACCAGAACAACCGAAACCAAAACCAAAACCAAAACAACCGCCTTACCGCTGAGGAGCAGAAGTATCAAGTCAGCGACAATAACCACAAAATTGGACGTTCCGAGATCCTTTACCCGCGGGAATTTGGCTCTCCTTCCTCAGAGCCCGTCGCGCCTGGGTACTCTGAGTTAGGGTCTCCGAAGGTTTACGTCCCTGAGAACAATTTCCATGCGCCAAAGGCTCCCAAGGAGGACTACAAGTCCGAGGCCTATCAGTCTGAGGAGTACAAGACTGATGACATCAAGTCTAAGGGCTACCAGTCTGTGAGCTCGAAGCCTAAGGTCCACCAGTCTGTTGACTTCAAGCCTGAAGTCCCTAAGCCCGAAGCTCCCAAGCCACCTGCACACCCTGTGAATCACGTCCCGACTAAGCAGCATGAATCCTTTTCTTACGATACTCATGAGTCCTACGAAAGTCAGACTACGGAGCAGCAGTAAGCCTCAGTAGTGTTTCTTGGTATGTACATGCATGCTTATTTCATTTCCCTTGCTATAGTAAATTATACTAATACCTTCGTAACAGAAGCAAAAGTTCGAATTTACTCTGACGGCCTTTACGAGCAAATTTTTGCGGAGTCGCCTATCGGAAGCGAATTGGAAACTAGGATACTGGAGATACGGATAATTTTTCGGAGCATATAGACTGTGGGCTTACTCTCGGGTCGGTTGAATTATTTATAATAGAAAGTAATTTTTAATGTGTTCATCTTTCATCTACTATTTTGCATTTCATCCAGCATTGTATGTCTCTCGTGCTGCGCCCTTGCCACCTGTATGTTGTATTGGAATCAATAGTATCTTGAACGTTTCTGACTCCATTTCCAACAAATGTTCTTCTGCACGTCTTCTACATTAATGTCCGGGCTATCTTGATTTGTTGTTGATACCTATATCGGGAACATATTTATTGGATAAACTGACTATGTATTCCCGGCCAATCACAGAATTCAAACAATATACTGATTATTGTTGTCTTCGACATCTAACTATTCCAATAAAACGCAATACGTACCCTGAATTCATTCTACGAGACTACTTCGGTATGTGACACAATACCAAGCATATTCAGCACAGAATACTACAGGTCACTATGTGCAGGCAACTGTTGCCAATATAGACTATTGAAAATCATTTGCATAAGCTGCTCTGGGCTCTCACGCAATTACTATTAGAACTTATCTCATGCAGAATAATTCTTCTATTTTCCTACTTGGCTAAGCAAAAATTGAGGGATCAGGTCGGCCATCTCTGTTTAGCCAGACTTGGCTAACGAGAATGTATTTTGCCTGATCCAATTTGCACATATTGCGGAACTAGTTGCTGCCTCTACTTTGAATATGAGATACGCCTACTATGCGCGTCTAGTTCAGCGAAAGCTCTTCTGCCTTTACAGGCATGTCATAGTGGCAAACCCGACGTGACAAATCTCGTATAGTTATTATTCTCGAAGCAGACAGCCCTGATCGTCAGGAGAAACAACACAGTTTCAGCCACAAAATCTATACCCTTCACATTGCGCGAACTGGTGGTGTCTTGAAGGCGGCGAAAGCCAGTTTCATCCCTTGCATTCCCATCTCGATCGGTAAACCTAAATAAGGAATCCCAACCAGCAATAGTAACACTTCTGCTAATAAAGGCAGCCAAACTCCGGGCCGAGATGACATATCAACGCCACAAAGTACATATCCGATCCAACGGACAGAATCCGGGGGTAAGCGTTCGGGACCCTGCAGCCGTGGCGCATGCAATCCAATTATTGACACTAATTCGCATATATGGCGACAACTATTGTTCGGAGTCATGGATGTGTCAGTGTTTGTGATATTCGGTGACAGGTTGAGTATGCCTTGTCGCTCTCACTAAGGACACATCTAGTGACTCGAAGGGTCTCACGAAAAGGTATAAAGAGGGCCTTGAACCCTCACCAACTCAACTTCTTCTCATCATCAGCATCAATCAAGCTTCTCTCCTCACAGCTCCTCAAGTCAAAAACCAGTCTTCAATCAACAAGCTCACGCTTCAAACAAACCAACTATTCAAAATGAAGGCCTCCGCTGTTCTCTCCCTCATCGCCCTTGCCGGCTTCACCATGGCTGCTCCTGTCATCGGTATGTGCAGTCGCTCATCTATTCCCATCTATCTAATCTACCCAATACTAAATATCTACCAGACAACGACCATCTCCCAGGCACTGGCCACATCGTCCACAAGCGTGGCGGCGGGCACGACGACAAGCACGACTGGAAGCACGAGGAGAAGCAGCCCGCTACCGTTCTCGCGGAAGTCAACCTGCCTGTTGCTGAGGTTGAGAAGCCCCAGCCGCAGCAGTGGCACAAGCCCGCTCCCAAGCCTCAGCCTGTCCCCGCCAAGACTAGCGAGTACTCCAAGGACGCTGGCAAGAAGTGGGGCAAGGAAGGTGGTGCTTCCGGCGAGGAAGATTACAAGAGCGTCCAGGACAACGAGTCCGCATCCTTCAGCAAGAGCTACGGCGAGACTACCGACCACAAGACGGGCCAAAACTGGGGTAAGGAGGGTGGCCAGGAGTGGGAGAAGGAGCAGGGCAAGTCCCAGCAGTAAACATTGACTGGTATGTATGCTCCTCATTTGTTGATATGGATTTGCTATAAACTAATGGTGGCACTCTCTAGCTTGAGTCGAACCCAGGTTCCGCACTGTACATACAGTTGCTGATGGCTTCGGGGTTGCACCGGGTCATAGTCTTGTGTGATTAATTGTACTGTTGTTGTTGCTGTCTTGTTGTTTTGCGGCTTCCTTGAACCTGTTGATAGTTTCAATGTCTCTCCTTGTGAATAGCCCAGGATGTTGAGTACTATACGTCTATAATTCGCTCATGGGGTTCTTGTGAAGTTTAATACAGATTGGGGTTTTCTCTGATATTATAACTAATTAGTAACTTCTCAACTGCATTCTTTCTGGTAAACATATCCTAAGCTACTCTTTTCCCTATCTCAGTCTTCAACTGCGCAGCCTAATAACAAGTGCTCGAGTCAACCTTTGTAATCCCCCATCAGTGACGGACAAATTCCCAGCAGAACAACTTGTATATGCGACGCATATTTGAGGGTAAGACAATTTGCTATGCCGGCGTTATCCGTATCAAGGGACACTTGGTGCTTATGCTGAGTTACCGAAGGCGATATGATCTACAAGGGAAGTCCCATCAACATTGATGTCGCAAGGCTTTGATATTCCTGCTTGATTCAGATTTGGAATCCTACTGCGTGACCTGTGTATATACCTGGCTATATCCGCACATTGAATTACGAACAGATAAGGAGGAATATAAATTGACATTTATCACACGTCAGCTTGTGATGTTTCCAGATCAATGGCAGAAAGGGTTCAGCATGGGCGAGTTAAGGCAATACCATGAATATAGTACAGGGATATTCCTCTCGTGATGGTGATCACAGACATGGTATAAAAACATATATCTTGGTCAAATAATACAGCTGTTGTCTAACCGTCCGCTGCTTTCTGCTTCTTCATTCCTACCCGTCCTTGAACTTCATTTATCTAACTATCATACAACTAATCAAGATGAAGGAAAGTCAGTTCTCCGTTGAGGATCTCCCCACCAAGTCCGTTGCCTCCCATCCTATTCTAGCAACCATCACGCGTGAATTCCCTGTCTGTGTCTTGGTACAAATCCCACAGTAACCAATCTTTGTATCTAAAGTGTATTTTCTAACGGCCCTAATAGCCCGGTCCTTTCACGATCACCATCAACAACATCGACCACAAGGTCGATCCCGATTCCATCCGCGTTGAAGGCTCCGGCCCTGTCAAAGTTATAGACATCCAGCATGCAATCATTCACCGAGATCCGTCCGCCTGCAAACCACCCTCTGATCAAAAGGCCTATGACCCAGCCAGAGACCCCGATAATATAAAAAGGCACCCCTTCAACTCCATTGAAGAACTGACGTGGGCCGAAGATGACGAGTTGTATCGAGCCAGTCGTCTAAGTCAAGAGAGGCAGCTTATGGGTTATGCTGGATATAGTGCGCAATATCCTCCTTTGGGCTTTTCAGAACCAACGATTCGGAAAGGGGAGGATCCGAGTATGTGGGAAGAACGGAATCAGAAATCTGATCCGAAACAGTCGGCCTTGGACCAGTCCTGCCAGGTAGTTATGCATCTGGAAGGGCAAATGACTGCTCCTGCCTCCGCCTCGAGCCCTGACACTCTTGGTAATGAAGAGGAAGATCAGGCGGAAGGAAAGGCTCAGAGCAATGAAGTGATATTGCGATTGATCTATACAGTTCCGGCGAAATCGGAACTTAAGCTTCACGACCTCAACCTTAATACGCTCACCTCCTCGGCCAAGATAAGGCACTGTGCCCTGTTCACTGACATGACTGCGGAAACCTGGCAAGATGCCCAGCTAACGCTGCCGACTCCGCAGACACACACGTCGTGTCTGGAGGAACAGTTTCCATCATTGCAATTATTTGATCAGGCCTCCATACCACCTGAAACCAGTTTGTTCTCGCCTTCTGTGTCAGCACTGGGGATCCCAGAATCAACATTCCCCTTCCCTGATGTTTCCCACTCAGGCGATCTGTTTACGGATTTCACAGCCGATGAAAGGATGAATGGGATGGAAAAGGACTTTTACCCCCTTGACGGTAAGGTGCCCGAGTCGATCAGCCAGGGTCATGGCTTGAGTGTAGCGTATGAACTCCCTGGCCCGGCGTGCCATCAAGCCCGCAGCCGCGCCCCGCCGCCATGAAAAGGCTGAGCTGGATCTCCAGGCTTCATTCACCCAAGCAATAGTGCCCAAGAAGCATGTTTCAGCGTGTCTTCGTGCGAAGATACAGAATACTTTGCCTGTCAATATTGGAAAAGGTGAAATGAGCTTAACCGTTAACGGCACCTGTCTCAGCAAGTCCCCAGTGCCAAGTTGCGTGCGCAACGAATCCTTTGAGCTCAACTTTGGGGTGGACCGGTTCGTCAAGGTAACCTATAAGGAACCTGGTATAACACTGGCTACAGCCGACGAATACTTGAAGCAAAGTACTACATATACCGAAGCGTCATGCAAGGTCAAGAATACAAGAGCCCATGCTGTCAATGATTTGGTATTGGATCAGGTGCCAGTCAATGTGGACGATCACTTTGATTTTGAGATTGTGACGCCAGAGACCTTGAAGGTTCCCGAGGATAAGGTGGATTTGACGGCGCCGGGAGTGTCGGGAAAGAAGACTGTGGAGCTGAGCGTGATGGAGAGATCAGATGGGAAGTGACACTTGGGCCCGTACAAGAGATAGATTCCGATTTGAGATATTCCGTCGAGGCGCCGTTTTAAGAATGGGGAAGGGACTTCCCTGTGCCTGTCGCGGAATGAGCTAATGTTCTTATCGCAAACCGACAGGTACAATACTGGGAAATTGACGACGGTAGGGGACATCAGCGGGATCTATGTTGTGTTTACTCATAGCCTCAGCAAAGATTCCACTTGAAAGGTTATTCTGTCCGGAAGTCCGGAAGATACCAACGTTACTCCAAATTAGACATGTCAATGTCAGTGAGAGAGGTCATCTAGTTTAAACATGATACACGTGATTTCCCTTAGTAGGCATGTCAAAATAAGTAGACAGGCTAAAAAGCTCTGGTGTAACTCTTTGGTAAAGGACGAAACCACGAGACCTTCCAGAGTCGGTAGGGGAAACGCAATCTAACAACGCTTGATGGGTCCAAGGCTGCATGTTGGTGGTAATAGGCGGTATACAACCACCTAGCGTACAGGACGCACTTTGCCTTCTGGATTGACCACGTTTCGGTGAAGCTACGTAGGTCTTCACGTCGTATACTTGACGGATGGTCTAAAAAATACTTATCTCAGCTTTTAGTACCGCAGGGTATGGTTGAGACATAATGAAGTGAACAATGTTAGTGTCATAGCTTCAGCTGGATAATACTCTGCAATAAAGCAAGGGACTGACTTATCATTGTCCACTCAAATAGCGTTCCCCTATCGATATCATCTAGGAACGGAAACATGGACGTAGATCATGGTGGTCACATGACGCAACTCTGTCCTCCGAATGAGGCAGAGTCGAAGGCGTCTACTATCTGAATCTCAGCTACAGGTAGTATTATTTAGTGACCGTTGATGTCCAGATCATGCCAAGATAACTACTATATTCAGTTACTTTGGTAGTAGCTCAGGAACGTGTGCAAGTTACTGCCATGGTTATCCACTTTTAGCACCAAGCTCTGTCTTGGTGAGTGTACACACTATGAAGCGTGATGTATAGTTAGCTTGTAGTATATACTACTAGTACTACTAACCAAACCACTTCACCCGACAATATATATCGTCTCCAGTACTAGCATCAACCAAACCACAAATTGAACAAACTACACTAATCCCCGGATATATCTTCCCCATCCTCCTTGTGGACCCCCAACATACCAAAGTGAAGCCACCCTCCATACCACAATATATATTATCCACATACCACCCTCCAGGTGGCTAGCTATAGCATTCCACACCCACACAACCTCACCCAGATACTCCCCTACGCTCCGATTCGTCAAGAATCCCAGCTTATCTTCCGCACCACAAGCTACAATGTAAATCACCTACGTGCCGTACCAAGGAAATAACCGGCATGATGGCGGCCACCAGCCCGATACGTAGATAGCCGCCATACCTGCTTTGAGTTGTCATTCCAACTAAACCCAACTTGAATCCCGAGGTCCGGGACCTGCCGCTGACCCGACAGACTCGTGCCTTGATACCTGAGGCCGTGAGACCGTATCCCGGTCACGTATTCATGATACCGTAATAATACAGCCCGTACAGGTCCGATACACGGCGGCTCCATGCTCACTGCTTCGCTGCAGCCATCCATCGATCGATCCATCCCATATCCTCCGAGTCTGTCGGTATCACCAAAACTATACTTAATTTATGCATTTTTGTGTTCCCGTGGATACTACTGATCAGAGAGAAGTTATTGCTGCACGTTACAACGCTACTCGGCCATAGTTGTTCAGAGATACTAGGATTCAACAACACCCCTGCTAGCCGAAGAACAGTTCGCGAACAGCTCGAGCCCCGTGGCATCCCTGCACCAGCTGCATGCTTAAATTGAGCCAGAACAAGTGAGCGCAAGGCAAGGCAAGGCACGGCCAGTTTGCGGCGACGGCGGCAGCGGTTCAGTCGGGAGGCCGGGTTACGTAATGCTGCAGGGCGGCTGAGATCATATCTCGATCATCGGGTTAAATCGAGTTTAGTGAGACCGACCTCGGAAATGGATAGGTTAGGAAAAATGGGGGGGAAGGGCCACACAAAAGATTAGCAAGAAATTAGGAGAAGAGAGAAAGAATTTGCCCCGGAATCCTCTCCCTGATCCAGGTATAAGTAGCAGACGGATGTCTTCTTGGGAAGATGGGAAGAAAAACGGGCTGGCAGGTGAGCAAGAGGGTAAAAATTACACAATGGGTTCCCGAAGGGATTCTCCTGGTGGAAAGGGGTGGTGGCCACGATAACAAGCAACAACACAGCAGGGAAAAACCGCGAGCAAGCCAGCCACTAGCGGCTGACTGTGTGGGATATGCTTTCGTCCGAATTTCCAGAGGCCACGGGATGATGTCGATGGGAGGGATTGGGTTGGCTTGCGCCGCGCCGCCCACTTTTCTCCCCTATCCAGCTTGCGCCGCGCCGGAGACCCCCCCCTGAGATTTGCTCCTTATTCCCCCGAGAGGGATCAATTTCTCTGATGTATCCAAAAAGCTATATAACCCGTGCACCACCCACGGAGACAAGCGCGCTGAGGCATTGGGGGATGTCGTTTTTTTTTTTCTACCATAGCGCCAGAACTGTGTGGACTAACATTTCTGTGCTATTTGCGAGCTAGCTCAGGGAGCTACGGATCGTCGCGCGTTTCCCCGGCGAAAGGCGCTCCGTACGGAGCCGGGTTGTCCCAAAACGGCAGATACCCAATACGATGAGTCGGTGAGGCATTTCCCGAGGGAGCAGACCAGGAGCACAGCAACAGAACACAATTGGGGAAGCTTCCCTCCTTCCAGCCGACGCGGCGCAAACCTGCTTGCGTCTCAGAAGTGGGAATTTTCTTGCTCAGAAACTCCGGTGCTGGTGGAGCCGCATGCCCGATTCGGCCCGGTTTGATTGCGACCGAGAAGCTGGCCATCATATTAGCTGGGTCTTGGCTGCTTCCCATTGGCTTCCGGGACACCGCCAAGTGGGGGTGTACCACTCTATCGGACCCATTTGGATGCAGGGACCCACCCGCACGTCTGGTTTTTTTCCTTCTTTGCGGTCTCTCGTTTTGCTGTGAAAATTTTGCATACCGTAGCTGGTCTCTATTGCTTGTCTCTTGTCTTGTCCTGTCTTTTCCGGTCTGTTGCTGGGTTAGGTGGCCCGGTGTCAGAAGCGGAAGGGAGAAGGGGACAATTTATATGTAAGGAAAGAATGAAGGGAGGGACCCGTAGAGACAAGACAAGAATGTTTTTTTCTTCTTTTTGTGACGACACGAGGGGAAAAAAAGGAATTGAACGGAAGGGATCGGTCCATACAAGTGTAAAATACACACACGACTACGGAATAATCCCATCAGATGCAGCAATGGGTTATCTGAAGGGGAAGGAGGTGTGTGAGTGAGTGAGAGAGTAAGCCAATGCTCCATCGCGGACCAGCACGGTCAGGTGAAGACCCTGAAACCATTGGCTGTACCAGTAGTAACTCCCCTGGTTACCCCCATCCCGAATGATCCCGAAGGGTGTGTGTGTGTATGTGTACACAGTATGTGTAAGTAAGTGTGGTAAGTGTGTATGTGCGGTGGAATGCCCACTGCTTTCCCGGGGGAAGGAAAAAGGATGATGAGCCAAAAACGAGGCGCCAAACACGGTGTAAGGGAAAAAGAAGGGAAAGGATAAACTAGGGATAACGGATGATACCAAAGACAGACACAAACAGGAAAAACAGGAACAATACAATACAAACAAACGGTGCCAAAACACCAAACAAAAAAGTAGGTAGGGCTTTTTTTTCTGGTCCCAACAAAGCGCACTAACACCCGACGGGGGGGCTGGGTGGGAAAAGGGCAAAAAACCGCGAAAATTTAGCGGGAGAGTATTTATGTCCCGGGGGGCCTTCTGTTGTCACTTTTCCTCCAGCTTTTTCCTCCAGAAAAGTTCTCCTTCCTTCTTTCCCTTCCCAATCCCATCATTTTCTAGAGAAACTCCTCTCTCAGAACCACCACAAACCATCACAATGGCCTCCTCCCGTGTCTTCGCCCAGCGTCTGGCCTCCACCATGGCCGCGACCACCAAGGTCGCTCGCCCTGCCGCTCGCCTCCAGCTTGCCCCCAAGCGCACCTTCACCACCCAGCGCAAGGCCGTCCCCATGACCCCCTTCCAGACCGTCAAGCGTCAGTCTCCCTCCGGCCTCATCCAGGCCAACGCTCGCCAGGCTTTCGCTGCCCAGCAGGCCCGCCGCCAGTACTCCTCTGAAATCGCCGACGCCATGGTCCAGGTCTCCCAGAACCTGGGTATGGGTTCCGCTGCCATCGGTCTCGGTGGTGCCGGTATCGGTATCGGTCTCGTCTTCGGTGCCCTCCTCCTCTCCGTCTCCCGCAACCCTGCCCTCCGTGGTCAGCTCTTCTCCTACGCCATTCTTGGTTTCGCCTTCGTCGAGGCCATTGGTCTGTTCGACCTGATGGTTGCCATGATGTGCAAGTACGTTTAAATTATGACCGAGGGATGATTGCAGTCACGACATCTGCGGAGATTTTATGATCCACTCCAAACCTCCGATTGCAAACCATTACTATTTTGGAGAGATAAGGGGAATTTGGAGGAATATCAGCAAAATTCTTTGTTTTTGAGATTGTCATGGCTGTGATAGGAGGTAATTCTATTGTGGTGGTCTTTTTATATATCATGTACTACTTTTCCCGTCATCATCTACAACCATCAAATACACTGTACATATAGAGATTTAAAATGGCCACTAAACTCCACGGATTTGCCAGCTACATTTGATTGTAGAATTGGGACGTTATATCCACATCGATCTTGATGATTCTGCTGCTGTTCAAATCCTGCCAGTTTTGACCCATGACTGGGAAAAAACCTGGGGTAACGACAGTGCTCGGTCCAGCTAAGCTGGTCAGGTCAGATCTCTGAACCAATTATCATATGATCACGCTTTCAAGCTTGTCGGTCAGACTGAACAGCTAGACAAAGACCTGGTCTCTGAAGGCGTAAGGTGTGGTTGTCAGCCAGACAGGTACGAGCTTGATGCCAGCTGTCGACAACGAAACGGTTGTCCCGGAGTCTCCGGGGAGCTCTTCCCTCCCGGCTCCCTCCCAACAAAGGGCGATTACCGCCTTATAAACCAGCTTCCTCCTAACATCTAACTACACCATGACAGTCAATTGAACTAATTTCGAACCTAGAGAACGTCTAGAATAGTCTGTCACACTCCAATAAATACTCAATTAATGTTGGTAAAAAATCAGCCATCAACCAAACCCATTGTGGTCCATGGCACCCCCTTCACTCTCACCCGGTGGATCTAGACTGACGATCCCAAATGTAAACGTCACCCACCCTACCACCACCACCGCCTCAGCGACCCAAGGGCAAAAATATATGTGATCAGTGGCAGAAGTGCGAACCTTTGCCAGACCTTTCTAAATCAATTGACTGCTATCTACTTCAGGGGGTTATGAAAGCAAGAATGAAAAAAAATTTTCATCTAAAATTTTGTCCTGCAGCTCTAATCCCTGCATGTGCATGAATCTCGACTCATAGTTAAGTAGAAAATAAGTACCTACAGCCAACCGACATGAAGAGCTGCCGTGCAACCCAGTTCTATCTATTCTAGCCGGCGGAAGGAAGTTGAAACTAACCCTGCGCCAAGAAAACATAGGTACCACTTTACGTATCATGTGTATCGGGGGTTTCGATTGATTTTCCCTGCGACGATCGGATCGGTAGACAGAACAGACAGACCTGACACACCTACTTAAGCACGGACACATAGCCATTGAGTGGGAAGTACCAGCCACAGAGTGTCAAGGAGGGTAGGGAAGATATCTACGGAGGCAGATGGAGCGATGGTATAGGATGATTCCTTTCTGATGATGAATCATGGACTGCATGGGAGGGATGATGGATGTGGATGTGGATGTGATTCATCCATCCGCCTCCTTCGATCCGGAAGGGAGAACTCGGTAAGTAGGTAATTTATTACTGTCTTGGGTATGGTATGCATGGTTTGCGTATTACGGGGATGGGAGTTGCATGTGACCTGTCGGTATTTGGTAGACATGTGATCTCGGGTGAGTTGCCCGTCTGTTCCTTCTGGCTGTCGGTTGTTGAGTTATATGGTATACCGCATGTTTCTTATCTCCTTCTCTTTGAATTTCTTCTTCATGTTCTTGTTATGTCTATGGTTTAGTCTAGATGAGAGCTGTCTGTATATATCACCTCGATGAACTACTGAATTGAATCCATCCCATTGTCTATCCACACCCATCATGCATATCTGCATATCCCGACACCCGTACCCGACACGAATACATCCTATCCCGATCCTACCCGATTTTCATCCGGCAGGTCTCATTGCTATACCTGTATACCTACCATCATGCATCGTAGACAACACCACTAAAGCACAATCCCCAATCTCTATACCATCCCAAGAAGAACAGTCTCAGAGACCAACATCACATACATAGTATTCTATCGCGCCAAGTAGTAAGAAGAAGAAAATGCCCCCCTCACCCCTCTACACCCCCCAAGACGTCCCCTCCTTCAAGAAGCGTCGCAACCGTCTCCCCAACACCCGCGCAAAGCAACTCCTCCGTGCCGCAGAGCGTGACTATAATGATCCCCCTCCGCCGCCTGGACTGGGCGAGTGCTGCGGGAGTTCGTGTGATCCGTGCGTCAACGATCTGTGGAAGGAGGAGTTGGCGATTTGGAGGGAACGCTGGGGGGATGGAGCAGTTGAGGATGGAGGTAAGAAGGAGGATGATCAGGGAGATGAGAGCGAGGGGTGTGCGAAGATGAAGATGCCGGGGAGTTGGGAGTGGTAGGTTTCGCCTTTTGAGATGTCTGTTGTATGTGGTAGGGAAGAACTTGTGCCTGGACGGTGACATAAGTTGATGTTTGGTATGGTGAGTTAGTTTCTTCGAAATAGTCGATATCTGTATGCTAATATGTTATAGATGTACTGCATATTCGTGGAGATGTGCCATGTGAGCTGGTGTTGAGCTCGTTGATGATATCACTTTCGTCGGTGCAGTTGACGGACTGTACTTGGCTTTGCTCTTAGAGAGATGTTCATGGATACATTAGCTATGCGTTAACATCTACTGAGCATCTGCCTCCAGTCATATTGCTACCAGGCTGGCACAGTTGTCAAGCAACTCCCTCAGACTGGAGGAGGCTGTTGTCTCCTGTGGCCAGTTTAACTACTGGCACTACATCGACAGCAACAAGATCCGAAAGCACATGGCTGAGCTCATAGCAGACCGGGAATTAGGCAAGGCACATCTCGCGGCGACTGTACAAGCAATACACGAGCTCTTTCTTCAGGCCACCTGACCCCTTGGCACCAAGGCAGCGTGCGCGCCACATATCGCCGGCTCTCTGCCAAAGCAGGCGTCGAGAACCTCAGCGTGGCCATCCGAACCAGCGCTACAGCAGAAGATCTTCCAAACGCCAGCTTTGCTAGGTAGCAGGAATCTTACCTCAACATCGTGGGCGAAGACGCCCTCCTAGACGCTTGTCGACGCCGTTATGCGTCACTCTTCACCGACCGGGCTATCAGGTACCGACAAGCAAAGGGCTTCAACCACCTTCGTATCTCTCTCTCCGTAGGCGTGCAGCGCATGATCCGCTCTGATACCAGCGGCTCCGGGGAGATCTTCTCCCGAAGCCGAGACAGGCTTTGACAAGGTCGTCTTCATCACCGCCGCCTGAGCGCTAGGAGAGAATATCCTCAGGGCACCGTGGACCCAGACGAGTACCAAGTCTTCAAGCTGCTTCTCTCGGACGGCTACGTCGTCCCCATTACCCGCAAATAGCGCGACGACAAATCCATTATGGTGATCTACGGCAACAGCCAGGCGTCCACGCGAAACGCCCCAACCTCCCAAAGCCGAACGCTTCGCACTGGTCCTCGGTGACCCCGAACTCCTCCAACTCGCTCGATGGGTTTGCACCATCGAAACCGCCTGCAGCTGTCCCATGGACGTGGAATATGCCAAAGGCAGCCTCACAAACGCATTGTTCATTGTCCAAGCCCGACCGGAAACCGTGCATTCGCGCCGCGATGCGACCGCCGCTTTCAAGATGTACAACATCGACCACAAGGGCCGCACGCTAACCACTGGGCTGGCCGTAGGTGATGCCGCTCTCTCCGTTCGGCTCTGTCTAATCGAGCCTGCGTACGAAATGGACAAATTTATCAACGCCTGCGTTCTCGTCACCGCCACAACCGACCCGGATTGGGTGCCGATCATGGAGCGCGCTGCGGCGATCATCACTGACTACGGCGGCCGCACGTCCCATGCTGCCATAGTCGCAAACTCGGCGTTCCTGCCATCGTGGACGCCCGTGATGCCACCTACGTGCTGCATTCAAGGCAGGACGTGACAGTCTTATGCTCGTGAGGGGTCTGCGCAAGGGAGAGTATGGGCTGCAGATTATGTGATGTGTGAGATTCTGCCAAGTGCTGTCCTAGCGGAGCAGTTCGCGGCGCACTTTGATGGGTTCTTGATCTGGTCGACTGATCTCACGCAGCTGATATGGGGGAATGACCACGACTCGGATGAGTTGGGGGAGCTGTTCTATGAGCAGGGAGAGGCGACCAAGACGCTGGTTGCGCAGGTTGCTCGCGTGGCACGTAGGGCTGGCTGCAAGGTGGGCATCTGCGGATAGGCACCGAGTTATCATCCTGAGTTTGCGCGGTTCTTGGTTGAAGTAGGAATTGATTCGGTATCGGTAATTCCGGATAGTTTTGTGAATGTGAAAAGGCAGGTGGTGGCGAGTGAGCAGAAGCAGAATGGGGAGAAGCTGATAAATCTGATTTTTATGATTTGTGGTGACAGCAAGTGAATTCGATAGCTCACAGTCCGTTACTTATCTATGCTCACACCAGGATTCATACTTGGTCTTATTATGAAGAAAAAGTCAATAAATGCATAATCACACTGCTAAGCTACTTAGATCCCTACTACGACCCTCCAGCATCATTTACCCTAACCCTCTCCAACAAAATATTCAACCTCATAACTCCCGTTTCAACTGTCTCCTTCTCACTCTGTCCCAACTCCAACTTCACCTCCCTGACCACCCCCTCCCTCCCCACCACAACCGGCCACGAACAGCAACACCTATAATCCTCCCTCCAACAACTCACCGTCCAGACAGTCTTCTTATTATCCTCCAGCACCGCCACCGCAATCCCCCCGGCCACAGCTCCAATCCCCCACGGCGCGCCCCCTTTCCCAGCAACAATGGCCTTCAGCCTGCCCCAAATCTTATTTTCTATCTCTATCCTCTTCTGAATCGCGATCCCATCCCTCCCTTGGGGAGTCATTAACCCGGACCACCCGACAACCTGGCTCTCACTGTCCCGCACACCGACCACATACCCCTCTGTTTCTTCCATCGTGGTACCCAGGAAGCGGGATACCTCGTCCTGTAGCCGTAGTGAGTCGATACAAGTCCCCACCCCGATAACTTGCTTTCTCGGCAGGCCTGCGATGTCTTGAGCGAGGGTGGTGAGAGTATCAACTGGGTTAGCGACGACCAATATAATAGCATTAGGGTTGAACGGCCGCATCTCGTTGAGTATGCTCTTCAGGATACTGAATTTGTGGTAGAGGTGTTGGAGGGTGGTTTCTCCTATGCATTGGTATTAGCCACTGTTCTTGCTTCGCCCGTCCTCTTCAAACTTAGTCATTAAGTTCATTATGTTAAGAGGTAGAAGAATACCAGGAGTATAATTCACCCCCGCGGTAATGATCACCACATCTGCTTGACTTGCTTCCTGGTGCGTGGCCGCTTCGATCTTGGTCACGGAGCCGTAAAGGAGCGCCGCATCAGCCAGATCGCGCACTTGTGCGTCCCGGAGACTGGATTTGATATCCACGAGGAGGAGGGTGCCTTGGATGCGCCGGTGGATTAGGGATAGGGCGGTTGAGGCGCCTACGGAGCCGAGGCCGATTAAGGCGATTGTTGCCATTCTTCTGATCCTCTTGATTTTGTGTGGCTCAAGTGTTAGAGATGCTGTGTGATTGTATTGGAAAGTGCAAGCAGATCGGTCTGCTTCAATAGCTATGTAAGCATAGCTATCTACGTAGTTATTTCCTGATGACGTGGGAGGGGATTAAAATTGGTGAGGGGAGCTCGTGTTGCGGCGTCATGGTTACGGGGTGACTGCGGGTGGAAGGGTTCCGTGTATTATAGGGAGACGGGGATAAAGGATGTGAGTAGGCCATGTTCAAGGATTCGTACCGTGGTTCATGTTCCTGTTCCTTTAAGTTGATTGAAGTCCGAATGTTGCCTAGAAACTATCACGTGTGCATGCCTCGGAAAGCAAGTTGATCCCATGTCCACCATACAAGATGTGAGAGCTAGATGCTGGTTGGCTGTTGGGAATTTTTTAGCGCGTTAGCATAGAAGCTTATTATGATCAAAATAGATACCTTCCCTGCTGGATTGTTGACGGGTTCCCTGCCAATGTTGTCTATCATGCAGCAGGTTGGTCATCATACCAACCAAGTCCTAGCCCCTTTCATTTCCTCGTTTATTAAAATGACGGCATAAATTCCAGTATTGACCCATGTACCATGTGATGGCTATATTCAACTGGGTATCCATTGCGCGTTCAATAACCGCAAATTACTAATGAAACACCGATTGTAATGTTTCAAAGAACACTCGCAAGGCTGGGCGGAGGCAGCTCCTGATTATGCTGGAAGGACTGAATCTCACTTCGCTTCGGAAAAATGATCCAGAAGAGGCCATATATGGGTCGTCTCTGGTCGGCGTTGTCTGCTTTCTCGATCGTTCTCTATCTTGGGCAGCTTTGCTTATAGTGCTTAGGTCTCGGCAAGACATGTATGATTTGGAGGATATAATGGGTCATCCATGGTTTTCAGATGTCTAAGATCACTCCATGTGCTCCATGGCCTGGTGTAACCTAAAGATCGTGTGTTTATTGATAAATGTGTAGTGATTAGTGTGGACTTCAACATGCCCTGCTATTTTTGGTCAGATTTAGCGCTTCCGCCCGGAAGATAGTGGGTCCAGGTCCCCCTGCATGGGGTCTGTGCTTGCGCAAGTCCCATTTAGTCCCCAGCCTCCCTTAATCATGTAAGTACTGGACACGGATCTTACATCCAATGGCCTCATCGTGGAGGTCTCTGAGGACTTCGGTCAACCTAATGCTCAGACCAAGTCCGTTTAAACCATCAAGTGTGCCGACACAGACGTTGCCAGCCGCGGAACTCATTGAAGAAGAGTGCACTCCACGGTATACGCCAAACCACTATTACCCAGTCCGCCTCTACGAGATTCTCAACGACAGGTACCAAATTACTGCCAAACTTGGTTGGGGTACTAGCTCAACGGTCTGGCTGGCTCGTGATCTGAATCCGTACGTTGTATCGTATCAACTAAATCTTTCGTCATAGACTCAGACTAAGAACATAATAGATGGCGTTGGTGTTCAGCACGTTACCTTGCTGTCAAGATAAAGGCGAATAACTATGCAACTAAAGAAGATGCCGAGAGAGATGTTCGCATCACAGAAAAGATTACGCACGCAAACCCACAACATGTAGGCCGAAATTTCGTCAGCACGTTGCTCGATTCCTTTGATGTGCCAGGCCCTCATGGTCTTCATGTCTGCCTGCTATTCGACCCCTTATGTGAGCCTCTATGGATGCTCAAACAGCGATTCCATGGCGATGTACTTCCATTGGATGTTTTCAAGCCAGTTGCTAAATTGATTCTGGAAGGCCTTGGCTACCTCCACTCTCAATGCCACATTGTCCATACAGGTATTGTTTATGATTACATAGAAGGCAAGCTGTAGATTGATAATAACTCGCTAGACTTAAAATCCGACAATATTCTCATGGCTCTCCAAGACCACTCTATACTTGATAAAGTTTCTCAGGATGAGAACAAAGAACCACTGCCTCAAAAGCAACTCGAGGATCGAACAATATGCGTTTCGAGAAATCATTTCGGCGTGGAGGCAAATGGCTTGGGCAGACCAATGATTACTGATTTTGGACTGGCTATAGATGGGTCTCGGGCCCATTACCATCCCATTCAACCGGACAGTTTCAGAGCCCCAGAGGGGTTAATCTTGGGGCAGGTTAGAGTTACAGTGCTGATATATTGAATTTAGGTGCTTTTGTATGACTTATTCTTCGCTTCCCTGATAATCTAAATCGCTAATAATGAGCTAGCTTGTGGAACTAGTCCACGGAAGCGGCCCTTTTGATGAACCACCCTCTAATTCTTCTACCTTTCCTGAGGAAGCTCATCTGGCTCGCATAAAATCAGTACTTGGAACTCCACCTGTGGATATGCTTCGCGAAGCGAAATATAGTTCTCGATACTTTGACGCCGAAAGTAGTTAATCTTCATGGCTAGCAATGTTGAAACTTTACTGATTTTGGCGCAGGGAGATTTAAGCATCCGGAATTGATATCAGAGAGCGGAGGATTTGAGAAGATTCTTTCTGGCGTTGAAGGTGACGACAAGCAGGCTTTCCTTGATTTAGTATCGCGAATGCTCCGGTGGCGAGCAGATGAGAGAGACACTGTGCAAGGGTTACTCTCGGATCCTTGGTTTCAGGGGTTGTAGGAAGCTGGTCTTCCCATTCTTCCACTTAAACTGAACTTATTGTGACGTAAGCGAGTAAACAGAAATTAATAGATACTAATTCATTAAGTAGCAAGAGCGATTTCACTTATTTCATTTAGTTGGCCTTTGCAAACTTGATGCAAGCATCCGATATAATTATTGCCACACCCCACGATGTTTCCACACACCTTCACCAATGACATTGTCCCGGACATGCACAACTTGTGCCGTGACGCACTGCATAAACCCACCCCAGACATCCTCCCGACTTTATCTCCGGCTTTATTCCACAACTTTAATCTCAGCCTTAGACCTTTTCGCCGAATCTATCCCAACTCCCACTAAATTACTTCTACAGCACCATCAACTCATATGTCCCTCTCCTCGGCAGAAAAGAAACGCCTACGGGACCGCCGCGCCCAACAAACCCTGCGCACCAAGAAGCAACAATACACCGCGCAGCTGGAAGACAAAGTGGCGCATTGCGAGCGCTACCACGACGACAGCGGCACGCAGCATCTCCTACAAGTAATAGAGGGCCTGCAACGAGAGAACCAATTACTCCGAAACCGCCAAGAGGGTCTAAAGACATTGATTACATCGTGGGAAGATCCATCGTCATCCCCACCACATCTACTGCAAGCACAACCACCGACACAACTTCCACTACCGCCTATCCAGTCCCACACCACAACACCAAAACCATCATCATCATCACCCCCACAACCCAACAAAGAGGACCAACACCAACAACCCATATCACCTCTCTACTCCCTCCTCCCCCTGCACTCCGATCTCCCCACCACCCCCTCCCTCGTCTGGCTCACCCTCCCCCCATCCACTATCACCTCCTGCCCTCCCTCCCCACACCCCCTGGACCTCCTCTACGGCACCAACACCAACCCCCTCGCCAACGTCATCTACACCAGCTCGCTTCGTCGTCCCTTGCGCGACCCCGAACGTCTCGCCTTCGGCTGGCTCGGCTACCACTACAGCAAATGGATCTTCAACCCCACCCCAGAGACATTCGCCAAGCTGCCAACCTTCATGCACCCCGTCGAGGAGCAGCTGCGTATTCCGCACCCCGCGTCGCTGGATATGCTTATTTGGCCTGAGATCCGGGTGACGCTGATCCGCGAGTGGGAGGTGTATTCGCGGCAGAGGGACGACTTGTTTGGGTTTCTGGCGTGTTGTCTGAAGGTGCGGTGGCCGTGGGGAGAGTCAATCTTAGAAAGGGATGAGCGGAATGAGTTGGTTATAAAGAAACGGTTCCGCGAGATGATCATGTGTAAGGAGGGATGGGGGATAACGAGGGAGTTTGTGGGTGTTTGGCCGGATGTTGTGAGGGGGGTGGATGTGGGGGAGGTGTTGATGGAGATTGGATAATCCCTATGAGTCACTCTGTAGTAGTATCGTATGTCATATTGTTCATATTTCACATTAAGATATGCATGTATGTATGCACGGTACATCTATCATCTATATAACTTTTACTCCACCCATGCCAGCATTTACTACACATTAAGAGAGACAAAGAGAAAAAGGAGTGGTGTAGGGTATGAGACTAATCCAACCTCACAACCCACCTCTCGCGAATCGTCTGCCCATAGCGATTAAACAAAATTGGCACGGGCACAAACGCCAATGCCAAAAACCCCAGCAACGAGTTCCCCCACCCGAGCCCCAAACTGCTGAACAGCTTCGGCCCAGCAAGCGGCAACACCGAACCGACCAACGATCTCGTCGCCGTGAGCGCCGCATTCGCACTCGCCGCATACGCCGGATAACAATCGATCACGTACATCTGAATCGGCATATATATGCCTATCATGCCGATGCCGAACGGCGCCATACCAATGATCGGCACGATCCACATAGCCTCGTACTTAGCGGACCAGCCATACCAAAAGAAGCTGATAGGAAGGAAGCAGGCGAAGATGATCATGGTGGGGAGACGCATCTCGGGTTGGAAGACGCCGTTGTTGCGGGCGGTGAGTTTGATGACCATGCGGTCACTCGTCATTGCGACGGCGGCCATGCCGATGAAGAAGCCTACTCCAATACCTAGGTAGGAGAGGCCTGCAAGGCCGGTGGAGAAGCCGTAGACGCCTTCGAAGACGGTGGTGATGGTCGTGAAGAAGAGGTAGAGGAGGCCGTAGACGAAGGCCATGTAGACGGAGAGGAGGAGGACGATGGGGCTCTTGCAGATGAGGATGATGGGGCGGCGGAGGCCTTGCATTAGTGCTTGAGAGACTGTTGGGGGCGTAGTGCCTTGGGAGATGTCGTAGGCGCTGCGGAGTTCAGGACGGTTGAGTTCGCGTGCGAGCTTGGCTGTTTTCCAGCGGATTAGGACAGGGGCGTAGGTTTCGCGGTTGAGGAGCTCGATGCTGGCGCCGATGGTGCCGCTGGTGATGAGCAGGATCCAGAATACCCATCGCCAGCCGATGGTTTCGCCGATGAAGCCACCCGCAATGGGGCCGACGACGGGGCCGATTAAGGGGCCCATAGCCCAGATGGAGGTGGCCATGCCGCGCTGGGTGGTGGGGAAGAGGTCGGCGATGACACCCGCGCCAAGGGTGATACAGCCCACGCCACCCATGCCGGCGAAGAGACGGAAGACGATCAGGCTGGAAAGGTTTGGGGCGAGGGCGCAGCCGATTTGCCAGACGACGAAGAACCAGTTTGCAACGCTTAAGGTGATGCGGCGGCCGTAGATTTCGCTAAGGGGGGCGAGGAAGAGGGGGCCGACCTGGGGTCATTAGTATGGGGATAGCTTTAGATGTGGGGAGGGATTGATGGTGTAGTGGGAAGCATACGGTATAGCCGAGGAGGAAGATGGTGACACTGAAGGAGAGGAGGGTTTCATTGGTGACGCGAAAGTCGGCGGCCACGTAGCTGATGGCGGGGGAGAACATGCTCGACGCCAGCGGCGAGATGAAGGTAAAGGAGCTCATCAGGGCAAGGAGCATCCATTTGCGTTTCGGAGAAAAGTTTTGCGGGTTGCTGGGGTCATCTTGACTGTCCCAGCCGATGATGCCCTTGTCGAGATCGGTTTCCGGGTAGAGGGCAGCAACGGTGGTGGTGCTGGAGGCAGGGGACTGGACTGGAGAAGATCGCTTCTCGGTTTGATCCTCAATGTCGGGCATGGTGAGGATTGCAGTTGGGTTCTTCTGCACGAGGGGAAAGAGGGACTAGGGTGGAATTCGTGAAGAGGAAGAATGGGCAGGTCATGGTGGATAGGGTGTATTTAAAATAGTCTGGACGGAGATAACGGCATGCATAATTTGCAGGATATAGTGTGCAAAAGAAAAAGTGTTTGTAGTGAGTTGCAGAGCCGCAGGCATTGATGGCTAATCTGGTCGGACTTTGTTAGGGCATCCCTGGTCAGGGCGAGTCAGCGGGATATCAACAGCCACTTAACTTGTGGCAATAAACTAAAGATGGAGGCGCTGAATCAGTGGTGGGTCCGAGAGAAAGAAAATGCGGTGGAATTCGGGCTCCAGAACGTGGCAATCCACATAACCTTCCCGCGGTTGTGCAAGTTATGCACCCCGATGGAATAAGATCGAAATGAGTCTTTGTTATGAACTGCAGCCTTGGATAACATGATCAATTAGCATGGTCCGTTTCCCCATGCTAATCATGCAGACATGACGTGTAACCCTACTGATAGCTACAATGCTTCTTGTCTGCTCACCGTGTCTTGTGTCAGCTTGGCTTATCCCCGGCGAGGCCGACCGATGCTGCCATCACCTGGCAATGCCAGCCGAAGGATCAGGAGTCAGCCAGTAACCCCTGGCGACCCAATCACCATCACCAGCACAGACACGCCATGCCATCGAAATTGAAACTGTGATCCGCTATCAGGCTGAATGGTTTCTCATGTGGACACCACATGGCAGGTGTTGCACACCACGTCAAAATCTTCCGGTTTCACATGCTTTGCTTGCACATCCGAACTAAGGATAGCTTCATATTGCTCCACTGTCTGCCCAGCCCTGCCTCGGGATGCCGTAACAACAACCCGACTTTCTTCATCACAAGCCAGAACCCGAGCCGATAGCAATAAACATTTACTTAATATTCTCTTGGCGATTCTTGTCCACTGACAGTGAGCTGATGTGGGTGATACACTTTGGATGTCTCTCATAAGGATGCACCATGTGGGTACTCGTCCCGATTGGTTCGCATCATCTCACCCGAAAACATTCCTGCGAGCACCGCGCGCATATGACTCCTTTGTTGTCAGTCAGGCCAAAGCTTCTATGATACAGCATACGGTCTGCCCAACACAAGCCTAACGAGGCTTGCACCTCGTCTGGATACGAGTTGGCTGTCTGTGCGCCAAAGCCAGATAAGCATTGGAGTCATGCCGGGAATTTCCGAATGCTTGCAATAGATGTAGGTTAGGCACAAGGTTGCTCTAGATTGACTGTGGTAGGCATAGTTGATAAGCGAACTGGTGTGACTGTCTAAACATACGGTGAATTTCTGGCATGAAGCCGTAGTTACTAGGACAATGAATACGCGTCCTAACGATGATTCCTTTACGAATTGTTGAATAAGTCGACTGCAATATATTCACAATGACATTGACTACTAAGTATTGTCTACAGGAACGGGAATGCTGCAATGCACTGATGCATGCCCTTCACTCACTACTCTGAATATATATATCCCTCCTCCTGTCCATCCGTCTTCTTCCTCTTCAAACCTCTCCTTTATAGTATATAGTTCCCCTTTCTACTATATACATTACTCTCTAAGCTACCTTGATATCTCCGAGAATCTGACTTTCATGAGTGACTAACTTCAAGAATATCGGTACCAGTTAAATCAAACATGCGCGCGAATACACCACAATTTGCAACGATCCCATCAGAAAATGATGAAGAAGCTTATGCATGCTATATCCCTTTCTTTACTACTCGCAATACTGTTCCGTTGGGTGTTGGCAAAGGCAAGGCGGAGGGACGATGACCATTCCCAACTCTACCTGTTTGCTGCCGACTAGTATTATAAACCTTTCCCTTTCATTATAACGAATCTGCGAGATCCAATATTCTCCATCCACTGGTCAGCAAAGAACACCAGAAAACGGGATTCCTTGGACGGAATAAGTCGTGGACTGCCAGACTTCGCAAAGGAGATAATGTTCTCCTTCGGGTCCACAAATACCCCACTGCGTAAGCGTCCAGGTAGCGATGCTCTTCCGTCATTTATGGAGATTGCTATCGACACACATCTATCGCACTCTGCATTCCCAAGGTTCGCGTGCTAGGGAAGAAAGATGACGTTGATCGCCAGAAAAATCTAAATACATTGCTGGCATTACTTGCTATCTGCGACGCATTTGCCTCGAAAGCATGACTATACGGCTAGAGGTCCTGACCACTAGGGTTCCAGATATCCTACATGACTTTTGTTGTCAATGATGACGCGCTTGGCAGACATATATGCTAGAGTGTGGAAAATCACGAAAGATTTAGCCACAATCATCAGGATTGGAAGCGAGCATGGACCCTAAATAATATACTCCGATACTGAGGTGCTATGATGAGCCGAACATAACCAGGCTCTATGCCTGCGGTGGTTGTCTCCTAACTCGAGTATTATATGACGAAAGCTATACGTTGAAGACACCCAATACATGAAACAGTTGAAGTCCTGTTAGCATGGACTTTCCACACTAGTGGATAATATGAGTTATGGCTACGATGAACAAGGAACGCTCTATGATTGACTACCTTCAGACATGCTTTTCAGTCTATCGAAAGCGTTTTCCGCGGCGGCGATTATTTCTGTGGTCAACACTAGCGTGCCCTGAGCATGGTAGACATTGACATTTTGAGCTTCTTCGCCTACCCACCACCTTGCTTTCCGCCGCAGCCGCCAGGGTTGTCTTCACTATCACGGCTATTATTACCGTCGTCGCCGTTCTCCTCTACAATAGGAAAGCATGTCTATTTACCGCAGACAACTTCTTGATTCTACTCTATTTCTTCCTTAAATCTCTGGAATATAGCGCCGGATTTCCCTCCGCCGTAGGGGAAATGAATCCGTTCTGGATACCCCGGCACAATCTCAGAATTGCTCTACGGTCAACGGACTATGATGATGATGTAAAGCTTCGCCATATACTTCATTGCATGAGGACCAAGTTTGTCAATAAAGGAGTACTATTGATCGAATTCAAAGGGTAAGCAGCCCTCTATCTGAGGGACTGCAAAATGAAGCACGGCTACTCAATTTAGCGCTGGATTCGCCGAAACCAGAGTCGAATTCCTCTTCTCGTTCCGAAGAGATATTTTGAACGATACGACGGTTGAAAATTAACAACTCATTCATATTGGAAATGTAAGAGCCCATGGAGGTTATTTCACGATAGATACCTTCCTTTACAAAGAAAATTCTATGCTATCTTAATGAAGGTGGAAAGGTACATCCACTATATAATAATCAGGGTACCTTGGTACTTCTCTATAGGGTTAATCCTAGCCTTATTAAAGAATCAGTAAGTTTTGATATATCATATCCGCCGGATCTCTATCAACATTTCTATACTTTCTATTTCATCTATGCAGGGGCTGACTTTACCTACATCAAGACTATATTCCAACAATCAATATACTAGAAAAACATGCTACAGTCAAGGCCTCTGAGAAGAGAGTAAGAATCAATCTTTTTGAGGAACAGTTCAACAGATTCTTAGATACCTTGGATTCAGCTGGTTACACGTGATTACTTAAATCCTGTGCAAGCAGATCCTCAGCTTAAAGAACTTCATCACGTATACAAGGAATTCTAGCTTGCTAGCAATTTGGTGAATTAAACAACATTGACAGGCTTTAGAACAATAACGAGGACTGTGTGAGGACCGTGATAGTTTTGGCTGTGATTCTTTTCCTTATACTATCTCCTTGTATTGGTTCTAACTAGCATGTCTTCTACAAGCGTGAAACAGAGGAAAACAATAGGTGTTTCTAGGGTACAGAAACTATGCACTACGCACCGACAAACAATTTTTCTCAAGCAGGGGAATATTCCTGGCCAGAACATTTTATATTTACCTTTGATTGCCATGCTGGGAATTCCAACAAGAACTGTGATGGTGCTAGTTGCAAACAAGGGTACTACTAGAGATGGAAAAAAGGAGGTCTAATATTAGGCGCTGGAATACGCCGAGATATCCGTGAAGTATCTCGAATACGCAGAAGATGAACCTGCTCAACATGAACTGTGAGCGCTGCATATTCAAGATGATTATGGAGATAAGTGCGTTGTGAAAGGGAGAAGGGGATAACCCTGCAACCCCGAAACGAAGCATTTGGCTCAAGCAACTCTTGTTCCCCACAGCCCCCATAGGGGCTTTAGCATGTGCAGCAGTTCTACATACAAAGAAGACCTGGAATACAACTTATCAGTGATAGATCCAGAGTCGAATTTGAGCATGGAACATCACCCAGATGTTTAGCATGGATGTCTGGCAAAAGCTAGACCCAAGGATGGTGGCCTGTCCGTGCAGATATTCTACAAGTTAGTCTGAAGAAACCACCTGATATTATCTGCAAGAGCCCATTGGCAGTACCAGCTTATCGAGCATCGTCTGAGTCGACCGAGAAAATGACAGCAGGCTGCACATGACTGGACGAAGCAGGAATGATGATCGGAAAGAAAGATTGCCCAGTAAAAGTCCAACCCCGACCGCCAGAGACGAGGCTGTAGCCTCCTTGATCATACGTGGGGCCGAGTTCTCGCCCAGTGTGGTCGGAATCATAGCCGCAGTGGACGTCGCTGATTCGCTTGCGACCAATACCACCAATACGTGGTTTAACTACTGCCATCCGAGAGGGGGGCTGTGTACTGAATCCTTATGTTTAGTTGCTAAACACTGTACAGCAACCTCGAGTTGACATCTGCACGACGACTACTGATGAACAGAACTGCTCAAAGTCAAGTCAGCGCCAGTCGTAGCCCAGCAACGATGGCGGCCTTCAGGCGCGCGATCCGCCAGTTCCGTGTGGCTGCTGCAGAGGTGGTCAGTAGCAGCCCGCGACCCACTGTGTCTTCGTGCGCGTCTGAGACTCTCATTCGGGTATGTACGACATCTTCGGAATACAGATACGCAGCTAACCTGGTCATAGACGTCGTTGAGACGATACCGTGCCCTGCTACGATGGGTCGTGGTGATCGAAGAACGCACTGAAGCTGGGTGCGCTGTTTGTCTGAAAGTCGCTGACGAGACCGGTCTGGCAATTGACAAGGGAGCCCAAGCCCTTGCACATTCCGCCTGCAAAGATGATGAAGCTATAATTAATTAGCAACAGTTTGACAGATTGAAACTTTATAAGGCTAACGTGTCTGATGCTCGCATAAGCCCTACTATCTTTTCCCCTGAGACTATATGACAAGCAAAAGGGCGAGAAACTGGAATCTTACAGGGACTGGGCTTGGCTTAGGGAAGATAACGACTACATCTCTAAACATGGCCGGTTAAATGTGGAACTCTTTAGATTCTATTGCACCATCATTGACAGCTATAAACTTTCACACAGTCATATAAGCGCCTATAGACGAAAAAGGTCGACCAATACAGGCGGCGATTGGAGCTCGGTCAATCTTATAAAATTGCGATCTTCATACTGTTTCACAAGTCGGGTATTGGCTATCATCAACGAAAGAAAATGTACCCAGTTTAACAGGCTATACAACCTACGCTCCAGTGGATACCCTGCCAGGAAATTTCAAAGTACAGCTCGTCTGCGCAGCTGCTTCCTTACAAGTTATCCTGGACGTACAGCGCCTGGCTGCCTCACCTTATGACATCGACACATCTCAAGGCCTTAAGGCCGCTCATACAACCTCCAAGATCAGACGCAGAGCCCCTCGCCTGCCACTCCATTAGTCTCCGCTTCATAGGTCCACACTATGAACGAGACTCCTCTGACGGAAGCTGGACATCCAATAACTTATGATCAAAATAAAATTCCCATGCATAGGGTCATCTTACCCGACGACTGTGGATAGGAGAAATAAAGCCTGGTGTTCAACGGGACTGTTCACAAGTCGATATAAGTACTCTGCCCCTGAGCCGTCCATGCACGAGATTCCCCCTACTGCTTTAACTGGATCGCCATTCTGCATCTTCCTGCCTCGATCTTTGATCCGAGGTATATCCGCCACGAGTGTGCCAGTAACCGTTTTAACCAACTCATTGTATCGTTCCATCGGCAGGTTCCAACCTCCCGTCATCAATAGTCAGTGGGCGTTATTCAACGCGACCGCGGTTGCTCCGTCCTTTAAAAAGAGGATTCATGATCCGAACGTGTCCGTCGTGGCGCCCGTAACACCGAGAACGTGGCTGAGAGGGTACCTTCGGACGTTCCAGAGCACGAGGAGGATTATACAGTCGAGGTACGTTCGCGCTCGATCTCGCCTGAACGTCGTCGTTCGAATCCGTGTCGGCAGGCTCTTGCGTCATCTCCGGTGGCTATAGTTAAGATTGTGGCCCTTACTTTGAGCTAATGAGCTGCCTCAAGGACTTGGAGTCATGATGCCCAGTGGTACTAATAACCAGAATAAGGAAACAGACTATGTACACAGTCCGCAGGATCCTGGCTTTGAGAGCCTTCTCATATCCTGCAATCTTATAGGTCGTAATCAGACTTCTCGACTCACATATTCTCGAGGGTAGGACCTGTTCACTTGAGTACTGGCCAATATCGCCATGGTTATTTCTGCATATAGATTGTAATATTGATATTAATATTATGCAAATGGAAACACGCCATTGCCTTCCCTTGTGATCTAGCAGAAGGTGCATGTACAGTCACTCCTTCAGTTTATAAACAACTTCTTTCTAAGGGTCGCGAGGTGGCAACGATACCTTTGCCATCAAACGGTCCCTTGCCATTTCAGGATCCCAGTCTAAATTTGAAGAAAGTCTTTCCTTTGCCTCCTGTAGCCAGGCTTTCCAAGCTTCCGTATCCGGTAATATACGCGACTTTCGGACCCATTTAACTTGGTGTGTTGTAGAAATTGCTTCCCACAGTGCGCGCGTTAAGTTCTTCTTATATGTATGTTTAAGTAGCGTGATTTTATAAATAGCGCTCAGATCCCAAAAACTTTTCTCATCGAACAACACGGGAACGGCCCAGTAACACAGGTTCAGCAAGATATAGGTAACGGCAATAGCCGTCTGCATTGTCCACCCACAGTTGCTGAAGAGGAGCACGGATACCATCAATAGAATGGTGCTGGTCCCCATCAGCATTTTGAAAACAGAACTCTCTGGCTTCCTGGCATAAAAATAGCTTTCTCGCTTTGCGTATAGTTCCTGGGCAATAGTCTCGGAACAATGCACGACCACAAAAGCACCGTTCTTGGTCCTGATAACAACATCGCCGGGCATTTTATCAAGGTCGGTTCTTCCTTCCCCAGTTTCTGGATTTGAGCGTTGCGAAAGGCATGCCAGACTGCTGGATATTGACATAGTGGTCATGGCTAGTAATCCAATACCATCGTGAATAAGGATTGACCAGACAGCCAAGCCGACTGTCAAGAGGACAGATGCCAAGGTCAAGATATTCATGACGCAGAACTGCTTGAGCCGTATTCTTATTCTTCTAGATTCATGACACTCTTCCAATTCGCGAATGTCGGCATCTGGTTCATAACTTTCCGAACGACAGATTTCATAGACACGACATTCGTATGGTTGCAGCTTATCTGTCTGATGTATCCTTTGGGCGACGTAACCTAGTTCGTCGTACATTGCTCCTGAATGTACACCAATGACAGACACATTTTTAAGCAGTGGTAGCTGCGTCGTCGAACCCATGTTCAAAATGGCTTGTGGCGCCGGTAAAAGACGAGGGAGGACGCTAAATGATGAAGCTACTATAATATGCTTCTGCCTCTCGATAATGGATTCTCCAATCACTGCCAGGAGACTGACGGCATCGAAATGCCAGCCTTTATCGGACGTGTCTCGGGCACCGGTAAACCAAGTCATGTCGGCTGTCACACGGTTAACGATACGTGTCAAGCTGTACGGGACCGTGTATGGTGTAAAAATGGAAAAGAAAGAACCAAATTAAGTTAAGAGAATTGTGCGAATACCAGAGATTCCGATTCGATAGAGTATAATTGATGGAAGATTGGAAAAGCTTGAACCTTTTATAAGCTCAAATATGAGTTGGCGGTGCTGAGGCTCAACCTGCATGGATGCCCAATATCTAGAGGCAGTGAGCTAAAATGCCTATAGTAGTGTGCGAGATTGCAGGCGTTCCTCGGGGATCCAGGACGGAGGTTGGGTGGGGTTGGCACCCAAAAAAAGCAAACATAAGCAAAGCTGGAACCGAAACAGAGAACCATAAGAGATAATTGACAAGGCAAGATAAAGAGAGATAGAGGAGAATTTTGGACTTCCGATGGTGCAATACATTAATCTATATATCTAGCTAATCTATCATCTATCATTACCACCACATACCCATCTACCCTCTATCCCCAAATCTACTCCTTCCTTCCCAACTTCCCCCTCAGCCTCGCGCCAAACAAGTAAAACACATACGGAATGAACACCATTCCCACCCCAATAAACGCCAACAACCACGACGCCCACTGCAACCCCAACCGATCATACATCTGGGTAATGAACAGCGGGAATGCCGCACCTCCCCCGGATCTCAAGAAAACCTTCGCAGCCAGCGCCGAAGCCGCATACTTCTGATAACTATCAATGATGTAGTTATTGACCGCATAATAGCACAGCACCATGCCAAACCCAAACGCAATTCCCGACGAGGCCGGCCCAACCCAGATGATATGTTTATAGGACGTAGCACCCAGGATAAACAGGGAGATAGGCACGAACGGCGCGCCAATCAGCGCACCAATGAGTCTATCTTCCGGGGTTGGCGAACGAGAGAGACATATCCGGTGGAAGTGTTTCTCGACAAGTGGAGTAAAGAGGAGGGAGAAGCCCGCGCCGATGAGAATAGGGATGAACATCAGACCGATCTGGCCGTCGTTGTAGTTGTACAGTTTTCCGAAGATGACCGGGTAGGCGAAGAAGAAGGCGTAGAGCATGCTGTAGATGAGCACAATGTACATGCACATGAGGTCGAGGACGGGTTCGGTGAGGATCATGGTGATAGGGCGGATGAGACTGGTGCGGATGATATCGTGCAGAGTGAGTTTGTGTTTCTCCTGCTCGGTGATGATGTTGGGGTTTCCGGTCTCTTTGCGGAGACGGGCGGCGCGGCGTTTCAAGATCACGGGGGCATAGGTTTCTGGGATGAGACCGACGAGGATCATTATGACGCCGCAGAAGGCCATGTTGGTCCAGAAGAAGAGGTCGAGACGGTGGGAGCCGACGGTGATCCAGCCGCAGACGATGGGGCCGATGACGGGTCCGCAGTAAGGGGCAGCGGCGAAGAAGGCGATGGCCATGCCGCGGTCTTCGAGGTTCCAAATGTCGGCGATGGTGCCGCCGGCGAGAGAGAGGCCGGAGCTGGAGAAGACGCCGCAGAGGAAGCGGCAGACGAGGAGGCCGCCGATGTTGGGAGAGAGGGCGCAGGGGATGTTGAAGATGGTGTAGAGGGCGAGGGAGATGATGTAGACGGGACGGCGGCCGATGATCTCGGAGAGAGGCGACCAGAGGAGAGGGCCGACTGCGAAGCCGCAGACCATGATGGAGCAGGTGAGCGTTGCGACTTCGAGAGAAACGTGGTATTTCTCTTCGATGAGGCCGAGGCCGCCGGTGACGATGGAGGAGCCGTAGGCGATGCAGACGACGAGAAGGGAGGCGATCATTGTGACGTACCAGCGGTACGTGCGGGACCAGTTGAAGGGGTTTTCGGGATCATTGATGGTGAAGGTCACAAATTCTGCTGGCTCTTTGGCTTTTTCGATGTCGGAGCTGGATGTGTGATGTGAGTATGTGCGGGAGCGCATCTGTTCGAGCGTTCTTTCGGGGACAAGGCCAGTGTTGGTCTCGACGGTATATTCCTCTGGGAAAACGGGGTTTTCTTCTCGTCCGACATCGGGGTAGTTGTAGTCTGTTGGAGGTGCTTTTTCTGATATCCCGCGGTTCTCGAGGGATTGTCTTGTTTCTGTCCTGTATAGGGCACGATGGGACTGGCCGTTGGCCGGGTCTGGTGTTGATGACATGATGTGATTATGATTATGTCTAAGTAGTAAGGTAGATGTAGTGATCTATTGCTGTTGTGCTGATGCTGATGGTATCCAATGTTGGAACTGTAGGGCTTTATATACTACAGTTGATGATGCCATACATACGGCAGGCCGACCCATCTCCGATGCCGAGCTATCGCCGGTGCCGCCATTGGGCTGATACAGTTTTACGGACCTGATAAACAGGTTAGCTACAATCAAAGTGAGAAATTTTCTTTTTCTTCAAACTCTTACAATGACTCAGAACTTTCAAGTGACTGTATAGCTAACTAGTCAGGGGCAACCCAGATAATCTAGATTGCATCTGTGATACCGGAGCCGCAGCTGTGCCTGTCACACCACAGCTGAACTGCCCGGACATCTTCACAAACACTGTTTCACAACAGAGAGTACAACAGAGAACTTCTCCGGAAATCCAGAACTGGGATTGCATTGTCGAGTAACTGCATACAAGCAGTTGTACGATCACATCCAATGTTCCACGGCACGAAGCTCCGAGTCAATCTTCACTGCAGGAACACTATTGCATCGAAACACGTCATCTGACAGCTGAAAATAAGAAAAATCTGCAGTTCCATCAGATCAACCAGGGTCGAGACGGGATGCTTAATCGCGCAACAAGCAGATCCTGGTTACAGCATTCCAGAATGTGGCTGATAACCAACTTGCGTCAATCGGCATCTCGGAGATGGCTCGGTGCCGAGTAATCCCCGACGGGCCAGCCCATAGACAGACTGACCAAACTCGAGAAATCTCCGAACAGAATCCTGCAAGGAGCGAAAACCGGCCTAGATCTGAGTATATAACTGGTTGAACCTGAAACCGGGAATTGAAGTACGGGTTGAATACATCCTATTATCGGCATGCCACCACAATAAGGCCGATGGCCCAAGTTGTGGGCGGTTATAGCATGTTATCTACTAGTTAGTGGATAATAGTTACTAAGTTATATAGAAATATCGAATTGACATCATAAATACAATGGTGAAACTACCCTCCGGACCTTTAACAGTGATATATAAGCATAGAAATTTATACTCAATATTTCCTCATAATTATAGCAAGTAGCTAGTAATCCTCGGATATATCACTGATATATAATTACTCGCTACGGTCATGACAAGACGGGCTTCTCGCATGCGAAAAGGTATATCTGATATCATCCCAATGGACTTTTCCTACGAAAAATGTGTCTGAGCCTACCTATGTAGGGGAAGAGGTATCTTATGCTTGGATTCCATCACAGCAATTCAAACCTTAACTAGAAGATGCGGACCAGTGATAACAATTCGAGCCCCCACCAAAGCCAACGCCCCAACCATTAAAGCAGCTCCAGCCCAGAGTTGAGCGGGTAAATAACTATCATCTCCAGACTGCGCAATCAAAGCGCCCGCCACCGAAGGTCCCGTCAAGGGCCCGAAGCTGATCATGGCAAGTGCCATTCCCACCCGAGTGCCTATCTTATCCAGGTCCTTCGTCAAAGATGGCACCGTGCCAGCAAAAAGACCCATGGCTGCCGCGGAAGCAAGACCATAAAACACCGCGAAGATATACAAGCCAGCGACATTGTGAACGCCCGCCCAACAGAACATCAAAACCCCGCATATGCTGACCCACGGAATCAAGCAGTTTAGTGGCCCCAGGTACCGATCCGCGAGATATCCACAGGGTGCTCGGATTGGGATTCCGAGTACATTGATCACGATAACTAAATTGACGCCTGCGCGGGCGGAAAGACCTAGTCGGTCGGTCGCGTAAACTTGGATCTGGGTTTTGTTGGTTTTTATCTGCTTGGTGGGTTGACTGAGGAGAGGATGCCTTAGGAGAATGAGATGGGGTAGGATGTGCGACATACATAGAAGAACGCGAAATAGAGGGTCCAGTAGAGGAGAAAGACCCCAAGAGTGAAAAGCATATAAGCTGGCTCAGTGAATGCTCCCCATTCGATCAAGGGACCCGACTTGCGTGGCGGCAGTCGAGGACGTAGTAGGGCAAGGATAATCAGGAGCATGACAAAGACGACTAGACCCATGCACCGGACAGCCCACGGAAAACCTTCCAAAAGGGAGGAGGATCAGGATGGAGTCCGGATGGATCACGCCAACAGATTACATGGTGGTCTCACCTATCCTTGGAGACAGGAACTGAATCATAGCTGGAAAGATAATCCCCCCTGTACTGGTTCCGGTGGCAGCAGCCGTGACGGCGAACACACGGCGTCGGACAAAGTACGTGGAAACGAGAGTCACACTAGGCAACCACATAAGTCCCTGGCCGATACCAATGCAGAGCCCCTGGGAGAGAAATAGTTGCCAATAGACCCTTGCTAGGCTGGTCATGAAGGTTCCAAGTAACAACAAAAATGCGCCAATGCCGACGACAAGCCGAGCTTGTCCGGCATCCGTCGCGCGCCCGGAGAGAGGGGACATGAATAGGAGACAGAAGACCTGGAAGCCACCGATCCACGAAATATCGGACGAGGTTTGCGGTAGAGTGACTTCATAATGGTCTTGGAAGACGCCAAAGCTGGCTGCATAGCCCCATGTTACCGCAACCACTAAGTGGCCGGAGACTACTTGGGCCCAGGCGTGAAATCCACCGTCGGGAGGGGGTGGGAGTGTGCCAGCGGTGGACATTTATTGAGTGTTTTATGTCCTGGTCTAGTTTTAGAAACGAACATGGAGTATGCGTAAAGAAGAAAACAGTACGATTCAATGAAATGGAGTAGTGGCTAGAAACGAGAACATAGCAGCAGGGCGAATTTATTATATAAAGTCACTCCATGTATCATAACGAATGGTTGCTTATAAATTATCTAATCTAGCTGCATGCAACTGTACCGCATCTCAATATAATGGTCTAAGATGTCTTGTGTGAGACTGAGTAGTGAATTTTGATTAGCGGACTATTTGTCCAGGAACATCCACGCTTGGGGAGCAAAAGAAATGCCATCCTGACTAGCTGACTTTCAAAATATAGAAGCATCATAGCATGTGCCTGAGCTGGGGCCGATTTCCGATGTACTTGGGGGGTTTAGCGGCAAGGACATGATCCGTGCGAGACTGTTAGTTACTATTGCTTATAACGATCCATTTTCAGAGTAACCGCGCGATCCAGACGATATACAGCGGGAATGAGCCGCCAACCAATGGATTCATAAGATTCCCAGAGCTCGGCATCTACAACCAATCAATCACGCACTCTCCTCGGGTGTTCAACTGGGGACATAGTAGTAGTAAGACCGAACGGTTCCCTTCGGGCGTCGTGGTTCGTACGCCAGCCCGGCCTTGTACCGCAGCACGCCATAGTGCCTTTCCAGGCCACAGCCTCAGCCAAATGAGCGTCGGCCACTTCAAATGTGGGAAACGGGTGCCCACCGAGTGGGCTAGACTCATGGCGTGCCGAGCATCTTTCCGGGCTAATTCAGCTGAAAACAAGGGGTCTTTTTTAAGGTGTCATTTGTTCAAAATTTTGACATAAAACATCTCACGACCATCTCTACGCACCTCTTCAGGCCCCTATGTATACAGCTTTTCATTCCTACGCCCACAGCCTAACCTAACCTCTCACACCCACCCAAACAATCAGTCAATGAAACCAACTAATCACTAGCCTGATACTTAGCCCTATACTCCTCCAACCGCTTCATATCGGCCTCATTGCCCTTCGCCTGCATCAACTTGATCAAATCATCCAGAGTAACAATACTCGTCGTAGGCACACCATACTCCTTACGGATCTGACCCATAGCACTCATTCTGGGCTTATCGTCCTCAACACCGTTCTCGTCCTTGGGTCCGGGCATCTTCTCCAAGCGGTCCAGAGCAACAGTGAATCCGACGACCTTGCCGCCCTCCTTGGCGACCAGGTTCAGGGTCTCGCGCATCGCAGTACCGGCCGTGATGACATCGTCGATCACAAGCACGGTCTTGCCCTTCAGAGCGGCGCCGACAATGTTGCCGCCTTCGCCGTGATCCTTGGCTTCTTTGCGGTTGTAGCTGTAGGACACGCTGCCCCAGGTGGCGGGGTCGATGCGGTTGAGTTCGAGGAGGGTGGCGCACGCGAGGGGGATGCCTTTATATGCGGGGCTGTTTCGGGGGGTTTTGTTAGTTATTTATGGGTTGTTAAGTGGAAGCGGGGTATGGGGGAGAGGGGGGGGTTTTTTACCCGAAGATGACGTCGGGCTTGGGGATGGAAGGGTTCTCAGCGAGGAAGGTGATGATGGTGTGAGCGTATGCGGTGGAGAGGGCGGAGAGGAGAGAGGCGGTGTTGAAGATGCCGGCGTTGAAGAAGTAGGGGGAGTCTGTATACAGTGGTAAGTCTTCCGATTGCGATAATGCCGGTGTTGGAGGGGTGACGCACGGCGACCCGACTTCAGGGTGAAGGTGCCGAAAGTCAGCACGTTGGCCGACAGGCAGGACTCCAGGAAGGCGGTCTTGTAGGCAGGGAGAGCCATTGTGATTGTGTGGGTGTGGAGGGAGTGGTATAGACACGGGGTTGGAGGGGGAAGTTGCGGGGGAATTTGGATGCAATTATTGATTGAGACAAAAAAGTTGGGCTCATTTGGGTGGATGAGGTAAGCACCCCACACTAGCCTGATGCAGTATGTACCAGTATGTTTTAGGAATAGTGTGCGATTATTCTTATCTTATCTCCGACGGTATCGCCGAGGATATATTGCCATTCATGTTGACTACATCTGAGATTATACAGATTCCAATTAAACCCAATCGAAGCCCATTTCACCATTAATATACATTACCATTAACGCCTTCACATAACCCATGAACCACCCATTGAGTCAATGGTATAATCACCTCAAAGTCTGCAAATTCACCATCTCATAATACCGTCCTCTCCTCCTCAACAACTCCTTATGTGTCCCACACTCAATCACCTCTCCCTGCTCTAAGAAATATATCATATCCGCCCGTTGAATCGTACTTAACCGATGCGCCACCGCAATAGTGGTCCTCCCCTTGGCAGCCGCGTCCAGCGCAGCCTGCACCACCTTCTCCGACTCGGAATCCAGCGCGGAAGTCGCCTCGTCCAACAACAGAATGCGCGGGTTCCGAATCAACGCACGCGCTATCGCGATACGCTGTTTCTGTCCACCTGACAACATGCCACCCTTGTTACCAACGAGAGTGTCAAAGCCTTGTCTGTTTCTCAATGAGTAACCGCATACATACCACAAAAGAAGAAAGGGAAAGGGAAGACTTACGGCAACGACATGATGAAATCATAAATATTCGCATCTCTGCACGCCTTGACCACCATATCCTCCGACACATGTTCCTTATCCGTACAACCCAGGAGAATATTCTCCCGAATAGTGCCATGGAACAGCGACGGTTCCTGACTGACCAGCGCCAAATGACTGCGATACGACTTCTTGTCCAACGCTTTGATGTTGCGTCCGTCGATATATATCTCGCCCACCTGCGCTTCATAAAACCGTTCCAACAGGGCAACAATCGTACTCTTGCCACTACCACTCGACCCCACCAGAGCGACATATTGCCCTGGCTTGACGGTGAGGTTCAAGTGGCGTAGAACAGGCTGTTCCAGACGTGTGGGATACCGGAACGACACGTCACGGAATTCAACCTCCCCTTGCATGGAGGCAACGTGGACGGGAGGTCCGTATCGATAGCTATTGATTGCAGAAGTAGTGGGGTTGTTGTTGCGGAAGAGTTTCTTGAACTCCACAGCCGCGTTCTTGGCCTTGCCCATATCAGGGGCGTGAGAGAAGATGGTTCCCGCAGCCTGCGCGCCGAAGATGACTTCACTGAAGCAGACATAAAACTGGAAGAGGGAATAGTCGCCCTTTCCGAGTAAAGTGCCGCCGTACCAGAACCCAAGCGCCATGCATAGGAACGGCAGGGCCTGGGAACTAGCATACAGCGCAGAGGACTTGATGATGGGGAAGATGTCGCTTCTCAGCTGGTTATGGAGTTGTGACTCGTAAGATTGGAGCACCTCCGGCTCCATGGTCAATGAAGCGACCGTGCGGATAGCAGAAGCGGCTTCGCAAGCGGAGCTGGCTGATTTCTGGTATGCTGTTTTAGCGCGACGCTGAATTTTGTCGAGCATCCAGACGCGAATGAAACCGCAGGCGAGGAGGACAGGGACGGCGGAGATGCACACCAGGGCGAGTTTCCAGCCCATTGCTAGGGCCACGACGAGGGAGGCGGCCAGGTTGACAGATACGATGAGGATGGTGCCCAGTGTGACGCCGCTGATACCGGCTAGTTGCTTGGTTTCGGCGCCGAGGGTAGAGGTCAAGGCACCGGTGGTGTTTTCTTCGCGGTCGAAGAAGGAAATGTCTTTGTTCAGCATGACGCGGAAGGCCTGGCTGCGGGCGCGGTAAATCATGCGCTCGGAGCTGTAGGCGAAGAGGGTCCCCTGGAGACTGTAGATGCAGAGGGTGATCATGCCCATCATGAGGAACATCAAGGACCAGAAGTTGGCGTCGTGGCGCAGTTTGTGGTATTCGAAGGGTGGGAGACTCAGGGTGCTGACGGCTTTGGCGAACAGGACGGCTTGAGAGGGCTGGATGCCGCCCGCGACGATGGAGGCACAGAGACCTAGAGACATGATCGGCCATTCGGGGCGATTGAATGATGCAAGAAATTTGAATAGCGACCAGAGAGAGAAAGTCTGCTTGACTTTCGTTGGCAAGGGTGGGATGAACATGGACATTCGGGTGCGGCGGCGTCGGTGTTTGCTGCCAGACTTGAGCCCGACTTCCGAGCCATCGTCGCTTAGTGCGTCCTGGTCTTCCATGGGATAGGTGGCGTAGTCATCCTCGAAGAAGAATGTCATCGACTCGTGCCGCTTCTTGTCCCGCTGTTTGATCTGCTGGGCTTCGACCATGTCGCAGTAGACGCCTCTCCGGTCCATGAGCTCTGCATGTGGCCCCTGCTCTACGATATGGCCGTTGACGAGAACGATGATGTTATGGGCGTCTTTGATAGTAGAGAGGCGATGTGCAATGACAATTGTTGTACGACCCTTGGTGGCTTTATCCAGCGCTGACTGCACGATTTCCTCCGACTTTGCGTCCAGCGCTGAAGTCGCTTCGTCGAGAAGCAGCAGGCGAGGATCCTTGACGACCGCTCGTGCAATGGCAATACGCTGCTTCTGACCACCAGACAGCGAGAAAGACCCGATGTTGGTGTCGTATCGATTCGGAAGAGCCATGATGAAGTCGTGCGCATTGGCCATGCGAGCAGCATCGTGGATCCGCTTGGTGATCTGTGCCTCGGTTTCATTCTCGAAGTCAGAGCCAATCAGCCCGAATTTGATGTTCTCGTAGATGGTGGTGGAGAAGAGTCGAGGCTCTTGAGATACTAGCGAAACTTGCTGTCTCAGCCAGCGAAGGTTCAAATTTTGCAAATCATGTCCATCAAGAGTGATTCGTCCAGCCACAGGATTGTAGAACCGCTCGATCAACCCGATGACCGTACTTTTGCCGGATCCCGAGGGCCCGACGAATGCCGTAGTCTTGCCGGCTGGAATGTAGACATTCAAGTCATTGGCGACAATGACCTCGGGCCGCGATGGGTACACGTGTCTGATGTTCTGCAAGACAATGTTGCCCTTGATGTGGCCCAGCTTCAGGCCCTGATCCGAGGATGCATCCAAGGGCGATGGCCTGTCGATGGTACTGTACAGCTTAGATGCCGCAGCCACTGCATTCGAGATGGCCTGGGTGTTTGGAGCAACGTTCCCCAAATGGTACGATCCAAGCATAATGGACATGAGGATGGTGAGAATATCACCCGCCTGGACACCGCTATCTCCATGCACAAGGAATATACTCCCACGCCAGAAGCCCAATCCATAATTCAAATGGATGCAGGAGAGCAGCGCACCGACCATGATGGCAAAGGTAATCTGCGCTTTTCGGGCGGGCCCCTCAGACTCTAACAGATGAGCATCATACTTGGCAGCCAGCACATTCTGAGCATCAAAGGCCACAACTGTTCTAACAGAATCAAGGATATCTTCGGCAAAGCTACCGCAACGACCTTGGCAGTCGAGCGATCTCTTGCTATAAACCATGGTGAACATGGACCCTCCGCCCATGATAACCAGCAGGGCAATAAGGGTGGCACTACAGATCAAGGCCAACTTCCAGAACTTGATGTAGGCGATGATGAATGCTGTAGCAAAGGTGGATAATCCCGTCAGCGCCAGGCCGACTTTCTCGGAGATTCCATCCTGTATCAAGTTTGTGTCTGCCGTGATGCGGGTGGTGATTTCACCGGCTCCCAGGGTATCGAAGAAAGCGATGTTCTGGCGCAGAATGGCGCGCAGGTATTCCACGCGGATGCGCTGAACGACATGGTCACCGGTGTAGATGAAGCCCGCGGTCGCGATGTAGATGGTTAGGAACTCGGCGACGGCAAGGTAGATAAAGTAGACGACGTATCGGTTGAGTTCGTTATGGAAGTGCTCGTAGGTGATGGTGCCTGCGACGATGTCTTGGAAGGTTGAAGTGAGGTTGCCAAAGAGGACCTGTGATGGTTAGGACATTCGCTGGAATTGCAGGATGGATATGCTCACAGTGAACAAAGGTAGAGCAGCTCCTCCGGCTATGGATGCGGCCGAGCTGAGAATGATGAGGAATATGTCCCAGCGACTGGCATACCGGTAGATACCAAAGAAGCCCGGCTCGGATGCGGGCGCATTCACTTGCTTGTCGAGAATCTCCTTCTCGACGTCGGACAGGGAGATGGCGGTGCTATCTGTGCCTGGTGACTATTGTTGTGTGTCAGTCGTACAGTGGTTTTGGAAAGCATGAGATAACACTCACCATAGGAAGTTCTTCCAGGCAAATGTCCTCCTTCCACTTCATAATGTCGACAGATGGTGACTACCATGCATGCGCCATCAAGTTAACATTACTATTAGTACAGCAGTAGCAAGCAAAACAACAGAGCAGCAAACAAAAGATGACACAACGATCGGACTAGTCACAGCTCAACAGAAATGCCCAGTCCAAAGTCAATCGGAAAGAAACCACATGCAATCTATCCCTCACATGAACAGAAACAAGCCATAGAATCTCCAAGAAAACCAGAAAGCAAGGCAGGAGAACCCCCTATACTTGAAACCTCAGAAATGGCAAACACAGCCCGAAATGAACCGCAGCGAATCCCACGGAACCCCAGCAGATCACGACCATCCTTATTCGCATTTTCACCCATTCATCGGCGCACAAGTTCGTAGTAAACTTGCAGGAACTCTAATCATCAGAAGACCAAAGATGGGTTAACCAGGGACATGGCCCGTGTGGGAACCAGCGTTTCAAGCCGAACGGGATCGTCAGGCACAAGGCGAGGAACCCAATATTAGGGCTCCGAGATAACCATGTGTTGCTGCACCCAAGCTTGAAACCTCAACGTTTTCAGCCGCAGATCCGTATGGCGGATATTACAACCCCTCTGTCAATTCTACCGCCCTTGGCTACTGGTGCGTGCTTGTTTCGGGGCGTTGGCTCGGGCGCACACTCGTGAAACCGGGGTTGAGCGAGGACCGGTGTGAGTTGCCTCAAAATTGGGTCCCGCGCCGCCGTTTGAAGTCGTTGACTGGCAGATGCCATTGGACCCTGTATGGGCTGGTCTAAGCATATTTCTGAACTAGCTTAGCTGAATTACTAAAATTACTAAGTTCTTTAAAAGAAGCCTCGGTTTGATTGATCAAATTCCTCGGATGAAAACTTTAAAAAATTTTCGTTCCTTAATGTATATTGGAAACTATGGTGTTGCACCAAAACTTTAGTCTGGGTATAGCATCGAATCTTAAGTCCACACAGTGTAAATGAAAGAAAGTAAGTGAAGGGGAATGGTTAAAGAAATGAATGGGAAAATCATGTCAAGATGAGGGGAATTCGTGAAAGAAAGAATTAAGTTGGGAATCAAATCAGATAGCCTCTCGCTTCCGGAGCTTCAGCTTCAAATCGGGCACCTCCCAGAAGGCGTAGCAGCGACTCTCCCGCTGCCAGTCCTTAACAGGACCAATGTACTCTGCCTCGTATTCCAGAAAGAACGATGCTAGAGTCAGTTGCATCATCTGTTTCGCAAAATACTTGGCAACGCAGGACCGGCTGCCCACCAAGAAGGGCTGAACAGCCTCCTTTTTGTCGGTGGATTCGGGGTCGGTCCAGCGCTCGGGAATAAATTCATATGGTTCGTTGAAGTATTCGGGATTGTGGTGTAGCGCAAACAGGGATGTGCAAATCTCGGTCTGTGACAGATTGGCTGGTCAGCAAACTCAATTCTTGAGCAGGTCATGTCAGGCCACTTACCCCGGCTGGAATGTAAGTCCCATCAACATAGGCTCCCGGTGAGACGCGCGGGCCTCCCAGTGGCACTGGTGGGTACAGACGGAGGGACTCCGTGATAATGGCGTTCAGGTAGGGTAGATTCGCGGCGACATCTCCAGAAACATCCTCAGGGGAGGCGAACGCCGCCTGCAACTCGCTAATCAGCTTGGCATGGGCCTCGGGGTGTGTCAGAACGAAGTAGATGGTGGCGCAGAGAGCGTTCTGAGTGGTGTGAAAGCCAGCCAGCATGATGGCTGAGAAATTCTCTGCAATTTCATCCACTGGCAGGTCACTGGTGGCGGCTCTCTCCATCACTTCGACCATGATGTCGCGGCGGTTGTGGGACGCAGTCAACTGTCTATAACTTGCATTAGCGTTTGTGTCAAACACACTATTGTGGGATTCCGCTTACTCGTTAATGAGTCTCATCCGAGCCTGCTCTGCACGAGAGCGGACTCCCTTCCGGATCAAGTAGCGCAGCATCATCTTGATCATAGTGGGTACGCCAGATCCAGCAAACTGATCACGAATCGTAGCCCAGAAGAAGATGCGGCTGAGCTGCTCGGTCCAGAAGTACGGCTTTCCTCGCTTCAGACAGCCCAAGGACTTACCAAGGAGCACTTCGGAGACAGTGTCCACAGAGTGGCAATACAGCAGCCGGTTCAGACTAATGGTGTCGGTGCTCTTCAAGGTGGCATTGATGACATCGTGCAGTCGCGAGGTACACTCCAGAACCACATTCGCATGAGCCTGCATGCTGTTCGGAGTCATGGAGGGGTTGAACAGCTTTCGAACGGAAGCATGGTAGACCGGATCGCTGGCTGTGAAGATGTTGCGGCGAGAAATGCCCTTGTAGAAGCCGGTCTTGAGGAAGGTGCTGCCCTTGCCAGATCCGGCGCCGTAGATGTTGCGAAGGCCTTTGATGGTGTTGGTGGTGGCTTGTCCTGGGGCGAACCTAACGACTTTTCCTGCTCGAGGTTAGAAGCTATCAGAGTGCACTGGCCAAGATGAACATACCGTATGATACATGGAGAGAGTTGAAGTAGTGCGCACTCCGTCCAGTGACAAAGTTGAACTTGGTAGCAATCTGAAAGCCGTTAGAGGAAGAAGTAGGTCGAGTCAAGATGATCTGGTCTACATACGCCACAGCAGAAGAGATCGAGGAAAGAGCCCGGAACACCCTTAATGGTAGGACCCTTGGGAAGGAATTTGATCAAAAGAATGAATATCCAAGGGACCTGACAATTAGCCAACGCTCTATTACCAGGTTAATGCAGGACATACAATGACAGCCGCCATGACCGGCAGGGACAGGTTGCTAGGGTTAATCTCGGGCATTTGGCCCGAAGGCAAGGCCATCGCAAACACCATGTTGACGAGTGAAACGAGAGAGTGAAAGTTGGATCTGGGCAAACAGCAGCAGCAGGAGAGTTCAGACTTGGTCTATTTATGATCTGGCCGAGTATCGCCATACGGAGGATGAGAGCAATTGTCGGTTGGGATCCGCTCTGGTTCTCCTTTCTCCATCCTTCTTGCTCAACCATCCAGTCTCCAATGCTGCGACCGCCATGCAGGGCAACAGGGGTATGCCGATGGATGGTTGGGAACTCCGCCAGTGTTTTTTAGTTTACTTCATTTAACCTTGTCGGATCAGGTTCCATTCGCGGTAATTCCTCGGCAACTCGCCGTTATCTGAGGATGATCTGAGGATTGATCGAACCAGCTGATCCTGTTGGAGGGTATGGCCCTCCATGTCGATCCTGATGCGACGTGGAACCATGGATGGAGGGAGACGGTCTGATGGGTTTAGGGTTGGAGCTAAACCCCCAGATTTTGTGGTCGCGTTGCTTGAAACTCCGCCGGCGCCCTTCCCAATTTCCTCAATTTTGGGTGAATTCACAACTCCTCCGCCAAGCACCTCCTATCTCAATTAACCACAAACAATGCGGAGTCAGCAAGTATCACAAGAACATCAGTTTAAAAGGGCCCTTGTCACGGACCCTGAATGTGCCTTAAGTACTGTCAGGGTCCATCTGTTTCACTGCAGTTTCGTCCATCAACCCGTCTCTTGTCATTCGTTCACCCTTTTTTCGAAGCTTCTCTCAATCGTTGTACCTTGAAGTCTTTTTTCTTATTTTATAATTGACTGCTCAACCAGCGGGGCTGGCATTGAGCATACTTCTTTTTCTACTACTATGTCCAAACAACCCACCAAAGTCCTCTTCCTGGCCAACAGTGAACATGGTCAAACGAACATCATCCTGGCAATCACGCACGAGCTCCTCGTCCAAGGAGACGTTGAGGTCCATATTGGCTCATTCCCGGTCCTTGAGCGCCGGGTGGAGAAACTTTTGGCAGACAACGCACATGCTTATGACGAGTCCTTCCGGTCGCGTATTCACTTCCACCCTGTAAGGGGTCCCTCCAACACCGATGTCTTCATCCGCACGGGCAAGCGTGGTGCCTTTCATCCCCCGGGATATCATGGTGCCGTGCTGGGCTTCCAGTCTCTGTGTGAAGACATCTGGGGCTGGACAGAGGAGGAGTATGTCGACATCTACGAGAGCTGTGTCGAGATAATCCAGGATGTCAAGCCATCGACAATTGCAATTGACTTCTTCTTCCTTCAAGGCAGAGATGCTGCTTACAACACAGGCCATACGGCCATCCTGATTAATACAACCTCCCTGAGTCACATCGTACTCGGGATGCAACCCAACTCAGCTGCTCTATGGAAATACCCCCTGTAAGTCTCTTACCCTCTATATGATTAGTCAAATGCTAATAAGGACTAGACCTGGAACTGGCTTCCCCTACCCCATTCCCTGGCATCTCATCCCCCTCAACATCATGGCTGTCCTCAAGACGGCTAAGATGTACCACGGCAGTGGGCGACGTCGGGAGATCCGTGAATGGCGCATCAAGCACAAGATCCACGGCCGCTTTCCGTTTGCCGATGCTTGGCGTCCGGATAGATACCATATCTCTCCAGGATTGAAGGAGCTGGACTGGCCATTCACCAAGATGCCAGAAAACATCCTCCCTGCCGGTCCGATCCTGCTCCCCACCGCTTCCGTCGAGAAGCAGGACCCTCAAATGCACATGTGGTTGAAGCAGGCCCCAACCATTCTCGTTAATCTCGGAACCTTGTATGCACCTGATCCCAAGGTCGCTGAGGAGATTGCAACTGGCCTGAAGGGGTTCCTCAATGCCTGGAAGGGCGAGAAGGTGCAGATCCTATGGAAGCTGCCCAAACACCCACACGATGAAGACGACATCTACAGCCGTTCTATCGAGCCGCTCAAGAAAGAGACTGATGAGGGAAGCGTGCTAATCCGCCCATGGTTCGAGGTTGAGCCCATGGCCATGTTGCAGACGGGCCAGATTGTCTGTTCTGTCCACCACGGCGGTGCCAACTCGTGGTACGAAGCTATTCAGTGAGCCACCCCTTTTATCCATGATCTAGACTGCATACTAACTCTTCCAGAAATGGTGTCCCCCACATCGTCCTTCCAGCTTGGCAGGACTGCTACGAGAACGCTGCTCGAGCCGAATGGCTAGGCATTGGAGTGTATGGCAACAAGAGCCGGGCTCCCAACATCAGTGCCAAAGAGCTGAGCAAGGCTCTGCTGAAGGTGATGAGCAACCGCTCCTACAAGGAAAAGGCAACAGAAATTGCCAAACTCTGCAAGAAAGAGGGCCGCGTTGCCGCAGCAGAAAAGATTGCAGAGTTAGCACGTAACCCGGAGAAGGCGACAGCGATCCACATTCCCGAAGCCGACCCAGAAAATCAGCCACCACTGTACGAGATCAAGAATCGTGCAGGCATGACACTCCAAACTGCGCAGATGCCCAAAACCGAAGGCAAAGGCGCATCCAAGTAAGCCCTCCCGTCTCTCAAACAATCGCATCCGTCTAACCTATCCAACAGACCCTTCCTAACCGACGTTGTCGAATCCGCCCTCATGACTCTCCTCTGCACCACCTGGTTCCACCTCCCTCTACTGGGCTACTCGCTCCTGCTGGTCCCCCGTCTCCGCCTGATTGTCCTCCTCTACATTATTTACGTCAAATATTTCTCTAAGGCCCACAAATCTGGCACATTGCCCTATCGCAACGATGCCTTCCGCGCCTCCTTCATCTGGAAAACCTTCGCCTCCTACTTCCCCCTCACCCTCTACCGTTCTGCTCCCCTTTCGCCAAGAAGGAAATACATCTTCGGCTACCACCCGCACGGTATTGCCCTGCGCGGGGCAATGGGTGCTTTTGCAGCCGACGGCGTCGGCTTCTCCTCCCTCTTCCCGGGGCTCACCAATACCCTCCTTATAAAAGATGACTGCTTCTACCAGCCCTTCCAGCGAGAATACCTTCTTGCCACGGGAGCAAGTGGCGTTTCTCGCACCTCATGCATCAAGCACCTCACCCGCGGTGGTCACGATGAGCGAGGAATGGGTCGTTCCATTGCCATCACTGTCGGCGGGAGCCGCGAGTATAACATCGCCAAGCCAGGCACTATGGGGATCGTGATCAAGATCCGCAAGGGGTTTGTACGCGTTGCGGTCGAGACAGGGGCGGATTTAGTCCCTGTCATTGCGTTCGGCGAGAACGAGCTGTTTGACTTGATTGATACGAAGTCATCGTCGGCGCTGGGGTTAGTGGCGAGAGTGTGGGAGTTTGTGGTGGGTCATAGGGTTGCGTTCTCAAAGGGCAGATTTGGGTTGTTTTGTCCGTATAGGAAACCGCTTAATGTTGTCGTGGGCAAGCCGATTGAGGTCGTGCAGCAGAGGTGGGATATGGATGAGAAGTATGTTGATAAGTTGCATGAGACGTATGTGCAGGAGTTGACGAGGCTGTGGGATGATTGGAAGGAGACATTTGGGGTGGAGAGGGATGTGAGGTTTGAGATTGTGGAGTGATCTTGCTTTTTTCGCTCTACCCGTTAATTCATTCTATGTTGATGTTTGTGGCTGGCTGGCTGGCTGGGTTGGGATTGCGGTAGTATATTTATTGCTTTGATACCTTTTGACACCTTATTTGTCTGATATGGGACTTGAACACATAATGTTTGCAAATGCAAATAAGATACCTGAGTTTGCTTAATTTCTATGAGCATCTGTGTCTCTTCACACAACCCACCTTTACCTTTTTCAAGTCCCTATCGAGCATAAGTAAATCTAAAGCTACTACCCACCTTAGAAATCGGAGTCTTGCTAAAGTACGAAGCCATTATAGAAAGCTGTGATACTGGTGAAGATAGTAACATTAGTAAAGACAGCAAATTGGTGGAACTGGATCTGACTTCGGCCCGACCCTGAAGAAGCATGGCGAGCTCATCAGTCATGGTGTTCTATCTCCTGCGAAGCCTTTATTCCCCTGCTAGGTACTGACGTCACCCACCTTGACCGCAATCCTCGTCCGCCGTAGAGTTGCATAGACCCTGCATTACTCTAGACGCTTATGTGCATCGTGGATGATTTCACTCTGAATATGATTCGTACAAGGTCAAGTCTAAGGCGTTCAGCCTAATGGCGGGGCTTGGAAACTAAATCCGGCCCTAACAAGGACTCTACCAATTGGCTGTCCGGGTAGACAGTACTACCTGTTTAGATCGAAGGCTATCCAAGCTAAGGGTGGGGTTTAATTAATGTAATCCCACTAAAAGATATATAAGACAAAAGAAACTGACTCACGCTGAAGATTTCGATCTCATCGTTTCAGCTGCTCTCTGCTCATCAGAATCATGGCCGGACAGCAACTCACCTGGCTTGTTACCGGCTGCTCCTCTGGCCTAGGGGAGGCCTTGGTGCGGGCTATTCTGGATAAGGTGGGTATCTCTATACCTAAAGACACTGCGACAAAGGGGACATATGATGAGCTAAATGATTGTGATAGGGAGACAAAGTCATCGCCACAGCCCGCGGCAGCAAAGGCGTCAGCGGAACCGACCGTCTCTCCTCCCTCAAAGATGCCGGTGCAGCGGTCTACGAACTCGACATGGCATCCCCAGAAGAAGAGATCAAGCGACAAGCTCAAGACATCTGGGACAAGTACGGACCGATAGATGTCCTAGTCAACAACGCAGGGTACATCGACATATCCACCTTCGAAGAGATGACGTACGTCCCTACACTCTCCATCCCACCAATACTCCCAACTAATAGAATCACAGCGACGACTTCCTCCTCAACTCCCTCCGCATCAACGCTCTCGGCCCCTTCACCCTCACTCGCGCCCTTCTCCCTCACATGCGCGCCCGCAAAACCGGAACCATCCTTTTCTCCGGCTCCGTAGGCACCTACTACGGCGTTCCCTGTGGGGGGCCCTACGTAGGCCCCAAGGGGCTGATTGAGGGTATGGTGCCGGCTTTCGCGATGGAAGTGGCTCCGTTTAATATCCGGGTGTCGATATTGACGTACGGGCATTTCCGTACGCAGGTCATGGCGGCCGGGGTGATTCAGGACCGGAATCCGACTCGGCTGCCGGAATACGAGACGTTAAATCAAGAGGTTTATGATGGCTGTTTGGATTGGAATGGCAATCAGCCGGGGGATCCGAGGAAGGGTGCTGAGTTGGTGGTAGAGGCTGTGAAAGGGGAGGGGAGATGTAAGGGGATGGAGTTGCCATTGAGGTTGCCGTTGGGGTCGGATACGTTTGGGATTGTGAGGAATAGTTGTGAGGAGTTGTTGAAGGTGTGGGATGAGTGGGATGGGATTACGTCGAAGACGGATATTGAGTAGGGTTGGTGTAGTTGTTTGAGGGAATGTGGGAACTCGTCTGTTGTGATAGATCTTTACTACAACCTGATAGCTGTGTGACTTCTCTTATATACCTGACAATGTGATGGTCTGTTCAAGGGGTTACGGAACTTCATATATGACTGAGACTGAGGTAACGGAGGAGTAAGATGGGGGAAAGGCGAGGCTGAATATAATTAAATACTTTAACTGAACGCAGCAAGGCAAGTAAGATCCGAAATCACTACCTAGTGAGGGCATACTGACCATCTGACTGAAAATACCAGCGGAGGCCTCAGGCTTCAGCCTATAAAACCCACAATATTCCTCCTTCTTTTCTTCATCCTCTTCATCTCCTCAACACCAGGTCTTCCTCGCGCTTCTCTACCTACCTCTATACCAGCGTGCCCCAGCTCTCCTACTAGGAAACACCGCTTCTCATTAATGCAAGAACCTCGACCACTACTAGTAACAATGCCTTCCGAAATCGCTGAATCCGGTCAGAAGAGAAAATGCCAAGAGACAGCCAACACAGCTCAGGATACCAAGCGAATGAAGCAGGTAGCCACGGAAGAGAGGATTGAACATCCACGAAAACACAGAGTAGGCTCTGGTACTGCGAAAGCTCTACTCCAACAGTTGCTGGCGAGTGCAAATGTGAGGGCTAGACTGAGTACCCGGGCTCGAGTTTATACTCTTTGGCACTGGCTCGAAGACCTCATGATGGATGTCTCCGAGCTAAATCCTGCCACGCAGGCTAAGGGTAATGAAACTGATCCCAAGAAGGCAGACGAGCTTCTCCTTCGATACTGCCATATGTGCAAAATGCTGGGAGTCGCTCTGACTGAAACAGCACTTGAGTTCCGGGCTCGTGTCAAAGACGGTGAAAAAGTCTGCAAATGGTCCAGGTTATCAGAATACGGAGAGAGAGAAACCTTACTTTATTTAGAATATGTCTGGGGCCCAGAGCCCAGGTACCTAGCTGAAAAGGGCCCCAAAAAGTACCTGAGGCTCTGGAGGGATCTGGCCAGAAAAGAGCAAGACTGGAACGTTGTTGCAAACTGGCTAAATCGTTCAATCATGGACAGGATGATAAGAAGATTTTTAAATGTACATTTGGAATTTGACGTCCTCGGATGTGACATCCTCAAAGCGTTGAGTATGAAGGGACCAGTGGAGCCTGTCTCACAGCAAGAGCTAGAACTGGCCGACGCTAATCTGGGCAGAAATGGAATGCTATGTTGGAAGCGGATGGATCGTATGCATGCGAAAACCAAAACGGCAGAAGCGTGACAATCGTGCAGTTGGATATAGGTCATGCTGAGATAGAAATAATCATCTACCTGGAAAACACAATGACAGAATAAACGAACGCAAAGATGTGCTCGTTTGCAAATATGACTCGATAGCATGTTTACATCGTCATTCATTTACTTTGATTTTACGCTGTGCTCCATTTCCCAGCGCCTTGGTAGCACCCTTAATGCTAGCTATTTTTCTTTTACCGTAGCAAGGTTTCTAATGCCAATAAAAAAAGAATTTTTCTTCTTGCCACAAATAGATGTAATCATATCCACTATATAATTATAAGTGTGTAGTCTTGTCGCTGTTTACCCCAAGACCACGATATTTGTCCATCTGGATGACTAAAAGCATGGCCATGTAATTGTCATCTCACCATACTTAGTACGCGTTACTCATAAACATTATTTCATCAGTATCTCGTGACTATATCTCAAGCATTGCTACTAGACATTGTGAAAGCACCGACTGGGGACCTCCGAGACACAAGCGCAGGGCGAAGGATGCATGATCCACATGTCCAGACTACATTTTACCGCGATGAGGATTTTTTTGGCGTTCACTCTTTCCAATGCGGTGGCATAAATTGTGATTATTCTGCAGGGTAATCCTTTTCCCTACTCTCACAAGTCCCCTCTTCATCTGCTAGGGGGTCAGGCCATGATAAACCTGTCTAACTTGCTCTTCTACTCTTTATTCCATAGAATCTACCGGCTATCATCCGTGAACCACACTTTCTTGGCCTGATTATATTACGTTAATGGACGCTGTTCTCACACTTGATAAATGAATGTCCTTCAAATTGGAACACCACTCTCATGATACGCTATCTATCGTGAATTCTGACTCTCATCAAGTCCATCATAAATGCAGGAACTCATTAAAAAATAGTGAGAATCTATGCAGCCACATCCCTCCTCCAAACCTTCATAGGCATCGGCCCGGAATTAAGATTCGTCGTCTCATGCCTCTCCGGCTCCCAACCCGGATACGGCAAAGCAAAGTCGAACCGATGCACAAGCGAAGCAACCAGGATAGTCTGCTCAAGGTAGCTAATATTGCGTCCGATACACCCCCTAGCACCAGTACTAAACGGGATGAAATACGGCTGCAGCTCCTTCCCCTTCTTCCCTAGCCACCTCTCTGGGCGGAAGGCCTCAGGATCCGGGAAGATAGACTCATTGCGATGGACTACATATGCTGACATCCCGACCGAGGTGTTACCCGCAATATGGTCGGAGAGAATCATAGTACCTTCAGGCGGGGTACGTCGCGGAAGAGCAAACGACACGGGTGGGTACAACCGGAGGCTCTCGTCAAGACAGGCCCGAAGGTACGGGAGATGCTTGACTTTGTCGTATGGCGCGACGATCTCATCGTCGTCCAGAACGCCGTCAATCTCTTCCCGCAATTTTTCAAGACACCTTGGGTTATTCAGCAGGAGAAGTATCACATTGCTGAGCGAAATGGCGGTTGTATCAGACCCGGCGTTCATCATGATACTAATTTCTGCAACAATCTCGCCCCATTCCAGATTATGAGGAACATTAGATTTATCTGCCATCAGCGCAGAGAAGAAATCATCAAGCCGCTCGCCATTCTGATAGCGCTTCCACCGTATCGTGGCGCGGTTGTAGACGATACCATCCCAGTCTTTGTTAAGCTTCCATTTCCGGTGGTATGTCGGAGACAGGATCTTGCTAGCTCGCACCAGTGTTTTATACCAGTCGTAACACCAGACTAGAGTAGCTGTTGCTGAGCCGGTGGCGAAGAGGCAGTCTCGGAAGTGTACTTTCTTTGTCGTGCCGTCCATTGACTCTGATGTGATTAGATCGTTCCCCTGGTCGAGGAACTTGATGTCCTCGCTTAGACCAATGTTCGCAATAGCTGCGATGGTGAACAGGTTGGTCCACATGCGGTAGTCGATTGTGAGGTCCTTCTGAAGTGGGCGATGACCCTTAGGTAACGGATCAGTGCATTGTGCATCAAAGGCTTTGATAAGACGGTTCGTCATGTCGGCGACCTTGTATTCCCATGTTTCTAAATTCTTGAGCGCGTATGCGCTGGAAAGGACTTTGCGCTTCCGAGCGTGCTTTCCCTTGTCGACGACATCGGCTAGGTGGAAGTGTGGCCCGGCTAGGGTGGAGTAAAATAGGTCTTTTGTACAGGTTGTTCCGTGGCCGTAGATGTCTTTGATAGCATCTGGGTCTGCATAGGATAGATAGTTGGGTCCGATTCGGACGACGGGGTGGGTTTTGTGTGCTTCGAGGAGACGCTTGTAGCGGATACCATTGTGCGAGAAGTATACGAGGGGTAGATCTGATATGCCGGACCAGAATGTGAGGTTTGGGTATTTTCGGAAGCCTTTGGGGTCGCGGAAGTAGTTGATGATGGGGATGATGAAATAGTAAATGGTGAGAAGGCTAAGAAGAAGGATGACTATCGGGATGTACATTTTGCGTATTGGTTTTTTGAATTGCACATCTACATGTTCAGTTCGTCTTAGACATGAACCAGTTTATATGTTCTTCTGGTTATAGATGCATGATACTGATGCTGCAGTAATGTATACTGCCCGGATCGAAATGGAAGCACTCGCCGAACAAACCCCAAAACGGTTAGTGCCGGCGAGATGATCCCAAAGCGGTGGCATGCAGTGACCCGTTGGTTGGCGATGCGTCGCAGCGACAAGATCCTAGAGAATCTCTGCATGATTGCACAGTCCCTGAATCGCCTTGGTAGAGGCTTATAGTATTTCTGTTTTGCGACTTTTAGTAAGGTAGCACTCATAATTCAGTGCATGTTTGATTCCGTCCAGCGGCCATTGACGCTCTTCCTCCCGTAGGAGACGCTCCCCTACAGCCTCGGGGGAAATGATTGCATCTTTCATTGAAACCATAAAGAGGTACTTCACGCCAGGAGACTTGAGCCTGTGCAGCTGTACCGTCTTTCGTCCGATATATGAAGGCACCAAGAACCCTACACTATGAAGCACTATAACCGATCTACGGGGGAGTGGGGTTGTTACCCTGCCATAAAAGGAATAAACCATGTCCAACACTCGTGCAGCATAACGGCGATTGAAGCAAGCATGTCAGACTAATGGAAGTTCATGCTTTATCTACAAGTCTCATCGCATCACGCGCTAATACACGAGACATGGCTGGTTAGGGGACCAGGGGGTCTTTGCGAAGTGGAATGCGGGGATCGATCAGCGACAATGGCAACTCTAGACCTCAATTACACTCATTATCTAAGTGACGCACATGAAGAATGAAGAATGAATCATGAAGCTCAAAGTCGGTAAGAAACATGGTGGTGAACCCCCGCATAAGAAACAAGTAGTCCATGCGGGGTTGAACTGCTGACTGACGGGGCAACCCTCGGCGAATCCCTCCCGTTTTGACATACTATCTACTCTTTGTTCGACTCTGCCCTCATCACTCACACTCAAGTATTACTGATGCCTTCACGGCGTGATCCCTGGTTTGTTTCCCTCCTTTTACTTCTAGTATCACAGTTTACTGACTTTTTTTACAGCCAGCATTGCCGAAGTATGAGGGGTTCTTTCCGATTTGTTGTCTCTTTAGACGCTAATTATATATCTTGATCCCACACAGAACATCATCTGAAATGTGAATCTTAACCAGACCCACCAAGCACAACTTAGTAAAGACATAGCTAAAAAATTCACCGACAGGTGACGACAACCGCTCAGCATGCAATAGATGCCAGATCGCCGGACGAAAATGCATTCGCTCGCGACCCAAGCTCAAATTCCTCAACAGCACGAGCGCTGAATACGAGTATGCCTCGGGGAGACAAAAGCAGCGCAGTCCATCCACAACAGGTGCGTTGGTAACATGCAACTGCAAGAATATACTGATCCAACATACATACGCAGACGTATCGTTCGAATACGTCGACGAAACCCCCGCCGTGGCAGCTCTATATCAGCATGAATCTACTCCACCCGCAAACCATCCAACCACACCAGACGCCTTCACCAGCCCTACAACAACAACACCTCTCGTCCCATGGACCACATCATCCCCGGAAACATTTCCCAATACCTCCCCCACAACCTGGAGTCCACCCATCCAGGCTCCACAAGCCCATCTCACGCTAGAAGAAGCATGCTTGCTGCGCTACTTTTCCGAAACACTAGCTAAATGGGTACGTTAGTTTCCAACTCCCAAGCCACATTAAACATCTCCAACTCTAGTACAAAGTTCGACATCGGCGACCCATCCCAATGCTTCACCACAATCGTCCCCCAACGTGCTCGAACCAGTCCCCCTCTCCTGGACGCCGTCCTCTCCGCCTCAGCCCGCCACTTCAGCACCCTCCCGCACCACCAACAACTGGATATCACCCGCCGGTATGGTCTCCCTCATGGCCTGACCATTGATGAACCCTCCACTCTGCATTACCATAATCGATGCATCGCGCATCTCCGCTCCGTGAGTACAGAGCCGAATGCTATTCTGGATGAGAATCTCCTTGCTGCGGTGGTGACGTTGAAGTTTTATGAGGAGCTTGATAGTATGTAATTTCCCCTTCTACCCGTTCACCGTTAAGTAGGGATTGGAGGACTAAGGGGTAATGTATTGTATAGCACCCTTCCACCCCCACCCGACGACAACCGCTATTCGCGGCTTGCAGGTGTTTCTGGAAGCGCAGGCCCGTCCGACTATTACGGGTAGTTCTACTTCGTGGGGTCTGCGGCAGAGCGCCTTCTGGGTAGGCGTGCGCCAGGAATTCCACATGGCGTTTACGCAGCAGCGCCCGTTCCGTATTCCGCTGGATATATTGGACTTGTATCCTGCTCCGGGGGCTACGTCGGCGGATCATGAGTGGGTGAATGCGCTGTTGATACTAGCTGCGCATGTGATCCAGTTCTGTTTTGATGAGGGGGCATCGCGGAGTGTTGTGACGTATCGGGAGTTAGTGCGGAAGAGGGATGACTGGGTAAGAACGTGTCCGGAGTCTTTTGAAGCGGTTTACTCCGACGATGGGGACGGGGGAGGATTCCCGAATAGATGGTATCTGGATGGATGTCAAATTGTGGCGGCGCAGAGTTTGGGGTTTATTCGCATTCTGCTGGCGACGTATAATCCTTCGCTGTTGGGGGTGAGGATGGGTAGGATAACAATGGCGACGGAGAAGGAGGTCAAGGAGGCAGTGTGGGAGGTTTGCGGGGTGGCAGTGTCGAATCGGCAGTCGCCGGCGGGGATGGTGATTGCGTCGTTTGCTGTGGTGGTGTGTGCGGAGTGGTTTGATGATCGGGGGGAGCAGGAGAGGTTGAGGGGGTTCGTGAGGGAGATGAGGGGGGAATGTAATTATTGGCCTGGGGTAGAAATGGAGAGGAGATTGGAGAGGGTGTGGAATAGCCATAGTCAATAAGTCGCTATGTATGTGGTTGATTGGCGCTGGAGAGTTTAAAGAGATGGAAAGTATGTTGAAAACCATGTTGTTGACCGTGTAGGAGGAATATATGTGTAAGTGGTATGTATCTCCAATCCACCACCAGAAACAATCAGCTCAAGGAATGAACAAGAAGGTAAATAAATAATCACAAATCAAACAGTCAGCACAAAAGCAACCTATATACCAAAAACCAGGATATAATATGATACAACGCCAATTCCAACACCGCACCATGGCGCAAAGACACAACATTCGGTTCAGGTCCCGTCCATCAATCAGTAAGTCAAAATCAAAGTGGTAATCGGACAATGCGTAATCGTCAATCGTACATGCGGTAGAGGTTAACGCGATGCTTGCTTGCTGGGGAATTCGCTTTTTAGGGAAAGATAAAGAGTAGGTCACGAGTCGAGGATGGCCGCGATAAGGAGTGTGAGGATATCAATCGAAGACATCGGAGGAATAAGGAAGGTATGGATGCGACTAGTAATGCGATGATTCATTTTCGGAGTCTGTGCAACGAGCGATTCGTTAGTTCCACACCTAAAATGATCGATGATTCGGATTGCAAAGGTTGACGGGTAAACGTACAGCCTGACTCTACATCCCTCGCTACCGGCGCGGGCATCTTCCCGGGCATACTCATCGACTCGCGTTGGAAGATGCCCAGGTTCTTCAGACGGACAGTTCGCATGTAGGATTGTTGCTCGGCGGGATAGTTGTAGCGTTGTTGGGGGGCCTCAGGCCAGAATTGTTTCGTGAGCGCGGCCCCCAGTGAGACGAGGGCGAGGCACACGACGATGACGATGACGATGATGGCCGAGTCACTGAGCTTGGTCATGATGAAGCGACTTGTGGTATATACACCAACTCTCTAGAAATATATTGGTATTTGGGGATATTTGTTGATGGTATAGAAATGGTGGCGTTCAGCGATCGCAAATTGCCGTGGTCTGTGCTGGTTGCTAGCTGCCGGTGTGGATGTATTTGGTGGATGGAGTTGGAAGTGTGTATGTGTGTAGTGAGTGGTGTGATGTGTAAAGCGGATAAGCGGATCCGAGTTTAACGCATCAACTTTGTTTGGGGCGGGGAATCTAACGGGGGAGGGAGGAAGGAGGTAATGGTGTGAGTGTAAATATACGGTCGGTAGAAGAGAAGAAGAGGAGAAGAGGAAGAAGAAGAGAAACAGGAGGGATGGATGAGACACGCTGGGATGGAGGAGTTCGGAATAAGAATGCTGATAAGCCCGCAGCGATGAAAAATTCAAGCCGGTTTTTGGCTCCACTGTTTATTTATAAATGGGTCAAGTGGTGAGCTGGTTGGATGGTTCAGTTGCTGCTGCTGATGATTGGGTTGGTTTGCTGGTTGCCCACGCGGCCACTGCCAGTATTTGTGTACGGTAAGTAAAAAGGTACATTCAGTGCCCTTTCATCGCATTACGCCGGCATCTCCCAAAAGCCTGGCAGAGAGTAGCCCCATTGGCTGCGGCCGTGCCTGGAGAGTATATGATTGGCCGATGATGTGACCAGAGTGGGCCTGGAAGAGGGGACTGATGATGAAAGACCAAAAAACACCCCGAAAAACACCAATGACTAATGGCGACCTGAGTGCCAGGATGTGGTCGGTAAGATTCGCATTGTTCGACAGATACGCCCGATACGCAGATCACGAGTGCCCGGGAAGGGGAAGAATGGGCGCCCGCGTCGTGACTCTCACTTCTCGCGACAAGGCAGCATACTCGGTTTGCTCCTCTACTTGCTTCACATTGTTTGGTTGCCGGATATATCTTTCTTTACACATTATTGTGCCCAGTCTTCGCTACCAGTCTTGTTCTGCCTACCTGGTGGGCTCCTCACCTGGTCTCGACGGGTCTACTGGCCAACGCGGTTCCGCCGTTCCCGAAAGCTTGATCGGCCGGATCGGTGCCTGGCAACTATTGTCCTTGCCTCATTGGAGGCTCATCATGCGCAAGTCTGAGTGTGCCCACCGTCTGCTTGAGTGACAGCACAGCCAGGCAGCAAGATCGACCACCTGGCTGACTCGATCATCTTAAAATAATGTCGTGGTTCTTGTATACTAGTTTTTGGACTTCATTAATTACGTACTTTAGCTTCTTGCTGACTGCCTCGTCTCTGCCGTATTCGGATTCTGAAACACGGGTGGAGCTGAAACATCCTTGATCGTTCTGCCACACCACCGACGTAATAATCACTCCGGCCGATCGTCACTCTCGGTCGCTCACCACCAACTGTCTACTTTCGCCGTGTGAAAATCAAGTCCAGTTCGCCGTGATACAAGACGAAACAATCCCTCGACCGTTTGATCAAATCTATCTCCGCATTTCCTGGCGCGAACTGTACATCGAAAGTCGTGACTAGTTGTGCCACTGTTGCCCTCAGATTCTGAAGAGCCAATGGCTTTCCAATGCAGTTGTAGGTACCTAAAATCAAATTTATTCACCATCAGCCAATGAACCTAGTCTGATCGCCTCTACTCTAGGCAGAACACATACCGATGTTGAATGGAACAAAGGCCGATTGATCGTTGATCAGCTCGGGCTGTTGGTACCACCGCTCCGGGATAAACTCTAGCGGCTTTTTATAGCTCAATTCCGCTAGTCCGTCGTTAGTCCACTGGCTCTTTCGCCGCTCTGCCCGCCGGAATTGACTTACACCGTCCCATCGCAAGCACTGGATTTATAACCGTGGTGTTGCCTGGGATGGACACTCCATCCACCGTAATGCCCTCAGGAGGCATTATCCGCTGTACTCCCGACGGAACCGCCGGATATAGACGCATGGCTTCGTTGATGGCACCGTTGAGGTGTGCCAAGTGACCAATATCGCTGTCGTAAAAGTCGCCAAGGCGTCCATGCTCATTGACAACTGGGGCCAGTTCGGCACGAAGCTTCTCAACCTCGTCAGGATGATGGCAGAGCTCATAGAACAAAGAAACAAGCGTCGAGGCGGTGGTGTCACTGTCCGTGTGAGACAGGCATGGGTGACTACTTCCAGGGGAGCACTCACCTCCCAGCAACAATAATTAGCCGCGAATCTCCTCCCAGCCACTGCTGGTCTTCCTTCCCAGGCTCTTTGCCTTTGAAGGGTGCTAGGAGCGCTGCGCTGATGTCGGGCACATCAGGCTCGTTCTGTTTGGTCAGCTCACCGAACGGGACGAAAGTACGATGGAAGCTCACCCTCATTCTCTCCACCAGCCTCGTCTCACAGTAATCCAGGAACTTGTACCATCCACTTTTGAGTCCTGGAACCTCCAAGACCATTCGAAACAGCCACATGGGTAGATTGCTGCCAACAAAATCCATTGTCTCCATCATAATCTGTGTGGCCCAATGGTACTCGCCTTGCTCAAGGCATCCAAAACCCTCTCCGAATGCCAGGTCTCCCATCACGTCATAGGTGTATAGGTCGAACCACTTGGTCACGTCCACAGGCTGACCCTCCCTTTCTACCAACCGATCCACGAGCTGTTGACGGTACTTGCGCACGCGATGCTCATACCCGCGCAGCTGCTTGCTGCCGAACGCGGTGCTCCATAATCTCCGGCGCTGCTGGTGCTCGGCCGGGTCTCGACTCGTCTGCAATGACTTGTTAGGATGGGAGTGGTCGTACCAGCCGCTCTTCAGGCAGCGCGAAGATGGGCCATGAATGATGTTGACAGCCTTGGGGTCGATGACGGATAGAGTGGAGGGTCCAATCCGGACGTAGGGCCCGTACTTCTCATGCAGCTCAGTCAGCTTGATATGTCTGTTGTTGTTTTTCATCTGTGAACAGAGCCACAGATCCGATATTCGGGCGGGCCATGGACCAGGGAATGCCCCCAGTGGATGGAACGCCAGACGATAGAGCAGTAGACTGCTGAATATGCCAAGGAGATAGGTTGCTGCATGCAAGGAGACGGTGACCAGGGCCTCTTGCCATGCGATTCCCCAGGACACATGCAGGTAAGCGACCGCAGTGGCGTTCAGCACACCGAAAACCTGCGTATAGGTGGTGCCGTAGAGTTGATGCTCGCCTCGCTGGAAATACGTAAGATGCGAAAACACGCCCACTAGAGCGGCGGTCAGCATCGAGGACACCATGGTCGGGTCGATGTGGCTTGCAAGAACTGAGGTTGCGACTGGAGTTGCAACTGGGGTATACAGGCAAGCGTTAATTTACTCTGTCCCGTATGCTTTATATTAATCAAGCGGGGTGAGCAGTGGGCGGCAGCTCAGTCGGTGCACTAAGGACATGATGAGCCAGCAGACGGGTCAGCTTGCATTGCTCGTGCACACCCCTGCAAGTGGATGACCCCTCTTCACTTGGCGTCTGGCTCCAACTCAAGCATCATCCTAGCACGGGCACTCTATGATAGTACAATCCGACCACTGACAATTATACAAACCGTTGGTCAGCAGTCCACCAACAGATATGACAGCACTACTACGTACACGCATGCCGCTGTCAGGTACTCTGAAGAACGAGGCTTTCAATACCCCCAAACCGGTCTCGAGGGCTATAGGCTAGCTGCATGCTGGGTGGTGTGGGATATATGCAGGCCTCTTCCACCATCGGCATCGAGGTGGTCCGCGCACTCACTGCGAACCAATGGTCGCACTCTTCAGCCAGCTGAGATCTACCAATCCAAATGCTCAAATTGAACGCTTACTCCATGGGAGGCCTGAACTACTCAGTAGTCTCCTACCACTACGGTTTTAATACATTCACAGGGTGCTTCAGTTAACAACACGGCAACAGGTTGGGGTGCAGTTTATCATTAACGACACACACCATTTCCTACAGGTACACATCTCATCTCACCGCTCTCTACTATCAACTTCCTAAGTCTAATAGGTTCAGGGATATACACCTCGGCTTATCTTGAAGGCTGAGACATTCGCGATTAACCCAAGTACCGGCCCTACGCTAAGTCCTAACCGGCTCAATTCGTAGCATCCTCTCCGACCTACTCAATCCACCGAACGAACTGACTGCGAGTCCGTATTTCCACAAGCATGAGATATCCCTCTCTGCCACAGGTAAACACAGATAATATGCCTACTAGAACAAGTAGAGCAACGTTAGTTGCTACTTATATGCTCTTCTCTACAATACCAGACCAAATTAGTACCAGTTATCCTCCGACCGAGACAATAAGAGACCTTAACCAATGCACCATGCTGACTTATTACAATACCACGCTCACATATCCTCCGTAGACACTGGAGTCCTCCTGCCCAAAAAAAAAACAAAAGTCAAAACAAGAAAAAGTTAACAAAAAGCTTATTCAAAATAACAACTTCTTACTTCATAACATAGTTAACCAACCGACCGGTGTGCCGTAATACTCGCTTAGTCATTGACATGTTTATACTCAGCATAACTCACCCATAGCAACTAATGCTACTTACTAATAAATAATGCCATTGTGTGTTAGTTGTGTTATGCTCAGCCAACACCCGCACAATGTCCGAAATCGAATTAGTGAGCCAAGTCGGGCATATTTGACGAGGACCGAGGTATGATTACATTATTCACGATCTGGGTTTTTCACTAAGTATCTATTTGTGTCTGGTAGGTAAAAATAGATGGTTAAGGTAGGCATGGACATTCCTTCTTTTACTACTGATTAAGTTGTGACGATCTAGCTTAGTTTGTCACTTTTCGTGTGTTTGGTGAGAGGTAGAATAACTACTTCAGGGCCTCTGGAAGTGGTAATAGAACGGACAAGCATCACTCTACTCGTAGCCTTAATCAGATCGAAGAGAATAATGTTAATGCTCTCTCTAGCATTGAAGCCTATATACACCGAGAGCCAGGACAAATATTCACATGCACACACATCAACGATAAGAGGAAATGCCGACGCATCCAGTCCGGCGGTGAAACACAGAGCGTATCCATAATCCACCCCAAGTGGGATGGAAAGCGCGCCTGGATCGACACGGCACTGCGTCATACCTCCCCTCCCCCCTCATCCGGTTTCGGAAAATTGACCGATCCTCCCCAGCTCAAGTCCGATAGTTGGGACACAAGTCCGTACTAGTTATGGCCGAACAAGTAGTCTACTGTCAGATCATGTCTAGCGGGGATCCGGTAGATAGATAAATAGTGAGTGACCGGGTTTGTGTTGCTGCCAGCAGCAAAAAGATGAGTATCGAGAGGTGCCAAGTAAGCGTTCCGGATGCCACACCGGGCCGGGTACGGCAGGGCGGTGATTGGCGGTGGCTGGAAAGGGCAATTGCTAGGGCTAGGGTACGGAAAAGTCACCCTTTTCCGATGGGCGGAAGGGTTTCCCGATCGGGAAACTCAACACTTGACTGACCACCTGGCGGAGATGGGCCCCGTTTTCTCGGTGCGGTTATCGCAGGCAACGAAAGAATGGTTGAGTCATTCAGAATTCAAGCTGAATTTCTGAAGTCCTGATTGGCCGTGGCAGAAAATCAGTCCTCACATCGCCGCAATTGCTGGTGAAGAAATGCCCGGCCTTCGGTATTGGCGAACCCGCCGATCCCGAACGCGGGAATAATCCGACACATACGCGTCAGGGACGCCCCGATCCAGTCCCTGCTCACCCGACTCAATCGGTCCGACGCCGAGAGTTGCATGGGCCGATTGTAGAGATCAAGCCCGAGCAGGTGGATTGGGGTACTGACCAGCTGAATGGAGGCCGGAATGGCGAGCTGCGCGAACAGGATCTTGAGGTACTCGCTGGAGGCGATGGAGTCCGGGATGGAGGCCGAGACCATGGCGGGGAGACTGAAGGAGCCGAAGATGGTGAGGGCATCGCGCACCAGGAAGGCCGAGTAGGTGGCAAAGGGGATGGTGCGGCTGACCGAGCGGAGGATCTTGCTTTGGGACGGAGCAGCAGAGGTCGTGGTCTTGGGAGCAGGAGTGGGAGTGGTGGGGTTGCTGTGACCGAACAGCTGGGCGAATTTGACATCCTTCCAGATGCCCACGGACGAGTTGACCACAAAGGTACTCATGAACGTGGCCACCCCTGCCATAGCGTGGTCGACGTGAGGGTAGACCTGGTCCAGGATGGTCTCCGTGGCATTGGCGGCCGCAAAGGTGGCTGTGTAAAGCGACCAGACGAGCAGACTGGGTCGAGAGGTCAGGAAGGTGGCAGGCTGTGTGATGGAGAGCCAGAGGTGTCGGCGGAAGGCAGGGAGCATAGGTTGGTTGTGCGACGACTTCTCAACGACCAGTCTAGGTGGTGATCAGTACAACAGTCAGGTAGGTGAACGAGAGAGGAAGCTCCTACCTGTCCAGGATCATGACGGCAGGAGTGACCAAGGCTGCCGAACCTGCAGCAACCATCACATCCGCCGTCAGGAAATCACCCAGCCGACTGCGGTGCCCCGCAAAGGGCAGGGACTGATGAACAGGGAAGTCGAAATCCATGCTGTCGAGCAGCGAGCCACTCCTAGCCCTGACTGGGGAATCAGATGTAGTGGTGGGGTTGGATGCAGAGCAGTTCTATGGCAGATGACACAAAGGAAAGTCGAAGCAAGGGAACGACGTGGGAGGAGTGGTATACTGAGGGGTGGTTAGTATACAAAGGGAGTATAGATGGGGGAATGGTGGGGAGCTACTGACCTAGATAGATGGAGAGTATGTACCGCTGAAAGCAACGCTGAACCGGGGTAAAAAGGAGTGAAAGAGTAGAGAGTATAATGAGGGACCAACAAAAGGAGTGGACAACCCCGGGTTCAAGGCTTATAAGAAACGAGATAGAGTCATGACCGCCCGCATCACCAGGTTGTCCAACACACCGTGAATCAATACTTACTCCTACTAATCTCCCACACAAAACAGGCTGCCGAATCGAGGGGGAGACGATATTCGGCGGCAAGGGCCAATGGCATCAACCGGGCCGGGACCCGGGTACCCTCGGTGATTTGGCGATAGGCACCGCCTTACCCAAGCCGGCACTCCCTGTACCTAATGAAAACTGAGGCTTTTTTGGGTTGAGGTGGAGCGTGTTCTAGAAGGCATTGCCAGGACAGGTGAGTTGGCGATCCACCACCGATGATGCTGTTCGTTGTGCTGCTGCTTGGAGTGGAGGGGGTGCCTTGGGAAGCCCTAACGTGCCTGGCCGGGTGGCCGCCCTCCGCATGATCGGCCGATTTGCAGGGTTCACTGGATGGTATCTGGCACACGTAGACTTCTCAACAACATGCCGGAGAGAGGATGAAACAGACCGACGGGGACTGTCATCTTGCTGGCAAGTCGTTGTACCTGGGTTAGGGCCGATTTGAATGCTTAGGGGTGGTCGCGTGGTGCTGCAGCCAGTCCAGGGACCCTACAGTGCACGAGTCGATACTCTGGCGGACTAGGGCCTGACGATGAGCTAATATCTCCCCATGATTTTCAATAAATTAGTCTAATACTTATACTTAGGCATCGCACTGCCTGGTTGGGCCAATCAACGTGCCGGATCCCGAGCATAGATAAGCATCGCAGATGCGCCCCTCTACGGATCCACTGCTGGGACGAGGCCACAGTACGCCAAACTGTGTATTCACATAGTTTCGGGTCTACGTTCTTCCCCCTTACATCTCATTCTTTGATGCCCTGCCATATCATCTCAAGTCATAAAGCCACTTCATTGCTCTCGGGCTTATTTCTTCGTCTACCGTAAATCAAACCTGTCCCGCATGTGCCTGCAAATCCAGCCTGGTCAAAAAACCATAAACGAATGCCTGTAGCAACAGAACGCTTCCAAATAATTCACAGAAAAAATTGATCTTCATGTTCGCACCGAAATCCTCTATTCCGAGGGTCGTGTCGAGGATTCTCGACGTGGGTGTTACCGGCATAGGTATCGGCGCGCTGCTCACATGATCACACAGCACGAATTCTGCTTCTTCGCAGAGGTGTAGAACATCTTCGACTGGGCACTGAGCCCCTCCGACTTGGACACGAGATCATCAATCTTCTCTCCGCGTTCGAGGACCTGGTTGGGGAGTTAGCACCATTCTGCCCACAGGTATGCGCGCAGAACATACGCTCTCGATAGTCTTATGCAAAACGATCTTGGTCTCATCCAGCTCCTTCTGAATCTTGAGGATGCTATCCACCTGGTGCGGGTCCTGGTACGCCTGAATATAGGTCTTGAGGGAGGGGAAGGGCACCGGGTCACGGGAGGCGGCGGCGTTCGGGTTCAGGGAGAGGAACTCATCCAGCATCTTCGAGAGGATCTGGTGAGCAGCCAGGGACGGGTACTCATTGTCGCTAATAATCACTCCGGCGATGCCTTGGGTTCGCGCGTAGACGTGAAATGTGAAATCTGTAGCGACCGGCGGTCAGGGGCTGCCGCAGAGGGGGTGAAAAGATGACCCCGAGGGACGCCAACTTGCCTTGCTCTTGAATGTCCTGTCTTTGTCCTTGTTTCGTCCGTTCGGCCACGGTCTTACTGAACATCGTCATGAATTCGCTGACGCTGCCCTTGGTGAAGCGCGAATAGCTGCTGAGATCGCGCTCGGCGCAGAGCTCCACGGCGGGAGCTTGAGCATTTTGGAGAATCTGTCCAGATGAACGGGGTCAGACAGCCGACACGATGAACAGGTAACATCCGTCATTCCTTACCCCGAGATAAACGAGCTTCATGATGGCGAGGGTGAGACTGGGAGAGGCTGACGTCGTTGAGCTGGCAAAGTTGCGGGGATTCCCAATGAAGGGTCCCGACCGTCCTTCACCGCCCTCATGCCTGAGGCAGCGACACATGCATCTTCTCTTCACTTCCCTTGACTTCCCGCCCACTTCCATCTACTCTTGCCTCTCTTCAGCCTTCGTAAATGCACTGATGTTCTGGCATGATCGGTACCCTGATGACGTTCAATCCTCAGCTGGAATGTGGCTTGTTGCTTGATTCCTGGGTCGGTCTCTCTGCCAAGATGCACAGCTGCATTCCAGAAAGTCCACCATCGCATGCTGTGGCACTATATATGCCTTAGTTTTCGGGCATCTATGAAACACACGGGCACTCGATTTACCGGGCTTGCCCCTTCGGGCCTACAGTTACTTTCTCGCTATGCCATCTGCTAAGGTCAAAAATGCAACCTTCCGTGGTGTGAAGGGTTAGCGCAGAAATGCATCAGATCCCTGACACGAGGCTTCAACAGGCGAGGAAAAGTGCTTGTACGCTGCCGTATTTACATTCGCGTTCGACTGAAACATAAGGAATGCACCAGCAAGCTGGAACTCCGCAACAGTATGCTTAAGAATTCTATGTCAATGAAGTGCAATAGTGAGCAATCTGCGGTCAACTCAACCGCTGGTCGTCAGCTCGACGTAACAACTACGCAATGTTGCACATCGTCTTCTACTGGAAGTATGATCCAGGCTTTGATAGACAATTTTTTTGCTTAAGGACAAAGTCGACACTTCATCGCCTTAGAGATGACCAACATTCAGCTGATGCCGACAGGCTATTTACGTAACTATGCAGATAGCGCAGACATCTCGAATACTGCTGAACAGGCCAACATTCTAATGCTTCATGGTCAGAACTCAGTAGCGGGATGCCATCTACCAGCACTGATTTGTTTTGTAGGCCATGGGCAATCCATGGATGTGTTCCATCACAAAACGCACTTTCTCCAAGATGCCCTCAATTCAGGTGGTCCTCAGAGCAACCGATCGCTACCATATCTCAAGCTACATTACAGTGAAGCACCTTTCGACGTGAACGTTCCAGATCTGCAGTCGAAGGTCTGGGGGTATGGAATTTTCGACTGCCAGCGAATCTCAGGCCTTGAACAGAGTGTGCGGCGTGTGCTAGGGCAGCTGGAGCAACTTAATCCGGTAACTGGTATAATCGGATTCTCGACCGGTGCGACCCTGGCGATGATCATTGCATCCTTACTGGAGAAGCAGAATCGCGGCCTTGTATTTGGCGTCCATGTGGGTATACTCATGTAACCTAACTAAGTAATTCTCGGATTAACATTCACAGACCACTCATCCACCGCTCAAGTTTGTCGTCGCATACAGTGGCTTTATGCTAGGCCATCCCATGTACAGAGATCTGTACTACCCGAGGATCTGCACCCCTACCCTACTATACATTGGCGAAGTCGACACAATGATCACACCAAACTCTACATACCGCCTGGCAGAAAGATGCAGTCATGTTGAAATCCAAACCTTCTGGGGGACACATTACGTTCCCAGGAATCTGAAAACAACAGATGCAGCTGTAAACTTTGTCTATCGGTGTTTGGTCGGTGAGCCCGAGAAGGTAGATAAGGAACGAAGCCGGTCGGGACCGAAGACGGTTGAATTGACTCTCAACAAGCGCCAGGAACCGGGAAAGGCGTTCACGGCCAAGGTTCCAAAACGGCGGCTGAGAATGCGGGATGCAACGCTGGGTAAAAAGCCTGCCGGGAGCGCCAAGCAAGGGATGGCTGTCACCACTCGGCTTACCACACGGCTTGTGTAACTCTGCATGTCCTCCACAACAGATCGTGAGATAGGCTCCATTGCGGACCCAGCTGGAAGTTGGGTAATGCAACGGCCGAGTTCAGAATTTTCCAAATGGTCTCGCTTGTGCCTGACATGACCTTCTGGATGCAACACTACTATTCACGCAAACAGCAAGCCTGCCACGAATGCAACAACTTCTAGCGATACTAGCCATGTTCAACGTCAGTCTGGGTCAGGTACGATCTGGCGACACGAAGGCATAAATAGCCATCTTCAACCCTCGCTCTTCTCATCATCATCACCAGCCATTCGCTCAATCATCAGTCTACTTCTATCTTTCAATCCAAATCAATCTTCATCTATCACTCACTCGAGTCAACCCTCCACAGTCACAATGAAGTTCACTGCTGCTGCTGCTCTCGCTCTTGCCACCGTGGTTGTGGCTCAGCCCTCCGTCCGCGGTCGCTCTGTCACTCACATCCCTGCTCCTGCTGGCATGACTGTCTCCCAGGGAGCCGACTCTTGCGGTGACAACGCCCAGCTCTCTTGCTGCAACAAGGCCACTTATGCCGGTGACACCACCGACATTGACAGCGGTTTCCTGTCTGGCGTCTTGAGCAACCTCCTTGGCGCTGGCTCCGGCTCCCAGGGCATTGGCCTGGCCGATGAGTGCTCCCCACTTGACCTCCAGGGTATGTAATTCGCTGCAGGATACAGACTATCTCTAACACATATCAAATAGCCCTTAACATTGTTGGTCTGCAAAACTTGCTCAACGACCAGTGCGAGCAGACTGCCGCCTGCTGCCAGGGCAGCGGCAGCGACACTGTAAGTGATAAATTACCGATCCCTTTTCACAACCTCCATACTGATGTGTATCGCAGGAGGGCAACCTTATCGGCGTGGGTCTTCCCTGCCTTGCTCTGGGATCGCTTCTGTAAGCGCATGGTCATAGCATAGACTATCCATTCAGTTACATTATGGATTTTATCATCTCGTCTAGTTCTGGTTCCGTGTTGAACCAGCTATTAATAAAACTTTGAATCTCTGATTCTATTGATATTTCCTCCTGCTCTAGTTTTTCTACCAGTATCTTCTATCTTAATATTGTATCCTGCTTTTCATCTGCCATACATCATTATTCAGATAGAGATCGAGACTGGAGTAGATTGCTCGTATCTTGGCGTCAGGAAAGCCTTCCAAGACCCGTGCTCGAACTGCATTGTGATATATTGCCTGTAGTCAATATTCTGTCCTGGGACCTCGTCCAAGTCAAACTGGGAAAAGATATTGGCGGTCAACATTCTAATTTCTGCCATTGCGAAGCTGTTGCGTTCGAACAATCAGTATTATAGAGGGGCAAAAGAGTTATAAAAGAAAAAGAAAGGAAAGGAGAGGAACGTACTTCTTGCCAATACAAGAGTGCTTCCCAGCAGAAAATGGATAGTAAGCGTGCATGCTAGATACGGAGTGTTAACACCCCGCCTTATCGCCCAACGACAATAGTTCGACCTACTCAGGTGCAGGCACATCAGAAGGCCGAGGATCCAGCCACCTCTCAGGCCAAAAGCGCAAAGGGTCAACCCAGTATTTCAGATCTCGATGAAGCTGCCTATAAGACGCAGAGACGATCGTGTGGGCAGGGAGATAGTATCCCATTAAATTGATCGGAGTGTTCCCAGTCCGACGGCCCATTTCAGATGCTATTGGATGTAATCGGAGCACTTCTTTGATGCATGCCTCCAGGTACTCGTACTCAGGAGACGTTCTGACTGTCTTGCTCGAGATGGTTGGATCACTTGGTCGAAGCACCGGTAGGCTCTTCAACAATTTCTCCTTTATTTCGGGATTGCGTAGGGTTTCGAGGCAAAAGCAAGCGATTGTTCCCGACGTGGTTTCGGACCCGGCTAATAGTATCTCGGCCATCTGATCGACAACCTCCCTGGTCCCCATTTTGACTCCGCTGTCTGGCCTTTCGCCGTTCTCGAGCAGGTGTTGGAGAAGATCGGGGCGAACACTCTTAGGTTTTGCTTTCCTATGGCCTGCCACCGCGGAGATGGCCTATTTGGTTGTCAGTTAATTTGCTCATCCTTGGGGATTTTTCACGGGATGTAAGTACAGCAATCATCTCTCGTGGCCAGTCAAATTCGATGTTCAGACCAAGCCTTCTTAGAAGGCGCTTAATATAAACAAACTAGTTCTGTGTTATCATGTTGCTCACTTGGTTCTCTAAGCAGGAAATATTGTGTATTACCTGATATCTGCGAGTCATCCCTTTGAAAATCGCCGTTGGGATCGACCGCCATACGCTTTCATCGAATTCAAGTTCCAATTTCTTGTTTTTGTTCGTCTGTCCGAATCCGTTGCCAAAGGAACATTCTCCCATACTTATTATTGAGATAATGTCAACAAATACAAAATATCCTTGTTGGGTTCGAATTGGCCGGAGGACACTCACATGTCAAGTGCCAGGCTATGGAGGTCTTGCATAAGGTCCGTAACTACCAGCTCTTTCTGTCCCCTTGACGTCGGAGATGACAACAGATCCACGTATCGATTGATAAGGTCACCCACACATTCCGAGAACAGGAACTCGAGCCCATCAACATATGCTATTGTGAATGCTGGAGATAAAAACTTCTTCAGTCGCTTATGTGGATCTGGTCGACTAAGATGAGATCAATAACAAATTATTGCCAATTGCCTTCACCTTTACCGATACAGTAGGGCGCTTACATCTCTCCAAACAATCCAGGGCTGCTTCGATCTCTGGATATTTCTGCATACATTGTGACCTTTGGCAGATCAACTGTCACAAGGATGGCCTAGATGGCTTCTTTGTCTGATATCCACACTTGTCGCGGTCCGAGGCGGAAAATAGGACCGTATTTCGTGTGGGATTTCTCCACAGCTTTCCATATCGTTCCTTTCGCGAATGCATAGTTTAAGTGTAATGTTGTCAAGGCAGCATACCATGGCCCGGGGATTCGTGAAAGAGGGGACTTGATGGCTTTGGTAACTCCTATGATGTAGTTGAAGAAAAGTAGAGCAAGGATGAATAGTGGTGCCCAGTGGAAGTAGACTGGAAGTCGTTCCGAGATGGTCTCCATATTAGAGGGATAAGCAATCAGTTGTGGTGGAGAATGTCTTATGTGTCAGAATGGTTACTGTATGAATAGATATTGACATGATCGTCTGAAGAAACAAAGCAAGGACAGCATTCTCAACGGTGGAGCTACTAGTTGCTTATAAGCATACCAGTTCACTGTTCTGCAAGTCGGTTTAAGATTTAATGTCGAACACCCACACGGTACGAACTAGGCAGGCAAACCCCGTTTGACTTTGACATCATGCGTTGCCATATCCGGTCATGGAGGCAATGGAGTGTTGGTTCAGAGAATGTAGGAAGTCATGAAATCATTGATATAGCCTTTATAAGTTTCGATTCTTGATAGCTCCGCGGAGGATCAGCTAAGCTGCGCCAAATTTCTCCGGCTCAATAATAAAGCCTGGTCTTCCTCTAGATCCCTTCTGGTAATGTCTTGTGCGTTGCCATTCGGAATCTCAGGGCAGTGCAGATCCATGCCATGCTGAACTTTGTTTCCCGAAATCCGGCCTGGACAGTCGAGAGGAAGTCTTTTCCGAGGACTCACTGTAGCCTCTATGGAACGTGCTGGTCATGGTACTCCACAAAGTTCTTGAGGCATGCACACCACCATCAATGGAAGGGTATAAGAATAAGAACACGGCTTTGGCGGTTTCCTCGAGGAGTGTGATTCTGAGTATGACTTACACATCGCAGACGTCCTTTATCTGGCCATGTGAGAGAATAATAATGCCCCCGAACATCATGTTGCCGAAGCAAGGCTTTTGTTGGGTTTTGAGCAGTTCATGGATTGGGTCTTGCGTGGAGATGCGCCCCATTATTTTGCAGTATAGGGTTGCGATCCCAACACCGTCGCTCAGTTCTGTAAACTACTTGTGTGATCGCCACTCATTGGTTAGCTTTCTCGATCTCCAAACCATTACTGAACTCCATAGGTGCAAGTGCTATCCCCACAAAGCCGCAGTCATTTTGTCATTCGGAAAGAGGCCCGGATTAAGTTCAGTTGGATGGACTCGTAGCTTTGGAAACCATCATCCCTACGATATAAGCCAACAGCATCCCATCAAACAGAAGAAGACATCCATGGATTGACATATGGAGATAGTTGAAGATTTGTGCATTGCAATGCGTGAATATGACTAGAGCGCAGTAGTCTTTACCTGGTCCAAAGCTGAAGCGACTAAATCGCGGAAGATTGATCCGCGATTTTGACTTTTACCTGGAATGTGGCTGGCTTCAACTGTGACCACATGAATGCTTGGGTTCTACGAAAATCATCGGGACTTCCCGCTCGCTACTAATATCCTCCCTTAACCTCCTAAATACAAAGAGATCCTTAAGCGAGACTTAGTGGCCAGACATACGCTCTCCCCATCAACCTGTCAAGATGCCATATCTCACCCACAATGAAATCCTATCTATTTTCGGAGAATTAGGAAAGGTCCCCCGCGGCTACGAATCATTCTTCAACCACGTCGACGACAATGTCCACTGGGAAATCACAGGACAAAGCGCTTTATCAGGAGTATGGAGATCGAAGTCACAATTCCTTGATAATGTATGGCTGCCCATCGTCAGGCTGATAGCAGACCCGGGTCCTATATTTGAGATAGCCTCCCCTGAGAGCATACGAGTAACGAGGAAGGGTGGGTTTCTATTGAGTTGAAGACCAAAAACACCCGAACGAAACTGGGCAATCGCATTTACAGACGGCATTATTGCTGGCACTGCAAATTCAATGCGACAAGGAAGATAATTCAAGTGAGATCATTCTTTGATACAAGCCTGGAAGATCGCGCGGAAAAAAAAGCACAAGAGTCTATCCATCCAGAAAATTGTCCCCCTCGACCCACAAACTCCAAGGCTTTCTTCGCGGCTGCCACCACCGAGCGAGTCCGGCTCGCTCAGACGTGCAGCCGCCCCAACTCTAAGTCGTATCTTTAGTACAGTCATCCATGAACTAAAAACAATAAATAACCGAAAAAAAACCAAAAACAGAACTAAATATGACACTTGACAACCAAAATAATGCAATCGCTCATGCAAGAAGGAGTTACCAAAAAAAAATAATAGCAGCGCAGTAAAACGAATTAAAAGAAAGAAAATAAGAAAAAGTAAACCCAAGACTCCTGGTCATGTCTGTTCCATGTTCATGCCGCTCATAACGATAACGCTCAAGTAAAGTACCCGCAATCGATGGATTAAGGTGGTCATAGATCAAACAATGCGTTGACAGCTGCAAAACAAGTGTTAGTTGTATGCTCCAAACCAACCCAATTCTTTTGTTGGTCCTTACCGATTCATGTCACCGTCCTCATAAATTATTTCGCCGGCTTGCAGTATCCGCAGATGTTATGATTGCAGATCACACATCTCGGCTGGTTGTCCCACAGCTTTGGTCCATCTCCACACTGGCAGCAGAAGTATAGGCTGCCATGGCTGACCGTGCCCCGGGAGTCCTGGTTGTTGATTCCAGGCATGCCATGTTGCAATGTATGGCTGTGGTGTAATGATCCTCGAAGGATGGGCTGGTTGCATCCCAAGAAGGTCGGCATCTTTGCGACAGGGTTCCCTGAGACTTGAGAGTGTTGGGGAGCCGGAGCGTGTGCGTATGGCGACAACTCGTGACAGTGGTGCGAAACAGTGTCTTGAGTATCAATGTGGCAGTTCGAGCAGCGTGGCTGATCGCACTGGAGGCAGATGTCGTCAAGGCCTAGCCGGTGAGGTCCAGCGGAGCAATCGCAGCAGTACCAGACTCCAGACATGGTGGCAGATGATGTTCGAGAGGTAGCTATAAAAAGTGTAGAAGGTATTTTGGGAAGCTATGGAGGAGCAAGATAGAAGGCAGCAACAATGGATTGAAACCAAAGCTCTTTTGGTAGATGTGTTTGTAGTTTTGTAGTAGTAGATGAGAGTGAGTGAATCCATATCGAAGGCTGGGGTTTGGAGGTTATTTAAAACTTCAAGAGAGGTAAGAGAGAAGCACAGAGATGAGACGTTGTCACTAGTGATGATTCAGAGCCAGGCCCCAAGGCGCCCTCGCCATGGTTGTGGCTGATCTCACGAAAAGGCGCCCTCCTAGCCTTCATCTCAGTCATCAAGCAGGTGCAATGCCTGATCAACGTCGGGGCCATTCAGGTTAGAGTCGATCGACCAGAGTGGCTTGGCAACCCCATTTTCTTTTTGGGACCCCGAACTGCTCGTACCTGAGCAATCAGCAGTCCCAGACTGGGTTGAATCATATTGGACTTGTCTCACTAACAGACATCGTAAGATATGCTGTCCGAATGTTGACTCAAAACATTCTAGGGTCCACCGGATACCTTCGCGAAAGGCGGAATCCGGCGAGGCTTGGAGGCTCTCTTTTTTGCCCGGGAGCGCGCGCCCACTCCGCCCATGCCCTTTTCCTTCCCTCTCTATGGCTTAATTCCTCCTTTCGAGGGAAATTCGATTATTATTCCCAAAGAAAATTCGCCCTTTTTGTGCTTATTCCCCTCTTTTCCCCTTTGCTTTGCCCTCCCCCCTTCATTGCTTCTGGACTCGCGGACTATGACACTGACACTGCGGGACCTGGGCACCTCCATTCTACGCTATGTTGCCTGGTTGCGGCCTTGAAGGGGGCTCCACTTTGGTCAACAGCGCGCGCAAATACAATTCAGGCAACATCGTGCCCTGTGCCTCGAAATTCCAGATGCTGCAGTTCGAGACTCTGACTGTGACTCCGACGTTGACCGTTCATTTCCCCTAGTTGATGGGGCGCCGATAAGCCTATTCGTGATGCTTCCGTCGGTCAAGCGTTCGCGACTCCTGCTGCTCCAAGTAAGCAGGCACCCATACTAGTTCTGCCTAAGCCATCAAAGCCCTTCGATCACCCGGGCACATGCCCTGCCAAAATGACGTCTTGCCCACCTCGAACGATGACTGAGTGCATTACAAACCTCAGGTTTAGGTTTGTCATCGTTTGTTCTCTTGTTCTCTTTCGCACTTTGGTCTTCCTGCTTGCTCTGTCACTTTCTTTCCTGTACCGCCCTCGTTTCCCCCTAGTGCTCCCCGTGCCTATTTTCGGCTTCTCCGATCTCCCGCATGAGGCTCCATGTCATGTGCAGCCAAGGCGGCCGACGCTGACTCCCATCGGCTCCATCGCAAGTCCACTAACGAACATCACCCATCACTAGCAACCGGCACTAACGTGGTCGCGTCTGTTCAGAGCTGAGTCTCGCTACGAACTAATGGGGGCCTTATCCTGATGTTCAGCTCTACACGGTGCACCACCTACGGCATTGCCCGTATTGACGGCACAGCAATGGTACAACAACTGCGGGGAAGGTTGTCATGGCCAGTTCTAGCTCTCCATGACATATCCAACTAACGATCCTGCCACAGCCATGTACCCTTTTGACATTTAAACGGGGCCGTTAATTTCCGATGATCATCATAATCCTCAGCTGTAGATGTCAAATTAATTCGTGATCTCACTGCGCATCGGACCATCCTGGCGAAGCCTGGAAGTTTTCAGAGCAACGGCGCACCGCATTTTAGGATATCACACGTCCTGAAACAAACTGAAAACAGTCCCGCAGGTCATATCATACACGTGTCGATATCTATATCGATGTCAGCGTACAAGACTGTCCCGAACAAGCAGGTTCGGCACGAATCCACGAACATTAGTCGGTTTAGGGTTTGATTTCTAGGTAGAAAAATTGTCGTCGTTGACTTGAAAATACCTCAAACCAGCACAAGACGGGCCGTCTATGAGTCAATCTGGCGAGCAAATACGGCTGCCTTCTGAATGGAATTTTGTTGACGAAGACTGTCCCACATTCTCTCGTAGGCATCACATTGTATGGGGGACATCGCGAACGTAGATAGCTCACTCCCTTATCATCACGTGACTTGTGCACATGACATCATGACGGAGGTTTGCCCTGTTTGCACATGGTGCCTGTCACGTTCCTGGAAGCCTAACACTGCCATTGCAACCTCTTGCCAACTTCGGCTCTGGTCCCCATCGTCGCATATTGCTTCACACGGGCTTGTTTGTCGCACTGTTATCTCGCTCCGTGGAAGCTGTATATACTTTATGTTAATATGGATACATATGCGGGTCGACTTCCCTGAAACTGGCTAGCTGACTGTTCTCCGATGCGGAGGCGTTTGTAAGCCTTCCACGTTCTGTTTCAAATGGCGCGCCCAGATAGGCGCGTCAATCTAGCGGTTGCCAGGGCTATTCCGCCATTTCTATTGTGTGTATGTGTATATGCATGCTATATTGTCACAAAGCCGTTATGCAGTAAGTGCCCCCTGAGCCAATGGCTTACTTCCGCCGCTAATTGTCCGAATCAGTTGACTACCTGATCCGCCCTCTCCCAAAATATTCCCACGGCCGTCGAGTTGGCGCTGGCATAGCCATTCTCGTTATCTTCTACATTCTCATTCTTGTCGTTATAATAACTTATCTCCGGCTGTTGTTCAATATCACCCGCAACCCTGGCTTCTTACCCCGTGCTCCCGCACCGACGAAGGAAGAGCAAGAGACGGAACCATCGGACCGCCCTCCACGCAGGAAGAGAAAGCACAGAAGGACACGGACAGCCGAGAAGCCGGATAAGACGGACGTTGATATTGAAAGAGGTGCAGACGGCAACGCCGACAGTGGTGCAATTCCTTTGGATATTATTGGCTTGGAGAGTTTCTATACAAAAGATGTTTTTGTTTGCCAAGAGGATGGGAGACCACTTTATTGCTCGACATGTTCTCGCTACAAGCCTGATAGAGCACATCACTGTCGAGAGGTAGACAGGTGTGTGCTTAAGATGGACCACTTTTGTCCTTGGTGAGTTCCTCTTTCTCAGTTATCACTGGACCGGACTGTCATTTACATTTGATCAGGGTAGGAGGCGTGGTTTCCGAAACATCATTCAAATTCTTCATACAATTCGTGTTTTATACTCTGATATTTTGCGCATTCAGTTTGATAATATGCGCAACCTTCACGGCAGAGATTATTCAAGATGTGAGAAAATGTCTTTAATCTCTCTGGTCTGTAAACTAACCGTTTTCTTTTGCATAGGCTGGCGGAGCCAATGTTCATCTGGCTATCGGTATTGGATTGTAAGTATTTCGATGTATGCTTCAGGTTTACCGATCGCCTTCTAACGATCAGTAGGAGCTCCCTTTTCGGTCTTTTCTCCTTCGGGATGACTATCAGTTCCTTGCAGCTTGCGATGTGGAATTTGTCAACGATTGAGAACCTGAATCGTCGGTCTGCAGTATGGACTCTGGCCATCCGCGTGCCAGATCGTATGCTGGCAAGGCTCAACCCCGAGTCACGATGGGCACCCACTTTCCGCACCATAACGTACCCACTTCCTCCTGTGCCTCTCTCCCCTGAGGCGGCGAGAGATTACCAGCCACCAGAGAAGCAGCATGTCTTTGCCATTCTCCAAACCCTGCCTGGCGAGAATCCTTTCGACCTCGGCAGTCGCTTCAAGAACCTCCAACAGGTCCTGGGGTATTCCATCATCGACTGGTTTCTACCTCTCAGACAAAGCCCATGTGCAGACCGCACTACAGGAGACAGCTTCTACGAACTAGGACCGGTAGTGTCCCGCCTGAAAAAGGAGGCCGGATTAGACCCTCCACCCGAATCGCAGCCCACAACACAGAATGACACAGAAAGAAAACATAAGCGAAGACGAAGTTCACATAGACGATCGCAAGGGTGACAAATTGGATAATCCATAGATTCATTGTCCATTTCATCATATACTACCACACGCATTGACCTTGCTCAAACCTTCATCCGAGTTTGCCTTACCACTTCCTATTTCTGTATTTTCTTGGATACCACCAGTCCGTTGGCTCTCCCCAACTGGTGCTATTCTACGTTTGCATACATAAATAGCTTGGATTCTATCCATACATAACTAATACAGACTAATCCTATCTCACAATTCAAATACCGGGACAGGAGTGAAGCGAAGGAATGTGTGGTATATTCCGATTGATCCGGAGAATACACCCGCACGTGGCGATAGCCTCAATTCCCGTGGCGTAGAATTTAAACCCCGTCTATAGTATCCAGGGATCCAGTTCCTTTAAGTTCCGAAAATCACATTCTATACCCGAACTTTATCTACACCTCATCTTGTGGTCGCTTTCAGGCAACAGGATGATGGATAACTAATTCTTTCGTTCATTGAAAATAGCTTTGACCGCCTTGGCCACTTCTGGGAGTTGTAATTCATGTAGGTGTGGGTTACCAGCGGGAAACCCTCCAGGGGAAAATTATGGCAATGATCTATGGTCTGGGCTGTGTAGATGTAGCAGTGTTTGACTAATACTAAGTAGGAAGTAAGAACTGTACTGGAATGAAAAAATCAGGCGATTAACTTACCCCCGCAATGCCATAATTGCTGGGCGGGTGTGGAACTACCGGCGAGTTCAGATATATTCAATTACTAACCGCACCTCAGTGACTAGTACCAGTCATGAGAGGAACTTACCAGACTGTACGTCACTACAACTACTAGGTTTCCAATTAATGATTTACTCGCGTCATGCGTTATTCTGAGCAGGGAGTGATATCACTGATGTAAATGATCTGCAAGAATCATGATCTATACATGTTCTGCCTAAATTCTTTCAAGTCCGCAGGCAGGTAGGCAGCAACGAGGAAGCCTAAGCACTAACCTCTACGAAGTACAATAAGCATGAACATCGGCACCACAACCTTATATCTCCTAAAGTACACGTAGTAACATGACACAATTAATGTACAAAGACCCGGAATCTATCTAATATACAGCTAAACGGAAAACAGAAACCAGAAGCAAAACCAAACCAGGCCCGAAACGTCTGTCATAGATTGTCGAGATTCATCACGCACAAGGGATATCGAAGCTGAAGGTATTCAAGATCGTACAGGTCGTAAAGACTGACATAACCGTGAAGGTCGTGACTCATGTGCATTAAGGACACACATAGGCATAGAGTGGGGTCGATGTACATCAGGCAGGCCTGCAGGAAGCGCACCGAATGTGGGAGTTGCAGCTGGTGCAACGGCCAGAGCTCAGCGACGGGTTGTTCATGCTGCCGCAGTAGCAGCATACCCACCAGCCGGCCATGGAGGGTCTGACGGCTGCGTGGACTATGGTGGTGTTGAGGTTCTGGACTTGGTCGACCATGGCTGCAAGAATGGGAAGCGATAGAAAGATTTGCGACTGAAGTTGACTGGATCTGGGGATGGGGTCGGCGTGGGACAAGACAGCTAGCCAGGCGCAGGATCAATTGAGAGTGAAGAGGGTCTGTGAAGTGGCTCAAGGACGCAGAGAGTGTATAAGAACTGTTCACGAAAAGCGAAGTGAAAGGAGAAACACTTGAGTTTTTGTTGATAGTCTGAGATTGACTGTGCAGTCGATGACAATGAGATGGAAGGAAAGGATTAATTATAGACATCGACGACGATGGTTATATGTAGAACCAGACTCAACGACAGATACACAGAATAATGTTCCTTTGACAGAGTCGATGAGCTGTCCAGGCACTGCGGGCAATATACCTGGGCAGAACATTCCTGTTATCGAGGTGCCCTGGCCTGCATACATCGACGACGAAGCCAGCAATGTCGAGCTTTTCCGATGAGGAAGATGGCATGCGCGTACTCCGAATGGGTCACCTCGTGGTTAGGGTCCCAAAGGGTTGGAACGGCCCAGGCACCTGCAGGCAGAATCCTATCGGCATTGCTCCAATAATGCAAGCAGATGGCCCGTTCTCTTGTGCGCTGAGCAACGTCTGCCCCGTGAAAATGGGGCCCTGGGCTGTGCGTGACAAGTAGACGCCTTATTCCAATGCTGCCCCGAAGGATTGAGTTCAGGTATGCGGGCATCAACTCTCCAGGGCACTAGGTGGCTTAGCTGGGCCGTGGCTGGTTGCTCCAATGAGAGACCGTCAGATTCGAGGTTCCCAGATGATGACACCTGAAACAGAGGGCCTAGTGAGAAAGAGTCATAAGAATGTATCCACATTAGACTTGAAGTCCAACGAAGGGAGTGTGTGGCTGGCTACAGAAGGAGAATAGACTTACGAAGAAGTAGATGCTAGAGTATTATAATCTCGTCAATACCCGACTCGAGGACGAGCGCATTGAGAAAATCGAGATGACGGGCTGTCTAAGGAGGCATATGTCACTATGACCTTCACACTCACACCCAGGGCGTTTTAGTTCGTCCCCTGGCAGTGTACTTGATGAAAGTGCTCAGAGAGAAATTTGGTCCTCCCGTTCATTGTGCAGGATATTGCCAGGGTGCTGAAGGGGCCCGAAATAAATCGCGCACTCCCTTCGCTTGTCCGGTGAAGCAAGTCAAGTAGCACTGGGGTGGATAATAACCGCCGCAAGGACCTTCAACCGACCAGAGCACGCCCGTCCCATTGTTTCAAGGGGGCTAATTTATGCCCGAGGTTATCTGCATCCCTTGGCTTGCAAAAAGCGGGAGAAGTGGTGCTAGTTATGGCTCGAAGAGGACCGGGGATGATCTGACCACACTGAGAGGGCACAGTGTATGCGACTTCCGCGGCTGATCAAGGTTGAAGCCGCCCGGGACGTTACGTGGCTCCCAGCGGCGGAACTGGCAGACGCCATTCTCGCAAGGCAGATGTGTGCCGGACTTCCGTCAACAGCTTCATGGGAAGGCTAGCAGCGCCCGTTGGATCGACAGTCAGTGATGGTTGAGCCATTCTTCTAGAAATTCCGCCCGACTCCACCGGGACGGCCATTCAGAGCCCTTAATCTTACTCGGGCTGGTGGTGGGCTCCATACTGGGGCCACCAAAAGCGTACCGAATGCCTCAGACTCGTCCGGGATGACATCATCCGCTCCTAGCTTGGCGAGGCGTAACTGAAGAAGGTGGATACGAGGCCACGGATGATTTGCCCGGGCACCCGGGTGGGTGGAGGGCAGCGGTGCTGGAGCGCCTGAGATGGAGCAGGAAAGTCATACAATGTCGGCTGTTGAGACCGGACTAATGAAAGGCCCTTCAGACTAAGGCTATTAGTATTTAGTACACACGGTAAGTAAAAGTAATTCGTGAGGAGAGTCTGTCTCTTGACACCACAGACGGAAGATGGCAGAGGGGGGCAGGCAGGCAGAGAGAGTGGGACTGACATAGGTTTAGGTGTGTGCCATACTGGAACTGCCGTCATCCTCAGCTGGGAATCACAGACAATGCTTTGAAGGTTTGACGGAAATGGCAGGAGAGTAAGAACCCGTGATACTAATGGGACGCCCAATGACCAAAGAAAGAGACAAAGAAAAGCGAGATCATGATGGACATGATGGGATATGAATTGGGGAGGGGAGAGATGCTCCATCCCCGATTAGTCCAATTCCTTACTAAATCGAAGAATGGGGCGGGCTGCTGAGATAAGCAGTTGCGGCTCCTGCCCGAAAACCAGCGATTGCGAATCCGTGGTTGGCCAACTGCCATTTCCACAGTTCTGACTAGTAGCATCTACTCACTACTTTCTTTCCCTTCTCTCTTCTTCTTTTCTGTCTTGGTCTTACACTACTGCATTATTGTATATCAGACAACAATAATTTTGGAGTTCACTGCTCCGGACAACTACCCACGGCTGAGTACTACAAGTGGGGATACTTCCTTGGGGGTGTTTCGGAACAAAACTGCTTGGAAATCCGTGTGCTTCGGATTGGTTTCTGGTGCTTTTTCTTTTCCCCTCCGCGCATCTTGCGTCACACGTTCTCCGCCTCGGATTCTTGAAGATCGCTTCGTCTTCATCTCTCATCTTCACAACAATCAATCTATCTTCCCTTCTTTCCCCCCCCGCACGAGTGGAATCTCTGGCACTTGCTCTGATCCTTTCATCTCAATCTAACCCCCCTTCTCCTGAAATCCACTGTCCATTGTTTGGTTCCATCAATCAGTGAGCACCATCCCCTTCAAATATCGCCGTCTGTTCCCCCCTCCGGTTGGTCTGTCCTTTCGGGCATCGGCCTGTCAATCGCTGTCAAATTCATCCCTTTCTTTTCTTTTTCTTCCTTTCTTTTTTCTTGTCTCCATCGTTGCCCCTCCCCCTTGCCTATCACGGGGTCCGTTTGCCCCTCTGGCATTATTCCTCTTTATCATCTACTGCTCATCTCGTCGGGTGCCTGAACGGCTTTTCACCCAACCACCCCACAGACTTTTTTTTATCTTCTCAGAAAGTCTGCCTATTCATCCGCTTCTCTTATCCAAGTCCTCTTTTACCTGTCCTTTCTGCCCTCACTGCAAGCCCACCCCAAGAACCTTCTGCGGAGCTTCTTGGGACGTCTTGCGCTGTGCTAACCCCACATTTCCTCGGTCGGAAATAGCACTTCGCAGTCCATTGTTAATCTCAGGCATCTGCAAGGGTTCAGGATGGGTCCCGCTGCGCGTTACCGACCCATGTCTCCCAGCGGATCGCGTATGATCGATCCTATGCGGGCCTCCACCGGCACCGTGCAGCTCAGTGCTTCCTACGATCCCTACCACCTCTCTGCCGGCCGTCCGCCATACCCGGGTTACCATGCCGATGTCAACTACGCTTCTTCCTACGAACCTCGCCTGGTGCGAGAACCCCGATTGGAAGCACAACCCATTTCTTCCACTACATATCGAGACCCCGGCCATTCCACCAAGTTGAGGACGGAGTATGCCATCCGCCCGCGAGTGCGGAGCAGCACCATGTCCGCGGTGGATCCTCGCTATTCCTCCGGCCGTTATGACACACCCGCATCGCCCTTGTCCCGGGCTTCCCCTGTCATTGTCCCCGGCCACCAGCGAACCCCTAGCCCGCGTCGAGATCATGACCGTTACGTTGTACCCGCCTCCTCGCACCGACCCCACCGGCGGCATCATCTCTCACACACTGATTATGCCAGCGATACTGGGCACCTAGACCCTCATGAGGGAGCAGCAAGGTCGCGAGTGCCTCATGGGGGATATCCGGTGTACGAGCACAGCCCTCGTCTGCGGTATCCCCCAACTGGAGGTCTCCGGAAAGGCGAGGATATTGACGACTACGATGCGTATTCTTATACCAATGCATCGGAGCAGATGGAGAAAGACTCACTTGCTAGGCTGCGCTATGAGCGAGGGGCTTATCCAAGGAACAGGCCACTTAGTCTGACCGGCCTTGACGACCCTCACTTGCTGCCTCGCAAGGAGTCACGAGCTGTCGGGCCTCCTCCGTCTCAGAGAGGCTTTGACAAATTGGACCAAGGCAGCCGTGTGCGGCGTTCCACACACGGCTCCGCTGACAGTGATGTAGATCTGGCGAGCGCCAGGCGGCGATCCTGGCAGAGGGCCCCCGTATCCTTGCACCAGGATGTCGACGAGGGCTACTCTTCTTATAGAGATGAGTACGACCATGGTCACCATCGGCGACATCGGCGACATGATGACGATACGAGTAGCCGGCACTCCTACGATGACCGTGCTTCAAGGCGAACCTCTGCCAAGAGCGCTGTCGCAGCTTCGGGGTCGAGCACGGGCCTAGGGACTGCAGTGCTCGCCAGCGGTTACTCGGACGATTTTGACTATGATCTCTCCCCCCGGCCCGACCGCCATCGCTCCCGGGACCGGAGCGCTCGGGAACCGGAGTATAGAAGGCATCACAGTCGGTCGCGCAGACCGTCTAGACGTCGCTCAGGAAGCGAGTCTGATGAGCATACCTCGGATGAAGACCTGAAGAAATACCGACGCGAGCCATCGGCGCACAGGAAGCCTGATGGCTCGGATGTCTCAGCCAGTGGCAGCGAGCGACTGTCCCCCTATTTGACAGTCGATCGCGCCCATCGCCGGCGGTCTCACTCTCGTCATCGAAGCGAAGATTTGCCGCGCCTCAAAGAAGCAGATGCCAGCCGCCCCGACGAGCTGAAGAAGTCTGAGCAGGCCGCGTCGAAAGAGCAGGACCCACCTGCACCCAAAGGCATCCTGAAGCCTCCCCGTGAGAAGTTTCCGGAAGAGCCCAATCCCGTTCGAGAAGGCGTGGCCCCATTGAAAGATGCGCACAAGAAGGGCATCCCTCCGGGCGCCCGGTGGACCAAGATTGACCGACGACTTGTGAACCCTGCCGCCTTGGAGCTTGGCCGAGAGCGGTATGAGGAGCGAGCGGAGTATGTGATCGTTCTTCGAGTCTTGACCAAGGAGGAAATCCAGGCGTATGCGGTCAAGACGCAGGAAATTCGAGGTATGTTCCCAAAGATCCATGGCCCACAATGCATACTAATGAGGTGTGTAGATGCTCGCTGGCAAGAGATCATCAAAGAGCGCCGTCGACGTCGGGAGGAGGACCGCCGCCACGGGCGTAGAGTGGATAGTTCCTCGAGCGACGATGAAGACGAGGATGACGAAAATGCGACTCCTCTTGCTATCGAGGGTGCGCCTGACGCTAAATCGGGGTCGAAGACCGCGACTGAACCCGTCAAAGCCGCAGCGTGATCATATTCTCCTGGCGCAATCTTTCTGTTCCATTATTGCTTTTTTGTTTATTTGGATTATTTCAGTTTCAATACCTCCATTGTTCACGTGATTACATGCTGGTCCAGATCACGAGCTGGGAGAAATAGAATGAGTGTACAACAGCGGACCGGCGTTGCTCGGGATTGAAGGAACAGGAATGTATGGATCAAGGCAGTGCCTATTAGACGCAACGACCTGGATGCACGCGCAATCAAACAAGTCAAGCAATTACAATTGGAAGCGTTTGATTTTCAGCTGGTTCTACGGCATGTCGTGTACACAGTACAGAGTAAATAGTGAGTAGTATGTGTACCACTTCATCCACACCTTTGGAAAAGGACAAGAAAAGACAGAAGAAAGGTAACTCTCTCACTCACTAGCGCGAAATGTCCGTGGCAATGCGCGACTTCCCAAAACAGAGAAAGAAAAGAAATTAAAGAGACTCCAAACGGTCTTCTGACTCCGTCCCAGCCCTGGTTACACTTCGTCCTACCCGAGCCTCCTTCCTCAGTGGCTGATCCAACATTTTCTGCGCGTCTTCAAGGAAAACTACAGACCAGACAAACTTCTCCCACCTCGGCATTCATGTCTTGTGTGACCCTCTTACTCTCTTCCGGATTGGGTATCATTCTCTCGGTGCCCAGAGTAGCCCTCAGGTCTTCACTCTTCGCCCTGTTTGTTCTGTTCTGTTGTGCGTTGTGTATTGTTTGCTGTGGCAAGCCTTCTTCTATTCCTACTGGTTGAATAGCTGATGGTTCCTCGACTGTCTACCTGCTGTGTGGCGTAGCTACTTGTATGTGTATGTGTATGTGTATGTGTATCATTCCTTCTTTTTCCCTTTTCACTTTTTCCTACTTTTTTTTGGTAAATCCAATCAGCGACTTGCCGCCATCTAAAGCCATAATACTGTAAAGGTAGAGAGATGCATATGTACGAAGCATGTCGAGTCGGACTGGAAGTGATGAAAGGAGGTGGAAGGCAAGCCCTCTTTCTTCCGTCTGGATTAGAATCAGGCTCATTGGTTATGCGTTAACGTCCATCTGCTTGTTTCCCGCTAGACATGTGAGCCAATGAACTGGTGTATGTGGAAATGAAGCATGACGAACCTGCGTGGGGTGGGGTATAGTCGGGTTGGTCTATGACCAATACCAATACTTGGAGTTTCTCTTTTTCTGGCTCTATGAAGTATAGTAGGAAGAATTAGCTTTTTTGTGTGTGTGTGTGCTGTTGCTACATTGGTGGGAAGAGATAGTTTGGAAGCAAAGCACTAGAAGGGATATTCGGCCAGGTACAAGTACTGGTAAGGCTTCATGACATTTTTTCTGTGTTCTGAATCTGGTTTCCGGGTGACTGTTAAATGTTCTTTCGTTGACCTTCTGATTACTTGTGTGCTTTGCCTTTAGGTCTCAGGTACTCAGTAGTATAGATGGCGATGTGTATGATTTGCGTGTTAAGGTATATGTCATGTCGTTGCCACCTGGCTAATGATCGGGGGGAGGATCGCAGGAATCGGATAAAATAGGGCGAATGGGGGAATCAAATGGATGGTATCTGTTTCCCTGAAGTAACCTGTCTATCTATCTGTCATATGTACCTACATCCTTCAACTGGACAATGCATGCCCACTCTTCTACCCATCACAGATAGCTAGATACATAATCCAGATAGACAGACAGAAAAAAAAACAATCAGCCAACTCGCTCCCTCTTTTCAGTACTCAATAAAGAACAAGCAATTTAAGTAAGTGTATACGTACCTCAACCCAACCCAAACCCAATAACCCGCCTTGACTCCCACATAATAGATATTAATACCATATAATATGATCTCAGTGGCGTCTCATTTTTCTCCGCCGAATAAAGCCCTCCCAAGGCAACCGAGCAATCAAACAATCAAGCGGGCGGCGCCTCATCTCTCTCCCCAACCAAACCAAACCAGTCAGCTTAGTAGCCCCGTCTCAACCAGTTCAGATGAGGCTGGTTTCCGTGTTTTTTTTTTAATGTTCTCTTTGGGGAAGGGTAAGGAGGCAACATCCCATGACCGGAGAAGGGAATAACTGGGACAAGTGCAAAATCAAAACAAGTAACGGGGTTGGGTGATTGACTTTTTGTGATTTCTGGCTGGCTTGGATGGGCGGGGTGGAGAAAGAACGGGTGGAACGAGAGTGAAGGTTTATTTGCCTGCTTGGGTGCTCTCTTGCGTGGGAGAATGGGCAGGAACTAAAAGAGGAGAGGAGAGGAGAGTGCGTATGTAGATAGGTAGGATTGACTGCCAGTTCGCTGTGTGGCTTTCAAGCCCCTAGAGGAAATTAGGAAGGTAGGTAAGTCGTAAAGCCCAAGGCTGCCTCTGTCTGCCTTGTGGGGTGGTGAGGGGGGCGTATGGTAGTATATGGTAGATAGTAAGTTGTGTGCCTCATTCTATAGTGAGTGGTTTAGTATCTAGTTGGATTTATTTAATCTTCTAGGGAGAGAAGTGTTGGATGAGGACATCATCTCATAGGTTGGTGGGTCATATTGGGATGGGATGATCATTTAATTAGTGACATAATAAGTGAGTGACATCCACCGTAAGGCTCTCTCCTATATACATGGGTAGGATAGGATAGTTCTACTATTACTAGACTACCACACATATACATGATCTATCTAGATATGAGCATGTGATATGTGACTGGGTACGTAGGGCTGCTGCTACAACTACTTCAAAAAGTAAGACACGAATGAACATCTCGAATCAGAGTACTCCGTATAGCTGCGAACTCCGGACTAATTTCACCATCAAAGTATATATCCTGGTACCAATACCTACAGTCACTAACAAACCCTGTCTTGCATCGGGAAAACGTAAGCAAGCAAGCAAGCCAGTAAAACCGTTCCAACGCTTCTGCATCATTGTTCCTTTGGCAGCGACAAAAAAAAGCGCATGTCGTCCTGAGTCACCCGAGTTAAAGTTTCCGCTGCGCCAGATTGAGTTTCTGAAAAGGATAAGGAAAGTAAGGGTAAGAAGGTTGATTTGCTTTGTTTCGTGTGCTCGGATATGCCATGCCATGCTATGTCAGGTACGCACTGCCGTATGATTTGTATGTATGTATGTATGTATTTGATTTCCGAACTACGGAGTATTCCATGGTCAGTAGTGAATACCACATAATAGTAGCTGTAGTAGTATTGTCTGGTCTAGATGGGGTGATACCAATCCCCTAGTGTCCTCTAACTACCGATTTGGCTAGCTAGCTAGCCAGCCAGCTAGCGATCAATATAAATTCCATCTTGAATGGAGGATCTAAACGGGCGTCTATGGATGTATGCTATAAGCGAAAATGTAATTTCCACTACTAATAATACCTCACCAGTCAGCTACACTTAAGGGATGATGATGAGCAACGAAAAAATAAGAAAAAGGCTCGGGGAAATCCACATCGACAGGATAGCCGACAATCACCCGTTACTAGCTGCCGTCAGTGCGTGGGAAGGGAAAAAAAGAAAATGGAAAGGGAAGGGCGAAGAGGAGAAGGGAAATTAGACAAAGAAGCTCTCTCTCACAGCCACTTCATTTCACCCCCTCCCTACAAGCTTGGTACCTAGCTAGACTCACCACCAACTATCTAACTAGCTACTAGATAGGTTTAAGTCCACCTTAGTTATTGGTCTAGGTTACATACCTATCGTCGCGCACGAAAGATTAAAAAATTTGAGGGGAAAAAGAAAAAGAAAATTAACCAACGGCCACGAATCACAGCACGTCAATTTAATTAAGACCTACATGCCCTATGTACCTAGTCATGCAGGCTGTCAGGCCGGAGGAGAGGAGGGGTGAGTGAGTGGTATTGTGCGTGGACACGAAAATATGTGTGCGTGTGTGTGATAGCCTACGGATAGTTAGTTAGTGTTAGTTTAGTTCGAGAGTGTCCGTAAGATGAATCAATAAATTTTCATTCTCATTTCCTTTTCTTTCCCCTCTCCATCATCTCCCCCCCCTCTGATCAACAGTCCCGCCTGGACCCGGCGTGACATCCTTCTGTTTGCGATCATGATGTGTGTGTGATTACTTAGCTAAAAATATCCTCTCATCATCTACTAGCTGAATAGTCCCAACCATCTACTACTTAGCGAGAAAAAAAGTAAAACTAGTTAGTTTACCTATTCACCAGTTCACTTACACACACACACACACACACACACACACATCCAGACTCCTATTCTTTGTTGTTCGATGTTGCTCCATCTTCGCCGTCGGATGGTGGGGCCGGACACCCGACAACCACCACCACGACTAAACATAACAGGTTGCCTTTTAGCCCGGATGGAATGTCGTTGGGCCACTGGCTGGCTGTTGCGCCGGCCCTTAGGGCTCAGATCACATGTTTTCTATTTCTTGTTCTTTACTTTACCGGACTAAAATCTGACAATCACTGTGTATTCATGCCGGGTATTGTATTGTATTGTTTGTTTGTTTGTTACCATTTTTCACTCCCATGAGAAAGGGAAGTGGGAGAATAGTTATACTAGGTCGTAATAGGTAAAAAGATAGAGGACCTTCTCTCACTCACACTCAACGCCAAATAAGAATCAGAGGAAACTGTCTACATGTAAGGTGAAATAGTTAGGCTGAATCCTCCATCAACCACTTACGTATGTCCAATTTAACGCGGAGATTGTTGCTTGCTTGCTTCATAACCGCCCGACGGGATAATCCCATCGGGAACTAATCTGGAAGCCTAGATTCCAGTCCCGGTTTCAGTTGTGGCGAGGGAGGAAGCAAACAATATCATCTATGGGATGCATGTAACTCAGTGAAAACAAGGGTTATTCTAAAGTACTATAACTGCAACGATGAGCAATATAGAGAAGCATTACTTCTATAGATTGATTTGAAAAAAATACATAGTCCCCATATAACAAGCTATCTACGGAGTAAATCAACCAAGCACTCTACGGGCGGCTCCGTAGATGTCAAAACCCGAGCTCGTCATTCCATCCGTCCGCTTGCTTGCTTGCTTGCCCGGTGCGGAGAAAATAACCCCCTCCTGTCATCTCCTCTCCTCTGTATTCTGTCGTGCATGGTTGGACAAGGTTGAATACTATCGGGGGTTCTGGATTGGAGGAAAGGGAGGAATTACATAAGGGGTGGGAGGGCGAAATTCAGTAGGGATCGGCGTGTAGGGTGACATTCGTGGGAGTTTGATTGTTTGATCAATGGTATGTATTGGTTTGGGTATTGGTGTTACGATGTTTTGTTTGGTGGTTTTGATTTCATGGGTGAATGGGAACATTTGACTTTGGATTGATTAGCTAGGGGAATTTATTCGAAGTAACCACCTGTATGAGGTTAAAAGTATAGCCTTATCAATTGGCCGACCATGGATTCTCCTATTTATCTGGGCATCTATATGTGTGGTAGGATGAAACAAACGAGGATGTCCGGCCGAAGTATCTTCCCCAGATACAGAGAATACCTGCGGAGTACTATGCAATACATACAGATGTATAACTCGGCGTTAAGACCCCAGCACTGTGCAGCCACCTCACAGGAAGTCTGGTTAGTGACAGCACGCATACATACATACACGTTACCTAGCTACATACATCCGGTGTAAGCCCACGGTCGAATATCGGACATTTAAGCTTCCCGAACTCAAAGAAAGGAATGCAACTATATTATCTACTATGAAGAAAGGGGGTCAAAACATCGAACCATGGTTCATACACATCTGATTTCAAATCAGGGTACCATGGATGTCAATAAAAATACGGTGACTTTCTTTGTTCATTTGGTTTTGCTGGCGCTGCATCTCCTGCCAAGATGGGTCCAGCCGATTGTTGATCGAGATTTATCCCTCCTCTTTCCAATACTCTCCATGGGGTAAGTATTGGACATGGGGATGAGATTTTCGCACTATCTTAGTAGACACTCTGTTAGTAGACGGTGGATGCATATCGTGGTGTATCAAGTGCTGCATAGTAGCTGGTGACGGTTATGGTGGAGTGCAGCATGCTCAGGTACGGTCATCAAAAAGTCTAGGTCGCTCGAATCGATACATCCCACACACCGTCATCCACTTTCTAGTCTAGATACCTCACGGACAATCGGACTAGACACAAGGGAGGTTAGTGCCAAAAAAGAAAATAAAAAAGAGATGATGCCCTACGTATTTCGAGCGGCAGACCCACTCACACATGTTATAATTACTCGACGCCAAAATCAGTAGTGGTAGTCCCCCAACGGCGACTCGACCATCGTAAGTTCGTTCGCCTAAAAGGATTCTGCATCAAGCTAAGCCAGCGTTGTTCTGGACGTTGCAGGATGATGTTATAATTACTTTTTCCTTTTTTCCTTTCGGCGGCTCGGCCTTCAACAAATCGATGTGGTTGGTAGCTGGTAGGCTGTAACGGGTGGGGACGGACTGCGGGGCAAACATGGTGATTGCTAGCCCGTCGTGCTCTTTACCGGTTCAAAGATCTCCGTTGCGATATTTTGATGGTTATAATGTTGGCTGATATTATTTTAGCGATCGGAGATGATGGGGGCATGACATCGCCATTACATAAGGGTTCATTGTAAATGACAAGATCAAGATCAGAGGCCAAAAGCATACCTTGAAACCCGCACACTGGGAATTAAAGAGGCACATCCATCAACTGCTGCACTCGAGCTTTCCATCCGTGCTCCGTACATAAGGCGGAGAGGGTGTCTTGAGGCACAGACACTTATGCATGCTAAGGAGCTGATCCATCCAGATATCCTTGTAGAAGGCTACTTTGACAAGCTCACTATCCGTAGATAGTTGATCTGTCGGACAAGGATTGTTCTTAGTACGGTCGTTAAGAGCAGCGGCCAACCTGATGTGCATACGGCCCCCAGTTGCCGATCACCACCTGAAGCATGCTAGCCATGATGATTATGGAGTGGGAAGGGAAACGAGCCAGAACGGGTCCCACCCCAGCTGGATGCGTCTTTTTTTGCGTTCTGAAGGTGAGAGGTATGGAGAAACAGAATGCGGCGCAGTGATTGCGCGCTAAATCTCAGAATAGGAGGTTCGAGAAACACATGCTAATACCAGAAGAGAGTTGGAAGCAGCCAGACAACCTTCGCATAACCTGCCTAATACTGGGGATCGAATTTCGTAGGCTGTCGTGTCGTGTTCCTCGACGACCATTGCCATTGGTAGGCAGTAAGTACTTGCGGTAGCGCAAGCGCCGGAGTTCACCTCCGTCTCAAGCGAGCTCAGCTCGACGGGCACCAACCATTACTACGGACTTTACTCCGTAGACCCAGACCGTGGTTCAGTCCACCTGTAGAATGTGAACACTCAGGTTCTTGCTGCTTAGTCTGAAAATAATCAACCTCCTCTCTCCCCCCCAGCCGATCCGATGATATCAAAAGGGAAAATTGGGTGATCCACCCAGGGGTTCTGATTCCCTGTCGGAGTCGGAAACGGAGCCCCCCGTGATTCGGGCTGAAAGTGGCTCCCTTTAGTTTAGTTCCTGTTTTGCGATCTCAGTGGCTCCGCTTTTGTTCCCTGGCACCCAACCTGCCTTTCCTTGGCTCGTTATCGGTTTCAGCTGAGAAACCTTCTGTTCCATCTGCGAGTCCACAGTAACTACAAGGAGACTACGACAAATTCTGCGGATGAGACATGAAGCAACTGGGCCCGACGGGTTCCCCGATGTTGCCGTGCTCCCGATGGAGGGATTGATTCGATTCTAGATTCTTGTTTCATGGGGGTTCGTTCGTTCGATCCCCTTCCGGAGGAAAATACGAGATTTCACCGCCCCGATCGAACCAGTAGTCGGTCCTTCGACAGGTAAACCTTCAGTTCAACTAGTATACTAGAGTTATCTTGACCTGTCGGAGGTGTCGCAGCTCGAACTCAACCTCACACCCATCTCGCATCTAATGGCTCCATACCCACTTTATCTAACCTACACCTACCAAACAAACTTCGAGGACCTGCCTCTCCTCCGACTATCCAGTTAGTCTGCGCACTGGGGCTACCGTACCTAATCTATTCAGAGTTTCCACTCTCTAATCGACACGCCTGAATTTTCCCGAGCACGGCCTCCCGATAGGTCCCGTTCAGGGAAGCCGCTTGTTGGACCACCCGGTGGTGGTAGGCGATGATTGTGGCGGTCGCGAGGTCTGGTGACTGCAGAGCCTACCATTTGTAGATCAGGCAATTGCTGAGACGAGATGAGTAAAGTTCTACACAGAGAGTCTCACTCATCGCCATCTAACGTATCCATTATTGTTGAGCATCAGGTACGCGGAGCACCATTACCCGTCAGTCCTGGATTCGTAACCCTCCGGTCGTCACATCGCCCGGCTCCGGGCCCCAATCGTTCGCCAAAGCTTCGCTCCGCTCTTTCCCCTCTTCTGTACCTGCTTAGGTTCCATCGCAAGCTCGGTGCGACTTACTTGGGCCAAAGTCTCGAGTCTTGACAATGGTCGTTCAAATGTGTCTAACGTCGCAGTATCCGTACTACTTCCCTACTCGTGGTAGTTCTGGAACTGTCCTTTTCTAGAGCAACTATTTTACTAAAGCCTGGTAATATCTTCCGGAGTCCACTGAGGATAGAAGGCCAATCAGAAGAAACAAGCCCTGTCTTCAAGAGAGTAACAAAAAGAGGGGACAGGATCTGAGATGAAGCCTAGAAACCAAAGAGAAAATCATAATATGAGCAAAGTGAGACAGGAAAGAACCACGAAATGAAGAGCGAGAAGGCGGAGACCAGGAAAGCGACTGGGGGGGGGGAGTCACGGAACTACCACATAGTGTGAACGCGGACTTTAGCACCCTGCATCGATCACAACGAGTAATACCAATGACAGGGAGTTAGAAGGTCTGACACCGTTGCTTGCGTTCAGCCCAAGGACTCCACCAACCCGACGCTAAAGGCAGCTAAGGTGGTGAGCATGCCACACACATGGCCTCCTGGAGGGTAAGATTTGCGACTGGGCGGCGCAGCAACTCAGCGTTTGCGAACTTGCCCAAAAGAGGGAGAGCGTGGATTACGACGACCTTTTCCACTATCCCCCGTCTGGCAAGTCTCCTGTGTCCCTTTTCGGTTCCCTGAAGGAGAAGACAAACCCAGCTACCCACTCAGTAATCTTAGTATTCCTGCGATGGCGTCAATGATATGTTATGGCCCGAACCGACGGGCTAACGGTGGATTGAGTGGATGGAGGATGAGGAGAAGCCGGAGCAGCAGCATGTTGGAGAGACCAGAGCTGAGTCTGGAGCTCCCCACAAGCTACACCAGACCCGAATCCGACCCCTCCTTTGTTGGTTCTCCACGTACTCCGTGCTCGACAGCTAGCTAGTCCAGTCCCCCTTCAATTACTACGCCGCACAGAGGTGGTAGTTCACCACTGTCGCCATCGGACAAAAGGCGTCCCAACAGTTGCAGTCTGGCTGCAGCAAAGTACACGGCATGCTTACTTTAGCTCCTGCACGTCGAGGGAGTGGTAGACCTTCCCATTGTTGGTGCTGCTGGTGCTGCGGACACAGCATCGGCCGGTCCCCCTTTTTAAACTTATCATCCGAGACAACCATGACGGGAGGTCTTCTGTGCCGTCCGATTCAAACTTCACATGGGAGTGGGAGCACGAGGACATTCTTATGCTTTTCTCGAACGGGAAAAGAACAGCGGAAACCCCATTTTCTGGCGGGCATGGGCCAGAAGAATTGCGCTGTAACAGTGTGGCTGGAAAAAGGAAGTAACTTAACTTATCTGGCCAGTTTGCTTTAGTTTGCTCTCCGGGAGGCTAGAATCGTCGAAGCACCACTTTCTTTGATTTCACTCCCCATCCCACCCAATCGCCAAGTCCCACTAACGGTGGAGCTGCCGTCTGATTGCACGGAAGCCTCAGTGGAGCTGTCCCGTGAATTCTGGCAGGCTGACTGAATGAGCGTCCCGGCTGAGAATATGGAGAGAGACACAGAGAGAGAGAGAGAGAGAGAGAGAGAGAGAGAGAGAGAGAGAGAGAGAAAGAGAGAAAGAAACCTTGGGCCGCGCCCCATCAATGAGAATCAAATCATGACCCTTCCTTACAATAATAAAGTGGTGTTGTGGCCACGGCCCCGTCGGCCCATCCGGGGCGTACCGGCTCCTCCTGACCTTGGTCACCGCACTTGGCTTCAAGGATGAATTCGATCGCCCAAGGGTAGGAGTAGGTTCATCACCTCTCAACGTATGAAGGTGTCTTGGGAAGCATGATGCAGGAAGCTAGTCGCCGGGAAGCGGCAGGATCAGGAGCCCACCGAAGTGCCAATGATTGATCGGCCGCTTTCCAGCCCAAGAGCTGGGGTTACACTGTCATTACCCTCCTTTCAGCGGCATCATCAGCAGCAACATCATCCGCATGGGAAGGGTGAGTAATAACTCACTCGACCGGACACCGTTAGGCTGTCTCAAGTTTATTTGAACCGGGCCGATGAGGGATGGATAGGATTGGACGGTTAGTGACAGCATCAACTCGCAAACTACCAAACCCTCGTCATCCCGAAGAGAGCAAAGGAAAAAAGAATACGATAAAAATAACTATAAAGGAAATATAGGAAAAAAGCAATCAACCAAATTCGAATTCGTTGGGGCGTACGGAATACCTCAAATTTCACTGGTCTTTGTGTGTATGTGTGGTAGTTGATCTTGATTGATGGGGGGCCTCGGGAGGGGTGCCATTCGTTGAGTGGCGCCTCTGAGATGTGGAAACAAGGCTGACAGCAGCAAGTCAGATCGGTCGTTCTCATACCGGAATGTAACCAGATCGAGTCGCGTATTCCGTAATATTGACTGGATGTCCCGCGAACGAAGAAAAACAGGCAGGCAGATGGGGCTAAAATCCTCGGAGAGGAAACAAATGGCAAATCAAATTGACAGATTGGGCTTGTGAAAAAGGTAATAGGATAAGAAAATCAACAATAGGCCGCAATTTAACTGAACCGGAATTATTCAACAGGTAAGAAGAGGATATTAAACAAATTGCCTGGAACATTTTGACCCATATCAGCAAACACAAACAATGGCAACAACGAAAATAACGTCCTCCATGACAGGATCATCAGCACTATCGCGGGATCAATTGATGGCTAGAGCTGTGGTGACTGGGCCGATCCATCGAGCCAGCGTCACAGGCCATGTCTACTAAGTGGAGTTGGGCTGGGCTGTTCAGGGCATGGCGGTTGTGGTTTGTCAATCCACAGTGCCATTTCAGCAGCTCATTATCAATAATGATCACTATTGTGAGCTCTAAACTATGACCCTTCAAGCTTGACCGGGGGGGGTCGGCCATATCCCAGGCAGCGACTCGTGTGGGTGGGAATCAAGCTCTTAACCAGTGGTACCTGGATTGAATCTCTGAGAGATCCCACTTCGACAGTGGACTCGACCAAGTGGTTCTCTCAAACCTATCATATCCAGTTATTTCCCGAAGACGAGAATTATACTCCGCATGTATACAAGATGTTTGGATGATGCCGTTCAATCCGACTATTTACCCATCAAACTAACAACGGCTACTGTACTGTGCCTAATCCTCCCGGCGCCAATCTTCATTAATCCAGACCATCCATTTTCTGCCCTCTCTTCCAAACCTAAAAAAACCTGTGTGGGTATTGGAGCCAACATGCCAATGGGAAATTTTCTTTTTCCATTTGTTTTTTTTCCCTTATTTTATGTTCCCCTTGCCTTTCCCATTTTCCCTTTTCGTCCATCTAACACTAACCATTATCCTCGACATTGTAAATGCCCTTCTCCCCCTCATGGATTTAATTTTGAAACAAATTCGGGGGTTTGTAATATTTTTATTGTACTTGCAGAGACAGCAGGTCAAAGATGACTGGCAAATGACTCAAGATAGCCTTGTATGGGCGAAGTTAATGCAAAGAAGAAAAAGAAAAATTTGTAACGAAAAAAAAAAAAAAAAAAAAAAAAAAAAAAAAAAAAAAAAAAAAAAAAAAAAAAAAAAAAAAAAAAAAAAGAAGCAAAAAATGAAAATGAATGACAGCTGATTAATAATCTCAGCCAACACGATCTGTCACGGCCATATTGACACTCACCCGGCCGGATGCACACACACCCGCACACCCACTTTGTCTAGGGTGGTGTGGGTGGCAGGTGCTTGCTACCTACTACCAAGTAGGTAAAAGTAGCTGCATGTTCTCCCTCCACTGCTCATGGCTCCTAAGTGGCAGCTTGCAAGCCATGATTGTCACAGTAATTTCAATTTCATGAGATTATTCCTCGGGCTGTTATAATTAGTCGTCTGCAGCCTGATAGGCGAGAGAATCTATGCGGATTACCACTGACCATAGAGCACTTACTCTCGGTACATACACCGTTCGACAAACGGATGATCAGTAGATACTTCTCCAGAACCACCAACTTCGCCCTTTTTGGCTCACTCTTCTCACTGGCGCATTTGTCTCCGATCCATTTCTGGTCACCACATTCATTTCCAAGTACAAAAACGCAAGCAAAACAACGGAACCTCATCTACTTGCCTTCCTCAAAGTTTTGAGATCGCGACGCTTGGCGGCTGCTTCCGATTCTTTGTCTGCTGTCTTTGTTCTACCTTTCTTTTTCCAACTCTTTAAGCTTTGCCCCATCATCCCTCATACCTCATACCGCTGCTACTCTGGTTCAGTTGCCAGTTTTGTTGGCCGGTTTTTCCTAGTTGGAACCTCGACGGGCCAAAGGTACGCCTTATTTCCTTGCCAGTCATCCCTACTACCCACGGTTCTTATCGTCAAACAATTCCCGGGGTCGCAGCCATGTCGGTGGTGGCCTACAGGCAAACCGTCATCCGCTGCATCTGGTTATTTCTTTTCTTTTGCGAAGAAAAGTCCCCTACTGTATGCCGTACTCGGCGTCTACTGGCCCTCTTCCTCTCTCCCCCTCTCACTCTCTCCTCCCCAAGCATTCTACAGTTTTTACCCCATTGATTATGTGATTTTACTTTTGCCACCATTAAATCTTGGATTTGAGTCTGTCACTGCATGCTGCAAATCATCCCCTCGAAGACAGTTCATCGGGTCAGCCGTCTCTTTCATTTTCTCAATTGCGCCTGTCTGTCGTCAGGAGTCACTTTGTTCGAGTCAATTCTCTTCAGAGACCCTTCAAAGTGTCGCATTCGCGTTTGGCTCCTGCGTCCTGCATCCATCCTGGTCAATATTACACCACCTTCCCGCTAGTTACAAGCTCATCCTGATATCCCCACTAGTCAGTGCATCCCTCTGACGCTGTCCTGCCCTCCGTCACTGTCTGTTTTCTTCCCTATTTCTTTTTTAGTTTTTGATTTCCCTTTATTTTCTACCCTTAATCTTTTTCATTTAATTCTTTTTTTATTTTAATTTCATTCTCTTCCGCCCCCCTTCTCCCTGCTTTAATTTATTTCTTCCAGACTTCTTCATCTCCCCCCATACCTGTTCCGGAATAGCTAGCTGGTGGACAACTCCTCTGACTGAAGGATGGGTCTCCAGCGCAGCTAAATAACGACCCTGGACCCTCCACATTACACTTGCACTCGCATTGCACCGTTTATCCAGGCCCATCATTACCAGGCCCCCTTCCTTTCCACTCCCCCCCCCCCCTCCCTCCCCTCCCCCAGTTCAGAACCACACGGACCAACGAGCCACTACCGTTACCCTTCAGCCTCTCATTAGCTTTCCTTTTCATAAGCTCTCCTCTAGTCTAGTCTAGATATCCCTTCCACTCCCGTTTCTGGGCCACCCCCTCCGGACTATCTTCTTACGCGCATCCTTCTTTCTCTCCCGCACCCAAGCTGAACTTTGTTTTATGTCTTTTCTCTAGACTCCCCTTATATATGAGCTGAAGCCATTGAAGGACGGAAGCAACTGGAAACAAGAAAAATAAAAAAGGAATACCATCCCAGACCATTCGAGGTCAGTCATGACCGGCATGGTTCAGACTGACCTAGCTCATCCACCTGCACCAAAGTACAAGGACGAGCCCGTGGAAGATCCTGTGAGTGTATTCTCACTTCTTGAGTGCTAGAACCGTGCTTTTCTACTTGTGATATTGTTCTTTTCTTTTCTTTTCCAATATTTTCTTTTTTTCCCCCTTCTCCGACCTTCCCTATCTTTGTCTTTTGCCTCTCATGCCTGCATCGATCCATGCCTTTGTCTACATCCAAGGACAACCCGGCCGACTTCGCATGACTGGGGAGAACCCGGGAGTATGTGAACCTTCGATCTTGGGTAGAGCATGTTTCCCTGCTCGATGAGACCGTATACGATAATCTGGCCGGGTCGCCTGCTTTCACCGCAATGACGTTTCCCGCAATGCTCCAATAGTCAATACACGGACGCCTTGTCTTCCGATATCCGTCGAACACCCCGTGGTCTCATCCTCGACAATCGGAAGATTCTTCAACGCCCTACGATACTAGAGCCGCCAATGGGGCCGGAGAGTCCCTTGAGCGCGGGTCATGTCCACCTCTGTCACGCTCTCTAGCCGCGCCTGCAGAAAGTCATCGCTGACTCGGCTTTGACTGTTTGACCAAACTATGAATCTGATTCGGACCCCACGTGTCTTCTTCCCTTACGCGTTCCCTTGGAGGCGATAAAGGGAAATGATTTTTGTTGCCTGAAGACACAGATCATCAGCAAAATGGACATCATATCCACCGGGGCTTTAAGGGGCGCGGATAGGTCCACAGTTGCCAACTACTACCAACGATGCTTGCCTGTGACATGTGCTTCCCTTATTGCCTGTATGCGGCCATATACGCATCAGGCTGCCTTCTACAGACCTTCGACTACATGTGTGTGTCTGGGGTTCTACCATGCTTATGGAATAAGCAACTCCCTCTGATTTGTGTTCCCAAGTGCAGTTTCTGATCCAACTACATTGTTTCATGTCTTTCACATACTTTCTGAGGATTTTCTTTGAGCATATCACAAGCAGCAAAAGATTCAGCCCCGGGTTCGGAAACTTGTTTTGAGAAGCATACGGGTTCCAGCGCTAACACTCATTTGATCTCAGCATCGCCATCCCGGCCCACAACCGCCGCATCTTCAGCATCCTAGACCAACTCTGCTGGTCCAGCCGCAGAAACAACCGGAATCGCCACATCAACCTTCAACTACCCTACCCTCTGGCTCATACGCACCTCACGGCTTAGGAAACGGAGTCATACATCACCCGCACTCCTACGGTCCGCCATCAGAGCAATCGTACTATTCATCTCATTCATCTTATAGTACAGCAAGTGCACCCAGTCAGTACTCGTCAAGCGGTAAGTGAGTTGTAATGGTGTTCACAGCAGCAGCGACAACAAAATATGCTCTAAAGGTTGCACTGGTGTGTCCAAGCCACAAAGGCTGATTTATTGTTAGGACCGCCAGAAATGATGGCTACAGCAACGCAAATGCAGCGGCCATATCCCCCGATTTACCATACGCCCCAATCCAGCTCGCCTGCATCAGTAGCTTCCCAAACACATGAACAGCATAATCGCGGCATATACACACAATCGCCTCAGATGACCTCGCAAATGTATGGCTATCCGCCATACTCGCCCATGAACCCAGTGCAGCCTCCACCCTACGGACCGAATACGTCTCCGCAACAGCATCCTCTTACGACTCAACCATTGATGGTGCCCCATCCGACAAGCACCGCGCAGCTACCACACCATCCAGCTCAGGCCCCAACGGGGAACTTGTCAAGTAGTCCTAATTCAGCGGGGGCACAACAGCCTACGCCCCCTCAGAGAACGATGCTAAACCCCCCTCACTCGGCTGCTAGTGGTGCGCCTTTATCGGCAAGTGCTGTTCATCATCAAAATTCCAATGTCGGGGCCAGCTCTAGTGCGGCACCAGGACCAATTCCTGCCACCACCCCCCTGGTCGTCCGACAAGATAGCAATGGTGTCCAGTGGATCGCCTTTGAGTACTCCCGGGACCGTGTAAAGATGGAGTACACAATCCGCTGTGATGTTGAGTCTGTGAACGTGGATAATTTAAGCCAGGAATTCAAGACTGAGAACTGCGTTTATCCTCGAGCCTGCTGCAGCAAGGACCAGTACAGAGGCAATCGGCTGGTATACGAGACTGAATGTAATGCTGTTGGGTGGGCTTTGGCGGAGCTTAACCCGGCGCTGAGAGGCAAGCGTGGGTTGATTCAGCGGGCAGTGGATAGCTGGAGGAATAGCAACCAGGACCCTCGACTCCGGAGCAGGCGTGTGAGAAGAATGGCCAAGATTAACAAGCGACAGGGGATGCCTGTGCCTCCGCCTCATATGGCTCCTTCAACACCTGTTGGCCCTGGGATGACAAGTGCTAGTATGCCGGCCCCCGGCCCCCGTCCCAGCCTAGGGCCATTGCCCATGGGGCCCCCTCAGCTACATCACCACCATGCTCAGCCAGAAGGAAGTGCAGGCCACGAAGAAGCTAGCGGTATGTTCCACCACGCATGATGTGCTTGTCTGACACTGTTTGAATGAATCGACGGTGCTCATGTCGGTCTGTTTTGTATTGTTTCGATGTTTTTGCCATGTCTACGTAGGCAGATCGCCACCAAACGGACGTGAATTTGGTGTGCTTTCTACCAAGAGATATGGATACCGTACCCCATGTATTTCTATTTGGTCTGGAGAGGCTCTTGTCGTTTCTGCTACTTGTTGTTCCGCCCATACCCGGTTTATGTTTCGCCTGTTATGCTACGTTGACGCTGTACCCCGCTGTGCTTTCAAACATGACGTGCCACCTACAGTTTTGCGTAGGCTAATTTATATATTGTCCTATCATACATAATAGGTACCACTGACTATGCGAACGGTACCAGTCGTCCACCCGTCTCGGATGGTCTTCAACCCGGACCATCGCCGACGGACATCCGCACGGCGCAGGTGTTCCATGGCTACCCTTCCTATCCGACTCCCGCGACTGCCTCCGGGGGACCAAGGGGTCCCTCAATACCGCCACTTATCCGAGATAGTGGCATTGGGTCTCTCGGACGCCATCCGACCATTGCGACCTCCTCGAACCGGATCGAAGAAGTGGACGATGACGATGACGAGCGCAATCCAAGCAGCGACGCGCTGTTTGGCACACTTCCCGAGGGCAAGCGCCGCAAGTTCATCCTGGTGGATGATAACCAGCGGGGTTGTCGCGTGCGTGTCAAGGTCATGTTGGACCAGGTTGACATGGACGAGATTCCAGACTCCTACCGGATGTCTAATGCAATATACCCCCGGACATACTTCCCTGTTCAGATGAGGGACCCGGGTCGGGTCGTGCCCGGAAATCGATATATCAAGGACCACATTGGGGCGGATGAGGGTGACGATGCAGATGACGATGACAGCCCGACCGTGGGGAGGGTCATGGTTCCTGCACCACAGATTGATGGTGAAGGAGAGATTGCGGTTCCCCGGCTATCCCGGGGACGACGCAGAAGAGAGGTGCTCTTGAACGACCTAGGCTACCGAATGAGTTGGAGCCAAAGTCGAGTGTTTGCGGGGCGAATGCTGTTCCTGCAGCGATCTCGTGCGTGATCTTCCCTCCTCCTACATCCCTTGCGTCGCCTGCATGTTGGCCATGCAGTCCCCACCTTGGCGACGGAAGGCATACCGTGATTGTGACTAATCTTTGACCCGTGCCGGGAATGTAGTTGACGCGTACCGAAATAAGATGCGCAGTACGATGCTGGCGGCCGGCCAAGATCCGACATCCATTCCCCGGCATTTCGAGACCCGGGCTGGAAAACGACGATTCCTCGAGCGTAGGCGACGGGCAGCGGGAGGCCCGACTCGGGGTGCCGGTGCACATGGGTTGTCTGCCTCGCAGCGCAGTGCTGAAGAGGTCGAGGCTTGACCCATGCACTTGGAACTCTCATCTTCTCCTTCTATTTTTATTCAGTGCTACCGTATCCCTGATCGTTGTCTTAGGGAGATGTTTACTTTTGACCTTGTCACTCGTTTATTTGTCCCAGTTCGCCTGATCCTTCTGCCGGGTTGTCCCTCAAGGTTATGCTGATGGGACCGACAGCGATCATGGGCCGCTATGTAAAGTAATAGATATTGGGAGGGAGTCCAAGAAGGGGGACGGGGATATGGCGGTCTGATGGATCGGGCGTTGGATTTCGATGATTTCGATGATTTTTGTTGTTCTTGACATGATTATGATGATTTGACGGCTGCCCTTACTACGAAAACAATATTATGAATGATGTGATGAAACTTTGAATGTGAATGATGGTAAGGTGTTTTTTTCTTTTCTTTCCACTTTCTCTTGGGTGTCAAATGAAACCCCGAAAGAGTACGGGACCAGACAAGGTTAATTGGTTCGTCTGCCGCATTCAGTGCATCTGGGCGGGCACGTGCAACCCCGATTCCGATTAGGTCGGAGCGGCAGTGGACCAACCGGGGAAAGACCCTGACCCGATGCGGCTTAGTGGCTGCTGGACCCTGGCGTTTAGTACGACGTTTGGCTTCCCATTTCAGGGCACAGTTACATACACTCCATACAGCCATACACCATACAGTACTACTTGCAGTCTAGTGGTTGTCGGGGTCACCGCCGCTCCCCCTCCACGAACAGTAACCTTCATCCATCAACCTTCTGCTCGTCGCCATGGAAGCTGGGGTGTTTTCTCCACTGCTTCTGTGCCGCATGCAGTCACTCGATCTACCCATCTTTCGATTTCCCTTCATCTACTACCCATCCGAGTAACGATTATTCACCTTTCTTCCCGGCGTGGTTGTTTCTCTTTCATATCCGCCTTCTCCATCCATCCTTTCACCCCCTCACGTCCCGAATCCAAGACACCCCGAAACTTAGTCTAGGATCTAGTTTGCATTCAAACTTGATTGAGTTCGTGGCTGCGTTCCTTTTCTCTTCGGTGGTATGCTGACAATTGCGTCGAAAAATAGCCCGTCGCAGTTCACTGGTCCACAACTTCGGCCAACCTTGGGTGACTCCCACGGGATCGTCTGTAAACGAAGGAACCGTGGTTCCGGCGGGCTGTCAGACTTGTTCTTGATTTAGAAGCAACACCCTGCGACCTGGTTGGGGCACCATACTACTACCTGCCCGGAGACCGCTTTTTCTGCCCTTGCCTCGTTCGTTTGGCTGTCTTAGTTGGGTCTTGCACGGTGCTCTCTCTTTCTTCCTTTTACTGCTCCTCCTACTACTAGTGACTCTTCCTCATCTATCGCCCTCCTCTTCCTTCGTCGCCAGTTAGCTCAGTACCCTATTATTATATCTATTGTGTCTCCTATTGCGATATTTTCCTAACAATCATTCAAAAGAATTCCTCGTCACATGTTTCAGCATGGCCGGCGTGAACCGGTCCTTTAGTTACAGTCGCGGCGACGATGCGTTGTTGAGAGATGATGAGCGAGAGATTTCACCCCTCCGATCCGCAGAAGACGGCCTCTACAGTACATCGTATGGCGACGTCTCTCCGCTATCTGCTGGGGTTCAAGCGCAGAATCGGCCATTCGACCGAGGTCTGGTGTCAGTCCCGGAGGGTCAGACCCTGGAGCGCCACATGACCTCTACGCCGGGGATGGATAATCTAGGGCCGGCCTCTGTGGGTGGCGGAATCAGTGGTATCGCTCTTGGCGTGGCCAATTCTCATAATCGCCAGAGTGGAGTTGACGCTTTTAGGGAAACAGATGTGCCAGTACGCAATCTCCCCGCAGAACGGGATTTCAATACCACCGGCTCCGATAACCCCTATATACCTGCTCCGCCAGATGGAGACATCTATCCCAGTTCAGAGACGGTGAGGTATCGCGACTCTTACAGCTCGCATACCGGGCTTGGTGCTGGCGCGCCTTTTGCCGAACATAGCACGCCGGGCACGACGCCTTCCCAACGTAGTTTCTTCGATAGTCCGTACCAAGGCGTGGATGCTGGACCGTACCAGCGGCACTCGGCTTATAGTTCTCACGACTACCCGCTGGTCATCAATCCGGATGATATCGCTGACGACGGCGATGATGGTTTCCCAGTCCACCCGAAGGGAGCAGCGGACTACAGATCGAACGCCAACGTACCTGGTACAGGTGTCGCCGGCGCAGCGGCTGCTGGGGGGTTTCTTGGGAAATTCCGGGCGCTGTTTAAGAGAGAAGAACCTAGTCCCTTCTACGATTCAGACATTGGAGGTGGTCTGGGAGGAGCCGAAAAGGCACAAGGCGGTAGGCACATTATTGGAGGAGGCAGCCGTAAGCGCGGTTGGATTGTTGGGCTCATATTGGCGGCGGTTATCGTGGCAGCTATTGTTGGGGGCGCTGTCGGCGGTATTCTAGGCCATCAGGAACACGACGGTGATACATCGTCGTCGTCATCGTCATCATCAGGCACAGGGTCTGGTGGTTCGGACAAAGGTGATGGTTTGCTTGACAAGGATTCCGACGAGATCAAAGCACTCATGAACAACAAGAACCTCCACAAAGTGTTTCCCGGTGTCGACTATACCCCGTGGGGAGTGCAGTATCCACTGTGCCTCCAATATCCTCCGTCGCAGAATAACGTTACGCGCGACCTGGCGGTGCTTACGCAGTTGACTAATACTATCAGGCTCTACGGCACCGACTGCAATCAGACCGAGATGGTCCTCGAGGCTATTGACCGCTTGCAGTTGACTAATATGAAGCTCTGGCTGGGCGTGTGGATTGATACCAATACAACGACTACAGATCGCCAGATCAGCCAATTGTATAAGATCGTGGAAAATGCGAACGACACCTCTATTTTCAAAGGAGCTATTGTCGGTAATGAAGCCCTCTATCGAGCAGGCTCGGACGTGGCGAGTGCAGAAACGAATCTGATCGGCTACATTAACGATGTCAAAGACCACTTCAAAGACAAGAATATTGACCTCCCAGTGGGCACCTCAGACTTGGGCGACAATTGGAATGCACAGCTAGTCAGCGCGGCCGACTTTGTCATGTCGAACATTCATCCGTTCTTCGGAGGAGTAGAGATTGACGACGCTGCCAGCTGGACATGGACGTTTTGGCAGACGCATGACACCCCACTCACAGCGGGAACGAACAAACAGCAGATCATATCAGAGGTGGGGTGGCCGACGGGAGGAGGGAACGACTGTGGGTCCGACAACAAGTGTCAGAATGACAAGCAGGGCGCCGTGGCGGGCATCGATGAGCTGAACCAGTTCCTGTCGGAGTGGGTGTGTCAGGCTTTGGACAATGGCACAGAGTACTTCTGGTATGTTCGCAGATGTCCTCATTGGTAAGACTTGGCTAAAACATATGCAGGTTCGAGGCTTTCGATGAGCCGTGGAAGGTCCAGTACAACACGCCCGGCCAGGAGTGGGAAGACAAATGGGGGCTGATGGACTCGGCTCGCAATCTGAAGCCGGGCGTCAAGATCCCCGATTGTGGCGGCAAGACGATTACGTGAACGCCGATACGTCTCTACACCTCCTGATGAAAGTGATGATGGATGAAATGTACACAACATATCCGACATACATCATGTGTTATGATGCATTACGACTGATCGATTTCTGCTGTGGATTCCTTGCGGTGTTAGAGCTTTGTCCTGGGACTTGTATTCTATTGAGCTGGTGCATGGGTCGGCTGCCGTCATTCCTTTGCGCGGCATTCCGACGAGTGTCACGACGCCATTTTACGCGAGGTGGTTAGTGGCGTGTTTGTATATAGCGTGTGATCCACATAGGGCTGACAATACGACCCTTGTTGCAATGGATACCGCAGCGCATCGCGTAGGCTTGTAGTTAGCAGATGACTGTCACAGTCATCCACCTTCATCACGACCCACCATATCTAGACGCTACCCCATATCATATACTACTACACCTCACCCTCCCTCTCCAACGGATAGTAAACCCGCATATTCCAAAACGCATGCTCCTGCGCCTCAAACAGCGGCACCCTTACCGACCCCCTCCTCTTCACAAACGCACTCACCACCTCCGACTCGACATCCTCCAACGGACCCCCAAACAGAAACGCCGGATCCAGGGCCAGCATTTGCTCCAGATGTGTGCGCTCCGCACCAGGACAGAAGAGGAATGTACGAGACGTGACTTTTTCGAAGGCATGCGGGGACTCGAGGACGGTTATATCGAGGCTAGAGAGGAGGGATGTGTCGAGGGTGTTGAAGACAGGGTCTTGAGCGTAGGTTTTTATTGTTGGAGCTATTGAAGTGGAGTAGGTGGTTTAGATAGATGAAGTATAGGAGAGAGATCATAGGAGGAGGGCCAATACTTACAGGAAGAAGAAGAGATAGAAGCCATAACATCCACCAACGCAGCCAACTGATACAGCGAGACTAGTCGCCGATCGACCCATCCTCCGCGGAGGAACCCGCTCGGACTGCCGAGACCGATGCAGATTATGGAATCTATTCCATTATCATTATTCTTCTTCTTATTATCATTATTATTATTGATCTCTATCGGTGAATTCGTATTTGTATCTGTTGTATGCGGAAGGATATTGCGTAAAGTCTTCCCCACTACATCGCAGGCGGATGAATCTTTCCACGTTCGTTGGATCTGGGTGAATTGCGATTGAAGGGATTCGAGGGTAGTGGTTGGAGGGGCTTCGGCGGGGTGGAAGAAGATTGATTCTTCTTGTGGTAATTGGGAATGTTGGTTGGTGTTGGTGGTGGTGGTGCGCACACAGCGGCGCGCTTTGCCGCCGGTGGTGACATGCGTCCAGCCGGTAGCGTCGGTGATTTGGAGTCGTTTTTGCGCTTGCGCGGAGTTGTTGGGGTGTTTTTTGCGGGAGCTGTGGGGCATTTTGCTTGTTCTTGCTCTTAATTTTCTGTTCCTGTCTTTTGGGTGTTGGGTTTGGGGTTCGGTGGAATTGATTGGTGCTAAGAGGTTTCGGGTGTTGGTGGTGATGGTGGTGGGAGGGAAGATGCATGAATGGTGGAGGAGAAACTTGAACGTGACGGAGGGGGAGAGGGGAGAGGGCGGGCGGTAAGTGGGTGGGTTTGATTGGTCGGAGGTTGTTGGACATATAAGGCGGCATACTACTTACTTAGTCCGGGTCCTTTGTGCTCTCCATTATCTATTGCTACTATACAATATTTGCAGGGACTTATCGCATCTGAAATGTCTCTATCATGTCCACTGCAGAAGAAGGAAAGCAGATTGTCCAGTCTGTTGACGCTGGGCCACAAGTCAATATCCTTTACTCAGCCCCGATCCAGACAGCATCAACACAACAGTAAACCCCAGCAATACTATATTCAACGGGGCGGTGTACAGATAGTGAAGATATCGCCTGAAGTTGTCTTTATACCTTTGGCTCTCATGTCACACTAAACGAGGCAAAAAGCATGATGTTCGTTGATCAAAATACAGAAACTGTACCAGTGCCCAAGATTTATGCCTATTACTCTCATTGTCCCATAGACCGAGACATTGGAGACTATGGGAGTCTTTACGATAAATATATATTCATGAGTTACGTGAGTGCCAGAGTCTGGATAAGGCCTGGGAAGTATATGGCAGTGTTATAAAAGGTGTCGAATTGCCAACCAGCTGAAAGGGTATTCGGATGGGCTTCACCAGATTGAACACAGCAACTCCATAGGCTCTGTTGATCATGGCCCTGTTGCTGATCTGATACTGGGAGGTTCTAGGATAAAGAGCTAGGCTAGTAGTGTCACCCAGTATCTGACTTACAGGTACTGATGCCACTAAGGACCCCTCTTTTCGGAAGACGGCTTTGTTTATGCGATTAGCAATGCCTATCAATCCAGGGCACCAAAACGTCATATCAAGAATGTCTTAGCTAGTATGCTTTCTTCCCAGCAAAGAAATAATAGTGTGTTCACCCACGGAGATGTTTGTGTCCTCAATATCATGGTCCACAATGGGAACATCAGTGGAATCGTAGACTGGGACTTGAGTGGCTAGTAATGCTGCATACTGGGAACTCGCAAAAGCTCTCGCAGTATGGCAGAGGGCAGAATGATTGGACTGGATATCTGGCACAAACTCTTGAACCATGTTATTCTGAGTATACGGTGTACTGCTCTTGAGCGAAACACCCTGGTGGTGATACCTGTGGTTTGGTCCGTAAACCTCCTTGAAAACAACTCGGTAAACATGTTAGACGGTAGCTCGTTAGACATGAAGAATGCGATATTGACAGGCAGTGAAGCCTCAATCGATAGAAGTATGAAAGACAATATTGAAAGGATCTTGGACGATCTGGAGAGATAGTGGTAGCTAAGCCCCGACGTTCCTTGTTATGCTAATCTTCATGGCTGGTAGAGGTATACCTGCGCCTAGATCATGATCAATCTGAAGTTATGCAGTGTGCAATCCTAGGCCCCGAAACCAAGTAGGAGGAAGAACAGCGGATAAAGACATTACCTATAGACTTCCCTGTCATGCAAGCTGGATCACGACGCTTCAGAGGGGACTGAGATGGGTAAAGTACACTATGGTGGGGTTGGGCGCTTAGCTACATGTAAGCATATGAGCGGCCTGGAAACCAACAATATCAGCGTTAGTCCAGCTCCCAATGCAACTCGCATGGTTCCATTTACTGTTGGACATTGAAGAAGCAGTTATCATACAGAACAACGAATGCAAAGTACTACGTCTCCAGCTTTTACTGGTATCACAGCATATTTGAGTCGGTTTTGGTGTTTCTCTCATTTGATTGGCTATAGCAAAGTCAAGTTCCCCCAACACCGTCGTCGAGAAATCGGGAGTGACTATGAGAAACAGCGTGAAAGGTTGGCAGCCATTAGAAAGTTCTGTAGTAGCGCTGGGACGGGGCAGTACTAGTAGAAGAAGATAGTTAGCTGAGGAGACTGCAACGAGACTAGAGGGTCAGAAGCTGCATGCGATCGTCCCGTCACACTGCGATCACCTCCCCGTCGGCCCCTCTGAGTCGGTCTCTAAGCGCCCTGCCCGGATAGCGCCCGTCGCTCCCCCTCCTCTGCCTCCTCTTGTGCCCTCTCGTGCCCTCTTCCAACCCATGCTCGGCGCTACCATCTGCTGCCTCTCCGCGAATGACAGCCCAGAACTGCTCCCTGTCGCTGTGATGTCTCTTGCAGCCCGCCTCCCTGGTCTCTCCACCCAGCCAATCTGCTTCTTGCAATCCTTCGCGCGCTCCCCCCAGTAGTAGTCTAGTCTGGTCCAGTTCTGCTATCAACTAACTTCTGCCGTTGGAACCGTCACTCATCCCATCCATCCCCAATCGCCGCTGTCCCCTGCGGGAGTTGTCACATCGCGCATTGTGCTGTGACTCGTCCAGATCGCTTGCCTTCCCCGCTATGCCGGTGGCCGTGAGCGCCATTGCAGGAACCGGCCATGGCCTCTTCATTTCGACTCAAAAAGTCCTGTCAGCCCTCTTCCCGGCCGGCTGCTGGAAGGCTTGGTTTCATGATGATCATTCTTCTTCCTGCAGTGCTGGATCGCTTGCCGTGACTGTGTTCGTATTCCTCTTGATGAGTTGAGGTTGATAGAGGCTATTCCTGTTACATCCTGAACCTCCTCTGGCGCATTCTGTATATCTTCTCTTCTCTTTATCTCCTCTCTCTATTGATCCTTCCACTGGCGTCCTCAGAATGAGATCCTTCAGCGACTCGATATCCCGCTGGACAGCGGCCCTTACCCTCCTGTGGCTGGGCCTGGTCAATGCTCACACCGTCATCACTTACCCCGGATATCGAGGCAACAACCTGCACACCAACGGTACGGTCGAAGAGACCAATGGTTTGGGTGTCGCTTGGAAGAACGGCTCTTATGTCTACCCCTATGGAATGCAATGGATCTATCCCTGTATGTACCTCATCATACCCTCATTGCGTCTCAAAGGTAATCCAATCTGACTGCCATTAGGTGGTGGCATGGCCACCTCCCGCAACCGCACCAAATGGCCTGTCACCGGTGGTGCTGTCGCCGTGCAACCAGGCTGGTTCCGCGGCCATGAGACGGCCTTCGTCTACATCAACATCGGCTGGGGTACCATCCCTCCCAACATGAGTAACCCCATGCTCTCGGTCTTTGAAATCGAAGGTCCCACCAACAACCCTTACCCTGGTACCATCTGTATGCCGCAGGTGCCGCTGCCGGCCAATATGAGTGTGAGCCCGGGTGATAATGCGACGATCCAGGTGGTGTTGGCGGCGAAGCATGGTGCTGCTCTTTACGATGTATGTCTACGGCCACTTCTTCTTCGTCTGCCCTTCGTGTGTGATTGCGTTGGGTATCAATACTGACTGACTGACTGCATAGTGTGTGGACATTACCTTCGCGGAACCTGAAGACGTCGAGGAGGTGACGAAAGACAACTGCTTCAACTCGACGGATATCGCCTTCAAGTATGTCTTTGCTTCGAAGTCGCTGACAACCTCTGGGGCACTGGCGCGGCTAAGTAGTCCCGGATTGACGGCCGTGGTGCCGGTGCTGGTGATGGTGGTGTTTGGATTGTTCATGATGTGATGTGATGATATATTCTGATGTTGTTTTGCTCCATGGTCATTTGGCACATACCTACCATACATACCCTTACACTCTCCTTATACCCATGTTCCGTTTGGCTGTGATCCAACGATGATCTGTTTTGCAATGAAGTTGCATGTTTAATGTCCATTGGTGTTATGGTAATTTGGAACTCATTACATAACTATATATCAAATCAATTTCCCACATACCCAGAAGCCTAAACATCTACGAATTATTCATCTACCCATCACTACACAAACATGATACTATAGTGGGTATATATCTACAACCCCCTCACCACCCCCAAAATCACCTCCACCACCTCCTCCGGCCTCTCCTGCGGCGCCCAATGACCCACCCCAGGAATCAACCTCACCTCTCTCAAATCCCCACAACTCGTTCCGTTCCGCATATTCTCCAACGCCCCCGGCTCCTGGTACACCCCCCAATCACTCTCCCCGGAGCAAAACGCACACGGAATCTCAATCCTCCTACCCGCAAACACCTCCCAATCCCAGGTATATTGCCTCCCCGGCGTCGTCCTCACCCGGTACCAATTCAACGCGCCCTGGAACCCTGTACGGGCGAACTCCCCAACATACACCGACAACTCCTCATCACTGAGCCACTCTTTACTCCGCGACACTCCCTGCGCATCAGCCTGCCGCATCATCTCCTCCACCGTCTCTGGCATGCTCAACCCCACCGGCATGATATAATACCCCGGCATTCTGGCTAAGTGCTCCCCGGTCCACGAGGAGATAGGTCCCATATTGGAGGGATTATTGCCTTCCCAACATCCGCTCTTCAGGTGGAAGTATCCCCGTAGGAAATCGTGGAGACCCTGAGCGGGATTCTCCATCTCGGGACTTGCGTTTTCGGTGGAGTAGTACCATTTGTAGTGTTTCAGGCCGAGGCTTTTGAGATCGGTTTGTATGTCCCCTTCTTTCCTATCATCTTCTTCCTTCTTCTTCTTCTCCTTCTCCGGAGGAATAACAGGCGACGGAACCCCCGGAAACGGATGACTTAGCAGCACCACACTCCGGAACATATCCGGTCTAGCGACAGCACAAAATGCAGCCGTCACGGCCCCCGCATCATGACCGACTACGCATTCCACGGTCGTGTAGCCCAGTGCATGGACTAGGCTCACCACGTCCCGGACTAAGGAAAGCCCGGTGAATGTGGTCAGGTTCGAGTCGGTGTAGTTGGGGGCATCTCTTTCCCAGCCGGTTGTGCGGCCGAACCCGCGCCCGTCCGGGGCGACGATGTGGTAGTCCGCGCCGGCTTGGGAGGAGAGTTGGGGGAGGACGTGGCGCCAGGAGTAGGCGAGTTCGGGGAAGCCGTGGAGGAGGAGGATGAGTTTGCGGGGGGAGGGAGTGGTGGTTGTGGGGGCGTTGGATTCGAGGATGTGGGTGGTTAGGGAGGGGGTAGTTGGGATGAAGCGGGAGGTTATGGATGGGGGGAGGGGGAGGGAGGATGATGGTGATGATGATGATGGCATGGTTTTGGGGGATGATGATGATGATGATGTTCTTAGATGGGATGTGTAAAATAGTCAGTAGGGCGAGGTGGGATGGGGAGTATAAGGTTCAAGGGCAGAGGGGGAAGGGAAGGTTAAGTATATTACCAAGGAGGGGGATCAGATGTTAATTAATGGATGATAACAAGGATGATGACCCGAGGTTAATTACTATATACCGACTACATATTTTGATGATGATTACTCTTCATGATGGATGTGTGGATAGATGATGGTTCATCAAGATGATAGGAAAAACAGTTGGGAAGGAAAAGAAGGTATCCATCCGGCTCGGCTCCATGACGCAAGAGCCCAACTTTGTTTCCGACTTTCTGCTTCTTTGGTCAAACTTTACTTTTTCTCCTGTTTGTCCCTCCAACTGCTGCGTCACTCATTCCTGTTCATCGTCTCTTTTTCTTCTTCATCTCCCGGTCTGCATCCGAGCTGCATCCTTATTTCCCTCTCCTGCATTCTCCCTCCCCTCCTTGCTCGTCTCCCCTCGCTAATCTCGCCGCCCTCCTTTCCTGTTCATTTCTCCGCCTCTCGTTCTCTTCCCCCGTTGCTTTGCTGCCTTTCCCTTCGTGCCCATCAATAAAAATAGACACCTTCCGATCTTCGCATATCAACGCCCGTTCATTGCTTTTCTCTTTCCCTTCATCTCGAATCTACGACGTTTACGATCTACAATAATTTACAATTAATTGCAATTCCGTCTCCCTCCGAACTCGGGCACCGCCTGAGCCATGTTCCGCAGAAAGAGGAGCTCCTCTCAGCATCAGGTGAGTCTCCTATTCCGCTGATCCTCTCGACCTTCATCCATCCTCCATTGACACGCTCAGCATCCCCTCTCTGCTTCCTCCTCACAATCCGCCCAATCCGCCGCCAGCCATGCCTTCCTCAAATCTCAACCCTCCTCCAGCAGCCTGTCCTCCGCCGCCGCTGCCGCCGCCCTCCGCAGTCTCACTCCGACCCCGACCTCCGTCGAGAATGTCCAGACAAAGCGCATGATGCAGCGGAGGGCCTCGGTCTCGTCCCAGGCGAGCGGCGTGCCCAGTCTGCGTCCAACAAGTCGGAATGGCCTTCGACGCGCCAATAGTTCGGCCTCCATGTCTACCCGTACATTCCGCGACCAGTCACCGCGACGCCCGGCCTCAAGTTCCGGTCCAGTCGATAATGCGCCGCCACTCCCTTCTATCCCTCAAGTATATTCCGCACGCAATAATCATGCCCAGCGTTCGGTCAGTGTCGGGCCATCGCAGCGGCCCAGTCCCCGTGGAAAGGCGCCGGCAGGACGAGGCATGAGCGTTGATCGCGGTTTGGCTACCCAGCCCGCTATGCGCGCGCCAGGCTCGACCCCATCCCCCGAGCTTCGACGACCAGCAAGTCGGAATTCCGTCAATTTCTCCTATCCGATGAACTCTCGGCCAAATTCCCCGGACGGGTCTCCCAATGCACTGGATAGGCGCGATGCTTCCACGAGCATCTCACTAGCGGGTCAGCTATCCTCGCCCGAATCTCCCAAAGTCAAGAATTCTAGTCCTCGATCGGTCCGAACGACAAAGAGCATGGGCGTTACCCCGGGCAGTCCTAGTCGAGGCCCGCAGTCCTCCGGCACTGCAGTGGCCGCTGCGCAGGCGGCGGTGGTGCCTCGGGTGCAAGATGTCACTCATACCCAACCCCCAGTTTCTGCGGCCCCTCGCATCGCTGCCCCTCGCGAGCAGACAGCCCCCGACCAGGCCCCTAGCCAGCCTGCTGCACCCTCAGAACACAAGCAGCTAGTCCGCCCACATCTAGTAAAACGACCATCCACGGTCGCTGAAGATGCTCAAGGCGAAGAACGTGCCGAGTCAGGTGTCCCAAAGCAGCGGCCTATTCCACCTCGAGGGGGCAGTGTGACGCCGGATGCCCAACCGACGGTCGCATTTCCTCCCACTCCCGATAGAAGCAAGGATCAATTACTCAGCCCACCCATAAGTCCCAAGGTGCCCACACAACCCACTGAGGCTGGTCCGGACAGTCAGCCGTCAGACATTCGCCAGTCAGGTAGCCCGGGCAGATCGGCGCACTTTTCCCGTCACTTGCTGGTGGCAGCCTTGGCCGGCGAGCAGCTGCACCAACCTCCCCCTCGGTCACTGTCCCCTGCCAAATCAGCCATGAAGACTCCACGCAAGACTTCGCTTTCTCCGGAGGGCCAAACCGAGTCCGTCCTCCGGCCAGGACCGCCTTTGAGCGAGTTATCTGACGGGACCTCGGTAGCCTCCGACGAAGGGACTAAGCAAGGGATCCGAAGGAAGCCAATCAAGGTCAGTTTTGATGACGAGGCGGAGGTGGTCGGAGTTGCTGCAAGTCCTCCAACGTCGCCGGAACAAACGTCTCCTGAGCCGCTCCCCGAGAAGCCCAAACCGAAGAGCCATTGGTTCGGTGGGAAGAAGAAACCGACTCCGCTGAACACAGAGTTTGACGAAGTGTTGAAGCCGCGCCGAGCTCTCCCGTCGTTTGGCAGTATACGAGCCAGTCGGGACGGTGAGGCGCAAGAGAAATCCGTGCCTGAATTGAGCGACAACGATTCGACGACATCGTCTGACTCGCCTGCGGAAGCATTGAGGTGGTCGTTCTCAGACGACCACGCAATTGGGGGCCTTCTGACTGAACAGCAATCGAAGGACTCAGAGCCCCGCGTGGCGCCGCTTATGCTCGCGAACGCAGCCGAAAGCGAATCTGAGGCAGAGAAATCGCCGCAGGAGAGTCATTCTGCTGGTCAAGCGAATCAGCCAGAATTCCCGGCAGGAACGGCTGATGTTTCATCTCATGCTGGGCAGGAGCGTACCGCAGAGACAACTTTGGCAGTACCCAATATTATGGTGCAGCCGGCGTCTCCCGTGTTTGAGAAGGAGCGTCGGAGCCTCGAGTGGTATGAAGTTCCTGGTGGTTTTCCTCGCTCGTCATTGGAGTTCGACCCCAACGCCCATGGTAAGATGAAGGCGAAGGAGAATTCTACGGATGCTACCAACAATGCCACCATAGGCCCTTCCGATGACGAAAGCGGTGACGAGTCGGGCGACAGTATCTACAGTGATGCTGAGGAGGGAACCGAAGGGAACGGCTTCGGGTCGATCAATGCCATCGTGGACGACGAAACAGCGGCGACTCCGGCTTCCACGAGCACGGCCAAAATACCTGCGGAGACTGGTACCAACACAGGGAGGTCTCACTCGCCATCTACCGACTGGCCAGATATCCCTCAGACCTGTCAAATTGCACACACGGTGACTACCTTCCCGGATAAGGTTATGGAACCGATCCCAGAGTCCCCAGGATCTTCCCACGAGCCCCTTCCGTTTTCGTCACCTTATCCACCGTTTCCGACCCAGCCCAAGAACAGACGAAGCTCACCGCAAGCCGATATTTCACGTTCCTCTTCAGTCACTGTGCGTCCAGCCAGACAATCCATGCTGGTGGGAAGCAGCGACACAATGCCTGGTGACAAGGCACCGCGTGGTGTAAATGAGTCAGCTGTAAATGGGCAGTTGGCATCCCAGCCTGAGCCCTCTAATATACGCCAGCGGCCGACTCCAAACAATTCCCGGAGACGACCAGTTTCATGGAGCCCAGCTCTTGCCGAAGGCGGCTCTCAGGACCTGAGCCGTACGCCGCACATCAACGGCAAGTCTTCCCCGGCGTCACCAAGACCCCTATCCAGTGGTAGTGATTCGTCCAGCAGCTTCAAAAGGGCTAGTCGGCCTGCGCGTGCAGAATCCAACTATACCATGCGACGGACCATGCGGAATACTCCAGGCCGCTTAGCCCCTAACAGAGCATCGTCCCCGCCAGTGGATACCCGCCCGGTGTCTTCCGAATCTGGGTTTGGCACGATGCGCACAACCTTACGGGGGAATGGACCTAAACGTGAGAAGCCCTCGTTGTTCTCCAACAATAAGGCTCCGAAATCCAAACTTACAAAGGCGCCGGGCGGTGGTTTCGCCTCCCGGTTTCCTGACTCGGACTCGGACGATGAGGGGTACGAGGCCTGGAGGTCACGGCATCGGTACGAGGATTCCAGTGATGATGAACAGCGGAGCCCGAATGCCATGCGACCCGTCCGGGGCATTCCTCGTCGGCAGGGCACGCACGACGGTGATTCGACAGAACTGGAAGATAGTTCCGATGAGGAGCATCGTGCACCCCCGCTAGCCAATCCGCAGTCCCCAGCAAAGTCGAGCACATCTCGGGACCCTGCGCTAGCCGTTGTGGCTAAGAATCGCGGGATGACGGAAGACGAGCTGGAGGAATTTCTTCGCCAACCTAATCGGGGCCGAAAGCCTGGCCTTTTTAAGCGCTTCAGCATGCGAAAGTCGAAGTCTCCCTTGGATAGAGGCTTAGTAAAATCTGCGGTGGACAGTCCCGCACGCAATGGAGGGCCTCCAGAGCGGCCTCGGCCGGATCATGAACAAACCCGAGGGGAGTCTCCGTTTCCTGGGGCTGAGTCGAACATTGTGACCACCATCACGGCGACTAATCCGCCCCCGCCCCCATCCAAGCTACTTCGTCGGCCTTCCCAGCGGTCTTCTCGCAGCGACAACTGGCCATTGCGCTCCGATCGAAAGGAAACTCGAACGGGCTCACCCCTTCCTGCTACTAGCCCATCAGAGCGACTGGCCACGGTCGATGAAACTTCTCAAAGCGGCAGTATGGTCGTTGCACCTACACAGGGATCTGTCAAAGAGAACGTAGACCCTTCGACTGGAACGACTGGAGACAAGAGTGAGGGACGGCCGACCAACGTGGCGGACGTACCGATCTCGTCCTCAGGACGCAAGAAACGGTTTCCCCGACTCCGGAAGGCGTTCGGCCTGCGCGGCTGAAGCGAACCGGACATTCCCTTCTCATATATATATATACATACGATCTAATACCTGGTCTTGTTGACTTCATCTTGTCATTTTCTTCTCTTCCATGTCTGTGTTGGAAATATGTGTTGTAATAGCTTGTTGATTTGTTACGATCTGACTTAATTTATAATCATGGCGAATGCCGGCCATCGCGGATGAAGTCTGGGGATGGACAGCGACACGGCGCAATTGGAGGCAAGAAAAGTCGGGGCAGATGGGTTGATAAGGCCTTACGAGAATACGGATTACTCGGCGCTCAGAGATGGGGCATTGTTTGAACATTTGGGATTTCATTTTGGACTTGATTGATACCCTCGTTTAGGTTGCCATTTCGGCCGGAGGCAACAGGCCGTGGCCAACAACTTACATAATCAATATTTATGAGAGACCTACACTACGTTTCTCTTTGTCTTGCACTCTTATCATTGTAGATTTGCATCTTCCTTCTGTTGGAGCTCCAAGGCGGTGATCGGGAGAAGGAGCAAGACCAGGCTGAAGAGCAGGTGGGGGGTCAGCATGTGAGAGCTCACTTCTGCAGATTATTGTCCGACGGCTGTTACCTTGTGAGCAGCACGAGTAATCGCTGCGGCAGATTATTCGGAAGCGTCCTCCACGGCGATGGCGGGCACCATGGAGCGCCCGGTACACCCAGGAAGCGACCGGATATGAGCAGTCACAGAGCAAACAGGCTAGGCAGCAATGGCCTCGAACCGACCGGGTATTAGTTTCCCGCTGGGAGCGCCTAGACCCATATGTTGCACCCAGCCGAGGGAGCTCAGAGCAACGAGCTGGAGCTGGGATCAAGCAGGGTCAGGAAAATCGGCAGGCTGGAGGCCCGCCCGAGCCCAAGTCCTTCACATACGATCAAGCCGAGAGAGAGGCTGGTCAACAAGCACGGGCGAATGGCTGGGAATTGAGACACTCAGAGCTTGGCTGGAGTGGAGACGAGAAGTGAGACTGGCTGGGGAGCAACGAAGCTCGATTCGCCAATGGCGGGACAACACGATGAGCACGGCGCACCAGCTGCAGCAAGCCGTGCTGGGCGAGGAGCAAGCTGGATGGTCGATGGAGAAGCTCCAGACGAGTCAGCTCCACGCATCGGGATCAGTCCAGCAGGAGGAGAGGAGGTGGCGAAAAAAGAAGAGAGTGAGATCAATTGATTCTCTTTTTTTCTTCTCTTGGTTTCTTAGGGAACCGGCACCAGAGAGATGGGGTTTAGTTTCTGAATAATGAATGAAGAGCAGCAATATCGGCAAGGAAAAGCATTGGGCGACGATCGGTTGGAGCTCAGCGGGATCCAGATTGTCCGATCGAGGTTGTTGCCATGGGGACTCGGCTGGGGGCGGCTGGCCAGCCTCGTGGGTTGATGATGAGATTGTGTGAAGGCGAAATGAACCAGCTGCATGTGAAGGGAAGTGGTACCGAGTGGAGACAATGTGGTTTACGGGCAATGCGTTGGATTGGAGTCATTCGAAATGGAGCTATCGATCAAACTACTGTGATCGGTCTCAACGATGGCGTCAATGCGAGTTTGGAAAGGACCCTACAAATAGCCAGCAATTGGAACACGCGGGCGGGAACCGTGGATGGGATGAAGCGCCGACCGTGGATGGAGAGGAGATTAGGAACCTCGGGATAAACCTCCCCCATCATAGATTGTACATCCCGCAGGAGGCTGGAAGGGGGGGGTGGGCAGGATGATTGTTCCAGTAGATACCATCTAACTGTATCTACTGTAGATAGGCAGAGTCAGTCGTAAGAAAGTAAAGTTTTGGAGAGCTGAAGCAACAGTGGACTGTAAACATCCCCCCGATCCGGCAAGGCGCGGTAAACAAACGCGTATCTCCAGCTACTTCAACACCGTCTTTTCCTCTCGTCATCCTCACTTGTTCTCTTCTCTCTCCTCTTTTCTTTCTATCCTCATCCCCTCCTCTCTCCACCTTCTACTTCTTCCATTCCATTCTTCCACCCCCCCTTTCTTTCTTAAGCTTAAGCTTATCTTACATTCCTCTACCCCAGGAATTCTCCGCTTGATTTGAGATAGATCTCACGGATCGTTCTCAATTCCCACCCCACGTACCTTCCCCCGAGAAAGACTTCTTCTTCCCCGTAACAAGTCTTTTCTTGTCTCGTCTTTCGAGTTGTTGCCCAACAGTTCGAAAGGCATTCGAGAAGAGACGCCCGAAGGACAGCCAATCTGGACTTCGACGCCCGCGTCCCCATCCCCTTCAGTGTCTTCCCGTCGTCGTACCGGAGTGACGCTGTTCCTGAAGCTACTCTCGCGGCGCCTGCCAGAGTAGAGGAAGAAGTCAATCTCGATCGCACTTCGCACGTCGAACGGGAAGATACTCGAACCTCTGCTCCTCTCCCGGACCCCCGTGTCTACGGAAAGGAAGAAGTCGACCTTCACGCTTCTTCTTTTGTCGAGCAGGATCGTTACGGTCCTAGACCCGGTGCTCCTTCAGCTTTCCGCGAGGAGGACGTGACTACTACTGTCAATACTGTTCGATTTGACGAGCGTGTTGAGACTATACCCCCCGTTGGTGCCGGTGCTTCTTCTGCTGCTCCTCGGTATCCCCAAGTTGATCTAGCGCGTGAACGGTAAGCCACTACTTTTTTACTGGTCTCCATTTTTTTCTTTATTTACATGTGTATTATTTTTGTTTAATTGTTTTTGTTTTTGTTTTTCTTTTTTTTTTTTTTTCCGGTGGCTGCCTGGCTGGGGATCGGATTGGCACGGGGCACCATCGACTCCAGCCCAAGTGGAGAGCGACAAGAAGCGGTGTCTGGCCGTGGCTTCACTACTAGTCGCGTCCCTCCACTTCCTTCTTACGTGGCACCAAAACAAACAAGCCTCTCTTCCCCAACCCTCTTCTCATTTCCTCTTCTACTTCCTCTTGCTTTCCTGTTTTCCTCTTTTCCTTTCCCCTTTTTCCTATTTCTTTCCCCCCATCCATTGCATTCCCACCCACTTGTGGTCCCAGCTTAAGCTTCCCTTCCCACACACCCTCCCATAAGAGGTATTAAGTCCTGTTCCACCCAATCATCTCACGTTCCCCCTCATCATACCCCAGCCCTACTCTACATCACATCCCCTTGCCTGCCTGCCTGCTTGCTTGCTTGCGTGCTGTTTGTCTACCTATTACCCCATTGGACCTCCACCTTCCCGTCCTACATGACTATTGCATTAGTCACTCTTCTCTGACGCAACCATAGTTATCGTGAACCGTCGGTCCGTTTCCAAGACCGTCAACCCACCTACGACCAGGCTCTCCAGAACCAGCTCGATATCACTGAGCGCGAGTATCGTCGTCGGGTCAACAACCCTACTTACGACGTTCCTGCCTCTTCGTACGACCGCCGCTCTCAGGCTTCGGTAGATTCCTTCTCTGGTCCTCGCCAGCAGTCTAGGGACGTTTCGTACGACCGCCAATTCAAGCAGTCCGAGTTTGACGTCTCGTACGACCGTGCTTACCAGCCTAAGCCTGTCGACTCGTACCCCCGCGACCCTTACAGCCGCCGTCAACAGAACGTTGAGCCGGTTCCCGAGTCTCCCAGCAGCTCGAACTCTGTAAAAGTTCTCAAGACCAAGACTGTCATTGATTCCCCTCCTTCTCGCAAGATGGGTTACTACGACGACGACGGTAACTATCACTCCTTCCGTCGTGGTGTGGAGCGCGCTGCCGACCGCATCATGCACCCTCACGGTCACCACGACCGCCAGGACGTAGTCGTCGCTGACGAAGGCGGTCCAGTTCGTTTCCGTGAAGGCGTCCGCGAGGATGTCCGTATCGTTGAGCCCCGTGCCGGTGGCAGCTCCTCGACCGCCGAGACCGTGCCGATCCCCTGCCACTTCATCCGCATTGGCGACATCCTGATCCTTCAGGGCCGTCCCTGCCAGGTGATCCGCATCTCCGTCTCCCCCCAGACCGGCCAGCACCGTTACCTGGGTGTCGACCTGTTCACCCGTGAACTCCAGGAGGAGTCCAGCTTCGTCTCCAACCCTTCTCCTTCCGTCGTGGTCCAGACCATGCTCGGCCCTGTCTACAAGACCTACCGCATCCTGGACCTCCGTGATGACGGCCGCCTGGTCGCCATGACCGAGACCGGTGATGTCAAGCAGGGTCTGCCCGTGGTGCCCCAGGGTCACCTGTTCCGTCGCATCCGCGAGGCCTTCGAGGATGGCCGTGGCAGCGTCCGCGCCCTGGTCATCAACGATGGTGGTCGCGAGCTGGTCGTCGACTACAAGGTGGTCCACGCTTCCCGCCTGTAAGCCCACACATCCACCTTCCCCATTCGGTTTAGCTCCCGGGTATTACCCGCTGGCTTGTCCCGCCGGGTATGATCCACGGGATACCTTCCCGAATAAGGTTGCCGGGCAACTGGGTGAGAAACTTTTCTCGACGATCCTTATGACATGACCTGACCTCGAGCTTTTTGTATCTGATGGATTATGCAATGATGGAATGGCCTCTTGAAAATGATGTATTGGCATGGCCTTGTTGTACTTAGGATAATGGATGTAGCTTATGCTGTTTTTTGTACATCTGATCGCATTCCAAGTAAGCTTATTGTGTAGTTTGACACATTCCGCTGTACCTTTTATCAACATGATACATCTCACTGGACAGTTGGCGTGACATTCCAGTTCTACCTCGACTATGTGGACCTGAAAGATTGACGCAGAATACAGCTTTCCCCAATCTATAATGAATACGATTACTCGATATATATATATATATTTTAGTGGTGCTACTAATAGATCCATCTAAGATTCTTCGGACACGGAAGTATGACTATCCAATCTACTATATCACGCCTAGTATAGCCTGCTACCACCAGAATCACCCTTTAAGCCGTCGTAATCTCCACATGACATTCGCCGTTTCGTGCCGTTGTAATTGTGCTTGCACTGCTACTTGTTCCCAGGTGCCGGCTGAGACAGCAGATACTGTGAATGATGAATAAGAGGGTGAGAGGGGGAGAGGAATGGGCTGGGCCCTGTAATGAATCGTAGTCTCGCCGCAGACTGTTTTTGGTCAGGTGGGTGGTTATTAATATTTTGGTTGCAATGATGGCTGGTTATGTATGTATGTTGCCTAACGGTGCCCGTTCCGCTGATGTTGCAGAGCTGTTGTCTGCTGATGCCTTGGCGGTGTGAGGGAGATTTTGGTAAACATCTTATGGAATGTGGGATAAGGTGAATGGGTGGACGGGGACTTCGGTTGGGTGAGATGAATAAGTGGAGAAGAGCTGGAGGTCTCTTTGTATAGTATATATATGTGGCTTTACTTCCCCGTACTTTTAAGGAACCTTCCGACGAGAGTTCGGAAGATAGAAGAGAATGCTAGAAACTTACTTTATTTCCTAAGACCCAGTCAATAAGTGTACATCATTGATGGGTTCATCTCTGGGGTTGCATAGCCCTGCAGCAACATAAGCTTCGATCAAGCGGGTACTGTGCTATT